TTCTTCCACCACCATCAATACCATGTCAGGGTATTTTTTTTGGAATGAAACTTGACATCATCACTTTTCGAAGGTCCGAAAAAATCGGCCAGGAACAATTGAGTTCAAGGGATGAACAACTGCAAAGTATCATGGCCTGTGTGAAGAAGGCCATCGTTGCAGCTGGGTTCACAACAACAACTGTGGCTAATAATTGGGATATTCAGGTGGATATCATGAGATATAGCCAACTACATCACATTGGAAATGGTTTTGAGATATTCGGATATTCATCTGGATATACTGAGAGATATAGTTGATATAACCATCGACATTTCGAAAAAATCGAGCCTTGCCAGACGTCAGCCAGGCCATTCGAGAAACCAATGGAGAATCTCTGCGAGATCCAGTGCTGGTGAGGTGTTTGGGCTTGAGTGAGGAAGAGTTGCAGGACGGAGAAGATACCCTCTGGTAAACATACAAAAAACTATCTGATAACTATGGAAACTCACCATTTTAAATAGGTAAAGCAATGTAAATCAACTATTTCTATGGGCCATTTTCAATCGCAAACTGTTAGTTTACCAGAGGGTAGCTGTGCATTTTTGCTCCTCAGGAACTTGGGATGTCCAAAACTTTCAAAAATCCAAAGTGAAAAAGTGAAGAAAGAGCCGAACTTTTTCGACTTGCGCTGGGAGTTTTAACTCCCAGACCACTTTTCTTGGGACTTGGATGTTGAAATATGTTGACATATGATGTACCCTCTGGTTATGTCAACAGTTTGCTATTGAAGCCATGGTGATTTTCCCAGTCGAAGTCTTGTGGATTTTCCCAGCTAGATAGCATGGTGGATCTTTCCATCGTTTTTTGGGTTTCCCATTCAAAATGGTGGATCTTTCCGAGTCGTTTTTTGGGACTGTTTACCAGGCCGGGTAGGCCGGGTAGGTCATCGCGGGGTCCATTTTTCCAGGAGGAAGGCATCCTGACCGTGGAGAAGCGTTCGGGTGGGAAGCTGGCCCGCTTTGAGGTGCACCATATTTTTTTAAGGTCACCCTATGGGCGACTCTCGTTCCAGTGAAGCATGAAACATATGAAACCCATCATGAGATTTTTTTAAATGTTTTTCTGACGGTTTTTTTTTGTGATGTTTTTCTGATGGTTTTCTTGCTGTTTTTCTGATGGTTTTTCTTTTTTTTTTAAAAAAAAATTGACACATCATTAAACAACATCATAAAAAGCCATCATTTAATCAGCATATGTCATATGTCACACACAACATCCCAGCTTTTTAAGGAGCACTTTTTGGGAGCCAAACGTACGACCTGATGTCACCTGGTGTCACTCTGGTCCAGGCTATGCCGGATGAAGCTTTTGAGAACCAAAAGTGGGAGGAGCAGCAGGACCGCGACCGCAAGGCCCGCGGACTGCGCGAAATGCAGGCGCGGAAGCTGCGGGAGGCGATTTCAGGCGATTTTTCATGGAAGTGGATATATCTTCCTGATGTTTTCTTTACATGGTAAACATATGTAAACATGAAAATCTTTCTGGTAAATATGGGTAAATTAACATAGCTGAAAATTAGTTTTTTTTTTGAGTAGAGACTAATCTTCCAAGCGCTATCTGGCAAAATCTATCTTAATTTACTCAGAGGAAATCCTGAACATTCCCTAAAATCATCGGAGTTGTGCTGGCCAGATGAGTCACCTCGATGTCCGAGGTAACTGGAAGCCTCTCCATCCCTGCCAGTCCTCAGAGTATCTTTGGGGCGGAGCATGAACTGAGTTGGTTCAAGATCCCCTATTGGTTGAAGGGCGATGAGGAAACAAGGCGGGTAAATCCCCCTGTTTCCCTGGCTCTGGTGTTTAGATGGGAGGATTTCATGACCTCCAATGGATGGGTTAGTGGAAAGGTTTATGGCCTTGGCCACCAGAGTTTCTACAAGGTGGTGCCCCCCCAGTGATGTTAGTTGGTTTATAATCCCACTAACTATAGACTATAGATATATCTACCATAAGTCCTAGTTATTAGAGTTATAAACCAACTTAGCTATCTTGGGGGCCCCACTTTGTAAAGATGAAGCATTTGTGGGTGTCAACGAATGGCGCACAAATTGGAAGGGCATTTTCGAGCAGACAGTGCTTGAAGTTTGTGCTTCTCTTTCCTTTTTCGGTGCTTCCCCCAGTGGATTTGCAGGGCGATCATTCACAACATGAAGAACCACTTCGTGGACGAAATGAACGCCAAGGCCAGCCGGCCAGTCTCCAAATCCATCCATATGGCTCTTTTGGTTTAGTCGGCTTGGGAACTCTCCCAACTGCCTAGGGGCATTTTGACCACAACAACTTCCAGGAGCACTTATGGCAGGCCTGGCAGCTGATAAAAGCTGGGCATTGTGAAAAAAACCATAAAAAACCTGCCCTGTTTCTGCCGCCCAGTGTGGTCTGCAAGTCGCTCAACGTTGGGCGGGAGTTCCAAACCAAGAGCTCATCAAACAAGCTGAGGCAGGCTCCAGGGAAAGTCCAGAGTTTATGGCTCCTGTCTTTCCCACAAGTGGAAGGGGGAAAAATCCCAAATTCGATTGGTACGAGAAGGGTAAACCGGGTAAACACTGGTAAATGCCAAGGGTTTCCACATTTTCCAGTTTGGAATCTTGATGAAAAGTGAGACAGGCAGCCGAACAGAAAGCGCGCGCGGTTCAACGTGAATCTCTCCAGGTTTCGCCGCCGAGTTCGGGAGATCGAAAGTTGTTTTTTTTGACACCCAAACAGGTGCAAACAAATATATACAATGTATGAAATACCATGGAAATATCATGGAACTATCATGGAAATATCATGATGTTACTTGGTGGCTCATCCCACTTAGTAAGTGGGTTATAACCTCAGTTATAAGTGGATTAACCCTAATTATCCCTTTTATAACTGGGGTTATAACCCACTTACTAAGTGGGATGAGCCACCAAGTATACAAAAGAATTCTGGTACCCGATGTTTTTCCATAACAAAACTCGCAAAATTTCTGGACCCAAAACTGCCGTTGAACCAGGAAACCTCCATGCTGCGGCAGCACATCAAGCGAGTAGAGAGAAAGTGCCCTGGAGTTTTCCACATTTTCCACTGGTTCACGGCCATGGGGATAGATCAAAGCTACTAGAACCGACCGAGCCCTGGATTTTTGTGGTTTAAATTTTGGGAAATCACATGAAATCATCCCCATTCATGGCCGAACTATTCAGGTTCGTGACTTTTTTTTAATCATTTACATTCAGAAATACCCAGATATTTGTCGGGAATGCCAACTATCTTGGTCTTCACCCAGGGTCTTGACCCACAGTCATATGGCTATGGATCAATACCTATTAATACCATTTTTAGGGGGATGAACATCCATTTACCAGCTATTTTGATGTTCACTAGGTACCAGGGTCTTGACCCACAGTCATATTTTCACAGCCTTTTCTAGCAGCACTTTACACATAACATCTGGTCATTTTAAGCATATCATCCTGCACAGAGTTGGAGAATTGGCAGGACCCCCACCATGGCTTTCTTGCAGAGTTCCTTAGATTGTCTTGAATTGAAATATCATCCTGATTCATCCAGAATGATCCAAGAAGTGCAACTCCATCTATCAAACATATCAAAGCAACCCATTTTCATATCCAGTCATCAACTTTTCAGAAGCATAGATTTTCATAGATTTTCATATTTCCCCATAAATCATCAGGGGTTGGTAACTGTCCCATTTTGGGAATCTTGGACATCACCTTATAGTAGTAGCCATTTAATGACCCATGAATCATCCGAAGACTTTTTCACCATGCCATCACATCCCCCATGATCCCATTGGCCCAGAGGTACAAAGAGTTGCAGAGCAACGTGGGCAAGATGCAAAAGGCATCTCCTTCGAGTTGACCCGGCCTGGTAAACGTTAACAAAAAACGATGGAAATCTATGGATATTCACAATTTTTTATGGGTAAATCCATGATTTCTATGGCTAAACTAGCATAACTATGGAAATCTATGGAATTTCACCATTTTTTATGGGTAAATCCACTATTTCTATGGCCATTTTCAATAGCTATTTTGACATAACCAGAGGGTAACGAGTCTATCCGAACACTTTTACTTTGCCTGAATCGCAGTCAGTCAAGTCACTGGTAAACGTTGAATCAGTTTGCAAACTGGAAAACCAACAGTATCTAAGTTCGGTAAATCAACTATTTCTAGCCATGGCTTCAATAGCAAACTGTTAGTTTACCACAAAACTATCTGATAACTATGGAAACTCATCATTTTAAATAGCTAAATCAATGTAAATCAACTATTTCTAGCCATGTTCAATAGCAAACCTGTTGGGTGGGAACATTTGGATTATTTTCCATTTCATATATGGGATATTATCCTTCCCATTGACTTACTCCATCATTTTTCAAGATGGTTAAATTCACCAACCAGAAATCGTTTTTCAAACACCAACACATGGCCAGGTCTGTGTTAACTGGATGGATGGTCATTATTAATGTCATGATCAGTTTTTTCCTAAGTCGAAATTTGACCAGTATCGACTTAGTCATTACCATGGAGGGTATCAATCACTGCCATGCAGCCATGCCGGAGGCCATGGCCACCATGGCGAATCAGCTCACAGAGGCCCGTGAGACCGCCGCGATGTACGGCATGAAGATGCCAGCACCGCACGAAGCCGAACGACGACCTTCGGTGACTTTCCCCCCACCCTGGCGGCCTCCGGAGATGTGGAGCGATTTTGTTTGGGTCAGAAAATTTGGGGACATTTTTCGGGAAAAACAATCCCCGATTTTTTTGGGATGATCATCACTTTTCCAGATCAATTTGGATGAATTTTGGTGTATTTTTCAACCAAAAAAACACATTTTTCAGACACCCCCATTTTATGTGGATTTCAGTGTGCTGGCCGCTGTTTTGTTGATTGAAATTCCGAGTTTCTTGGTGATCTGTACGGCCCCTTTTTTGGAGACGTTTCCTGGTTCAAGCGCGACTGGTGACCATGGATCGCCAGGACCTTGGCCTAGGATTTTGAGAGATTGGCTAGCAGCAAAATGGTGAATCCATGGCATAATTTTCATATTTTTGCTTGGAACATATCAAATCATATTGAACATTAATAATATGAGTGTGGCTTTTCTATGAATCACATCGTCATATCAGTGATTTTTCGGGGTTTCAATTATGTTGGAAGCCCCAAACAAATTTTATATAATGGGTTTGATCACCATTTCCATCGATGGTCAAGAGGACTCATGGGGCCCATGGCCCGCCTTTTGAGACCCGCCAGGACCTCTTAGAGACACCGACATATGTCCGACTGAAATTCTTTGCGGAAGGTGCCGCTGTGGATCGCTGTGGCCATGGTGGCCCCTGGCCATGGGTAGCCAACTGGTGGCTTCATGCCTGGGATGATGCAGAGAAGTGACCCCCAACTGGTTGCTGGGATGATTTATGGCATTGAGTTTACCGGGACCTATAATAGATGTTTTTGTAGATGTTAATACACTATAGATCTATAGATTTAATAATGTATTGTTGGGTATATCATGTATATCATTATATATATCATTATAATGGTTGGGTATATCATGGTTCATAGATTTTAATACACTATACTCATGATATACCCACCCATTGCAACCATTGCGTTCCTGGTTCCTTAACGGTGACCCGACGATGCGCCTCACAGGACGGGACGGAAAAGCACCTCCGATCAAAGGCAGCTTCAGAGATGTGCAGATCAAAAGCCAAAGCATCGAGGCCGGCGACTCGGAGCTGCATCAGCGGCCCACAGTTAGCCATAGTTACCATCTGGTAAACGTTAACAAAAAACTATGGAAAATCACCATTTTTAATGGGAGAATCCACTATAAATGGTCATTTTCAATAGCTATTTTGACATAACCAGAGGGTAGCCATAGTTCATATGGGATGAAATGGGATGAAACTACAGTTGAAGTGACCCAATGACCCAATGGTTGGCATTCGAACACATCCCAACCGAGCCATGAAAAATACCTGTCTTGATTGGGTACTGCAATGGATGATTATATGGTAAGCCATGGCAAGTTAGCAGAACTCTTAGCTGGTAGTTTGTCATCCACTCTTACTTTTTGAGGTTACAAGGCCTTGGTGAGTTGGTGCCCCATTTGGTGGATGATTTCATTTACCCTCTGGTAAACAAACAGTGTGCGAACTTGAAAATGGCCATAGAAATAGTGGATTTTCCCATTAAAAATGGTGATTTTCCATAGTTTTTTGTTAACGTTTACCAGAGGGTATCAAAGTGGCTATTTTTTGACAGATGGGAGCATCCACCAACTGGATAAAGAAAGATGGTGAAGTGTTTTCACTCATAACAGTGACGAAAAAAACTGACTTAAAACTTACTTATAGCCATTTAGTGGCAGTGTTCCCAGTTCAATGGCCATTTCAGGTACCTAAATTGGGGTACCAATTGATTGGAGGTACCTACCATATGTAAGGGAATATCTCCACAATTCATATGGCCAGAAATATGGTACGTTTACGTACCTCCATCAATTGGATCTCCAGTAACCCCAGTAACCCGACCAGCCACCGGAGGAGCTGTCGGAGGTGGTGGTGCAATGGCTGGGTTCCCCCGGTGCGTGGCAGCTGGCCACGGTGGCCAACTGGCCCTTGACGGCGGAGGCCATGCGGAGACCCACCACGGAGAGGCCGCGGGGGGATGGGGATGGGATGGGGATGGGATGGGGATGGGATGGGTTAGGGATGGGGGGGATGGGTGGGATGGGAACTTTGGAGAATTTCGGAGTGTGCGAAGTGATTTTTTGGGGTTAGGGCTGGAGGTCGGATGATTGTTTGGGCGACATTTTTTTTTTGTTTCAGGACGTTCCTAGAGATCCCAGTTTGTTTTTTGTAGTCGGATGCAACGATAGCCAGTGGCCGGACGCAGTTCGCTGACGTTTTCCACCCTGAGGATCAGCCTGCTTAGATGCAACCAGGTATAGAAGATGCTACCCGGTAGAAATTCGGAGACTAAGCCATGTAGAACAATAGACTCAATAGACATCTGCATAGAATATTGTCGATTGATGATCCTTGTCCCCATGAAAATGGCCATAAATTTGAGATCTCCCGCCCAAATCACTTCACAGCGGCTGGCTTTTTCAGGTGCCCTTTGGTGGTGCATGTGTGGAATAGCCAGGACAGAAACCACAGAAACCGGCTGGTTTTTGGCTTCAAATGTGAATCAACCAGGTACATCCAGATGTATCCAGGTCTACTTAGCCCTGGCAGTTCCGCCCCTAAAAAGAGTGTTGTGAAACATGGGGACACCCCATGTTTCAATCGATGCTTCAATCGCGATGTTTCGCAGAGATTCCTCTAAAGACAGATCAAAAGCATTCAAAACTACCATGTTTGGGGCTTATTCACATCATGGCAGCTGCTTTTGTCCTGTAGGGGACAGGGTTTTGACCCATCCCCAAATCTGAGAATAAGAGATTAGATGATTTATATGATGATAGTATACTGTAGCTGTCGGATGATGAGATTAGCTGATTAGCTATCAATCATAATTATCATCATACAGCTGCATTATCTACATTATCATCTTACATCAAACATATTATCATACATTAGTTACATTAGTATCAGCTCATGATCATCAGATTCCTCCAAATCTTACAACAAACCCTGTGAAAAACAAGGAGAAGCTGGCTGAAGATGTCAAGAAGCTGAAAGAGTTCATGGCAACTTTCGGAGCAGCTGGAGCTGAATTTTCCTGCAGGGTTTTTTGATGATTTTCCCAGCTAGAAACCTCCATTTATAATGGATTTTCTATAGCTATATATGTTAAAACCTCCATTTATAATGGTTTTAGCTGTGTTAAATAACCATAACCATATATAAAACGATGATTTACCTATTGGACAACTAGAGTCGGCTCCCATTTTTTTGGGGATGCTATGCCGCAAAAAAGCCCATGATCATCGATCCATATCGATCCATTTTCCGAGGCTCTAAGGATCCGCATGAGATGGATGACCAGAAACCCATGGTGATGATGCTACCCTCTGGTTATGTCAAAATAGCTATTCAAAATGGCCATAGAAATAGTGGATTTACCCATTAAAAATAGTGAATTTTCCATATTTTTTTGTATGTTTACCAGAGGGTACCAAGAACAATCACAATAAAAATTCCATCAAAATGATGATGAAAAAACATACGAATACATATATAATGATGATAAGAATAAGCATAAGAATGGACATGGGTAAGTATTATACAGCATAGCAATCATGAATGACACTAATGTGGTAAACTCAATGACGTAAACCTACCATTTGCGGATGATGTTTAGCACCAACATGGCAATGCCAAGGATGAGATGGAGAAACGCCTGAAGGATATGGATGCAGCAACTGACAAGAAGGCGAGGAGTCACTGGCTACAGAAACCACTCACAAAAGAAACCCATGACTACCCTCTGGTGATGTCAACAGTTTGCTATTGAAGCCATGGTGATTTTCCCAGTCGAAATAGTGGATTTTCCCAGCTAGATAGCATGGTGGATCTTTCCATAGTTTTTTGATCTTTTGGAAACGCGGTGAAGTTCCAAACGCTGCCAGAAACTTGCGTGGACAGTTTCCACTGGTAGGTGAAGAATGTGGAAGATCAAGTGAGGCAAGCTGAGGCGGCTCTTCAAACATCCCTGCTTCACCAGGTATGATGAAACATGGGCTTGTCCAAAAATGGGGGGGTACCCTCTGGTAAACTAACATATTATGGCTACAGTATTGAACATGGCCCATAGAAATAGTTGATTTACCGTTCTAAAAAATGGTGATTTTCCAGTTCGCAAACTGTTTACAAGTTTACCAGAGGGTATCCTGGATCTCCTAAATGGCTGTTTTTATGGGGATGGGGGGATCATGAACCCATCGAAATTTGTTTTTTTTTTTGGGACCAACACAGATCTCGAGACATGCAGAGACACAGGCACTGGGAAAATCACCATGGCTTCAATAGCAAACTGTTGACATCACCAGAGGGTAGTCACGCGTTTAGTCATCTCACTTGTTGCATTTCCACATTTCCAGCTGGAGGACTACTTCAATCAAACCTACCTGGCCGGTGGAAATTCGGTGGATGTGAGCCATATTAAAACCCAGGCGAGGAGCTTCGGGGAGCTTTGGCTTCCCATTGATCCCATTGATCTGGGTCAACAAATCATGGCTCGTCACGTCGCGAAAAAAAAGCCCTGGAATCATGGTTAAAAAAAAAGGGGAATCATCCCCAAATAGATGGCTGCAAGATTCAGATGAGTGAAATATTATCATCTACCCAGATTGATACCCTCTGGTAATTTAACATAGCTATTGAAAATGGCAATTTTTCATGGGAAATTCCACTATTAATGGTCATTTTCCATAGTTATGTTAAATTACCAGATTGATAGTCACTTAGTCTGATCTGCAAGGCTGGAGTTCGAAGGCAATTCTTCGTCATGCAGGTGCCGATTATTGGCGACATGATGGGCGACCGCCTTTTTTAGCAACTGACATCATAATCAACAACCTGATGGCATCACCAGCTAGACGACTCACATTAGATTCATCAAGCAAAACTATGATTCAGATGATTCAGTGGTGATGTGCTTTCATCAACCTTGGGTGATTTATAAATTTACAACCATATTTTCAGCATATTTCACCATCCCTTAATTTATGGCCATCAAAGCCCCGAAGATTTGGCAAGGCTTCCGTGACCAGGCCTGGATGGTGATTTTGGTGAACATCTTCATCGCACTTTGTATCGGAAGTGTCTCAGTGATTGCACTTGAGAAGGCCACGTCGTCGTTTTCTCGTCGATCGTTGATGACCGTTTTTTCGGGGTGATGGCAGTGATGGCAGTGATGGTTAAGTCTCTGGGAAACTTGTACACAGTTTGCGAAGTGCAAAAATCACCATATCTGAATAAGTAAATCAACCAGCAAAATTGGGGAAAATCACCAAATCACCATGACTTTTTATATGACAAAAAGTTCGGTAAACCAAGTATTTCTAGCCATGTTCAATAGCTATTTTGATATCACCAGAGGGTCAAATCCATGGGGCCCAATAGAGGATGAAAGGCTCTGCCGCAGCTGTTTTTTTTGCCACTCATGGGCTCCGGAGCCTCGCGAAAGAAGAGGCCTGGCGACCGAAAAAAAACCGGGGGGTTCCAAGGAGGTCCGGTATGATGAAGCTCTGGTTTTTTCGACATCCAAAATTTCAAAACCAAAAGCATCAAAAAATCGAAAAAAAACCAGAGAATTTCGACATCGATTCCTGGGTTTTCACCTGAGTTTTTCAGATTTTCATGGAGATCTTCATAGATCTCCATGGATTCCATACCTTGGAAACTGGATGGTTTTTGGCATTTTCGCAGGCCAATACCTGCGGACCTGGATTGGTGGTATTCTACACCCCTGGAGTATGGCTTTCAAGGTCGGACCCGGGAGAAATCCATGGTGAATTTCCATGGTGAGAGACCTTCTGGTGATGTCAACAGTTTGCGAACTTGAAGCCATGGGGATATTTTCCCAGTCGAAATTTCGTGAGTTTTCCCAGCTAGATAGAAAATGGTGGATCTTTCCATCGTTTTTTGGGACTGTTTACCAGAGGGTATTCCCAACAAAGTGGATGGTTGAAGCCATGGTGATTTTCCGAGTCGAAATAGTGGAGTAGTGGATTTTCCCAGCTAGAAAATTGTGGATCTTTCCATATAGTTATGTTAAATTACCATATGATTCAATGATGTACCCTCTGGTGATGTCAACAGTTTGCGAACTTGAAGCCATGGCGATATTTTCCCAGTCGAAATTTCGTGAGTTTTCCCAGCTAGATAGCATGGTGGATCTTTCCATCGTTTTTTGGGATTGTTTACCAGAGGGTATTCCCAACAAATTGGATGGTTCAAGCCATGGTGATTTTCCGAGTCGAAATAGTGGAGTAGTGGATTTTCCCAGCTAGAAAATTGTGGATCTTTCCATATAGTTATGTTAAATTACCAGAGGGTATAGAATCCATTATTATCCATTATTACCATAAATATATGATGGTATATGATGGTCATATCCAACTATGATCGTATGGGCAATATTGCCATTATATCCATCATTACCATCATATACCCCATTATTGGCTTTTCCACATCACATATAAAAAAAATACCAGAGAAGAACTGTGGAATAACTGCTATTTACAGGGCAAACCAGCATTGGTGAAGTTTGCCAAGTCGACTTTGTCCGATTGACTTCTGCCACAGACTCCGCCCAAAGGTCCTCTGCTCCTTCGAGAGTCATCTGTCAGGCTACTGGGATTTGTCAGAGCTTGCTTCAACATGGGTCATTAAATGTCCCCATTGAACATCACCCAACCGGTATATATGGTCTATAATGGCTACTTTTTCAGGTGATGTCCAATATTCCCAAAATGGGACAGTTACCAACCCCTGTTCAAAGAATTAACTGGCCCCAAGATGGCCGGTCAAAATGATGCGTTGCAACAAACAGAACCAGCCATGGGTTCCCATGGTGGAACCCAGCTGTTTGAGCTGCAGCACCTGAGGTTTCCCCTGCAAAGTCTAGGGGATTCGAAAGATGTGGCAGCCGAGGTTCGGTAGCTGGGTTTTGTTCATGGCACATCATGGCACATCCTGAGGAATTTTCGATTACCCGGCCTGGTGCATTTGCAGTCCCAAAACACCATGGAAAGATCCACCATTTTGAATGGGAAACTATGGAAAACTATGGAAAGATCCACCATTTTCTAGCTGGGAAACCCAAAAAACCATGGAAAGATCCACCATGCTATCTAGCTGGGTAAATCCACAAGACTTCGACTGGGAAAATCGCCATGGCTTCAATAGCTATTTTGATAAATAACCAGAGGGATCCAGAGGGTACCATCTTTGATGATGCCCGCCTTGTTCCTTGATGATCTCGTTTTGACTTTGAATGGAGACTGGCAAGACCAACCTGAAGATGGGGCTACCGGGCTACCATATCCACATCCTTCACATCCTTCACAGCCTTCATGACAGGAGCCTCAGGAGACAGGCTTGCCCAAGTCTCACGGCTGCACAGATTTTTGCGGTAAAGCAAAAATCAAGCAATCAAGATCAATCAAGCATATTTTGACGCTTTACCATGCATTTACCATGCATTTACCATGCATTTACCATGCATTTACCATGCATTTTTTGTTTGGGATAGTTTACTATTGCTTTACGGCTCTACGGTTACAGTGCCACGTGTTTTTGTGTTTTTCCCTCTCGCTCCCGAGGGATACAGATCCAGATGGTGAGACTGGTGCAGAGGCTTGTTTTTGTTGATGGATTCATCAGAAACAAGAAAACTGGTTGGTGGTTTGGAACATTTGGATTATTTTCCCCAATAGTTGGGATGATGATCCAATCTGACTAACTCATATTTTTCAGGGGGGTAGGTATACCACCAATTAGAAAACTGTTTGATGATGACAAAAGATGGAAGAAAACTCTTGGCGAACTTGAAGATGTGAAACTTGAATGCATTCGCTACTGTCCAAGAACCAGAAGATTCTGAAGGTTTGAAGATGTCTCTGTTCAGGAAAGCCTTCTTCCAGCATATTCTAGCTACGAGCAACTCGACGAAATGCACTGGGAAGTTGGCTCATGCTGAGTAAATCAAGTGGATTTCTACCCGATACCCTACAGCTTTCTGGAGCATAATTCATGGGATCGATTTCAAGGAAATTGTATTTTTCTTTTTTTTCAATCCCATGAATTCTTGGACATCATCTTTTCAGACGCTCATTTTAGAGGGGCTCCTGTAAATGAGCCAAGGGTTTCCATCAATACAATTGGATCCCAGCAAAGTTGACTTCATTTGGGTATGGATCAATACCTATTAATACCATTTTTAGGGGAATGAACATCCATAAATCCCAGCTATTTTGATGTGAACAAAAGGGGTACAAGGTTTTGACACACTGCCATTTGACAACTTTTTTTTGGAACATTCAAGAAATCCCCAAAGTCTCCAAGTCGTGCAGTGGGTTTCCAAGCCATCCCATCATCTCAGCAGCAAGCAAAGTCCAGGTTTCTTTGCGAGCGCATGCAGCAGAGGATGACTAATCTGCAGGAAGCCTTACGGCAACTTGAGGAGGAAGCAGAGGAAGCAGTTGAGGATACGACCAGGTTGGAACCGGCTAATTTTTCAAAGTCTGTGTTTTTTTTTTTTGGTGACATTTATCCAGTGAAATAATCCCAAAAATTGGGGGATTTGAATTGGCACAATGGGTGATTTATCCAGTGAAATTAGATTAAATTTGAGGGATTTAGCATGCTTCAGCTAGTACTCGAATACTGGTTGGTGGTTTGGAACATTTGGATTATTTTCCGATTGGGAATGGAATAATCCTCCCAACTGATGAACTCACTCCATCATTTTTCAGAGGGGTGGCGAAAAACCACCAAGCAGTTTTTGATGATTTTCCCATTTAGTTCGATGATTTTCCCGGCTATAAAGCTCTATTCTTCACCAGCATTTATACATATTTATAGATTTTTGTTGGTTGATGATATGTGAATATGATATGTAAATGGCTGATTGATCCAGCAGCTACTCAGTTGACCTGGCCACGTCCTCCATCGGATCTGTGACCCCGCCGCAGGTTGCCTCCCAAAACAGCCGTAGCCGAGGAGGCGCTGCAAGTTGTGATCCAAGTTGTGCAATCCATTGACCCTTTTTTAATGGGCGGGGGTCATGTGAAATCACCATTTGTTTTTCTGGTTATATAAACGGTTCCAACTATGTAAAAAAAACGAAAAATCATTTTTTTTCCATGACCATCATGATGGGTCATGATTTTTTCACGATCTTTTGCTACTCAGAAACCCAGCATTGCCAGGAATTTGTGGAACAGCGCGCAGCGCCGTTTGAACGTGAAGAGCTTGAAGCGACAGAGCCAAGGTGGTCAACTTGTTGGTCGTTTGGAGCTTGGATCATTGACATGTAAAAAAATCGGAACATTTATGATAGATGATGATATAGATGCATGGGATATGATAGATGATGATATAGATTTATGGGAAATCTATGATCATCTATGGGACATGAAAAAAACAGATTTTCAATCTTGGGACCGCTTGTTTTTCAATCTTAGGAAGCTGTTTGCGGATCCCAACGCTTTGAAAACACCCAAGGAATCAGTTGTGTTCTCAAGTTTCAGACATTTGGGGGCTTCTCAAGAGCCACATTGCATGCAAGTTTCGTAGCAAGCTCCGGTCAGGTTAAGCCATCTTTTGCCACATTAGTGGCTGCTACAGCTCTGGTGATATACTTGATATCTTGAGATCATGGTCATCCATGAACTGTGAATTCGTTCTGAACCATTGGTTCAGTAGAGTGGAACTAGGATAGAATCCCAAACTGCTACATCTTGTGTTATTTTTGGAATGTTGTTGAAATCCATTTCGCTGGATAACCGGTTCCGCTGGATAAATCACCGTAAATCATCATAAATCCCCTAGGTTTGAGGCTTGAATGACCATTTTCTCGGCACTTTTCCCTCGTTTTCCCGTTTTTTTGGCCATCATTTTTTGGGTGTTGCAACTGCCAGGCAGGACCCAAACATCGACCCACACGTCGACGAGGTCGACGCAGCCGTCGCGGATGGGAGCAGCGTTGCGGCAGAGACCCGACTGGAGGTGTAACGGGTTTCGGAGATGAAGCTCCAGTTACCCTCTGGTAAACAGTCCCAACAAACTATGGGAAGATCCTCTCCATTTTATAGCTGGGTAAATCCATTATTTCGACATGGCAATTTTCAATAGCAAACTGTTAGTTTACCAGAGGGTATTTCGGAAATGGGGATGGGTCAAGTTACTTTTGAAATGACACGAGGGGAACACACATCCAGCAGCGAAAAAAAAAAGGGTCCGGGTGCCAGGGTTTTGACTGCCAAATAATGATTGGACTTTTCAAATTCAATGCGATTGAGGTACATTTCTTCATGATTGGAATGTTTCTATCATGATAGTATAAGTATGTATAAGTTATGATTAGTGTATGTAACTTAAAACCAGCTATGATTGGAAGATACTTTTTGACAATGGAACATCACCTATGAATGGAGGTTTATAGCTGGAAAAATCATCGAACTAAATCGGCCATTTTCCATCGCCACGATTGATTCCCAGAGGGCAGTTATTTTTCAAGGTACAATGGTATATAAAATTAAACCAACAATATACTATGATATAGTAATATATATATATACATACAATATAACGGAACTATGATTGGTTATTTTCCAAGATATTAGTTTGGTTATTTTTCAAAGTTATATAAAACATATAACCGAACTATGATTGGAATATGTTTATACTATAAACCAACAATATACTATGATATAGTAACTACATAAAAGACGTAGAACCATGATTTCCAAATTTTACCAATTTCCGCATTTTCTTTTGGATTACTATCAATAAACACTGGGGATTTAACATGATTTAACTAGTCAAGCTGGCCACTTATCCACTAAATTTAGTTTGTAAACAAACACGCGGAATATCTCTGACCAAGAACTAACTTCCCTGGCTGACCAGTGGGAAGGCCATCGCGGTTTTTTTCACAAAGGGATAGATAATGAGGAGATCCCAAAGTGGGGTCTCCCAAGAAAAACTGCAGAAATTGGAGTTCCGATGTCATCCAGATTTTTAATGGGTTATGATAGAAGCCACCAGCTCAGAGCTGGTGAACGGGATGATTTTTCATGAGCTGTCGAAATTAACATTGACATCATTGACCCAAGTCTGCTTTTCCAAAAGGAACTCGCCCATTGTGAAGGATGATGAAAAATTGGGCTAGGACTTTTTCTTCATGAAAAACTGGCGGAATCTCAAAAAAATTCTTTGAAGGCCGCCTTGGAGGATTCTGGCTCGCTCCTCCTCTTTGAGCCGCTGAGCGAGTGGCTTTGACACGGAGATTCAGCAGCCTATGGGGGGCAAGACTGGTGAAAACCTATGACATTTGATGAGACATGTGATAAACATATGTGTTTTCGTGTAGATTTCATAAGATTTCATGACACAGCCAAAAAAACAGCCACTAACACATAGTTCACCATGACAACATCTATGATGTTAGTATATTTTAGTGATATGAGTGGCTAAATACAACAATTCACATCATCCAAATGGACTGGATTGATATGGCAATCAGTCCGTGCGGCAATATTGCAAATTGGTGAACTATCATAGTTCCGCCAGAGCAACAACTGGATGTACCAACAAAAAATCCCACAATCAGATCAAAAAGCATGGAGGATTTATGATCAACTCCTATGATTTGCCGTGGAAGGGGATGACCATCCAATGAGCACAAACTATGTTGGTTACATCACATCCCATAGTGTCATTAGTGTTAGATGTGTTAGACAGTTTCGCTATCGAGTCGACAGTTTAACGCACGCTCAAACTTTTTTCCCACAGCTGGTTTTGGCTGAAGATTTTTTAGACTTGACCATTTTCATCCATTTTCCCACTTTTTTTTGGTGCGCCGAAAATATGGGTATCTGATGGTATCTGCAGTATCCCAAACCATTGCCTTTCCCATTGCTAAACCAATAACTTGGATGCCTTGGACAACCGTCCGGTCAGGTTTCTGCGCAACCAGCTGCATGAAAAAATGGCGGCCATGCAGCAAGCCTTAGAAGCCTTGGCCACGCCCAGAGCAACACCGGAGCTTCAAGCGGAAAGGCCGGTTCCACAACCTTTGATTCACCAAACAGCAAGCCCGGCAGGTTCAAAAATAATAGTCATTTAATAGGGGTTTTAAGCATCAAACTAGGAGGATATAAGTGGATATAACTGGTAAATGATGGTTGATGATTAGTTCAGGGATTATACCAACCAATACAATTGATGACTATCATAATCCACGAACTGGGAAATCCACTATGATTCACCAAACAGGATTTGGTTTCATTTTGATGAAGAACATCATGATGGTGCCCCATTTTGGGTAAAACCAACTGTTGTGAACAAGCAAGCACCACGATGCAAACTTTGGCATCAAAATGATCAAAATGATCTCCAACTGATCTTGACTGCTCAGGGATAGCTCGTGCTCCGATGTCAAACCCAGTCTGGAGGAGGCTCTGCAAATGTGTTCAGGGACACTGTGATTGGCAAACTCTGACACTCTTGGATACTTTTGGATACTTTTGGAGTCTTGAGCTAATGTTTGACAGTTTTGTTATGTGATGAGTTGAAACTCTGCTGTGCTATCTTGCATCAGATGCTTTTCCAGCTTCTGATATTTAATGTGTTGAATGTCCTTTTTGATTCACTTTCCTCTGTCAGTCAGTGTCTTTGCATGTCGTTGTCAAAACATGATGTTTGTTTCCAAGCTTCCATGGAAGAGGCTGTACCTTCCAAAGAGGCTGAAGAAGCATCCGACGAGAAGAGGCGTGAGCCGTTCTTTGTATTGAGGTGTCTGGCTGTCTGGCTGTTGTGAACGAGCACCACTACCATGCAAAGCTTCCAAGTTTGGCATCAAAATGATCAAAATGATCTCCAACTGATCTTGACTGCTCAGGGATAGCTCGTGCTCCGATGCCAAACCCAGCCTAGAGGAGGCTCTGCAAATGTGTTCAGGGACACTGTGATTGGCAAACTCTGACACTCTTGGATACTTTTGGATACTTTTGGAGTCTTGAGCTAATGTTTGACAGTTTTGTTATGTGATGAGTTGAAACTCTGCTGTGCTATCTTGCATCAGATGCTTTTCCAGCTTCTGATATTTAATGTGTTGAATGTCCTTTTTGATTCACTTTCCTCTTTCAGTCAGTGTCTTCTGCATGTCGTTGTCAAAACATGATGTTTGTTTCCAAGCTTCCATGGAAGAGGCTGTACCTTCCAAAGAGGCTGAAGAAGCATCCGACGAGAAGAGGCGTGAGCCGTTCTTTGTATTGAGGTGTCTGGCTGTCTGGCTGTTGTGAACGAGCACCACTACCATGCAAAGCTTCCAAGTTTGGCATCAAAATGATCAAAATGATCTCCAACTGATCTTGACTGCTCAGGGATAGCTCGTGCTCCGATGCCAAACCCAGCCTAGAGGAGGCTCTGCAAATGTGTTCAGGGACACTGTGATTGGCAAACTCTGACACTCTTGGATACTTTTGGATACTTTTGGAGTCTTGAGCTAATGTTTGACAGTTTTGTTATGTGATGAGTTGAAACTCTGCTGTGCTATCTTGCATCAGATGCTTTTCCAGCTTCTGATATTTAATGTGTTGAATATCCTTTTTGATTCACTTTCCTCTGTCAGTCAGTGTCTTTGCATGTCGTTGTCAAAACATGATGTTTGTTTCCAAGCTTCCATGGAAGAGGCTGTACCTTCCAAAGAGGCTGAAGAAGCATCCGACGAGAAGAGGCGTGAGCCGTTCTTTGTATTGAGGTGTCTGGCTGTCTGGCTGTTGTGAACGAGCACCACTACCATGCAAAGCTTCCAAGTTTGGCATCAAAATGATCAAAATGATCTCCAACTGATCTTGACTGCTCAGGGATAGCTCGTGCTCCGATGCCAAACCCAGCCTAGAGGAGGCTCTGCAAATGTGTTCAGGGACACTGTGATTGGCAAACTCTGACACTCTTGGATACTTTTGGATACTTTTGGAGTCTTGAGCTAATGTTTGACAGTTTTGTTATGTGATGAGTTGAAACTCTGCTGTGCAATCTTGCAGCAGATGCTTTTCCAGCTTCTGATATTTAATGTGTTGAATGTCCTTTTTTATTCACTTTTCTCTTTCAGTCAGTGTCTTTGCATGTCGTTGTCAAAACATGATGTTTGTTTCCAAGCTTCCATGGAAGAGGCTGTACCTTCCAAAGAGGCTGAAGAAGCATCCGACGAGAAGAGGCGTGAGCCGTTCTTTGTATTGAGGTGTCTGGCTGTCTGGCTGTTGTGAACGAGCACCACTACCATGCAAAGCTTCCAAGTTTGGCATCAAAATGATCAAAATGATCTCCAACTGATCTTGACTGCTCAGGGATAGCTCGTGCTCCGATGCCAAACCCAGCCTAGAGGAGGCTCTGCAAATGTGTTCGGGGACACTGTGATTGGCAAACTCTGACACTTTTGGATACTTTTGGATACTTTTGGAGTCTTGAGCTAATGTTTGACAGTTTTGTTATGTGATGAGTTGAAACTCTGCTGTGCAATCTTGCAGCAGATGCTTTTCCAGCTTCTGATATTTAATGTGTTGAATGTCCTTTTTGATTCACTTTCCTCTGTCAGTCAGTGTCTTTGCATGTCGTTGTCAAAACATGATGTTTGTTTCCAAGCTTCCATGGAAGAGGCTGTACCTTCCAAAGAGGCTGAAGAAGCATCCGACGAGAAGAGGCGTGAGCCGTTCTTTGTATTGAGGTGTCTGGCTGTTGTGAATGAGCACCACTACCATGCAAAGCTTCCAAGTTTGCATCAAACTGATCAAAATGATCTCCAACTGATCTTGACTGCTCAGGGATAGCTCGTGCTCCGATGCCAAACCCGGTCTGGAGGAGGCTCTGCAAATGTGTTCGGGGACACTGTGATTGGCAAACTCTGACACTTTTGGATACTTTTGGATACTTTTGGAGTCTTGAGCCAATGTTTGACAGTTTTGTTATGTGATGAGTTGAAACTCTGCTGTGCAATCTTGCATCATATGCTTTTCCAGCTTCTGATATTTAATGTGTTGAATGTCCTTTTTGATTCATTTTTCTCTTTCAGTTAGTGTCTTCTGCATGTCGTTGTCAAAACATGATGTTTGTTTCCAAGCTTCCATGGAAGAGGCGGTACCTTCCAAAGAGGCTGAAGAAGCATCCGACGAGAAGAGGCGTGAGCCGTTCTTTGTATTGAGGTGTCTGGCTGTCTGGCTGTTGTGAATGAGCACCACTACCATGCAAAGCTTCCAAGTTTGGCATCAAAATGATCAAAATGATCTCCAACTGATCTTGACTGCTCAGGGATAGCTCGTGCTCCGATGCCAAACCCAGTCTGGAGGAGGCTCTGCCAATGTGTTCGGGGACACTGTGATTGGCAAACTCTGACACTTTTGGATACTTTTGGATACTTTTGGAGTCTTGAGCCAATGTTTGACAGTTTTGTTATGTGATGAGTTGAAACTTTGCTGTGCTATCTTGCATCAGATGCTTTTCCAGCTTCTGATATTTAATGTGTTGAATGTCCTTTTTGATTCACTTTCCTCTTTCAGTCAGTGTCTTCTGCATGTCGTTGTCAAAACATGATGTTTGTTTCCAAGCTTCCATGGAAGAGGCTGTACCTTCCAAAGAGGCTGAAGAAGCATCCGACGAGAAGAGGCGTGAGCCGTTCTTTGTATTGAGGTGTCTGGCTGTCTGGCTGTTGTGAACGAGCACCACTACCATGCAAAGCTTCCAAGTTTGGCATCAAAATGATCAAAATGATCTCCAACTGATCTTGACTGCTCAGGGATAGCTCGTGCTCCGATGCCAAACCCAGCCTAGAGGAGGCTCTGCAAATGTGTTCGGGGACACTGTGATTGGCAAACTCTGACACTTTTGGATACTTTTGGATACTTTTGGAGTCTTGAGCCAATGTTTGACAGTTTTGTTATGTGATGAGTTGAAACTCTGCAAGATTGCATCTTGCAGCAGATTTTTTTTCCAGCCTTTTTGGATATGGTATGTGTCCACTGAGTCCACCGCAACTCTCCAGGGCCCTTCGGAGGCTGTACCTTCCAAAGAGGCTGAAGCCTTCGGCGAGAGAAGGCCGGCTTCACCCAGCTGTTGTGAAAGAACTCAAATATCAGCTTCGGATCACTTTCCATATGGCTTTGTTGGCAATTTTTCTGGGAAAAAAATACGATAAAACTATAAAACAACGTTTTTTTTTTCTGGGATTTCCCATGTATTTTCAGACAAACCCATATCCTACTCTAACTTCTTCTTGTGCAAGTTTGAGGCACATTTTTTCAACAGGCCTGCGGTTCCTGACGCTGAAATCTTTGTGGAGGCGAGGGTATGTTGGAATTGGCCAATCACCAATTATATTACCCTCTGGTTATTTAATGATGTTGGATGATGGTTAATAGTATCTAATGATGGTTAATAATGGATTGTAATGGATGATAATAATGGATTATAATTGATAGTAAACAATTACCCTCTGGTTATTTAACATAGCCATGGTATAGATGGCCCATTTATAGATGGTTTACCTGGGTTTACCTATTAGAAATGGTGATTTTCCATGGCTATGTTAAATAACCAGATGGTATATTGGTTAGTATAATCCTTGAACTAATCATCAACCATATTCAACCAATGAAAAGTTACCAGTTATATCCACTGAAAAATCCCCCTGTTTGATGGTTAAAACCTCGATTGTCGAAGGAAGTTTAGAAGTCAAACTTCCGACGATATGGACAGATGGAAAAACAGAGGTGGGAAGAGTCAGCGAAGAGAAAGAGTCAGTAGAAAGAACATCAGAGAAGAGAAACAGTCAGAAGAAAGAAGATGCCGGTGGGCGAAAAGGTAGAAAAGTCGCGAAACACAGTGTTTTTCCAATGTTTTGTGGCTCCGGAGGGTCTAAAAGTAGGCTCGCTAAAGGGTGCGGAGCCATTTGGGCAGATGAAAGATGAACAATTGCGCGCCGTTGTGGTGCGAAGCACGTTTCCGCGTCAAAATGCCAAAAGAACCACTTTGGAGGTTGAGATGTCGAAAAAGTGCACGCCGTTTTGGCGCGAAGCAAACTTCGAAGTCAAACCGTTAAAAACACCAGGGGTTCGGACCACTTTTGGACATTGAACTGCGCCACGCTACACCACACTACACCACACTACACCACACTCACACTACACCACACTACAGCTACGGCTACAGCTACAGCTACAGCTACAACAACAACAACGACAACGACAAGGACAACGACAACTGCAACTGCAACTACAAGTACAACTACAGCTACTACAGCTACAAGAACTACAACTACAACTGCAACTACAATTACAACTACAACAGCAATAACTACAGCCACAACTACAACTACATTACGCTACAGCTACAGCTACAGGTACAGCTACAGCTCCAACTCCAACTCCAACTCTACACGACACTACACGACGCTACACGACACTACAACTACAACTACAACCGCGACTAACTGCAACTGCAGCTACCGCTACAACTCCACTACTCTCCACTCTCCACTCTCCACTTCACCACACTACCACTACACCAAACTACAACTACAACTACAACTGTACATGGCACTACACTACACCACACTACATCCAGCAGTTGTGGTTGAGGAGGCCACTGCAACCACTCCCAAAAAACACAACGCGAACCAACTTTCGGTCCATCTTTGACACTTCCGCCACCGCCTTGCGCGGTACTACTGGAATACTCAATACCAGACGCGATCAGTTTATTGAAACCCCCAAACCGATTTTTAAGTCCTTCTTAACTCATCATTATTTTAGAATCGGATTTTCCATTTCCATTTTTTTAAGGGTTTGCTATAGCCAATTTAAAAGCGCACAATTTTCCAAGCGGAAAATAACCACAGGAACCTTGGCTGCGCCTGGATTGCGCCAACTCGTGCAGCTCTCAGGGAGGGCTGAAGGACCCCATTTTGGCAGTTGCAGCCCTTACCCTCTGAGTATTTACCATAGCCATTGCATGGATGGTCCATTTATAGATAACCATGATTATTTACATCTTGAACATGGTGATTTTCCAGTTCGCTGTGTTGAAGAATTAGAGGCTACTATATTTCCCCATGAGCAGATGGGGATAGATGGGGTATATCGCTAGATAACATTTAATAATGAAGTTGAGATGTAATGCATACTTGTAAGATCTTGTAAGATTTTGATTCTGTTACCTAGAGGAAAATGGTCACTTAGAAAATTTCATGTTCCCAAGACATTTTTCACCATCACTGGCTGACTGGCTTCAGGTTTCTCCAGCAGCGTCTACAGGAGGATCTGGCATCACTGGAGGATGCCGTGGGACGCATCGGCGACTTCCACGAGGAACCATCCAGGTGGAAGTTGCCTGGATTTTGGTCGATTTTTGTCCAAAACAGATTGGGGATCCAGGAGAACTATGATTCTTCGGATGTGAAGCATGTTTGACCAGCAAAAATTGTGAGTTGAGCAAAAACAGAAAAAAATCAAGCAGCAAAAATTGCAAATATGGCTGCGTGTAGGCACATGTGGGCAATTGTCTTGGAAGATCCAGGAAGATCTAAATCAGAATCCCAATTCTTCCAGATTCTTGGTTGATCCCACATTCTGTTGGGGGGTCTCCATGGTATCCTCTGAAGTCATTGTGAGAAGTCAGCAGCACCAGGTGTACTTCACCAATGGAGGCGACTTTTGGAGCCCTGCGGGCGCGATTGCAGGACATTGCAACTGCTGAAAGGCACAGCGAGATGCATGAACATTCATATTGAATTTAGATCAGATGTAGTAAAACCATGTAAAACCCAAACTATAAAATCCATAAACCATCCAGAAACCATTCAGAGATTTTCTCAGAAATGACTTGGTAGAATCCCCGCTAGGAGATGACTTGGGATAGTTATTGTGGCACCACATCTCTGAGAGGACAATCTGCGAGAGGAAGAGTTCACTCGCTTCCTGGATGTCTTGAAGGGACAGGCAGAAAAGTGCAGAAAAGTCGAAGACAGTTGGATGATTTTGTCGCCATGTTTTGTTCAATGATATAAACCATAGTCCATAGTCCTTGTCATGATTATGATAATCATGATCATGATAACAACAATAGCAATAACAACAACAATAATAGTACTAGTAGTAACAACAATAGTAGTAATAGTAACAAATCAATAATAATTATAATCATCATCATCAGTATCATGGTTATTGATGGTTATTGTGACTCTTGCTCTTATTTGACGATGATGGTGACCATGATCTCTGAAATTTAGGCCTTGCAAAATCGGCAGGTGGATCGCCCGGAGCCGTGCTTCACGGCCACCCAGTGTAGCTTTCCGGTGGCCCAGCGAAGTTTGTTTCTCTGGGAATGGGTCAAAATTTCCTGCCCAAAACCGCAGATTCTGTTCTTTTTTTGTTAAACAGCCAACTTTTAAGAGGTCGAATTTTGACCTACCCATTTTGATGCCTTAGGTCTGCTGTAAGTTGACTTCTTACAGCAGATTGGTAGTAAATGATCAGCGTGGCTCAGTAGTTACCCCCGCATGAAAGTGATTCCATCTGTTATCAAACTGGTCAGAAAGGTCGTTGATGAATTGCGACGGTTGCCCCCCCAAACCAGGTATTCGTTCCCTAACAACATGGCACAGTTTCTGTCGATGGAGATATGATTTGCCATTTGAAGAGCAGGCTTAAGCATTCATGTTCGGAGTTGTCTCAAAATTTGGAGCCCCCAAATCTCATGGGTTGATCATCCGGAAAATCCATGAAAATCCTATGGCTTCTCATCATTTTCCGCATTGAAATGGGCATCTGAAAAACCCTCGTGGGGCGGGCTGAAAGCTTCAGGCCTGGACGAGCGGACCCTGTCAGCATCCCTACGAGGGGATGAACTGATCTCAGAGTCAGATGTGGCCACAGATGGAGTTGGATGAGATGGAAGCCATTCATTTTACCCTCTGGTTATGACATTCACAGTTTGCCATAGAAAATCACCATTTGTAATAGGTAAAACATCTATAAATCTATGGGCCATCGAAAAACCATGGCTAATTATGTGAATGTCATAACCAGAGGGTAATAGTCATCATAGTCATCATAGTCATCAATCCACCCCAGTTTGGGGATGTGATCATGGCACAGCTGTCTTGATCAACTTGATTTTGGCATCTTTTTGGGCTTACGACAGCTGGATTTCTGGCAGAAATGCTGCGAGGCCGCTGCCGGAGCTTCCAATTTTAGGATCGCTCCGACTACGGGAAGCTTCACAGGCGAAAGAAAGGGGGCACCTGATGTTCAACGTGACATGGACCTATGATGCAATGGAGCTGACTTGATATAGTTTCTAACTATGGCAAAGCTGGCTTGAATTCTGTGGTGTGCCCAAGTTTTCCATCAATTCTTTCCTTCAGTAGGTGCCATCGCAATGCAGAGTGCCGCGAGCGCCGCGGGCGCTGCAGTTCACGGTGCCTCACATGGACTTCGGTAGAGCTGCGGATGTCGGGGGCTCAGTGTGGTGATTGATGTTTGGGTTTGGGGTGAAAAATGGGTAGATTTCCGTGATTTTTTCCATCCCAAATCCACTGGTTATAGAAGATTATTGGTGTTAATTGATGTTAATTCATGAGATTCAAGAATTCTGATGGCCATAAATCAGTCTTTTTTCAGTACACTTCAGCATCTTTGGTACTACTACACCCAATTTTCACACAGCGGCATCGCAGCTGTTGGACGCCGCAAAGATCCTTGTCACAGCGGGGCCAGTAGATTCGTGCGGAGTAGCCACATTTGATACCCTTTGGTAAACATCCAAAAAGCTATTGAACATGGTCATTTATAGTTGATTTACCCAGCTAGAAAATGGTGATTTTCCATCGTTTTTTGTATCTTTACCAGAGGGTATAAGGCAGGAATGCATGCGATCTTGCCAGGGGTTCAGTATCTTCAAGTCCGATACCCTCTGATTTGCTGAAACCTGGTTTTCCGAGATCCACACCAAGTTAAAAAACCTCATTTTTTCAGATTTTTCCATTTTTTAACCCATCATTAAATGATGAAGACCATGGGAAATAGATGCTTTCCCCAGGTTTTAATTAATCGTGGGAACCCAGGTTTCTATTAAACTCACCATTAAAATAGATGCTTCCCCCATTATCTTTCCCAGCTAGAAACCTCCATTTTCTGTGGGATTTCCCAGCGGAGCTGATTTCCCGAAGTATTTTGAGGCAGTCCTGGAGTTCTCCTATGCTGGTGTTCATCGGCAAGAAGCCGTGACCAAGTCTGACTCCCCATGGCCAGTTTTCCCGCAGTTTGCCAAGCAGTTTTCGGCCTTTGATGAACTTGAAACCAGGAGAATTCGTTTTTTTGATTATCTTGGATAATCTTGGATGATGTTGGATGGTTTGGATTGGATCAGATTGGATGATTTCATATCGATCTTGGATGATATAGGATGATATTGGAAGATACAGTAGTGGATTTTGATGATATTGGACGATATTGGATGATGGTAAGAAATGCGTGACAACCCAAAGCCCGGAGTCAAGATGCCCTAGGTTGTTGGAGAACAGGCACATGGCAGGGGCATGATGTCGAGCAGCAGTTTCCCACGACTGGGTGGGAAAGATCTGGGGAAAGTTACAGAAATTCGATGGTTTAGAACATCATGTCCCCTACTGAAGTAACTAAAGTTACTAAAGTCATCTTGAATATAGCAATTGTATGGAGATACACCATATTTTCAGCCCAGTTTGATTCATTGATCGATTAATCATCGCTGTGCCATGTTCTCTACAGTATGCCCCAAACAAGTATACTCCAAAGTCACCAGCAAAGTGATGAGTATATTCCAAATTCACCATCGGACTGCTAGTTTGCACCATCCAGACCCCTTTGGTTTTCAGGCCCTTGCTGCTGCCACTGACAGATGCCAAGAAAAGCTGCAGATCGCTGGGCAGGCGGAGTTAACTGGACCATGGATGACCTTGGATGGAGTTTCTGATCATGAGCCCTTAATTCTGGCTGATCCATTGATCACCCATTGATCCATAGGTCAATGGCTATGATTCATCATCCCAGATGGAAACTGAGGAAATTGCTGCCATGATGCCAGGCAGGGCATCCACGTCTCCCTTTTGCGACTCTGCGAAACGGCCAACTTTGTGCTGTGGGGCCCTCACTGCTCCCGGGAATTTCGATGGGATTCTTTTTTTCGGGGCCATATGGGTCTGAAAACCTTGAGAAAACTCTCAAAGTTGATGGTTGACCATGATTTTCACATATTTTCACCAAACATCCCATGGATTTTGGGGCTATAGCATGGTAGACCCTATTTCCAAACACAGTCAGAGGGTGTTTTCGGGTAGATTTGAGGCACCCTGGCTGTTCGGTCTACACCTGGAGCTCTGGGTTGGGAGCCTAGGAGATAATCAGCTGCAGGGAGATTTATGGTAGAATATGTCGCATTCAACATCTCATAAATCCGGGGCTTCCAAAGTGGAAAAACTATGAAACCTCTGAGTTTGAATGGACAAAAGTTTTTTTTTTTCATGGTCGGATTGGATATTTTGATGGATGATCGATGCCGTAGGCCCACTAAGATTGGCTTCCGGCTGTCTGACCCTAAGTGCTGTGGTGGAAGCCGTGGGTCTCCGACTTCGGATGTTTGGTGTTTCGCTGGAGTCCAAGGTCGGGACGGGAGACGCGGAGCAAGGCGGGTGCGGGCAGCCCGGCCAAGCTCGATGGCTTTTCTGTTTGAAAACATGGTGAATTTGATGGCATCAGCTGCCAGGACATGATGCAGTGGCACATGAGGCAGAGAGATCCAGGGGATCCAGGGAGGGGGGATCTGGGAAGCTTCACTTTGATGACTTTCATGTTTGGAAGTAGCAACTCGCACCATATTTGGAGACTGGACAGGTACATTGCAGGGCTGCTGGAAGCAACTCTCCTTGAGAGGCGAGATGTGCGAAAACTTCGATTTGCAACTCATCTCATGCGGTTTTTTCATGAACTTTCCAAGCTTTGGGGCTCTGGTTATGTCAAAATAGATATTGAACATTATTGAACATGGTCATAGAAATCGTTGATCTATCTGGTACAAATGGTGATTTTCCAGTTCGCAAACTCTAAACGTTTCTGCTGGTCAGGCCAAAGAATCCCTTCAGTTTCATGGCAGACTTGGTCGCGTGCTGCCAGGAGGTGGGAAGACAATGATGGGACATCCCCTTCCGATTTTTCAGCCTACTCTCTGGTATAAACGTTTACAGTTTGCGAACTTGAACATGGCCATAGAAATAGTGAGTTTTACCATTAAACATGGTGATTTCCCATCGTTTTTTGTATGTTTACCAGAGATGGTAAATATCCCCAAATAGTGGAGGAGACTGGGAAGGACCACATAAAAAATGATGAAAAAAGACAGAGATCAGTCGTAAAAATCATGACTTTTCCGTGACTTTTACTCTCGGTTCTCACGGGAATGACCCAACTCCAGTGGTGAATCATGTTCAATCATCAGATTCCCAGAGATTTTCCAGATATTCCCACGTGTTCCCCATTTTTCATAGCCTAAAATTGATGTCCCCCACATTGTCCACACAAAAAAATGTCAGCACTATCACCATTCATCATATCATCCCCTATTTTTCACCTACTGGTTGATGGTTGAACCGTGTTCACCCTCTATTTTCAGGCCTTAGCCATCCTTAATCCCTGAGGCGCCAGAAACCGCCAGAAATCGTTCCATGTTTTTTTCCACCTGTCCAACAGGTTCCCAAGGAAACCGGCCTGGAGGGTGCGCGATGCTTCCACCTGCTCTGGGCTGAAGGGTTTGGATCGCCCAGCTGGTCCTGCGATGGGCCAGTGATGAAGCCATGCATTGGGGGATGGTCATGAAAACTCCAGCGTTTTTTCATGTGAAAAATCAGTAGAAAAAAACCAACTTAAATGGGTATTCCCATCATGGGAGGGTGACATGAACATCAATGAAGCCATTTTCATGGGGGATTGATTCAGAACAACAGATTAGGGATTCCCCATGGCATGTTATCGGATGACCATCAACTACCATCTTTTTGACCGCATTTTTCTGGGATGAAAACCTATCAACCAAACTGGGATGAACATATCTGTACACACTATTGGGATCTATGGGGGATTCTTTTGTTTGGGATTGTTTGATGCTTTCGGGACAAACCTTACATCCGTTCATCATCATCCGTTAATCCGACAGTTTGGTATGGTATATCCTACAGGCAAAGCTTTTTAAATGGTCATCTGCGGGTCGACATTTTTTGACATTTTGTGAGGGACCATTTACGTGAACATCATGAACCTCGGGACCACCATAGGAGCTAAAATCCACTGGCTTCAAGCCATTGCTTTCAGGTTGCCTCCACAAGCGTTGGTTTCGGTACGATGTGGTCAGAAGTCTCGACAGGTCTGATGGGCCTGGGTTTGTGGCTTCCAGTTGGTTTCACCAATACTAGAAATACATAGAAGTACTCCACTGGGAAATGAAATTAAGATAATTAAGGTCATAAGGTCACATATGGCTATGGATCAATACCTATACATACCAATTTTTAGTGGGATGAACATCCATTTACCAGCTATTTTGATGTGAACAAAAGGGGTACAAGGTTTTGACCCACTGCCATATTGGAAAGTCACAACAAAATCCGACGGGTTTTTCCGAGCCAGGCCTCGGTGGAAGATCTCCTTGCTGGCCGGAAGAGGTTGGGTTCTCTAAAATTGTCGGCTGGATGGGTCCAGATCTCCATGTCTCCAGACTTTTTTGCATGGGAACATGGTGATTTCATTATAAAACAGGTGGAGTTAAGATATGTTAAGATGATTTAGATCCAGCTATAGCTGTTGTTTTAGAGACACTTCTGATCTCGCTTTGGATGAGACGGACAGGCTCGAGATTGGCGAAGGCTCGCTGGTGCAGGCCAGGTCTGGATGTATCCCCCCAAAAAAGATCCCATATTTTTCATGGCCATAAATTTGTTCGGCATCTCCGAACGATGCTCGATTCTCAGATTTCCGCGGGCTTCTGACAGAAATTTTTGGCTTCTGACTGATCCAGGTGCAGGTGTTGGTGAGAGAATCCATGATGGGTTTACCTCCACCGTCGCTTGGCTCAAAAAATCTGGCTATTTGTTGAAGGGGATTCAGCTGGCTTTTTTTCATCCCAAGGTTTGTGGAGGAGCAACTGCATCAAGTTCAGTTCCCTAGGCCGGAGATTTGTCCATTTTTTTCTGAGTTCCACTGGACAAATCCGTTGTTACTTAAGGGAAGTTCAAGGGAATATTTTTGGGATTTATCACGGGGTCATTTTCCAATCACTACGCACTTGAACAATTGGATTTCCCAATTTCTTGTTTTTTTTTTTTCGGATTTTCAATCGTTTTCCAGTCATTTAAGTGTCTCTCAAAATCAGGTTATGCGGTATACCCTATCTGGTTGCCATTGAATGGGAAAGAATGGAACCACACTCTTCAGGGTTTTCCCATCATTTTTCCAGAAACCTATTTATGAATCCCCGCTCATAGCTCATTGAATCTCAGTTTTTTCGTGTTTTAAACCATCAATATATCACTAGATTCCCATTTTGTATGGTGAAATTCCCAATTAAGTTGCATAGCAATGGAACATCACCATGTTTCGGCGGCCTCGCACTCCATGGGGGAATTGAACGATCAAAACATGTTCCCTCCAAGCAGGATGTTCGCCCTCCCAATCATGTCACCCATCATGATAATATGTTGAATGGGTTATTTACCCTCTGGTAAACTAACATAGCTATTGAAAATGACCATTTATAGTGGATTTACCCATTAACTAGACGACGGATGGCCCGAGAGCGTAGAGGAGCAGGGTCTTCTGTTGTTAGTATGGAGACACCATATTAGAAACAATATATTAAAGATGTGTGATATGCAGTCGAGAAGAGGAGTATTAAGACAAAATAGTAGAAGTGCAAGACAATAGTTTGCATCGCAAACACTTTTACACACAAAAGCTTTTACACACAGAAGCTTTTACACACAGACGCTTTTACACAGACACTTTTACACACAAAGTTTTTACCCACAGAAGTTTTTACATACAGAAGCTTTTACACACAAACGCTTTTACACAGATGCTTTTACACACAGACACTTCTACACAGACACTTTTACACAAAGCTTTTACCCACAGAAGCTTTTGCATACAGAAGCTTTTACACACATACGCTTTTACACAGATGCTTTTACACAGACACTTTTACACACAGACACTTTTACACACAGACACTTTTAACAAAGAGCCTTTTACACACAGGAGCTTTTACACACAGAAACATTTACACGCAGACGCTTTTACACACAAACACTTTTACACACAAACATCTTTACACAGCACTCTTACACACAAACCCGTTTACACAGACACACTTTTACACACAGAAGCTTTTACACACAGACACTTTTACACAGATGCACTTTTACACACAAACACTTTTACACACAAACATCTTTACACAGAAACACTTTTACACACAAACACTTTTACACACAAACATCTTTACACAGAAACACTCTTACACACAAACCCGTTTACACACAAAGACTTTTACACACAGAAGCTTATACACACACATTGCCGCTGTCACACAGAAACACCTTTTACACAGAAACCCTTCTGCACTCACACCACTTTACACAGAGACGCTTTAACACACAAACCCTTTTACACACAGACACGTTTACACACAAAAGCTTTTACACACAAACCCTTTTACACAGATTCACTTTTACACACAAACACTTTTACACACAAACATCTTTACACAGAAACACTCTTACACACAAACCCGTTTACACACAAAGACTTTTACACACAGAAGCTTTTACACACAGACACTTTTACACAGATGCTCCGGGACAAGTAAAATCGCAATTTTACCTCATTTTTTGACGATCAACACTCATTTCGTGCGAAAGGGTTGCTCCGGGACAAGTAAAATCGCAATTTTACCTCAGTTTTTGACGATCAACACTCATTTCGTGCGAAAGGGTTGCTCCGGGACAAGTAAATTCGCAATTTTACTTCAGTTTTTGACGATCGACGCTCATTTCGTGTGAAAGAGTTGCTCCGGGACAAGTAAAATTGCAATTTTACCTCAGTTTTTGACGATCGACGCTCATTTCGTGCGAAAGGGTTGCTCCGGGACAAGTAAACTCGCAATTTTACTTCAGTTTTGGCCGATCGAACCTCATTTCGTGCGAAAGGGTTGCTCCGGCACAAGTAAAATTGCAATTTTTCCTCAGTTTTGGCCGATCGAACCTCATTTCGTGCGAAAGGGTTGCTCCGGCACAAGTAAAATCGCAATTTTACTTCAGTTTTTGATGATCGACTCTCATTTCGTGCGAAAAGGTTGCTCCAGGACAAGTAAAATCGCAATTTTACTTCAGTTTTTGCCGATCGACCCTCATTTCGTGCGAAAGGGTTGCTCCAGGACAAGTAAAATCGCAATTTTACCTCAGTTTTTGCCGATCGACCCTCATTTCGTGCGAAAGGGTTCACGTTTCGTGACTCCCCGCCGGCACCACCCTCGGCCTAACGAGAGAAAGATAAAGAAGGCGAGAGAGAGAAAAGGGAGAGAGAAAGGAGAGAGAGAAAGGAGAGAGGAAAGAGGAGAGAGAGAGAGAGAGAGAAAGGAGAGAGGAAAGAGGAGAGAGAGAGAGAGAAAGGAGAGAGGAAAGAGGAGACAGAGAGAGAGAGAGAGTGAGTATGTGAAGGTGTGAAGGTGTGAAGGTGTGAAGGTGTGAGTGCGAGTGCGAGAGAGAGAGAGAGAGAGAGAGAAAGAGAAGGTGTGAGTATGTGAAGATGTGAAGATGAGCAGTTGTGAAGATGAGAAGATATGAAGATAAGAAGATGTGAAGATGAGCAGATGTGAAGATGAGCAGATGTGAAGATGAGAAGATGTGAAGATGAGAAGATGTGAAGATGAGAAGGTGTGAAGATGAGAAGATGTGAAGATGAGAAGATGTGAAGATGAGCAGATGTGAAGATGAGAAGATGTGAAGATGAGAAGATGTGAGAGAAGGTGTGAAGATGAGAAGATGAGATACAGACCCCCACTAGACTATTGGAAGAACCCTGCGCTCAGACGCTCTCGGGAAAAATATTGAAACATATTGAAAAATATTGAAAAATACTCTCGGACTGGCTGACAAGTGCTGAGCCTGTCCTTTCCCGCAGCCTGTGCTGAAGCTATGGCCACTGCTGCTTTGGACTCCTCAAGTTCTGTTGTCAGAGTAGCCTCAAATGCTTGCGCTTCTTGTAGCTTTGTTTGTGTTGCAGCTTCAGATGCCAGTACTTGCGTGAGCCTCGCTTGTAAAGTATCGCTGGCTTCTGCTTGTTCATCTAACAATTGCCTTTGTTGATAAAGTTGGTCTTCAAGCGATGCTGATGTGTTCTTCTGTTCTTCCAAGGCTTTCTCCAGGGCTGTCTTTGACGCCTCCAAGGAATTTGCAGCTGATTTGGCGGTCTCCAGCTCTTTTTGCAGAGCTTCCTGCCAAACTGGATTAACCCAACAAGTGTATGCGCACAAGCCAACTCAACACTAACCAAGACACTTGATACATTCACGTTGTATCACTATTTCAAAATATTTCGAATGCCTTTGGATCGTTTAAGCGCGACGCCCATCAGAAACCACGAAAAGACTTTCATGGAGTTCCAAGATAGCCTGGATCATCGACCTAGGACTTGTTCAATTCATTTCGTATCATGGAATCAGAGGAAAGATCCTCAAACCAAATCGTCCAAATACATCCAAATACCAGGCAACCATTCTAAGAGTTCTAGTCAAAGGAGACCTTTGGACTCATCCCCATCTGTGGGAACATCTAACTAGGTGGCCTTGCTTGCTGACACTATTTACTGAGGAAACCGCTGCCATCTCAATATGTCGAAATTGGGTACCAAAGAATTGGATGATGCAACAGTTGCTGATGATCAGCACTTTAACCGGACAGCTCTTGTGGTATCCTGACACCCAATGTGAAACATATTAAATATTGAAAAAATATTGAAAAATACTCTCGGACTGGCTGACAAGTGCTGAGCCTGTCCTTTCCCGCAGCCTGTGCTGAAGCTATGGCCACTGCTGCTTTGGACTCCTCAAGTTCTGTTGTCAGAGTAGCCTCAAATGCTTGCGCTTCTTGTAGCTTTGTTTGTGTTGCAGCTTCAGATGCCAGTACTTGCGTGAGCCTCGCTTGTAAAGTATCGCTGGCTTCTGCTTGTTCATCTAACAATTGCCTTTGTTGATAAAGTTGGTCTTCAAGCGATGCTGATGTGTTCTTCTGTTCTTCCAAGGCTTTCTCCAGGGCTGTCTTTGACGCCTCCAAGGAATTTGCAGCTGATTTGGCGGTCTCCAGCTCTTTTTGCAGAACTTCCTGCCAAACTGGATTAACCCAACAAGTGTATGCGCACAAGCCAACTCAACACTAACCAAGACACTTGATACATTCACGTTGTATCACTATTTCAAAATATTTCGAATGCCTTTGGATCGTTTAAGCGCGACGCCCATCAGAAACCACGAAAAGACTTTCATGGAGTTCCAAGATAGCCTGGATCATCGACCTAGGACTTGTTCAATTCATTTCGTATCATGGAATCAGAGGAAAGATCCTCAAACCAAATCGTCCAAATACATCCAAATACCAGGCAACCATTCTAAGAGTTCTAGTCAAAGGAGACCTTTGGACTCATCCCCATCTGTGGGAACATCTAACTAGGTGGCCTTGCTTGCTGACACTATTTACTGAGGAAACCGCTGCCATCTCAATATGTCGAAATTGGGTACCAAAGAATTGGATGATGCAACAGTTGCTGATGATCAGCACTTTAACCGGACAGCTCTTGTGGTATCCTGACACCCAATGTGAAACATATTAAATATTGAAAAAATATTGAAAAATACTCTCGGACTGGCTGACAAGTGCTGAGCCTGTCCTTTCCCGCAGCCTGTGCTGAAGCTATGGCCACTGCTGCTTTGGACTCCTCAAGTTCTGTTGTCAGAGTAGCCTCAAATGCTTGCGCTTCTTGTAGCTTTGTTTGTGTTGCAGCTTCAGATGCCAGTACTTGCGTGAGCCTCGCTTGTAAAGTATCGCTGGCTTCTGCTTGTTCATGGGATGTAGCTGGGTCTTTTTGTGCTCTGGTGGCCGATCCTTTTGGCTCAGCCGGTGCAGTTGCAACAGCAGAGGGCATTTGCTTGGGAGCTGCTGTGCTCTTGGCTTGGGCTGCTTCTTTTTGGACTCCTACCATGGATCGCAACTCCTGCATTTCTCCTGCAGTCATGCCCTTCCGCTCTGACACAAAGACACTGCGACAAACACCTTTGACAGAAGCTATCTCTGCTGCGTCATCCTCCACCAAAGCAGCCTCGTTCGTGCTCAGACCTGCCTGAGACATCAGTGCTTGAATCAGATTTACCTTCATGTCTGGAAGTTGACAGTCTGGAGTACCTTCCAACTCGGATGGCTGCTTGTTCTCTTGATCGAACTCAGACTCACCATAGAACTGGCCCAACATGCCAAAGACCTTCTCGAAAAATCCCAGTAGACCCTCTTCTTGGAGTAAAAAGCGGCAGGCACCCACATTGCCCTTGGTTATGATTGTGAGCTTGGCGCCAGCTGCTTTCAAATCGGAGAAAAAAACACGTAGCTCTTCCACTCGGTCAGGTCCTGCCCAATGTGCTACCGTCACCCGGCCAAAAAGAAGAAACACCCAATATGGAGAAAACACACATCCAACTCATCCAACGAACTAGCCTTGATGCATGTTCAATATCATTCATATCGAACTCAAAAAGAAGAAACACCAATGGAGAAAACACACACTGATCCAATGAAAAAATGAGACCCTGAAAGGAGCAAAATCAAGTTAGGTCAACAAAGATGTATCAGTTGAACAGTAACCAAAAAGACACGAGGCGTCGCATACTCTCACTTGCTTTCAGTACGCATCATAGCAACAGACTCCAACACAAACTAGTCTCAGGAACAACCACAAACAATTGCTTCAATTGCCTCAAATCAACGCTGTAGAATTTCAGTTTGAGTTTGGATTCAAATGTGTAAAGGAGGAGTGTGCAAGAACAATATGAAGGAGATTCAAATTCCTCACAAGTTCAGACTCTCAGAAAGGTCCTCCCAAAGCACCAGCTGTCCACGATGCAGCCCCCTTCACACCAGCTGGACAAGGCACCACATGGCCATTGGGCTGGTACTGATACTGAGTTGAATCATTCAGAAGCTTCAACCGATGAATCTGTCCCCGTTCCGACAAAGAATGTTGTCCTGCAACACCAGGCTCCCATCCAGCCAGTTGCTTGAAGACGTGCACTTTGGAAATCGTCTGGTCGAAATCAAAATACACATGCTTCACCGATGAAGACGCCTCTTTCGCAACTTTTGGCTCAGCCGGTGCAGTTGCAACAGCGGAGGGCATTTGCTTGGGAGCTGCTGTGCTCTTGGCTTGGGCTGCTTCTTTTTGGACTCCTACCATGGATCTCAACTCCTGCATTTCTCCTGCAGTCATGCCCTTCCGCTCTGACACAAAGACACTGCGACAAACACCTTTGACAGAAGCTATCTCTGCTGCATCATCCTCCACCAAAGCAGCCTCGTTCGTGCTCAGACCTGCCTGAGACATCAGTGCTTGAATCAGATTTACCTTCATGTCTGGAAGTTGACAGTCTGGAGTACCTTCCAACTCGGATGGCTGCTTGTTCTCTTGATCGAACTCAGACTCACCATAGAACTGGCCCAACATGCCAAAGACCTTCTCGAAAAATCCCAGTAGACCCTCTTCTTGGAGTAAAAAGCGGCAGGCACCCACATTGCCCTTGGTTATGATTGTGAGCTTGGCGCCAGCTGCTTTCAAATCGGAGAAAAAAACACGTAGATCTTCCACTCGGTCAGGTCCTGCCCAATGTGCTACCGTCACCCGGCCAAAAAGAAGAAACACCCAATATGGAGAAAACACACATCCAACTCATCCAACGAACTAGCCTTGATGCATGTTCAATATCATTCATATCGAACTCAAAAAGAAGAAACACCAATGGAGAAAACACACACTGATCCAATGAAAAAATGAGACCCTGAAAGGAGCAAAATCAAGTTAGGTCAACAAAGATGTATCAGTTGAACAGTAACCAAAAAGACACGAGGCGTCGCATACTCTCACTTGCTTTCAGTACGCATCATAGCAACAGACTCCAACACAAACTAATCTCAGGAACAACCACAAACAATTGCTTCAATTGCCTCAAATCAACGCTGTAGAATTTCAGTTTGAGTTTGGATTCAAATGTGTAAAGGAAGGAGTGTGCAAGAACAATATGAAGGAGATTCAAATTCCTCACAAGTTCAGACTCTCAGAAAGGTCCTCCCAAAGCACCAGCTGTCCACGATGCAGCCCCCTTCACACCAGCTGGACAAGGCACCACATGGCCATTGGGCTGGTACTGATACTGAGTTGAATCATTCAGAAGCTTCAACCGATGAATCTGTCCCCGTTCCGACAAAGAATGTTGTCCTGCAACACCAGGCTCCCATCCAGCCAGTTGCTTGAAGACGTGCACTCTGGAAATCGTCTGGTCGAAATCAAAATACACATGCTTCACCGATGAAGACGCCTCTTTCGCAACTTTTGGCTCAGCCGGTGCAGTTGCAACAGCGGAGGGCATTTGCTTGGGAGCTGCTGTGCTCTTGGCTTGGGCTGCTTCTTTTTGGACTCCTACCATGGATCTCAACTCCTGCATTTCTCCTGCAGTCATGCCCTTCCGCTCTGACACAAAGACACTGCGACAAACACCTTTGACAGAAGCTATCTCTGCTGCGTCATCCTCCACCAAAGCAGCCTCGTTCGTGCTCAGACCTGCCTGAGACATCAGTGCTTGAATCAGATTTACCTTCATGTCTGGAAGTTGACAGTCTGGAGTACCTTCCAACTCGGATGGCTGCTTGTTCTCTTGATCGAACTCAGACTCACCATAGAACTGGCCCAACATGCCAAAGACCTTCTCGAAAAATCCCAGTAGACCCTCTTCTTGGAGTAAAAAGCGGCAGGCACCCACATTGCCCTTGGTTATGATTGTGAGCTTGGCGCCAGCTGCTTTCAAATCGGAGAAAAAAACACGTAGCTCTTCCACTCGGTCAGGTCCTGCCCAATGTGCTACCGTCACCCGGCCAAAAAGAAGAAACACCCAATATGGAGAAAACACACATCCAACTCATCCAACGAACTAGCCTTGATGCATGTTCAATATCATTCATATCGAACTCAAAAAGAAGAAACACCAATGGAGAAAACACACACTGATCCAATGAAAAAATGAGACCCTGAAAGGAGCAAAATCAAGTTAGGTCAACAAAGATGTATCAGTTGAACAGTAACCAAAAAGACACGAGGCGTCGCATACTCTCACTTGCTTTCAGTACGCATCATAGCAACAGACTCCAACACAAACTAGTCTCAGGAACAACCACAAACAATTGCTTCAATTGCCTCAAATCAACGCTGTAGAATTTCAGTTTGAGTTTGGATTCAAATGTGTAAAGGAGGAGTGTGCGAGAACATGAAGGAGATTCAAATTCCTCACAAGTTCAGACTCTCAGAACGGTCCTCCCAAAGCACCAGCTGTCCACGATGCAGCCCCCTTCACACCAGCTGGACAAGGCACCACATGGCCATTGGGCTGGTACTGATACTGAGTTGAATCATTCAGAAGCTTCAACCGATGAATCTGTCCCCGTTCCGACAAAGAATGTTGTCCTGCAACACCAGGCTCCCATCCAGCCAGTTGCTTGAAGACGTGCACTTTGGAAATCGTCTGGTCGAAATCAAAATACACATGCTTCACCGATGAAGACGCCTCTTTCGCAACTTTTGCCTCAGCCGGTGCAGCTGCAGTTTTAGCCTTCGGTGTGGCTTCTGCTTTGAAGACTCCACTGAAACCTTCCGGTGGTGGAGGCGGTGCTTTGCCCTTGGCTGCTGCATGACAAATTCCTGTGAAACCAGTGGGAGGTGGCGGCGGCACAGCTGCTGATTGCACTTTGGATGTTGCTGGAATTTCCTTGGGAGCTGCTGTGCTCTTGGCTTGGGCTACTTCTTTTTGGACTCCTACCATGGATCTCAACTCCTGCATTTCTCCTGCAGTCATGCCCTTCCGCTCTGACACAAAGACACTGCGACAAACACCTTTGACAGAAGCTATCTCTGCTGCGTCATCCTCCACCAAAGCAGCCTCGTTCGTGCTCAGACCTGCCTTAGACATCAGTGCTTGAATCAGATTTACCTTCATGTCTGGAAGTTGACAGTCTGGAGTACCTTCCAACTCGGATGGCTGCTTGTTCTCTTGATCGAACTCAGACTCACCATAGAACTGGCCCAACATGCCAAAGACCTTCTCGAAAAATCCCAGTAGATCCTCTTCTTGGAGTAAAAAGCGGCAGGCACCCACATTGCCCTTGGTTATGATTGTGAGCTTGGCGCCAGCTGCTTTCAAATCGGAGAAAAAAACACGTAGCTCTTCCACTCGGTCTGGTCCTGCCCAATGTGCTACCGTCACCCGACCAAAAAGAAGAAACACCAATGGAGAAAACACACACTGATCCAATGAAAAAATGAGACCCTGAAAGGAGCAAAATCAAGTTAGGTCAACAAAGATGTATCAGTTGAACAGTAACCAAAAAGACACGAGGCGTCGCACACTCTCACTTGCTTTCAGTACGCATCATAGCAACAGACTCCAACACAAACTAATCTCAGGAACAACCACAAACAATTGCTTCAATTGCCTCAAATCAACGCTGTAGAATTTCAGTTTGAGTTTGGATTCAAACGTTCAAAGAAGGATTGTGCAAGAACAGTATGAAGGAGACTGACGGAGGTATCAAATTCCTCAAAAGTTCAGACTCTCAGAACGGTCCTCCCAAAGCACCAGCTGTCCACGATGCAGCCCCCTTCACACCAGCTGGACAAGGCACCACATGGCCATTGGGCTGGTACTGATACTGAGTTGAATCATTCAGAAGCTTCAACCGATGAATCTGTCCCCGTTCCGACAAAGAATGTTGTCCTGCAACACCAGGCTCCCATCCAGCCAGTTGCTTGAAGACGTGCACTTTGGAAATCGTCTGGTCGAAATCAAAATACACATGCTTCACCGGTGAAGACGCCTCTTTCGCAACTTTTGGCTCAGCCGGTGCAGTTGCAACAGCGGAGGGCATTTGCTTGGGAGCTGCTGTGCTCTTGGCTTGGGCTGCTTCTTTTTGGACTCCTACCATGGATCTCAACTCCTGCATTTCTCCTGCAGTCATGCCCTTCCGCTCTGACACAAAGATACTGCGACAAACACCTTTGACAGAAGCTATCTCTGCTGCATCATCCTCCACCAAAGCAGCCTCGTTCGTGCTCAGACCTGCCTGAGACATCAGTGCTTGAATCAGATTTACCTTCATGTCTGGAAGTTGACAGTCTGGAGTACCTTCCAACTCGGATGGCTGCTTGTTCTCTTGATCGAACTCAGACTCACCATAGAACTGGCCCAACATGCCAAAGACCTTCTCGAAAAATCCCAGTAGACCCTCTTCTTGGAGTAAAAAGCGGCAGGCACCCACATTGCCCTTGGTTATGATTGTGAGCTTGGCGCCAGCTGCTTTCAAATCGGAGAAAAAAACACGTAGATCTTCCACTCGGTCAGGTCCTGCCCAATGTGCTACCGTCACCCGGCCAAAAAGAAGAAACACCCAATATGGAGAAAACACACATCCAACTCATCCAACGAACTAGTCTTGATGCATGTTCAATATCATTCATATCCAACTATACCGTCTCAAGAGGCATTCATTGCTGGCCCTTCTGTCAGCCGATCCAACAAGAATGAGCACCCTGAAAGGAGCAACATCAAGCTAGGCCAATAAAAATGTATCAGTTGAACAGTAACCAAAAAGACACGAGGGCTCGCACACTCTCGCTTGCTTTAAGTACACATCATAGCAACAGGCTCCAAAACTCACGGCTTCAAAACTCCCAAAGGAGCAAGTAAACACAACCAGTTTGGATTCAAACGTTCAAAGAAGGATTGTGCAAGAACAGTATGAAGGAGACTGACGGAGGTATCAAATTCCTCACAAGTTCAGACTCTCAGAAAGGTCCTCCCAAAGCACCAGCTGTCCACGATGCAGCCCCCTTCACACCAGCTCGACAAGGCACCACATGGCCATTGGGCTGGTACTGATACTGAGATGAATCATTCAGAAGCTTCAACCGATGAATCTGCCCCCGTTCCGACAAAGAATGTTGCCCTGCAACACCAGGCTCCCATCCAGCCAGTTGCTTGAAGACGTGCACTTTGGAAATCGTCTGGTCGAAATCAAAATACACATGCTTCACCGATGAAGACGCCTCTTTCGCAACTTTTGGCTCAGCCGGTGCAGCTGCAGCTTTAGCCTTCGGTGTGGCTTCTGCTTTGAAGACTCCACTGAAACCTTCCGGTGGTGGAGGCGGTGCTTTGCCCCTGGCGGCTGCATGACAAATTCCTGCGAAACCAGTGGGAGGTGGCGGCGGCACAGCTGCTGATTGCACTTTGGATGTTGCTGGAATTTCCTTGGGAGCTGCTGTGCTCTTGGCTTGGGCTGCTTCTTTTTGGACTCCTACCATGGATCTCAACTCCTGCATTTCTCCTGCAGTCATGCCCTTCCGCTCTGACACAAAGACACTGCGACAAACACCTTTGACAGAAGCTATCTCTGCTGCATCATCCTCCACCAAAGCAGCCTCGTTCGTGCTCAGACCTGCCTGAGACATCAGTGCTTGAATCAGATTTACCTTCATGTCTGGAAGTTGACAGTCTGGAGTACCTTCCAACTCGGATGGCTGCTTGTTCTCTTGATCGAACTCAGACTCACCATAGAACTGGCCCAACATGCCAAAGACCTTCTCGAAAAATCCCAGTAGACCCTCTTCTTGGAGTAAAAAGCGGCAGGCACCCACATTGCCCTTGGTTATGATTGTGAGCTTGGCGCCAGCTGCTTTCAAATCGGAGAAAAAAACACGTAGATCTTCCACTCGGTCAGGTCCTGCCCAATGTGCTACCGTCACCCGGCCAAAAAGAAGAAACACCCAATATGGAGAAAACACACATCCAACTCATCCAACGAACTAGTCTTGATGCATGTTCAATATCATTCATATCCAACTATACCGTCTCAAGAGGCATTCATTGCTGGCCCTTCTGTCAGCCGATCCAACAAGAATGAGCACCCTGAAAGGAGCAACATCAAGCTAGGCCAATAAAAATGTATCAGTTGAACAGTAACCAAAAAGACACGAGGGCTCGCACACTCTCGCTTGCTTTAAGTACACATCATAGCAACAGGCTCCAAAACTCACGGCTTCAAAACTCCCAAAGGAGCAAGTAAACACAACCAGTTTGGATTCAAACGTTCAAAGAAGGATTGTGCAAGAACAGTATGAAGGAGACTGAAGGAGTGATCAAATTCCTCACAAGTTCAGACTCTCAGAAAGGTCCTCCCAAAGCACCAGCTGTCCACGATGCAGCCCCCTTCACACCAGCTGGACAAGGCACCACATGGCCATTGGGCTGGTACTGATACTGAGATGAATCATTCAGAAGCTTCAACCGATGAATCTGCCCCCATTCAGAAGCTTCAACCGATGAATCTGCCCCCGTTCCGACAAAGAATGTTGCCCTGCAACACCAGGCTCCCATCCAGCCAGTTGCTTGAAGACGTGCACTTTGGAAATCGTCTGGTCGAAATCAAAATACACATGCTTCACCGATGAAGACGCCTCTTTGGCAACTTTTGGCTCAGCCGGTGCAGCTGCAGCTTTAGCCTTCGGTGTGGCTTTTGCTTTGAAGACTCCACTGAAACCTTCCGGTGGTGGAGGCGGTGCTTTGCCCCTGGCGGCTGCATGACAAATTCCTGCGAAACCAGTGGGAGGTGGCGGCGGCACAGCTGCTGATTGCACTTTGGATGTTGCTGGAATTTCCTTGGGAGCTGCTGTGCTCTTGGCTTGGGCTGCTTCTTTTTGGACTCCTACCATGGATCTCAACTCCTGCATTTCTCCTGCAGTCATGCCCTTCCGCTCTGACACAAAGACACTGCGACAAACACCTTTGACAGAAGCTATCTCTGCTGCATCATCCTCCACCAAAGCAGCCTCGTTCGTGCTCAGACCTGCCTGAGACATCAGTGCTTGAATCAGATTTACCTTCATGTCTGGAAGTTGACAGTCTGGAGTACCTTCCAGCTCGGATGGCTGCTTGTTCTCTTGATCGAACTCAGACTCACCATAGAACTGGCCCAACATGCCAAAGACCTTCTCGAAAAATCCCAGTAGACCCTCTTCTTGGAGTAAAAAGCGGCAGGCACCCACATTGCCCTTGGTTATGATTGTGAGCTTGGCGCCAGCTGCTTTCAAATCTGAAAAAAAACCACGTAGCTCTTCCACTCGGTCTGGTCCTGCCCAATGTGCTACCGTCACCCGACCAAAAAGAAAAAAAACAGTACGGAGAAAACGCACATCCAACTCATCCAACGAACTAGTTTTGATGCATGTTCATATCATTCATATCCAACATTATCGAACTATATCGTCTCAAGAGGCATTCATTGCTGGCCCTTCTGTCAGCCGATCCAACAAGAATGAGCACCCTGAAAGGAGCAACATCAAGCTAGGCCAATAAAGATGTATCAGTTGAACAGTAACCAAAAAGACACGAGGGGTCGCACACTCTCACTTGCTTTAAGTACACATCATAGCAACAGGCTCCAAAACTCACGCCTCCAAAACTCCCAATGGAGCAAGTAAACACAAACTGTTTGGATTCAAACGTTCAAAGAAGGGTTGTGCAAGAACAGTATGAAGGAGACTGAAGGAGTGATCAAATTCCTCACAAGTTCAGACTCTCAGAAAGGTCCTCCCAAAGCACCAGCTGTCCACGATGCAGCCCCCTTCACACCAGCTCGACAAGGCACCACATGGCCATTGGGCTGGTACTGATACTGAGATGAATCATTCAGAAGCTTCAACCGATGAATCTGCCCCCGTTCCGACAAAGAATGTTGCCCTGCAACACCAGGCTCCCATCCAGCCAGTTGCTTGAAGACGTGCACTTTGGAAATCGTCTGGTCGAAATCAAAATACGCATGCTTCACCGATGAAGACGCCTCTTTCGCAACTTTTGGCTCAGCCGGTGCAGCTGCAGTTTTAGCCTTCGGTGTGGCTTCTGCTTTGAAGACTCCACTGAAACCTTCCGGTGGTGGAGGCGGTGCTTTGCCCTTGGCGGCTGCATGACAAATTCCTGCGAAACCAGTGGGAGGTGGCGGCGGCACAGCTGCTGATTGCACTTTGGATGTTGCTGGAATTTCCTTGGGAGCTGCTGTGCTCTTGGCTTGGGCTGCTTCTTTTTGGACTCCTACCATGGATCTCAACTCCTGCATTTCTCCTGCAGTCATGCCCTTCCGCTCTGACACAAAGACACTGCGACAAACACCTTTGACAGAAGCTATCTCTGCTGCATCATCCTCCACCAAAGCAGCCTCGTTCGTGCTCAAACCTGCCTTAGACATCAGTGCTTGAATCAGATTTACCTTCATGTCTGGAAGTTGACAGTCTGGAGTACCTTCCAGCTCGGATGGCTGCTTGTTCTCTTGATCGAACTCAGACTCACCATAGAACTGGCCCAACATGCCAAAGACCTTCTCGAAAAATCCCAGTAGACCCTCTTCTTGGAGTAAAAAGCGGCAGGCACCCACATTGCCCTTGGTTATGATTGTGAGCTTGGCGCCAGCTGCTTTCAAATCTGAAAAAAAACCACGTAGCTCTTCCACTCGGTCTGGTCCTGCCCAATGTGCTACCGTCACCCGACCAAAAAGAAAAAAAACAGTACGGAGAAAACGCACATCCAACTCATCCAACGAACTAGTTTTGATGCATGTTCATATCATTCATATCCAACATTATCGAACTATATCGTCTCAAGAGGCATTCATTGCTGGCCCTTCTGTCAGCCGATCCAACAAGAATGAGCACCCTGAAAGGAGCAACATCAAGCTAGGCCAATAAAGATGTATCAGTTGAACAGTAACCAAAAAGACACGAGGGGTCGCACACTCTCACTTGCTTTAAGTACACATCATAGCAACAGGCTCCAAAACTCACGCCTCCAAAACTCCCAATGGAGCAAGTAAACACAAACTGTTTGGATTCAAACGTTCAAAGAAGGATTGTGCAAGAACAGTATGAAGGAGACTGAAGGAGTGATCAAATTCCTCACAAGTTCAGACTCTCAGAAAGGTCCTCCCAAAGCACCAGCTGTCCACGATGCAGCCCCCTTCACACCAGCTCGACAAGGCACCACATGGCCATTGGGCTGGTACTGATACTGAGATGAATCATTCAGAAGCTTCAACCGATGAATCTGCCCCCGTTCCGACAAAGAATGTTGCCCTGCAACACCAGGCTCCCATCCAGCCAGTTGCTTGAAGACGTGCACTTTGGAAATCGTCTGGTCGAAATCAAAATACACATGCTTCACCGATGAAGACGCCTCTTTCGCAACTTTTGGCTCAGCCGGTGCAGCTGCAGTTTTAGCCTTCGGTGTGGCTTCTGCTTTGAAGACTCCACTGAAACCTTCCGGTGGTGGAGGCGGTGCTTTGCCTGGTGCACCAGGTGCAAATGCGTCAAGTTGTGCTCGCGGCTCTCGCGGCGGAGCTACAAGTCCGCTCTGTCTCGGAGGGATGGCCATGATTTTGTGGCGCGGTGATACTCATGGCATTTTTGGCAAATTCCATGTTTCAATCATTTTTCAAACGATTCCATCTTTGAACATCAAACATATGTCCCATCTGGCATCTCACAGCAAGTCTTGAGCCAGCGTGAATGTGACGTCAAAGCAATTGTGACAGAATGTGCTTATTTGAGTTCCGTGACCACACATCAGCTAGACTAAACTTCAACTTTCAACCGTTGAATCAGGCTTCAATTCTGAGTACAGTTTGAAACGGCCTAAACAGCAGCCAAATCCTATAGCTTGCGCCTGTCAAGCGGGCGGATTGTCTTTTAGCTGTCAAAGAGGCACTTGCTTTCCTGCTGAAAATCCGACATGAATGAAAATGGCCTTCAAAGATTGTTGGGCCATCATGGGTCAATATGGGCAATAAACATCAACATTGTCGCTGGAGTCAAGAGAAACAGCACGGCCTTGCCTCTGTGCGTGCGCGGTCAATTTTGACATCGAAGACTGCAGCGATCATCAAAACAGTCTTTCTCTGAACGTTGCTGAGGTGCTACGCTCGTAGGAGAGTGATGCATTTGCATGCGTTTGCAATAAAGTTTTGTCTTTGCGACTGAAAAGCTCCTTCCTCTCTGGGGAATCAGCCGCTCATCAGCATTGTAAAAAAATCAGCAGCAGCAAGATGACGATGACGATGTTCAGAAACAGACAATCAAACAAAGAGGCCCAAATGATCCCTTCATGAAACTCCGGCTTTTGGACGGTTTGCTCAGATCTTTATTCCTAAATCCTAAAAGTCCTAATCGTGGGCTAGGCAGGTTTTTTGATGGAAACGGCCTCGCTTGTGCCCGTGGATTTGTCTCGCTTGTGCCAGGGTAACCACTTTCCACTTGAGCTACTGTCCCCTAAAAGTAGACCCAAAATGATTGTTTTTCAATGTCCCTATTGCCTGTGTGCATCATGTTGCTGCATGCGCGCCCATCCCCCCCCATGTCCCCTAAAAGTAGACCCTAAAGGGTTGTTTTTTCCACATAAAATGTTCAGGTCAATCTGGGCGCAAGTGAGTCGTTTTTATGGGCGCAAGTGAGGCTGGTACCTTTTTGATAGGTCGCTCGTGTTCTAGCCCAGATCTTTTCTCCTCAGTCAGCGCTAGATTCCGCTAGATCGGTTTTTGGAGAGCTTTGTTGAATAGAAAAAGAGGAACGCCCAAAGGAAGTATATATCTCATGGTGTGATGTATTCCAAAGATAGGAATTCTTAAGACATGTATCACAAACAGTATGATAGAATCTGATAGAAAGGCGCAATATTGCTTTGGCAAATTCTCGTAATTCTAAACAGTTAGCACTCACAAGAAGTACCACGTCGACGCTTGCGCGTTCAAAGACGCTAGTCGTAAATGAAAGTCATCATGCGTCAGTATTAATCTACACATCATTACCTTAATCATCATCTTGGTCATTATCTCAATATATATCTATCAGGTGGTTGGTAAACTCTTAGTAGCTCCTTGGCTCCCCATATGATACTGATAAGGCATATAGATGAATATAGATACCCATAGCCACAGCTCCTTAGCTCCTTCTCAACCACTGGATAGATATAAACTTGTACTATTAATCACTATGTATGCTTATCCTTGACGTGCCGGTGGAAGTGCTGAGTACCAGCTCTGAAATTGACCGGTTCCATGCTTCTCTACTCTACCGTTTGAGCATCGTTTGAGCATCGTAAGAGCATAGTCAGCACAGTGTTCGCATGGAGCCATGGAGCCAGGGCCCTGCGGCCCTGCGCAATGGAAGAACTGCACAAGCGGTAATGAAATTTATGGGAGAATGATGGAGAATGCGGAGAATGAGACGATAAATCACCTTGCCTGGCGGAACCAACTCAAATCTCATCACGGATACACCATGGCTATCCATGGCTGATCTTGCGCGAATCCAAGAGCGAAGAATAAACGAAACTGATACACGTAGTTCTGCTCCAAATGAAGCCACTTTTTCAAGCACTTCTCATGCTAGCAGAAAATGTGGAAAAAATATGGAACCTTAACCACCACATCCAAAGCACCCAGAAACAGGAGAATAGGGCCTCACATCTTTCCTTGTGGTATCGACCTGCACAATCTTTTCCGGCTAAAAACAGCAACGTCTTGCCAATGCAGGCGCAAAGAAAAAGGGATGTGAAAGGATAAAGGACATTCTTCAAACCCGAATATCCGCAATAATCACGAAGATTTGTGAAACACCTAATGGACGAAACTGACCACTCAAAATCAAAAGCAAACTAAAGCAAGATATCCGGGAAGTATATCCAGGAATGACTCGCTTGACACGCCATACCTGATCGCTGTTCTGCAGGTTGTCTGAGCCTCGAGACAATGGCATTTTGCATGTTTGCGCGCGTGTGTCACACAGTTCTCCTTTCAACACGAACAAGTCCAAGCAACAGCAATTGCGAATGATGCATTCAGGAGCACCTATGTGCTTGAGCTGCAGCCGTTCCTCGCAATGCGGGCATTTTTTCTTTCACCACGGCTCAAAAGTACACGAAGTGAGCTGACGTCTTCACAAGATTACCCTTAAAAATGCGCTGCCTGGCTGCATCTCATCACGCAGCCGGAGAGCCGGGTAGAGCCGGGTAGAGCACAACCACAACTACAGACTTCCCCCTCACAAATTCACAGTTTTCCACAGCTGTTTCTTGTGATCTGGATGGCTTTTTGGGGCCCTCTTGGCCAAATGACACTTGGTGCCATTTCCACCATCCCCTGCCATGGTCAGCACATAGGTGGGATCAGCTGCCAAGGCGATGTAGCCGTCATGGAAGAGAAAGAGCTGGTTCTTCTCACATGGGTCACTGCGGCCATGTTCCTTCCAGAGATGCACCGGTTCACTGTCCGAAAGAGGATCCATAGGCCCGCTCTTCTTGGAGAACACGATGTCTGGCCGACTGCTCAGGCGGATTTTGCCGTCCGCAGACCACTTCCATACATTGTTGTCCACGTGATCGTGGCCGGCCCCTCGTTTCTCCCACAAGTGAACCACGGTGCCATTGCGAGCATCGCGGGCGTGGCCCAAAGTGTGAATGCTGTGGCTGTCCCGTAGCACGGGAACGATCATCAAGCCCTTGCCAATCTCCACATCAGTGACAGGTGGCAAGGGCACCATCGCCCCACCCCACTGCGCAATGCATCGCACCATCGCCACAATATCATTTGTGTTGACCAAGGCGTCAATGGCACTGGCCCGGAAGGCTCCAGTGGGATCATAGTCTTGTGGCAGGTGGACCAGCTTCCCGGTGAGCCTCTGCCGACGATCTTCACTGAGACGGAGGAGCTTCATCATCCAAGACCACAAGGATGGGGCCAGCATGCCTCGCTTCTCAGCCTCATGGAGGACGCCGAGCTGGAGAACGAAGACAACCGGGGAAGGATATCCCGAGAGGGCATAGTAATCCAGAATTGCTGCCAAAGCATCGAGGGTCTCAGACGGTTTGGTGCTGGGCCCTTGTCGGAAGATGAAATTCAGGATGACCTCAGGTGAAGTGCCGGCCCTCAGCTTTCCAATGACAGCTTTCACCAGCGGCTTCTCGAAACCCGAGAGGAATCCGACAAGAAAGTTCTGACCCGCAGCGTAGCTTCCTTGGGTGCACAGAGTTTGGGCTTGGTCTGCCGCATGATCCATGCAAAAGCAGATCTCGTTGCTGGCTGTCCCCAACAAGATTTTCCCTTCTGTGCCAACCTGCTTCACCACAGTGATGGCGCTGCCCTCAGCAGTTTTCATCAAGCTTTGCCCCTGCACAGCGGCGTGGTCGACACCTTGATAGACTTCTTGCGCAGTGGCCTTCATCAAAAAATGGGCAAGCTGGGCACCATTCCCCATGACGTTCTGTGCATGCTGGGCACCATTCAACATGACGTTGTTCACATGGTGGGCACCATTCCCAATGACGTTGTTCACATGGTGGGCACCATTCCCCATGACCTTGTTTGCCTCCGCGCCCATGGGTTGGACCACATTCTTCACCTGTTGCTTGACAAATCCATTCCATGCATTGCCCATGGCTGCGAATCGAGAGAAGGGTGAGCTTGGGTGAAGTCGCTGTTTAAAGAAAAGGCTCCGGAGGGCTGAAGATTCCTGAGAAACAATGTGGTCTCCAAGGCCCAGCTCATGATGCGTTCGGCCGGTACACCTTGTGCAGTGGATGCTGACTACACACGAATCTGTTGAGCTAGGCTAAGGATGCAACAGAGGCATCCAAGATAAAGGACCATCAGCATCTCATCATTGAAATCCACTGGCGAACTTCGAAGAAACCTTCCGCACCAATCAGCACGCAATCAGAACAGCCCAGAAATTCTGCCATGTTTGGGAAAAATACATAGGTTTAAACCACCGCACCCACACTGAACACCCACTAAAGTCCACACTTTGCCGGAATGTTGCACTGTGGTTGCTTTCAAACATAAGCTCCTGGTTTCCAAAGAACAAAGCCGGATAGTTTCTGAGCTGTGAAAAGAGGCGATGAGGTATGATCAGAAGGCGTTGCGCACAAACAAGCGGCCATGCATTTTTGGGCCGCCCCAGACTTTTTGGGCTGCAATTTTTCCCGGCAACTTGGGAACATGGAAGTATTTGGAAAGCTGGAACGTGGGAAGCTGGGGAATCTGGGATCTGGCACCTTTAGGAACCTGCGCACTTGGAAACCTAGGAATCTAGGACTTTGGGAACTTGGGACCCTTAACCTGACTTTGGAACCTTATCGTGGAACCTGACTTTGGATTTGTTTGTCGGCAGTTGGCAACATTACTTGGGAACATTACTTGGGAATCTTGCATTCTTACTTGGGAATCTTATCTGGGAACTGGAAACAGCACTTGGGAACCTGGAACGTGTGTGGAACTGCTTCGGAGACCTTTACCATGGCTGCAAACCCAAAGCATTGTGAGAAGGGTGTTTGGGAAGAGGTTGCCTGGTGGGAGGCTGGGGGATCTGGTGAAGCTGGAGACACCCCAAAGCATTCTGCTTTACCGACAAACAAGACCTTGAAACTTGCTCAGGCATAATGGAACGCGGAAGAAAAGAGGAGCGACAAAAAACGCCTGCCCATTTTCATTGGAGGAAAGCTGGTAGGTGAGAGGCGAGCGGTTGCAGAATTGTCGAGGCTGCCTCTGTGGGACATACGAACATACGAAACATGTCCAAAAAGGGAAACAGAAAATTCCTGGGCGTGAAAAAGAAAGACACGGCAGCAGACTATCCAAGGCTGGTCTTGCGCGAATCCAAGAGCGAAGAATAAACGAAACTGATACACGTAGTTCTGCTCCAAATGAAGCCACTTTTTCAAGCACTTCTCATGCTAGCAGAAAATGTGGAAAAAATATGGAACCTTAACCACCACATCCAAAGCACCCAGAAACAGGAGAATAGGGCCTCACATCTTTCCTTGTGGTATCGACCTGCACAATCTTTTCCGGCTAAAAACAGCAACGTCTTGCCAATGCAGGCGCAAAGAAAAAGGGATGTGAAAGGATAAAGGACATTCTTCAAACCCGAATATCCGCAATAATCACGAAGATTTGTGAAACACCTAATGGACGAAACTGACCACTCAAAATCACTAAAGCAAACTAAAGCAAAATATCCGGGAAGTATATCCAGGAATGACTCGCTTGACACGCCATACCTGATCGCTGTTCTGCAGGTTGTCTGAGCCTCGAGACAATGGCATTTTGCATGTTTGCGCGCGTGTGTCACACAGTTCTCCTTTCAACACGAACAAGTCCAAGCAACAGCAATTGCGAATGATGCATTCAGGAGCACCTATGTGCTTGAGCTGCAGCCGTTCCTCGCAATGCGGGCATTTTTTCTTTCACCACGGCTCAAAAGTACACGAAGTGAGCTGACGTCTTCACAAGATTACCCTTAAAAATGCGCTGCCTGGCTGCATCTCATCACGCAGCCGGAGAGCCGGGTAGAGCCGGGTAGAGCACAACCACGACTACAGACTTCCCCCTCACAAATTCACAGTTTTCCACAGCTGTTTCTTGTGATCTGGATGGCTTTTTGGGGCCCTCTTGGCCAAATGACACTTGGTGCCATTTCCACCATCCCCTGCCATGGTCAGCACATAGGTGGGATCAGCTGCCAAGGCGATGTAGCCGTCATGGAAGAGAAAGAGCTGGTTCTTCTCACATGGGTCACTGCGGCCATGTTCCTTCCAGAGATGCACCGGTTCACTGTCCGAAAGAGGATCCATAGGCCCGCTCTTCTTGGAGAACACGATGTCTGGCCGACTGCTCAGGCGGATTTTGCCGTCCGCAGACCACTTCCATACATTGTTGTCCACGTGATCGTGGCCGGCCCCTCGTTTCTCCCACAAGTGAACCACGGTGCCATTGCGAGCATCGCGGGCGTGGCCCAAAGTGTGAATGCTGTGGCTGTCCAGTAGCACGGGAACGATCATCAAGCCCTTGCCAATCTCCACATCAGTGACAGGTGGCAAGGGCACCATCGCCCCACCCCACTGCGCAATGCGTCGCACCATCGCCACAATATCATTTGTGTTGACCAAGGCGTCAATGGCACTGGCCCGGAAGGCTCCAGTGGGATCATAGTCTTGTGGCAGGTGGACCAGCTTCCCGGTGAGCCTCTGCCGACGATCTTCACTGAGACGGAGGAGCTTCATCATCCAAGACCACAAGGATGGGGCCAGCATGCCTCGCTTCTCAGCCTCATGGAGGACGCCGAGCTGGAGAACGAAGACAACCGGGGAAGGATATCCCGAGAGGGCATAGTAATCCAGAATTGCTGCCAAAGCATCGAGGGTCTCAGACGGTTTGGTGCTGGGCCCTTGTCGGAAGATGAAATTCAGGATGACCTCAGGTGAAGTGCCGGCCCTCAGCTTTCCAATGACAGCTTTCACCAGCGGCTTCTCGAAACCCGAGAGGAATCCGACAAGAAAGTTCTGACCCGCAGCGTAGCTTCCTTGGGTGCACAGAGTTTGGGCTTGGTCTGCCGCATGATCCATGCAAAAGCAGATCTCGTTGCTGGCTGTCCCCAACAAGATTTTCCCTTCTGTGCCAACCTGCTTCACCACAGTGATGGCGCTGCCCTCAGCAGTTTTCATCAAGCTTTGCCCCTGCACAGCGGCGTGGTCGACACCTTGATAGACTTCTTGCGCAGTGGCCTTCATCAAAAAATGGGCAAGCTGGGCACCATTCCCCATGACGTTCTGTGCATGCTGGGCACCATTCAACATGACGTTGTTCACATGGTGGGCACCATTCCCAATGACGTTGTTCACATGGTGGGCACCATTCCCCATGACCTTGTTTGCCTCCGCGCCCATGGGTTGGACCACATTCTTCACCTGTTGCTTGACAAATCCATTCCATGCATTGCCCATGGCTGCGAATCGAGAGAAGGGTGAGCTTGGGTGAAGTCGCTGTTTAAAGAAAAGGCTCCGGAGGGCTGAAGATTCCTGAGAAACAATGTGGTCTCCAAGGCCCAGCTCATGATGCGTTCGGCCGGTACACCTTGTGCAGTGGATGCTGACTACACACGAATCTGTTGAGCTAGGCTAAGGATGCAACAGAGGCATCCAAGATAAAGGACCATCAGCATCTCATCATTGAAATCCACTGGCGAACTTCGAAGAAACCTTCCGCACCAATCAGCACGCAATCAGAACAGCCCAGAAATTCTGCCATGTTTGGGAAAAATACATAGGTTTAAACCACCGCACCCACACTGAACACCCACTAAAGTCCACACTTTGCCGGAATGTTGCACTGTGGTTGCTTTCAAACATAAGCTCCTGGTTTCCAAAGAACAAAGCCGGATAGTTTCTGAGCTGTGAAAAGAGGCGATGAGGTATGATCAGAAGGCGTTGCGCACAAACAAGCGGCCATGCATTTTTGGGCCGCCCCAGACTTTTTGGGCTGCAATTTTTCCTGGCAACTTGGGAACATGGAAGTATTTGGAAAGCTGGAACGTGGGAAGCTGGGGAATCTGGGATCTGGCACCTTTAGGAACCTGCGCACTTGGAAACCTAGGAATATAGGACTTTGGGAACTTGGGACCCTTAACCTGACTTTGGAACCTTATCGTGGAACCTGACTTTGGATTTGTTTGTCGGCAGTTGGCAACATTACTTGGGAACATTACTTGGGAATCTTGCATTCTTACTTGGGAATCTTATCTGGGAACTGGAAACAGCACTTGGGAACCTGGAACGTGTGTGGAACTGCTTCGGAGACCTTTACCATGGCTGCAAACCCAAAGCATTGTGAGAAGGGTGTTTGGGAAGAGGTTGCCTGGTGGGAGGCTGGGGGATCTGGTGAAGCTGGAGACACCCCAAAGCATTCTGCTTTACCGACAAACAAGACCTTGAAACTTGCTCAGGCATAATGGAACGCGGAAGAAAAGAGGAGCGACGAAAAACGCCTGCCCATTTTCATTGGAGGAAAGCTGGTAGGTGAGAGGCGAGCGGTTGCAGAATTGTCGAGGCTGCCTCTGTGGGACATGCGAACATACGAAACATGTCCAAAAAGGGAAACAGAAAATTCCTGGGCGTGAAAAAGAAAGAGACGGCAGCAGACTATCCATGGCTGGTCTTGCGCGAATCCAAGAGCGAAGAATAAACGAAACTGATACACGTAGTTCTGCTCCAAATGAAGCCACTTTTTCAAGCACTTCTCATGCTAGCAGAAAATGTGGAAAAAATATGGAACCTTAACCACCACATCCAAAGCACCCAGAAACAGGAGAATAGGGCCTCACATCTTTCCTTGTGGTATCGACCTGCACAATCTTTTCCGGCTAAAAACAGCAACGTCTTGCCAATGCAGGCGCAAAGAAAAAGGGATGTGAAAGGATAAAGGACATTCTTCAAACCCGAATATCCGCAATAATCACGAAGATTTGTGAAACACCTAATGGACGAAACTGACCACTCAAAATCAAAAGCAAACAAAAGCAAGATATCCGGGAAGTATATCCAGGAATGACTCGCTTGACACGCCATACCTGATCGCTGTTCTGCAGGTTGTCTGAGCCTCGAGACAATGGCATTTTGCATGTTTGCGCGCGTGTGTCACACAGTTCTCCTTTCAACACGAACAAGTCCAAGCAACAGCAATTGCGAATGATGCATTCAGGAGCACCTATGTGCTTGAGCTGCAGCCGTTCCTCGCAATGCGGGCATTTTTTCTTTCACCACGGCTCAAAAGTACACGAAGTGAGCTGACGTCTTCACAAGATTACCCTTAAAAATGCGCTGCCTGGCTGCATCTCATCACGCAGCCGGAGAGCCGGGTAGAGCCGGGTAGAGCACAACCACGACTACAGACTTCCCCCTCACAAATTCACAGTTTTCCACAGCTGTTTCTTGTGATCTGGATGGCTTTTTGGGGCCCTCTTGGCCAAATGACACTTGGTGCCATTTCCACCATCCCCTGCCATGGTCAGCACATAGGTGGGATCAGCTGCCAAGGCGATGTAGCCGTCATGGAAGAGAAAGAGCTGGTTCTTCTCACATGGGTCACTGCGGCCATGTTCCTTCCAGAGATGCACCGGTTCACTGTCCGAAAGAGGATCCATAGGCCCGCTCTTCTTGGAGAACACGATGTCTGGCCGACTGCTCAGGCGGATTTTGCCGTCCGCAGACCACTTCCATACATTGTTGTCCACGTGATCGTGGCCGGCCCCTCGTTTCTCCCACAAGTGAACCACGGTGCCATTGCGAGCATCGCGGGCGTGGCCCAAAGTGTGAATGCTGTGGCTGTCCAGTAGCACGGGAACGATCATCAAGCCCTTGCCAATCTCCACATCAGTGACAGGTGGCAAGGGCACCATCGCCCCACCCCACTGCGCAATGCGTCGCACCATCGCCACAATATCATTTGTGTTGACCAAGGCGTCAATGGCACTGGCCCGGAAGGCTCCAGTGGGATCATAGTCTTGTGGCAGGTGGACCAGCTTCCCGGTGAGCCTCTGCCGACGATCTTCACTGAGACGGAGGAGCTTCATCATCCAAGACCACAAGGATGGGGCCAGCATGCCTCGCTTCTCAGCCTCATGGAGGACGCCGAGCTGGAGAACGAAGACAACCGGGGAAGGATATCCCGAGAGGGCATAGTAATCCAGAATTGCTGCCAAAGCATCGAGGGTCTCAGACGGTTTGGTGCTGGGCCCTTGTCGGAAGATGAAATTCAGGATGACCTCAGGTGAAGTGCCGGCCCTCAGCTTTCCAATGACAGCTTTCACCAGCGGCTTCTCGAAACCCGAGAGGAATCCGACAAGAAAGTTCTGACCCGCAGCGTAGCTTCCTTGGGTGCACAGAGTTTGGGCTTGGTCTGCCGCATGATCCATGCAAAAGCAGATCTCGTTGCTGGCTGTCCCCAACAAGATTTTCCCTTCTGTGCCAACCTGCTTCACCACAGTGATGGCGCTGCCCTCAGCAGTTTTCATCAAGCTTTGCCCCTGCACAGCGGCGTGGTCGACACCTTGATAGACTTCTTGCGCAGTGGCCTTCATCAAAAAATGGGCAAGCTGGGCACCATTCCCCATGACGTTCTGTGCATGCTGGGCACCATTCAACATGACGTTGTTCACATGGTGGGCACCATTCCCAATGACGTTGTTCACATGGTGGGCACCATTCCCCATGACCTTGTTTGCCTCCGCGCCCATGGGTTGGACCACATTCTTCACCTGTTGCTTGACAAATCCATTCCATGCATTGCCCATGGCTGCGAATCGAGAGAAGGGTGAGCTTGGGTGAAGTCGCTGTTTAAAGAAAAGGCTCCGGAGGGCTGAAGATTCCTGAGAAACAATGTGGTCTCCAAGGCCCAGCTCATGATGCGTTCGGCCGGTACACCTTGTGCAGTGGATGCTGACTACACACGAATCTGTTGAGCTAGGCTAAGGATGCAACAGAGGCATCCAAGATAAAGGACCATCAGCATCTCATCATTGAAATCCACTGGCGAACTTCGAAGAAACCTTCCGCACCAATCAGCACGCAATCAGAACAGCCCAGAAATTCTGCCATGTTTGGGAAAAATACATAGGTTTAAACAACCGCACCCACACTAAACACCCACTAAAGTCCACACTTTGCCGGAATGTTACACTGTGGTTGCTTTCAAACATAAGCTCCTGGTTTCCAAAGAACAAAGCCGGATAGTTTCTGAGCTGTGAAAAGAGGCGATGAGGTATGATCAGAAGGCGTTGCGCACAAACAAGCGGCCATGCATTTTTGGGCCGCCCCAGACTTTTTGGGCTGCAATTTTTCCTGGCAACTTGGGAACATGGAAGTATTTGGAAAGCTGGAACGTGGGAAGCTGGGGAATCTGGGATCTGGCACCTTTAGGAACCTGCGCACTTGGAAACCTAGGAATCTAGGACTTTGGGAACTTGGTACCCTTAACCTGACTTTGGAACCTTATCGTGGAACCTGACTTTGGATTTGTTTGTCAGCAGTTGGCAGCATTACTTGGGAACATTACTTGGGAATCTTGCATTCTTACTTGGGAATCTTATCTGGGAACTGGAAACAGCACTTGGGAACCTGGAACGTGTGTGGAACTGCTTCGGAGACCTTTACCATGGCTGCAAACCCAAAGCATTGTGAGAAGGGTGTTTGGGAAGAGGTTGCCTGGTGGGAGGCTGGGGGATCTGGTGAAGCTGGAGACACCCCAAAGCATTCTGCTTTACCGACAAACAAGACCTTGAAACTTGCTCAGGCATAATGGAACGCGGAAGAAAAGAGGAGCGACAAAAAACGCCTGCCCATTTTCATTGGAGGAAAGCTGGTAGGTGAGAGGCGAGCGGTTGCAGAATTGTCGAGGCCTCTGTGGGACATACGAAACATGTCCAAAAAGGGAAACAGAAAATTCCTGGGCGTGAAAAAGGAAGAGACGGCGAAAGACTGAGTTGCTGAACTCAGTGTGCGTCACTATCTGTAAATCATACAAGTACAGCAACAGCTCCTGATACAGAGGCATGTAAGGATCGGGTTGGTTTGACAATTTGGACAGCCGTGCCTTGTTGTCGAGTAACCAATGAACCCAGTCATCTTCAGGCCTCGTAAGACCAACACTAGCAGTAACGATGTGATCTTTCAAGCTTGGTTCCAAGGGACTGGTCCGCCTGTGAGGTGCGCTCTCGGGACACCCAAAGCTTCTCATCCGTTCAACATTTGCTCAATTGATCTCAGTTTGACTTCTTAGCATTTTCACTCTTGCGTAGGTCCAAGTGGACAAATCTTCAGCAAACGAGGAGCAATATCTAGGATCTCATCGGATTTCCCGTGAAAAGGTGCAACCATTGCCATTGGCTTCAACTAAGCTGCGGAAAAAAAGTTTGGTCTCTGTCAAATGATCAAGCAGAATCGTTGCATAACTTGACCATTGCCTAGAAACATTGTGTTGCCATGCGCCTCCATTGATTGATGAGCCAAGCTCTAAGGTACAGGTGAGCTGCACGACTTCAACATATCAAACATTGACACGTCTATCAGGTGGTGAATTGAGGTCTGACGGTGAGCAATAATCCGGAGAAGGCTTCTGCCAACTATCTGTGACTACGTTGCCCTTTAGCAAACATGAACGATTCTTCTTTGCGCAGCATGACTTTAGCAGAAACATCAAACAATTGTGAGCCCCTGCGATCCCTTCTAGGCCAGTCTTTTCTGCTTTCAAGTTCTGAAGTTCAGACCACACCGGCCAGCGCAGATAGTGATGAACGCCCTTGGCACTTGACCAATAGACTGTCAGAGCTCCAGCATCTGCAGATCAGGGCACCCCTCAGTGGTCCTGGGATGTCATGTCATGAGGTTGTTTGCCATACTTTTCCCAAAATCGGTCTCTGTGCTTTTTGCCTCTTTTGGTCCCACCACGTTGCGGACGTCCAAATACATGGCATTGGCAATGGCAGCGTTGCTCAACCGTACAATCATCCCGAAGGTGCAAGCAAGTGTTGCAAAGAAAGCAAAAGTTCCCCAGGCGCTTGGCTGCGCACCTGGTGTGACTGGAATCTTGACTTTCGGCGTCCAGTCTGTGCCACAAGTCTCTGTTTGCGTACTCACAGGGTTTGCACTCCTTGTCGGAACACGAACAATTCCCCAACCCAGGAGTCGTCAAATCCACAAGTTCGGCTCTTCCAAAGAAACCATGGTTATCCGAAGGGCAAGGGACGTAGCTAGGCATGAGAGAGTTGTGGCAAGCAACTAACGTCACTATCTCTTGGCTGCACTGACTGTCCAGAAACACGATACGTAGCCGATTGTCATGGTGTGGTTTGTCCCCTGCCTCCTTGATGTTTCCAAGCTGATCCATAAGTTTGCAAAGTTGGTCGGGCGAAGCAGATCGAATGGTTCCTAGGTGGAAATCTCTCCGCTCAGATGCTGCCATGGTGGACAGGTCAGGTAGATAGTGCAAAGCATCCTCTGAGCGTCCAGAAATCAGTACTATCTTCCCCCTCGCATGCTTGACCTTGGTCACAGCAGCTCCGATCTTGCGGTCATCCATCGAAAACCACCAAAGCACATTACTCCAGGAGCTCTCAATATATTCGAAGGCTGCTTTTGTGTCCTTGCTGGGATTCATCAAGAAGATGAAAACAGCCTCAGTCGGCTGAGAACTCAAAAAGCTGCGGCAAACAGTCATCACAGCCATCAATTCCTCCAAAGTGTCGAAGGGGGCCTCAAATGCTCGTTTTCCTCCCTGCAAGTGATACATGACATCACCCAGTGTCTTCTTGTTGTGGTAAATCCCGGGGATGATCAGTTGCGACAAAGCCACGTTGTCTTTGATTTGCACCATCCAGTCTTGTGAGGAAAACTGGACAATTCGAAATATGTTGTGGGATGCTGCGCTGAATTGAATTGCAACGTGTAAAAGCGATTTGACATGTCCATCATGTCCATTGCACCAACTCACTGGCAAAGCATGCAAGTAAAGGCTATGGTCATCAGTTGAAGTGAAGGCCTTTTGGTTGCAACGGAAAATCAATTCAATCCCAGTGACCTCAAATCTGAATGTCACTTGGCTGAGCCTGCGGGGACTCGAAAGATAACTGGATGTTGAGGACTTTGCTTCAATCCACTCCTTGGGATTGTTTGGCAGAAACCTTGTTGTGCTTCCCTCCTGCTCTATTACTGCCTGGAGGTGTAGAGAGGTGGCATTTGCAACTTCGATTTGCGTGGCAACTGATGCCATGGTATGCATTGGCTCAGTTGTCTTCAGCATGCGACCAGCTATATTCCGAAATTCAACTTGATGCGGTTGTCTGCAAAGCCGCTTTGCCAAAGCCTTTCGGACAGTAGCTACTGTGTCGACTTCGGTGCATGGAATGACAAAGTCTGGACCACCAAGAACCCCGCACCAAACTGTGAAAGGCAAGCGTTCCTTTTGACCGAACAAGAGCCCACAGACCACAGTTATGCGAGTCTTGTAGCAGGTTTTCCAGCCGTTGGAAATTAAATACGGCACAGGGGGTCCTGTGCCTCTCCATATGCCTTCTTGCCCCGAATATTGCACAGAAGTAGTTCCTGAAATCTGAAAAATATTCCTCGGAGGCCAATGTCGAACCAGCTGAGCGTCGTAACTCAATCCACCTTTGCCTGTGAGAGTGTTCACATGAACGCCCACGCAAGCAGGGTCTGCCAAAGCTCTCCTCATGAGGTTCACAAGAAAGTCTTCATTGCAAGACTGTTTGGGAGTCCACTGGCAAGTCAAATAGAAGTCGCCATCCTCAGAAACGAGAATACCTTGAAAAGCTCTGGAAAAATGCGCACCAGCGTCCATCTCCTGCAAAGCAAGGCACTTTGGCATAATCGCTTTGGGCGAGTTCCATGTCATGCATCTTGAAGCTTATACAACAAAGCACTTGCTGTACGCACCAACTTGGACAAGATCCTTGTTGGGCTACCTGATTCTCTTGGCGGCATCTTTAGGGCCCCGGCAATTTAAGGTATTCTTCACGAATGGGTCCCAAAAACACTTGTGCGGTCAAATGGTTGAAGAGCCTTTGCTACTATTCATGGACAAAATCCTACATCAGTTGATAGGCGCTTTACCCCACTGGATGTGCATCCATCCCAAGTGGTGCTGGATCAACCATAGCTCGACTCGCGTGTTTGTTTCTGGCCGCAAAGGGGTGGATACTACTTAGGCTTTGAACGTCTCTTGGTCAGTTCCGAGGGTCAACCGTTTGCAGCCACCCAACAACAAGCGCAAACTCATCAATGAAAATAACATCATGACATGCGACGCGCGAAGGCGAAAGGAACACAATAATCATAAAGCTACAGCTTTTCCGATTACGAAAACGAATTCCGAGGGTAAACTTCATGGCTACTGAAACTTGACCGAACGCAAAACAGTAAAGGCTAGCAATGATTGAGAGTTGCGAGGTTCTGGCCCGATCAGCGGCCGAATGGTTGGGGCCTGGAACGTTTGGAACACTTGAAACGCTTGGAAGTTTGCCTCAAACGCTGCTAAATCTTGGAACACTCAGATCGGTTGGAACGCTTGCAACAATTGGAACACTTGGAAGGCTTGCAACACTAGAAAGTATAGGTGTCAGAACAAAACCAAATGAACGTCTTAGAGAGATTTAAACGAAAGCCGGATCTTTTGCAACTGAAGCTGTTGAAGTTGAATGTTAAGAGCCGTTGCAAAGAAATGTTGACGCTACCGAAAAAGAAGCCATTATTTTTCAAAGAAAACGGATCGATCAAGTAATGTCATGTCAAGTCTAAAGCAAGCGTCGAAGACTATCAAATGATTATGTCTGTCTCTTAGAAAAAACTTAGATTCAGGTTTGAGAAATGACAACGTAAATGGTACCAAAATGGAAGCCGGCATGATTAAAGAAAAGGTATTCAAACAAAAAATGAAAATCTTGGGTCATTTTCATCGAACACATATTATGCTGTAGAGTTCAAACTGTTGCAAAGAAACGTTAGCGGTACCCAAACGGAAGCAAGTTGTTCTTCAAGGAAAACACTTCGATCGAGTCATCTCAAGCTTCAGAGCGTAGAAGATGTCACAAATATTTACCATTCAGACTCTTTCAAAAAAGATTAAACGTAGCAAAACGGAAGCAATTATTTTTTGAAGGAAAACCATTCAATCAAGTCAGGTCAAGTCTAAAGCAATCGTCCAAGATAGTCGAATGATCATGTCTGTTTGTCTCTTGAGGAAGCTCTAGACTGGGGTTTCAACGATGAACGCATTTCTGGTACCAAAATGGAAGCAGACATGCCTCAAGAAGAAATCAAGACAAAATCAAATCAACGTCTTAAGGTATTTTCAATGAAAGGGTACATATGCTGTAGAAGTTATAAATAGTTCCGAATTGTTGCACAGAAATGCCAATGGTACCCAAACCGATTATGTTTGTCTCTCAGTCAGTAATGCTTGACATTCGGATTCTTTGAATGATACCATCAACGGTACCAAAACGGAAGTAAGCGTGCTTAGATAAGAGGTATCAAAACAACATCAAACAAGCGTCTCCAAGAGATTTGAAAGAAAGAGTACTGATGCAGTTGAAGTTTAAGGTTCCAGGCTGTTGCAGTCAGAAAAAGAAACATATAAAATACTGGGTGGAGAGGTAGACAAAGAAGTTCCAACATTCTTCATTCTGTCACTGGGTCAGTCTGGCAATCATGCTTCACAATTGATTCCAAAGGTAGATATCCGCCGACCCCGGCCGACAGCAAGGGGGAGCGCGTCAGGGAAGAGAGGTTGTGGACAACAACAAATACAACAACGGGTCTTGGGAAGCTTTCCAAAGTAGCAGCAGCAGTAGCAGCAGCAGAGCAGCGGCAGTGGTAGCAGCAGCAGAGCAGCGGCAGCAGCCAGTAGCCAGCAGCCAGTAAGCAGGCAGGAGGCAGCCAGGACTCAGCAGCCAATAGGCAGCAGCCGCCAAGCAGCCAGTAAGCAGGCAGCAGGCGGCCAGTAGTCAGCAGCCAGGTCAGCAGCCAGTAGGCAGCTGCCGCCAGCAGCTGCAGCAGTTGCATTCTCTGGGGGCTCTTTTGAACAGGCGGCAGCAGCAGCAGCAGCAGCAGGAGGCTCAGGTGTAGCCTTGTTTAGAGCAGTTTCAGACGAGACGTTAGGCAGTTTTTGGTCATTTTTTTCTGGCCCATCCGCCCTTCGCTGCCATGGTGTTTCCCTGTCCGGGACTCCGGGACCCACGTTTTTGCAGCAGCCAGCGGCAGAAGCAGCCACCAGCCAGCAGCAGCCAGTAGCCAGCAGCCAGTAAGCAGGCAGCGGCAGCCAGTAGTCAGCAGCCAGTAGGCAGCTGCCGCTAGCAGCTGCCGCTAGCTGCAGCAGCCGTATTATCCGGGGGCTGTTTTTTGAACGGGCAGCGGCAGCAGCAGCAGCAGCAGCAGGAGGCTGAGGTGTAGCCTTGTTTAGAGCAGTTTCAGACGAGACGTTAGGCAGTTTTTTGTTATTTGGCGTCGTGCGTCCAGCATCCAGAAACCATTCCTTGCTTTGAGCAGCGGAGAAGCAACAACCGAAGTAGCAGCCGAGCAGCTTACAGCAGGAGCAGGGCAGCAGGAAGGCCATGTGGACACAGTTGTCAAGAGCTGCCAAGAGCTGGAAATTTGTGTTTTTAAACTAGAGTTTCAGAAGGGACGTTAGGCCTCGTGGATTATCATTGCAGGGCACCATTCCGTCCCTCAGTGCCATGGTGTTTTCCTGTCCGGGAGGTGCGTTTCTTTAAGGCAATTTGTTGGCTAAAAGATGTGGTAAACAGCTGCGGGCTGCAGAGGTGGCAAACAGGTGCAAAACGCTGCCAAGAGCTGTCAAGAGTTGGACCTTGTGTTCCTTAATGTTTTTTGACTAAGGTTTCAGAAGGGACGTTAGGCCACGTGGATTACCATTGCAGGGCACCATTCGTCCTTCAGTTCCATGGTGTTTTCCGGTCCAGGAGGCTGGTCAGCAGCAGCAGCAGCAGCCGAAGGCGGCACACCAAAAGCAGCAGAGCAGCAACAACCGAAGTAGCAGCCGAGCAGCTTACAGCATGAGCAGGGTAGCAGGAAGGCCATGTGGACACAGTTGTCAAGAGCTGCCAAGAGCTGGAAATTTGTGTTTTTTAACTAGGGTTTCAGAAGGGACGTTATCCCTGTGGTTTATCATTGCAGGGCACCATTCCGTCCCTCAGTGCCATGGTGTTTTCCTGTCCGGGAGGTGCATTTTTTTAAGGCAATATGTTAGCTAAAAGCACACCAGCAGGAGGAGGGGCTTGTAGCAGGAGCAGCAGCAGCAGCAGCAGCAGTAGGAAGCAGCGCAGCAGCAAGAAGCAGCGCAGCAGCAACAACCGAAGTAGCAGCCGAGCAGCTTAAAGCAGGAGCAGGGCAGCAGGGAGGCCATGTGGACACAGTTGTCAAGAGCTGCCAAGAGCTGGATTTTTTTTTAACTAGGGTTTCAGAAGGGACGTTAGGCCTCGTGGATTATCATTGCGGGGCACCATTCCGTCCCTCGTTGCCATGGTGTTTTCCTGTCCGGGAGGTGCGTTTTTTTAAGGCAATTTGTTGGCTAAAAGATGTGGCAAGCAGTTGCAGCAGCCGCAGCAGAAGCAGCGCAGCAGCAACAACCAAAGTAGCAGCCGAGCAGCTTACAGCAGGAGCAGGGCAGCAGGAAGGCCATGTGGACAAGTTGCCAAGAGCTGCCAGGAGCTGGAAATTTGTGTTTTTTAACTAGAGTTTCAGAAGGGACGTTAGGCCTCGTGGATTATCATTGTAGGGCACCATTCCGTCCCTCAGTGCCATGGTGTTTTCCTGTCCGGGAGGTGCATTGTTTGAAGGCAATTTGTTGGCTAAAATGCTAAAAGATGTGGTAAACAGCTGCGGGCTGCAGAGGTGGCAAACAAGTGCAAAACGCTGCCAAGAGCTGTCAAGAGTTGGACCTTGTGTTCTTTAATGTTTTTAAACTAAGGTTTCAGAATGGACGTTAGGCCTCGTGGATTACCATTGCAAGGCACCATTCGTCCTTCAGTTCCATGGTGTTTTCCCGTCCAGGAGGCTGGTCAGCAGCATCAGCAGCAGCCGAAGCCGGCACACCAAAAGCAGCGGAGCGGCAACAACCGAAGTAGCAGCCCTCAGTGCCATGGTGTTTTCCTGTCTGGGAGGTGCGTTTTTTTAAGGCAATTTGTTAGCTAAAAGATGTGGCAAGCAGTTGCAGCAGCCGCAGCAGAAGCAGCGCAGCAGCAACAACCAAAGTAGCAGCCGAGCAGCTTCCAAGAGCTGGAAATTTGTGTTTTTTAACTAGGGTTTCAGAAGGGACGTTAGGCCTCGTGGATTATCATTGCAGGGCACCATTCCGTCCCTCAGTGCCATGGTGTTTTCCTGTCCGGGAGGTGCATTTTTTTAAGGCAATTTGTTGGCTAAAAGATGTGGTAAACAGCTGCGGGCTGCAGAGGTGGCAAATAGGTGCAAAACGCTGCCAAGAGCTGTCAAGAGTTGGACCTTGTGTTCTTTAATGTTTTTGAACTAAGGTTTCAGAAGGGACGTTAGGCCCCGTGGATTACCATTGCAGGGCACCATTCGTGTGTGTTCCCGTCCAGGAAGCTGGTCAGCAGCATCAGCAGCTGTCGAAGCCAGCACACCAAAAGCAGCGGAGCAGCAACAACTGAAGTAGCAGCCGAGCAGCTTACATTACAGCAGGAGCAGGGCAGCAGGAAGGCCATGTGGACACAGTTGTCAAGAGCTGCCAAGAGCTGGAAAATTGTGTTTTTTAACTAGGGTTTCGGAAGGGACGTTAGGCCCCGTGGATTATCATTGCAGGGCATCATTCCCCCCCCCCCTTATTTCCATGGTGTTTTCCTGTCCGGGAGGTTCGCTTTTTTAAGGCAATATGCTAGCTAAAAGCACACCAGCAGGAGGAGGGGCTTGTAGCAGGAGCAGCAGCAGCAGCAGCAGGAAGCAGCAGCAGCAGCAGGAAGCAGCGCAGCAGCAACAACCGAAGTAGCAGCCAAGCAGCTTACAGCAGGAGCAGGGCAGCAGGAAGGCCATGTGGACACAGCTGTCAAGAGCTGCCAAGAGCTGGAAATTTGTGTTTTTTAACTAGGGTTTCAGAAGGGACGTTAGGCCTCGTGGATTATCATTGCAGGGCACCATTCCGTCCCTCAGTGCCATGGTGTTTTCCTGTCCGGGAGGTGTGTTTTTTTAAGGCAATTTGTTGGCTAAAAGATGTGGCAAGCAGTTGCAGCCGCAGCAGAAGCAGCGCAGCAGCAACAACCAAAGTAGCAGCCGAGCAGCTTACAGCAGGAGCAGGGCAGCAGGAAGGCCATGTGGACAAGTTGGAAATTTGTGTTTTTTAACTAGGGTTTCAGAAGGGACGTTAGGCCCCGTGGATTACCATTGCAGGGCACCATTCGTGTGTGTTCCCGTCCAGGAGGGTGGTCAGCAGCATCAGCAGCTGCCGAAGCCAGCACACCAAAAGCAGCGGAGCAGCAACAAGCGAAGTAGCAGCCAAGCAGCTTACAGCATGAGCAGGGTAGCAGGAAGGCCATGTGGACACAGTTGTCAAGAGCTGCCAAGAGCTGGAAATTTGTGTTTTCAACTAGGGTTTCAGAAGGGACGTTAGGCCTCGTGGATTATCATTGTAGGGCACCATTCCGTCCCTCAGTGCCATGGTGTTTTCCTGTCCGGGAGGTGCGTTTTTTTAAGGCAATATGTTAGCTAAAAAGCACACCAGCAGGAGGAGGGGCTTGTAGCAGGGGCAGCAGCAGCAGCAGCAGCAGCAGCAGTAGGAAGCAGCGCAGCAGCAACAACCGAAGTAGCAGCCGAGCAGCCGACAGCAGGAGCAGGGCAGCAGGAAGGCCATGTGGACACAGCTGTCAAGAGCTGCCAAGAGCTGGAAATTTGTGTTCTTTAACTAGGGTTTCAGAAAGAACGTTAGGCCTCGTGGATTATCATTGCAGGGCACCATTCCGTCCCTCAGTGCCATGGTGTTTTCCTGTCCGGGAGGTGCATTTTTTTAAGGCAATTTGTTGGCTAAAAGATGTGGCAAGCAGTTGCAGCAGCCGCAGCAGAAGCAGCGCAGCAGCAACAACCAAAGTAGCAGCCGAGCAGCTTACAGCAGGAGCAGGGCAGCAAGAAGGCCATGTGGACACAGTTGTCAAGAGCTGCCAAGAGCTGGAAATTTGTGTTTTTTAACTAGGGTTTCAGAAGGGACGTTAGGCCTCGTGGATTATCATTGCAGGGCATCATTCCGTCCCTCACTCCCATGGTGTTTTCTTGTCCGGGAGGTTCTTTTTTTAAGGCAATATGTTAGCTAAAAGCACACCAGCAGGAGGAGGGGCTTGTAGCAGTAGCAGCAGCAGAGGCAGCAGCAGCCGCAGCAGAAGCAGCGCAGCAGCAACAACCAAAGTAGCAGCCGAGCACAGCAGGAGCAGGGCAGCAGGAAGGCCATGTGGACACAGCTGCCAAGAGCTGCCCAGAGCTGGAAATTTGTGTTTTTTTAACTAGGGTTTCAGAAGGGACGTTAGGCCTCGTGGATTATCATTGTAGGGCACCATTCCGTCCCTCAGTGCCATGGTGTTTTCCTGTCCGGGAGGTGCATTTTTTACGGCAATTTGTTGGCTGAAAGATGTGGCAAACAGTTGCGGGGTGCAGAGGTGGCAAACAGGTTCAGATTCAAAACCCACTCGCTCTGAAATATCAGCTAGCAACAATAGGCCCGGGGTTGGCGGCAGGGGCGGCAGCCCTTAGATATGTAACAAGAACAAAGCAAGACTAAAGCACAAAGGAAGGAATCATGATAGTATCCACCTGCTCATTTTTTGCTCACCTAAAAGTAGAATCGGTGAGCAAAGACGCACTTTTGGGGACAATGGGCGGAAGACCTGACAACAAATCTGATCCTACCGCACCGCGAGCTTCCTTTTCAATGTACCCATGAAGACAACAAAAACCTGTCATGAAATCAAAGCCATACCAACATCACCATACACCTGTAGAGGCATCTCTGGCAAGGCGTCGCCAGCATCGGCCGTGTTCCCCACGGTTTCCGTCACCAGTGGCACATCGACAAGTGGTTGAGAGGTGAAAAGATCTTGTAGACTGATTTGGTGAGGCGATAGCTGAAGCTTGGACGCCAACTCCAAGCACAGTTGCGAGATGCGATCTTTGTTCTTGCATGGTATCTGAAGCTGACCAGTGGGCAGGGTGAAAACAGCTTTGCACAACGAAGAGCAGTCAAGGCTGTGGCTATCACAAGATGAAAGTTGCAGGTGACAAGTGACATTTGTAATGTCATTTGCTTTCTCCACTGGATGCGGCTGCGGGCCCTCATATGAAAGGATTGTTGCAATTTCTCCACATTCGCACTGGCTGTAGACCGCAGGATGCAAAGTCATGCCAAAGTGTGGCGCGCCAGCAAAATCGACGGGAAAGATTGCAAGCATCTCTGAAGCACCTTCCTCGGCCCTTTTCACTGTCACTGATGCAATTGTGCCTTTCAACTTCAACAGCAGCAAAAGATCCGAATTGGTGGCCTCCACCTGTTGGAACCAGCAGCCTGGCCCTGCAGCATCACCAGGCGCACTTTGGAGCCACGTATCAGTGACAAAACCCACCATGGCTGCTTCGTCGTGTATGCGGATAGTCCAGCAATGTTCTCCGTCGCAGAGTTGGGTCATAAATCCCAGCACAGCAGCTGGACCAGCAGCGCCAAAGTTCGCCTCGCCAAAAACCAGGGTGCGACCCATATCTTTGAAGGTTTGCCAACTTGAATCCTTGCAGAGTGCCCATGGCCAACTGTTGCTAATCTGAATCAAATCTAGTTTGCAGCCATCGCGAACACCGCAATTTGCAAGCATCCAAGTATCACTCGGAACTTTCTTCCCAAAAATCAGCATTTTCCCTTCATGCTGAAGGCCGGACGCGCGCGAGAAGTTGTGTTTCAACTGGCGAACCGAGATATCTGGAGATGCTGCGATCTGCTTGCAGATTCCACACTCATCGCGGACTTCAACTTCTATCTCGACAACAAGCCATGCAACAAAGTCATTCCAGACTAGGTTAGGTCTCACCTGCTGGTTTCCCAAACTAAAGTCTCGGAGAGCTTGTTCCATAGTATACCTCTCCCACAAGGATTTCCAGATCATGTAGATTCCACCCTGTTCAGGCGCTCTGATGTTCACTTTCCTCTCAAATGCTTCTTTGGTTCGTGGAATGCCCTCATAGAGTTCCGCGGAGACCTTCGTGTCCACACCGAGCAGCACCTGCACTATATTGGTGCCAAGGTCCGCATTCTGCACACTGCCTGTGGCACGTACCTGTACTTGCTCCCCAGGATGTGCATGAAGGACTGTAGTAGGCAGATCACCTCGGAACAAGCGGACATCAACGTCTCTGCCATTGCCGTCCAACCGCTGCATCAAGTGGCGTCTTCTTGTCCTGGCCGAGCTAAGATGCGCGGCATGAAAAATGGCATTGTGCTCCTTGTTGGAGGAGCCCGCTTGAGAGATTTACATATGTGCAAGCTGGAACGACAAACATGTTCAGTGCTTTCAACATTTGGATAGATTTGGACACTGCTTCCATCAAAACCATTTGTTGGCAAACCTGAAAAAGACTGGCTGGCATGTAAGTCGTGATTGGGACAAATTTTGGTGAGAATGACCAAACCTCAAACGAGACACCCTCAACTTTCCTGGATGATCTGGGGCAACTTCAAAAATGCACGGAAAAAAATGACGCAGAGTTTTTGCTGAACCCATCCTGAGTTGGTCCCAAACACCTTGATCCTCATCCATGAAGTCTGTGTGTGCAACCGAGTGTTGGTCAAAATAGGCCCGAAGTATCTTTGGGTGTTTTTCGGAAAAACCCAATTCACTAAGTCCCGGTGGCAAATTCGCCAACAGCAAGAGCACATCAGCACCATCATCTACTCCACACTCTCCAAGAATCTGGTGGTCAGTGAGTTTTGTATCCCCTAAAACCAGCTGTGCAAAAATCGGAGGGTGCGCTAGAAAACCCATGGCTTTCATGCAGCGGTCTGACAGACTTTTCACAGTATCTTCAGCATGGGCTGAAACATTGCACTTAAATCCACTCACCAAACGGACATGTACTGTCAATTGCCCCGAAGAAACTGGCCCTCCATGCGGCTCATCGCCCACGTAGTCGACCACCAAAGACTCATTCGGTTCGCCATCTTGGAGCAACGGATCAGTGGCTGTGATTGGCCCACCTGTTTCCGGATCAGAGGCATGGCCCTGATCTGCTGCTTCAAAGAGCGTGCCCTCAATAAGTTCATCTGGATTTGAAGATTGTCCACTGTCTACCACCATCCATGCCAAAAAGCAACTCCAGTCTGCACTCGGCTTTGCATGTAGATCGGCAAAGTCATCAGGATCAGGTGGTCTAAATTCTTCAAAGCTCCTCTCCCAGCGCCAAATCATGTACAGCCCGGGATTTTGTGGGGCGCGTCCTTCCAGAACCATGGGCTCTTGTACTTTGCTGCAGCAGCTTGCAATGAGAAGTGAGACGTCCAGGCCAGGTGAAGGCTCGCGAATACCTCCTGGTCCGTTTAGCATGCCTACCCTTATTTCCTCTCCTGTTTGAACATGCACCACTGTCACGTAGTTGTCACGGTACAAAAATTGCACCTCTGTTCCGTCTCTGTGTTCACGAGGAATTGCACCTTTTCTCGCATCCCTGCCAAGCAAACTCAATTTCTCACACCCCAAGCACGAAGCAAACAGAACGTGTGAGATTTTCTTGAAATGAAGGAACTGCAAGTGCTTTGGCAACCATGAGCAACACACGATTGCGGCCTCAATCGCTCCCACACAAATGGCAAGCATTGTTCAAATAGTGAGGGCCCGGCCCCTGACTGAAAACAAAGTGACAATTAGGTAATACAGTGCACAAACGGGATTCAACTCTGTGTCTTGACAATGGGAATCCACAGTGTCCTACATGTGGCATCCACTGTGGCAACGGCCTCCTGTGCTTTTGAGTACTCCATCGGAGCCTCATCAAAGACATCGAAATCACTTGGGGCAAGGAAGAATATATTTTGGCCACAACGCAATGGTTCCTGCCTTGGAGTGCTTTAGTGGAAGACTCATCAGCCTGGCAGCCAAAGTTCAAGCTGATCGTGCAAAAATGTGGAAAGTATTCACGGACTAGTCTAACACCAACAATGATCACCAAACAGTGGCCCGTTCCTCGCTTGGGAGTGCCCATGGCCAAACAGCGGGGTGGCCCATGATGGCAAAACAAAATGCAACACCCGCACTGTATGGGACTGTTGAAGTCGTTGTTTCTCATACATGTGCTGTGCTGGCTTCAAGTAAGGACCGTAGCTGAAAAACAAATTTGTGAAAATAACAAGCAAAACCTTAACACTGGACACTCATTTTGCTTGGGAAAGTTGTGTGGCATCAGCTCGGCTAATTTTGCGTTGATGCTTCCAAGGTACTGAAAAAATCCCATCTATGAGCAACTGTGCTTCGTTTGAGTTCTGCCGATTTCAGCTTTCAGCTTCAGAAATCCATACCATTCTGGTCTCACAATTGTCAGGCTCTTACATGTGTCCTTGCATGCTAAGATCCTGCTGGAATATCTTTTGACAACTTGTTTGCATCAAGCTCTGCCAAAAAAAAATGCAAGTGTTCAATCCAATATTGAGTGCGAGCACCCTTAATGTTTCATTCAAACCAAGCATGACAGATTGTCACCGGTCAAATGAACACTTATTCAACATAGAAGGCAGCGGAAAGGTGGTCTCACCACGCTGGAAGTATTGTGTGATTCTGGGATACAGCTTTGTCATTAAAAATAATTAATGATTAAATACGAGTGCCCATCAAGTGTATGAGCATTAAACATTATTGACCATCACGAACAAGCAATCGACTTGATACAGCGATCCCATGCATAACTATGGTCGCCTACAAAAATCATATCATTGGTAAATCAACTTGGGTGAAGCCCTGTAGCTACGACACGCCCGGAAAAATTGCCAAATCAATGCAAAATAAAGCACGACATGAATTCCACAAATACATATTGACACATTGCTTGGTTCACAAATACACATTGTGTATTTCACAAATGCATGCTATGCATCTCAAACATACACCCTGTGTATTTCTCAAATAGACGCTGCGCATTTCAAAAACCACATTGTGCATGTGTATTTCATAAGAACATGTCGTCCATCCAAAAAATACACACTTTGTATTTCGCACATGCACACTGCGTGCAGCAAGTTCGCATTGTTCATTTCACCCATGCACCTTTTGAAAACTTTCGCCTGTAATTCACAATAACATGCTACATATTTCACAAAAATAACTCTGTGTTTCACGATCCTCTGCATTTCACGAATACCTGCCGTGCAGTTCACACAAGGATACTGTGAATTTCACCAAACACGTTGCGCATTCCACAAACCACTGTATATTTAGCACACGCTGTGCACTTCGCAAATACAAGCAATGCGTTCACAAATGCACGGTGTGTTGAACAATATGTGCTGTGCGTTCGAAAAATGTAACGGTTGAGCAGCTCTACAAACGCCAAACCCACTGAAAACCCACTGAAAACCCTGGCCTCCACTTCTGTTTGAAATTCATCAGTTGTACACCTGAATCGAGTCTAGCAAAAAACTATTTTTGGATATTTTGGGGACCTCCAGAAGTACAAACAAATCCAAACGCAAGACTAATACATTTAATACATTTATTGAAGCTGGCATGAGGTTCAGTGGTACAACAAGGCTCATAGCTTTGAAATGCCTCAGAATGTTCGCACTTGCTTCGAACCTCATGAAAGATACTGAAACAACTGTCGATCACAAGTGTCACCTACATGTTGACTAGTCTTGCAGCATGGGATCATTACACCTATCGCTTTTGAAGTCAGAACCCTGGCAAAACCTCGTGGCAGCTGTGCTTGACACCAAAAAAAATAAGAGGTCTAGGGCATAGAGGCCGCCAAGTTTCCAGGCAGTGAAAATCCTAACAAATCTACGCTTCTTGCCATCACAATCCTCCCGGTCTTTACCTTCCGGGTCCCTTTATGTTGCCTCCCGAGGATTTGCCACACAACTTCTTAGCAACAACACTCCCACATGCTTCCCAAATCTTTCACCCTTTTTCCCGAGACTTACCCAGTTTTGCCCCTCAGCCCCTCAGTGCTTCGGACACGATTCGCACTTCTTTCCCAGCCCAAGTTTCTTCATTTTCACAATTGGTTTCTTCTTCGTTCCACAGTTTTCCCAAGTAGCTCCCGTCTCAAGCACGCCTCATAGTCAACCAAGACTGCCGCGGGTATCCGGACAGGCTGAGAATATACATGAGCAAGCGGAAGAATGTTTCAATATTTGCATTGTACCAAGGTATTGGGGGAATACAGAAATAAAGTTCAATGAAACTATTCAATCATATTCAATCTTGTTGTGCATATTTTCGGTGAGAAATGCATGTGCGAAATGCAGAGTCGCTTCAAAACGGTTGATGCATCTTGAACATCTTGAACTTTGAAGCTTGACGAGCCCATCTGAAGAAGAGGGTAGAGTCGGATCAGATGCGGGCTGCCCAATGTCGTGCAAATTGTGCATTCGGTGCACTAAAAACACACAAGAGAATCACAAGATATTGCAAATCAGATGCATATGAGATGGAAAAAATTGGCCATGCCCACCATGACCACCATATAATGCCGTGGCAAGGTCTAGAGCTCTTGGTGCGACGCGCTGTTAGACTTTTCGGTGTCAACTTCATCGCCGTCTCCGGGCGCCCACGTTGCCTGTGGCAATGCCTGCGATGCCTGTGCTGCTTCTGCTGCCTCTGTTGCCTCTGCACGGAGGGCTTCGACCAACAAATGCCAGGCACCGCTGGCACCGCTCGAACTCTTGGCACCAGCCTTCGCCTGGCGACATGGCCATGATATCAAGATATATCAAGGAATACGCGACATGAACATCGCGAACATGTTTAGCAAGGGAATTCAATGGAATTCATCTACAAAGAGTCCTATTTTAAGGGTTCACCAAATTCGCCCTTGTTTTGTGCCAGACCTGATGGTCGTCATAAACCAGATGGCTTTAAGCCATCATCCTTTCAAACTCAACTTTCAAATCTGATCAAAAGGCATGATCAGTTCTATGAGGGCGTCCAATCTCCGAAAGGCACGGAACATGGCACGCCTCAGAGCCTGCCTACCTTTATTCAAAAGGCATGAATGGTAGGACAGCTCACTGGGACTTCCACGGCCCCAGACACGGCCTGACACTAAGGGTGGAAGGCTGTTGCCGAAACTTCGTCAGCAAAAGCCTGTATACGCTGTAAATCACATTCTGGAATTCGGAGAGACGGCAGCTGCGCCATGCCGTCCTGGAGATAGAGAGGCCCAACGGAAATGCTTTTCCAGCGTCCTCTGAGCAATATTGCTTCCAAGGGAACCCCTTGTTGGAGCAAAAATGTTGCTCCTCCTCTACGTAGTGAATACCCTTTGTACCCAAAATGGGCCACGCGGAAAAAACGGAAATACGACTGGAGTTTGGTGCGGAACGCCTGGGCAGAATGTGGCCATAACCGTTGGCCAGGAAAGTGTCGATGGCAGCTCCACAAGGTGTCCAGTAATTGCAAAGTACTGCGATCTCGCAAGGCCACCGCTTCTTTGGACCCTGTGCGGAGTCCAGACTTACTCTGCTGCAAGGAGACCACGCCACAGCGCGAACCAAACTCCAAGTCGCAAAACCTGAGAGCCAACGCCTCACCGGTTCGCAGCAGGGCATGATATGCCAGCGCGACCAAAACTGCAAATGACAAATCCCCCTTTTGCACTGCACGGCTAATAATGGCTTTAACCAGCAGCACCGTAAGTGGCGGGGCTCGCGAGGGGGCCTCGACTCTCCTCCATTGCTTGAAAAGCCGCCAAGCTTCACGTAGAGCTCCCCTAATCTCAGGCCAGAACCAGTGTAGACCTGATAATGTGTCTGCAATGGAGTTCACAGACATCCCACGAGCCCACTGCATTTCAATCCATTCACAAATGATATCATCCAAATGGGAAAGATTGCTTTGTCTTTCCAGAAAAGGGAGAAGGCGTCCCACTGCTTGCTCGTAGCGAGCACGGGTCTTAGGCGTGATGCAAAAGTCTCTCAGCCTGTACCCAGCTCGCCTCTCCCGCCGTTCTCGAGCCGTGCGACCTGCCAGCAGCACCCTTTGGGCTGGACGCGGCATATGGTCCACCACCGGCCAGGTTAGGCACGGGATGCCGCATCTGTGGGGTTCTCCGAGGAGCCCACGTGCCCATGCAGCAGCTGCGCACCCATCGCCAACTGTATGGCGCCGATTTGACGTACAACTGGCTGCAACATTCGGCTGGAAGTCCGTCCCTTTGTTAAAATTAGTAAGCAAACCATGCTGTCTTCTAAGTGCAGCCAGCGTTTGTTTACTGCAGAAACCTTTCTAGTTTTCCATAAAATTGCATGAAGAATCATGCGCATTTCCAAAAGGTTAATATGAGAGGAAAAGCCCCATTTAATTTTAAAAAGGTGCTTCCACTGCCACCACCAAGCTCTTACCGAACAGTGACATGCAGGTTTTTTACCTAGGGCAGCCCCTGAAGAAACCCGGACGTCGGAACCCGTATGATTAACTGTCAGTCCGAGTTGCTCCACCAACATCTTTGAACTCGCCGGCAGAGAAGGATCGCCCCCATACGCCAACCAGCGTGTCAAGGGCACCAGCACCTGCGGGTGTGCGCTGGCGCCCGGTGCCAGCCCTAGCCGCTGCAAAATCACGCGTGGGCTCATTCGAGGCACAAACTCTGAGCACAAAACTGCGCCCATAAGTGCAAAGGAAAATATTGAAAAAGAGTCTCCGCACAAGCTCCGTCGAACATCTTCATACTGCTCAAGGCTCCGCTTCATATTGGATGCCGACATGCAGGTCGCCGTGTGATGGGGTCCAAACCCCAAAAGTAGCTCCCTTTCTGAGCTGTCCAAAAGCCTGGCTTCCTTTGAAGGGTGAGTAAGCAGGAACTGTTCAGCATATTGGTACGGAGGGTACCTGAAAGAGCCCGCCCTCCATCGGGAAAGCGTATCCGGACTTGCACGGCTGTAGCCAGCAGGTACCGGTGGCGGTCGGTCCCGCTTGATCGCTTTCATGAAAGTGGGAGACCGTGCTCCGGACGACTCACCCGGCCAAGACCACCCGGGGCGGATCCAGCACTGAGTGTCAACAGCGGGACCACTTGCATATGCCCGCACGTAGTCTCTTTCTTCCCAAAGTTCTAGCCCTTCCATCTGAAAAAGTTCCTCAGAGCACCAAGCCAGCCTGGGCCTCGAATAGGGCATGCAATCGGCCGGGTCCAGCTTAACCGGCATCACCTCCAGCTCCGCCGATATTTGCCTCCGAGCCGCTTCATCCATCGAAGCGACATTTTCGATGCAAAATTTCACCTTGGCAAAAGTGTTGAATACCTCCTGCACCCAGGATATCAGTTCCAGCAGCTTCCAAAACAAATTGGACCCAGTGCCCTCCAAATTTTTCCGAAATGCCCGTACAGAGGACAAATGGACACAAGGGAAGCCAGCCCATAAGTGTACTTCCAACGCACGGGCAAAGCAATTTGCCCAGCGTTGGACGTCACGCTTTGTCACCAAGTTGATATCCATCAGCTCCTCCACTTGGGGCCACGTACTTCTGGTGACTCGGTTGCCTTCCTTGCAGATGTCTATCGACACTAGCCCCAACGGCTTGACGCCCAACACGTCATAAACTCGGAAGGCACCACCGATCCCGTTAAAGCAAGAGATCACCAGCACCGGGCATTCGATCGGCCCATAGTCCATTCGTAGGCCCCTGTCAACGTAAGACCGACCCGACCAAGACAGCGTGTCCGTCACAGCGACGGCTCCGCCCGTCTCAGACGCATCACTGCAGGTAACCTCATTGTCGTACTCCATGGTGAGGTCCGTCTGCAGCAGGGGCCCCAAGCAAGCAAGCATGCAAAGCTCCCGCACCAGTGTCCTGCGCTGTGCCGGTGTGGGCTGCATCCGTTCCAGGCTCTCCCACGCGCGCGAAAGGCATCCCATGCCAGCGCGGCGGAATTGTAAAATAAAAATCCACCTTCCAAGTATCACCTGCGTCTCTCGTTTGCTCCACCCCGGCCTCTCCATCACAAAGAAAGTGGCCAGCAGGGTTTTGAACAGTCTTTCCGGTGAAGCTCCCAGCAACTTCTCCGACCCATCAAACCTGATTCCGAGCTCCACGACACTTGTTTCTTCCAGCACTTGTTTGTCATGTGCCGTCAAAATACCTGCTCCAGTCCAAGCCTGCATCGCCTCAGTCTGTAGGTACCTCCCTATAGAAGGTGCAAGAGTGTTGCTGGACTCCCCCGCCATGAAATTGTCCAGATAGACTTGCCACCATGCTCTGTGCCCATCGGCCGCCGCAACGGTTGAAGTGAACCAGCGGGGGACCCCATGGACACGTTCAATTTCCAGGCTCTTGGGGAGTCCGCGCATCAGCAGAACCTGCCGCGATATCTGCTGCATAATTCCTACAGACGAATTCCAACCCATTGGCAAGACTCTGCAACAGGGTCGGTACCTTTTGTTTGCATCCAGGCCCACTTTGTCACCACTGATGCAAAAATTGAAACAGAAGAACTTCTCCCAACCGCACGGCATTCTGAATAGATAGAAAGCACTCTGCATATCCCCTTGCGACATAGTAAACTCCTCCTCTTCATCTGCAACAATGGAGATCCATGAAGTTGGGGAAGGAAGAAACCCGATGTCGCCTTTGATAACTTCCAGGATGTTGTTGACCGGTATTAAGTTCATTATGACCCTCAGGACAGGCTCTCCAGATGAGGTGGTTTTCCCCTGTTTAATGACCCCAAACAAACCATTTAGGTAGGTTCCTCTGCTGTCGCTGAAGGCCACTTCAGAGGGGACCCAGGAAACAATCCCCCTATCCTCCAACAACTTGAACACTTCCAAAGACTCGCCAGGCCTCACATGAACCTTCGCCTGGCATGATGCCGTTCCCCGCTCGGAAACGTCCAGCAGGGATTCCAAAGGGTTCTCCAAGAGATACTTCGTCCTTCCAGTGACGTAGGGCTCGATCGGAACTGAAGCTCCGTGACCTCGAGGTGGCAGGCCATCTATGATTTGGTTTACAGTAAGTGGGAGTGGTTGTGTGACCTCTTCACCTGTGTAACTGATACGTTTTTCATGTAAATCTTTCACCACCTCTTCAAACGAAAAACCAAACTGTGAATCATGCTTCAAAAACCTCTTGATCCTTTGAACCATGTTTCTACGGACCGCTCCATGTATTTTTCCAGCACGGACGCCGGTCAGTGAAAAGCTGCAACCATAATAGGCGTTCAGCGCTGCACAGGAAACGCAACGCCAGCACTCTACGGCCAGCTTGGAAAAAGCCGGATTGCTCTGGTCTAAAAACGACCAGCAATCCAGGGAGCTTATCTCAGCAGGGATTTCCACCGGCAGAGGAAACAACCCGCGAGTCCGATCTCTCGAACGCGCCGGTTGTGGAGGTCTGGCACCACCCTCCTTTAAGGGTAGGAACCCAGCGTTGAGACCCCATGCCAGTGCTATGCCTACTTCAGACAAACATCCACAGTTCTGTAGCTGCTCTACCCAGGCCTCACGATTGCGAGGTACCGCGCGGCCGACAGAGCCAGCGGTTGGGTCCCCTGTCACGGAGAGGACTCCAGCAGGGCATGCATTAATTTGTGCATCGCTGGCCGTTGGCGCCACGACCAGCGCCGGGGCGGCTCCAAGTGGCACCTGAAAATTATCAAAGGTGGTGTCAATGAGCCCGCTCACAGCCTCAGCTGATGCCTTCCCTTCTACCCTTCTGCGGCCTTTCCTTTGTTCTCCCCTTCTCCTTTCGGATCGCCACCTCCTTTTCCTTTGTACTTCCCTTTGCCTTTCTTGCCTTTGCCCTTCTCGCCCTTTCCTTTGCCTTTTGGGCGAGCATCGGTCTGCCAGTCGGACCAGCTCCATTGCCCTCCTTTTGGCCACGAACCTTTGCCGCCAGCTTTTTCGACCTGGCGTTGGTGTCGCTGTGCTGAGAGCAGGATGTGAGGCCGCACCGGCCCTTCTTCCTCGGGCCCGTAGACCTCGAGGTGCCGGGCTGTCGCCCAGCCCTGCCTGGTAGCAGTTTCCACTGCTAGTAGGCGTGCTGCCAACACATCGGCCAGGCTCGCTAGCCGGCCCTCCCTCAACATGTCGAGACACCTGGCGAGAAGGCTGATCTCGCGGCAATCTCGGCTCTTTGGGTCCAGCGACGGCTTCAGGGCCAGCTGGAAAAAGGTGAAGATCTTCGGACTCCTCCCGGTGCTGGAGTCTGCCATGTACTCCTCCTCCAGCACGCCTTCCTGGGCCAAGTGCTCCACCACCTGTGACTCGAGAAGGCGCAGTACTGATCCTGGCTCCTTCTGCGACTTTTTCTTCAAAGGCGGGACCAGGCTGGCCGAGCTGCTGCTCGACTCCCTCGATCTGCTCTCGCCTGAACGTGATCTCGAGTCCGACCTGTGGCGATGCTTCCTCTTTCCATGTCGCCTGCCTCGCCGTGATCGGCTGCGACTCCTCTTCTTCACTGCTTTCTCCTCTCGCCTCCTCCGGTCGGATACTGCCCTGGCCAGTCGGTCTTCGACATCTTTGGCCTTCTTCTTCTTCTTCTTCTTCTTCTTCGGCTTGTCTGAGTCTGACTCTATCGGGATTGCCTCCTCCTTCACTTTGCGGGTGTCCGTCAAGGCCAGCGGCGCAGACAAGTGGCCAGCGCGACCAAGACCAGTTCCACCCCGGGAGGTCTCCAGATTTCCACCGCCCGCGGGCCTTCTGCTCGGCGCCTGATCGCCAGCGAAGGTGACATGTCGAGCTTCCTTTAACCTCTTCAGACGATCCTCCAAAGTGGTGAAGGCGGTCCTTGGGGGCCCAGCAGCCGCAGTGGCGGTCTTCTCTTCTGCAGCCATCTTGGGGCCATCCTTCACAGCTTTGCGTGCGCTGCTGGACAGCCACTTTGCATCGAAACTGCCCGGAGGGAACCAATCGAAGGAGTCGATATGGCACCCCTCTTCTTCCAGCAAAGGGCAAGACCCCCTTTCGCCGTAGCAGAGGTGAACATAGACCCTGCCCTTCTTGAAGAACTTGGCGGTGTCGGCATAGACCTCCTTTACCTCAGTCCCAAGACAAAGCACTTTCAGCCAAATCCCATCGGGCAGCGACTCCCTCTCTTTGACCAAAACTGCACAGGCCCCCTGCGCGGATTCTTCCACGAACCCAGCAGGGAACAAAATCACTGAGCCTGCTGGCACGTGTCGGTGCCTCCAAAAGTCTGCTTCGGCAAGCACATAGCTCTGGGGAGTAGACGGCTTGGGTTGACTTTCCAAATGCTCTCGAATTTCGGCAGGTGTAGGTGGCTCTTCGGTCAGGTCTACACCTCCCGGTGCGGCGGGTGGAAAAGGCTCCATCTCGCCAGCAGCCAAGGGCAAATGCCCTTAGATGCGCCGGGTAAGGGCGTGATGCGCAGAGCTGGATAGCTCCACGTCGGCCCCCTTCAACCTCCTGTGGCTCCTCCTTAAAGGCTGATCCACTTCCCTGTAATGCCTCTGATGCTTTCGGCCACCTCGTGTTTTCTTCTTGTGGCTCCTTTTCTTCCTTGGCGGATTTCGTGGTTCAGGTGGTGGGAGATGCCCCCCTTCTGTTTTGACCTCCTGAATCGGCTCTCTCACCCCGCGGTCCTCTTCAACTGGCTCCTCTTCGCTCTCCTCGCTGTCTCCGTCCTCTTCCTTGCGTCGATCTGGAGGCTTCGCGCCCCTCTTGGGGTACAGCTCCTGAGACGCTTCCCTCCTTGGAAGTGGGGGACGTTCGTCCCGCTCTCCTGAACGCTCCCTGCACCTCCTGGTTCTGTCCCTTGACCTCTCTCGCTCTCTCCTTGGCTCCTCGCGCCTGCTCACTGGACGCTCCGGCACAGGAGGCGGAGCCGGAATCGCAGGTCTCGTCGACTCGGCTCGTGTGCCAGCGGAGGAACCCACGAAACTCCGGTCCAGGTTGGCAAAGGCCCTTACGAGCCTGGCTGCGGTGACCAGGGTTTCCTCAGCAACCTTGCGGACGCCCGGCGACTGCCAGCGTTGACCCAGCAAGGTTTGCGCGAGTTCCAACCCCGAACAACCTGTGCACCAGGAGTCACCCTCAGCCGGGACGCCAACCCTGCACTTATTGCATCTAGGATGCATTCCCAGCTTTGAGCCTAAAGGCCCGAAATTCACAAAACATCAAATTAGTTCACCCTAAATGTCGGGGCGACTGTCATCCAGATTGAAACCTTGTTGAATTGGAACGACATGAAATAAGAACCTTGTGTAATCATTACACCTGAGAAGGGGTGGAACGAAAGCCAGCGCTTGCTTTTTGACTCGCGCGGGGGCGCGTGAAACTCCACCTCATCCATATTGCATGGCTCAAACATGAAGCGCCCCAACATCAACAATTGCTATCGGGTCATAATTTTCCAATCATTAAATGGACCTTTTTAGGGTAAACTCCACGATTTTGTAACTTCTATATCCAAATATGTTTCCTACAATGTACAGCGGCATTGTGAAAAGTTCTATCTCAAGTTCCGTAAATCCGCCTTTGGTTGCTCATTTATCTTAAAACAGCGCAAGTTTGCTCCCACCTATTGTAGATAAATAATACCCGTTTTTTTGTGTGAACAGTGGTCATGTGACCTCTCAAAGTCTAAATTGTTTTCTCCCCAGAATCGTGGTCCATGCTTCTCCGCGAAGTTCCGCAACATTTTGGCCGTACGGTGAGAAATCAAATATAGCTCTACTCGCAAAATGGGCAGTGCAAACCCAAGACAATATTATAACATACGTAAGAAAGGGTATAAGAACGAATGAAAATCGAGGAAAACAATGCAAAACCCACGGGAAATATAGAACAGTGGCGAACATGCAGTCCAAATCAAAAGTATATACAAGGAGGGCCCTCAATGAAGAGGGCTGAAATCAGCGTCCGTTAGCGACCCCAAATTCAGACCTTTTGCACACACAGCACGAGGCCCCACGTATAGGGTCACAGCAGCGGCTCCCCCCCCGCACCCCCAGGATCAATGTTGTTTCCTGGTGTTAATCACTGCAGCAGCCAACTTCCAAAGCGTCAGGTCTTCACAGCAAGACATTTTCGTCAACCTTGATTCCGGGGGGTGCAGGGGGGGGGCCGCATGTGGCCGGAAAGGCCCTTTGAATTAGGAAGAAACACATGTGCCGTCACGGCAGGTGGCACATCACAGCTGCAAGATGAAATGCTTCACTGGCCGTTGGCGATGTCAATCTTTGCATTGGCTCCACTGCAACACTAGCATGCTTCGGTGTGAAACTACTAAGCACGATGTCACAACTTTATATTGGCTCTGCCGCAAAACTACTATGCTTCTGTGTGAAAACTACTAAGGGGAATTTCAAACTTTGTATTGGCTCGGTGGCAAAACTACTAAGGAATTGTTCAATGGACAAAAAAGGAAACACTTTCTTCTATTTCTTTTCAATTGGCAGAATTCCTTAGTAGTTTTGCGTCCAAGCCATTGTGATTTCAATTTCACGGGTTAGTAGTTTTTCATGCGTGCATGAGCTGTGACTCTGCCGTGCCAATGCAAAGTCTGCGAAAATGGTTGGAAGTATCCTTAGTAGTTTTTTGGGGCCACAGCAAAAACAGGTGCCAAAGCACGCAAAAACGTGTTTTTGATGCCTTGGGAGACAGCAGTCGTTAGGTAACCTGCCGCGTGTGACTTCACCACATTCCTGTCTGACTCCTTTAGAGACAGCAGTCTCAAGTGCTTCAGTGAGACATATAGTTTTGAGGAAGCTGCTGCTGACTCCTCGGGAGACAGCAATCACAAGTGCTTCAGTGAGACATATAGTTTTGAGGAAGCTGCTGCTGACTCCTCGGGAGACAGCAATCACAAGTGCTTCAGTGAGACATATAGTTTTGAAGAAGCTGCTACTGCTGACGGGTCATTTTGAAGGCCAGGAGCCACGAGAGGTCTTGGGTGCTCAGTTTGCCCGCCGATTTCAGGACTCTGCGTCGTTTTTTCTCCCGGCGCAGAGCTGAAACAAAAAGATTGAAAGTACAAGTGGTGCGATGCAGGTGCAATGCAGCTTCACCAAAAAAAACCTGAGATGGGAAAGATGAAGGTGCAAGTGGCACGATGGAATGTCAATACAGCTTCACCAACACAAACATGGCACACAAGGATGAAATTGAACCAGCCTGGGCCTTGACTTCTCGACTGGTTTGCTGCAGCTGGCGTTTCAAGGCCTGCCTTTCAGCTTTCAAAGCAGCTATACGGTCATCCATCCCGGGCACATGGGCTACAGCAGCACCTTCCGCAGCATCCCTTTCCATACCAGCGGCGGCAGACGACATGGCTATAGATATAGTCAAATTGTGTTTTCTGCGACGAGCTGTGAGCCGTGCTAGCTGCAGAAGCCATGCCGTCTGGACAGCTTCCATGCCAATTTTCTCAAACTGCACAACTGGAAGATAGTGTGACAAAACATGGCCGGTGGGGGCCCAAAACTGGGGGCTTGAAAAGTGATGCCAAAGGGACTCCCGTACCATGTACCCCCATAGTATTATGGAAAAAAAATCTTTGTCCTATAGTGCCACCCACGTCTGCAAATCTGTTGGATCCACCCGGAGCGGCAGCATCAAAGAAAAAGAACCTTATACGCGTGCGCCATTTGGCGTCGCGCTGGCCAAACGCACTGCATCTGCTGGGGTGTCGGCCTGTCAGGCCCAGGCCAAGGCACCCCTGCACCCATCAAGTGTTGAAGCGCTTTGTGCACTTGACCTGGGCCATTGCAGCCCACTGCATCGAAGCTTTTCTGCCATTGCCGAGCTGCCCAAAATTCGTGAGGGGCTTGCATGCACTGCCATAGCCAGGCCAGAGGAGGCACTAAACCGTGCTCTGAATATGAGCGCAACTCCTGGTGCTTCCTTTTCAAATATTGTTTAAAAGGGGAGAAGCCTTGCAGATCAAGCGGCTGTAGGTAATCCGTTGTCTGCGCTGGGATATATATAAGCTGCAGCTTGCACTTGCGTGCCATTGCCATGACCTGCCGTGGCAGGTGTGCCGGCGCACAATCAAGGAGTACAACGCCTTGTTTTGACGGAAAACTTTTCAGCACTTCTGCGATCTCTTTGAGAATTTGGGCACTGTTGGCAGCAGAGGTCCAAGCGGACTTTTGCCGCAAAACACGCAAACGAGTTTGTGGCAAAGCGCGCTGGGCGCGCAAGAGCTTCTTCGTGAGTTTCACCTGGGTGCCAATGAAAAAATGAGGCAACTTCCCTTGGATGTGCTTGCAGTTGCAAATCACGCTGACATAAGTAAGTCCACGCACCTCGAACATGTTGCTTCAGCACCTGTGCATGCGGCTGTTTGCCACCTGCTGTCCGTGGCTTTGCCACACATCCAATAGGCGGTGTCATGGTGTGGCCGACGCTAGTCTCATCCAGATTTATAAAAAGTAGCTCCCTGTCTGCGAGCCTGCTGTGGCAATAGCAGATGGCCCGCCAAAATGTCATGACCTGCTCGAGCGTTGCAGGAAGTGAAAGACAAAGCCTTATTATATATAGGGTCCCCAAATATAATTCCGAGGGAAGAAATTGATTGAAAATGGGGGCCTATTTTTGGTGCCAGATTCTGGCCCCAAAAATGGGACCGCCCAACCGGGATTAAGTAGGCTTATACAGGCATGAAACATGAGGGGGACCCATTTTTGGGGCCACATTCCGGCCCCAAAAATGGAGCCAGCCAACCCAAAAAAAGAAGACAAAATGTTGTAAGTTGGCTGGCCCGCGCCTTGTCGCGCAGTACAGCGGGGTCTCTGCTAACAACTTGCTTCAGCACCTTCCGGCGGACGCCCCACCGAGCCCGCCAGCGCTGCACCCACTTATTGACCATGCGTTTGTTTGGCACACCCATGTCCAGCTTCTGGCCATGGAAGGCCTCCTCCCACTTCAAAAACGTGTCCATCGCAGAAGGTGCTTGACAATGATTCGTATTGCAGTCATAGACCCACTGCTCTGTGGCTGCTTCGGCCAGGAAGGCTTGCGCTTTGCGTGAAGCTGTGTCATCCAAAGCGGTCAAATCTGGCAGCGGCGTCGTCAGCAACATCTCTTGGATCAAAGCTGCCGTGGGTACCCATTGCTGCCATAGGATATCGTTGTCAAAGCACAAGCCATGCGGAGAGTCAAATCCATGTTAAAATTCGACAGCATGTAAACAGCTACCACAATTTTGCGGGCTGCCACTCCAAGGCCGGCACAGTGCAACCTTTTCCGTTTTTTGGCATTCTGCCGATAAGCCGCTTTCAGTGCTTTGCCGTTCTGCACCAAGGCTTCCTTCAAGTCTGACACCCTGGCATCAGATGTGCCTTCGGCCACACCACAGGGCGGCTGCATGACTGACCGCAGAAAAACTATCTGTCGGCAGACTCATTGAAAACATTCGTGTCATGTCAAACCAATGCTGTCTGATACAGCTGAATTCGAATGGAAGCAAGGAAGATGACCTAATGAGTGCGGCCAAAGCATGGCCTCGGCATTTCAAAGCATACAAATTCATGTCTGGCTCATGCAAAAAACAAAAACTATATTGCTGTTGCATGCAGTCAGCGCGGCAAGACTTGATTCATATGGCTGCGTCCAGGAAAAAACATCGAGGAGAGGCGACCTGTGAGGAGCAGGCAAGACCGAACAATGATGATGAGCCGTCCAATCATGTGGGTTTGTGTTATGACACTGTTATGGAAAATACACTGCTGGTTATCTCTCCACATCATGCAGGTTTGTGTTGTCACAAGGAGGGCCCTCAATGAAGAGGGCTGAAATCAGCGTCCGTTAGCGACCCCAAATTCAGACCTTTTGCACACACAGCACGAGGCCCCACGTATAGGGTCACAGCAGCGGCTCCCCCCCCGCACCCCCAGGATCAATGTTGTTTCCTGGTGTTAATCACTGCAGCAGCCAACTTCCAAAGCGTCAGGTCTTCACAGCAAGACATTTTCGTCAACCTTGATTCCGGGGGGTGCAGGGGGGGGCCGCATGTGGCCGGAAAGGCCCTTTGAATTAGGAAGAAACACATGTGCCGTCACGGCAGGTGGCACATCACAGCTGCAAGATGAAATGCTTCACTGGCCGTTGGCGATGTCAATCTTTGCATTGGCTCCACTGCAACACTAGCATGCTTCGGTGTGAAACTACTAAGCACGATGTCACAACTTTATATTGGCTCTGCCGCAAAACTACTATGCTTCTGTGTGAAAACTACTAAGGGGAATTTCAAACTTTGTATTGGCTCGGTGGCAAAACTACTAAGGAATTGTTCAATGGACAAAAAAGGAAACACTTTCTTCTATTTCTTTTCAATTGGCAGAATTCCTTAGTAGTTTTGCGTCCAAGCCATTGTGATTTCAATTTCACGGGTTAGTAGTTTTTCATGCGTGCATGAGCTGTGACTCTGCCGTGCCAATGCAAAGTCTGCGAAAATGGTTGGAAGTATCCTTAGTAGTTTTTTGGGGCCACAGCAAAAACAGGTGCCAAAGCACGCAAAAACGTGTTTTTGATGCCTTGGGAGACAGCAGTCGTTAGGTAACCTGCCGCGTGTGACTTCACCACATTCCTGTCTGACTCCTTTAGAGACAGCAGTCTCAAGTGCTTCAGTGAGACATATAGTTTTGAGGAAGCTGCTGCTGACTCCTCGGGAGACAGCAATCACAAGTGCTTCAGTGAGACATATAGTTTTGAGGAAGCTGCTGCTGACTCCTCGGGAGACAGCAATCACAAGTGCTTCAGTGAGACATATAGTTTTGAAGAAGCTGCTACTGCTGACGGGTCATTTTGAAGGCCAGGAGCCACGAGAGGTCTTGGGTGCTCAGTTTGCCCGCCGATTTCAGGACTCTGCGTCGTTTTTTCTCCCGGCGCAGAGCTGAAACAAAAAGATTGAAAGTACAAGTGGTGCGATGCAGGTGCAATGCAGCTTCACCAAAAAAAACCTGAGATGGGAAAGATGAAGGTGCAAGTGGCACGATGGAATGTCAATACAGCTTCACCAACACAAACATGGCACACAAGGATGAAATTGAACCAGCCTGGGCCTTGACTTCTCGACTGGTTTGCTGCAGCTGGCGTTTCAAGGCCTGCCTTTCAGCTTTCAAAGCAGCTATACGGTCATCCATCCCGGGCACATGGGCTACAGCAGCACCTTCCGCAGCATCCCTTTCCATACCAGCGGCGGCAGAGGACATGGCTATAGATATAGTCAAATTGTGTTTTCTGCGACGAGCTGTGAGCCGTGCTAGCTGCAGAAGCCATGCCGTCTGGACAGCTTCCATGCCAATTTTCTCAAACTGCACAACTGGAAGATAGTGTGACAAAACATGGCCGGTGGGGGCCCAAAACTGGGGGCTTGAAAAGTGATGCCAAAGGGACTCCCGTACCATGTACCCCCATAGTATTATGGAAAAAAAATCTTTGTCCTATAGTGCCACCCACGTCTGCAAATCTGTTGGATCCACCCGGAGCGGCAGCATCAAAGAAAAAGAACCTTATACGCGTGCGCCATTTGGCGTCGCGCTGGCCAAACGCACTGCATCTGCTGGGGTGTCGGCCTGTCAGGCCCAGGCCAAGGCACCCCTGCACCCATCAAGTGTTGAAGCGCTTTGTGCACTTGACCTGGGCCATTGCAGCCCACTGCATCGAAGCTTTTCTGCCATTGCCGAGCTGCCCAAAATTCGTGAGGGGCTTGCATGCACTGCCATAGCCAGGCCAGAGGAGGCACTAAACCATGCTCTGAATATGAGCGCAACTCCTGGTGCTTCCTTTTCAAATATTGTTTAAAAGGGGAGAAGCCTTGCAGATCAAGCGGCTGTAGGTAATCCGTTGTCTGCGCTGGGATATATACAAGCTGCAGCTTGCACTTGCGTGCCATTGCCATGACCTGCCGTGGCAGGTGTGCCGGCGCACAATCAAGGAGTACAACGCCTTGTTTTGACGGAAAACTTTTCAGCACTTCTGCGATCTCTTTGAGAATTTGGGCACTGTTGGCAGCAGAGGTCCAAGCGGACTTTTGCCGCAAAACACGCAAACGAGTTTGTGGCAAAGCGCGCTGGGCGCGCAAGAGCTTCTTCGTGAGTTTCACCTGGGTGCCAATGAAAAAATGAGGCAACTTCCCTTGGATGTGCTTGCAGTTGCAAATCACGCTGACATAAGTAAGTCCACGCACCTCGAACATGTTGCTTCAGCACCTGTGCATGCGGCTGTTTGCCACCTGCTGTCCGTGGCTTTGCCACACATCCAATAGGCGGTGTCATGGTGTGGCCGACGCTAGTCTCATCCAGATTATAAAAAGCAGCTCCCTGTCTGCGAACCTGCTGTGGCAATAGCAGATGGTCCGCCAAAATGTCATGACCTGCTCGAGCGTTGCAGGAAGTGAAAGACAAAGCCTTATTATATATAGGGTCCCCAAATATAATTCCGAGGGAAGAAATTGATTGAAAATGGGGGCCTATTTTTGGTGCCAGATTCTGGCCCCAAAAATGGGACCGCCCAACCGGGATTAAGTAGGCTTATACAGGCATGAAACATGAGGGGGACCCATTTTTGGGGCCACATTCCGGCCCCAAAAATGGAGCCACCCAACCCAAAAAAAGAAGACAAAATGTTGTAAGTTGGCTGGCCCGCGCCTTGTCGCGCAGTACAGCGGGGTCTCTGCTAACAACTTGCTTCAGCACCTTCCGGCGGACGCCCCACCGAGCCCGCCAGCGCTGCACCCACTTATTGACCATGCGTTTGTTTGGCACACCCATGTCCAGCTTCTGGCCATGGAAGGCCTCCTCCCACTTCAAAAACGTGTCCATCGCAGAAGGTGCTTGACAATGATTCGTATTGCAGTCATAGACCCACTGCTCTGTGGCTGCTTCGGCCAGGAAGGCTTGCGCTTTGCGTGAAGCTGTGTCATCCAAAGCGGTCAAATCTGGCAGCGGCGTCGTCAGCAACATCTCTTGGATCAAAGCTGCCGTGGGTACCCATTGCTGCCATAGGATATCGTTGTCAAAGCACAAGCCATGCGGAGAGTCAAATCCATGTTAAAATTCGACAGCATGTAAACAGCTACCACAATTTTGCGGGCTGCCACTCCAAGGCCGGCACAGTGCAACCTTTTCCGTTTTTTGGCATTCTGCCGATAAGCCGCTTTCAGTGCTTTGCCGTTCTGCACCAAGGCTTCCTTCAAGTCTGACACCCTGGCATCAGATGTGCCTTCGGCCACACCACAGGGCGGCTGCATGACTGACCGCAGAAAAACTATCTGTCGGCAGACTCATTGAAAACATTCGTGTCATGTCAAACCAATGCTGTCTGATACAGCTGAATTCGAATGGAAGCAAGGAAGATGACCTAATGAGTGCGGCCAAAGCATGGCCTCGGCATTTCAAAGCATACAAATTCATGTCTGGCTCATGCAAAAAACAAAAACTATATTGCTGTTGCATGCAGTCAGCGCGGCAAGACTTGATTCATATGGCTGCGTCCAGGAAAAAACATCGAGGAGAGGCGACCTGTGAGGAGCAGGCAAGACCGAACAATGATGATGAGCCGTCCAATCATGTGGGTTTGTGTTATGACACTGTTATGGAAAATACACTGCTGGTTATCTCTCCACATCATGCAGGTTTGTGTTGTCACAAGGAGGGCCCTCAATGAAGAGGGCTGAAATCAGCGTCCGTTAGCGACCCCAAATTCAGACCTTTTGCACACACAGCACGAGGCCCCACGTATAGGGTCACAGCAGCGGCTCCCCCCCCGCACCCCCAGGATCAATGTTGTTTCCTGGTGTTAATCACTGCAGCAGCCAACTTCCAAAGCGTCAGGTCTTCACAGCAAGACATTTTCGTCAACCTTGATTCCGGGGGGTGCAGGGGGGGGCCGCATGTGGCCGGAAAGGCCCTTTGAATTAGGAAGAAACACATGTGCCGTCACGGCAGGTGGCACATCACAGCTGCACGATGAAATGCTTCACTGGCCGTTGGCGATGTCAATCTTTGCATTGGCTCCACTGCAACACTAGCATGCTTCGGTGTGAAACTACTAAGCACGATGTCACAACTTTATATTGGCTCTGCCGCAAAACTACTATGCTTCTGTGTGAAAACTACTAAGGGGAATTTCAAACTTTGTATTGGCTCGGTGGCAAAACTACTAAGGAATTGTTCAATGGACAAAAAAGGAAACACTTTCTTCTATTTCTTTTCAATTGGCAGAATTCCTTAGTAGTTTTGCGTCCAAGCCATTGTGATTTCAATTTCACGGGTTAGTAGTTTTTCATGCGTGCATGAGCTGTGACTCTGCCGTGCCAATGCAAAGTCTGCGAAAATGGTTGGAAGTATCCTTAGTAGTTTTTTGGGGCCACAGCAAAAACAGGTGCCAAAGCACGCAAAAACGTGTTTTTGATGCCTTGGGAGACAGCAGTCGTTAGGTAACCTGCCGCGTGTGACTTCACCACATTCCTGTCTGACTCCTTTAGAGACAGCAGTCTCAAGTGCTTCAGTGAGACATATAGTTTTGAGGAAGCTGCTGCTGACTCCTCGGGAGACAGCAATCACAAGTGCCTCAGTGAGACATATAGTTTTGAGGAAGCTGCTGCTGACTCCTCGGGAGACAGCAATCACAAGTGCTTCAGTGAGACATATAGTTTTGAAGAAGCTGCTACTGCTGACGGGTCATTTTGAAGGCCAGGAGCCGCGAGAGGTCTTGGGTGCTCAGTTTGCCCGCCGATTTCAGGACTCTGCGTCGTTTTTTCTCCCGGCACGGAGCTGAAACAAAAAGATTGGAAGTACAAGTGGTGCGATGCAGGTGCAATGCAGCTTCCCACAAAAAAAACCTGAGATGGGAAAGATGAAGGTGCAAGTGGCACGATGGAATGTCACTACAGCTTCACCAACACAAACATGGCACACACGGATGAAATTAACCAGCCTGGGCCTTGACTTCTCGACTGGTTTGCTGCATCTGGCGTTTCAAGGCCTGCCTTTCAGCTTTCAAAGCAGCTATACGGTCATCCATCCCGGGCACATGGGCTACAGCAGCACCTTCCGCAGCATCCCTTTCCATACCAGCGGCGGCAGACGACATGGCTATAGATATAGTCAAATTGTGTTTTCTGCGACGAGCTGTGAGCCGTGCTAGCTGCAGAAGCCATGCCGTCTGGACAGCTTCCATGCCAATTTTCTCAAACTGCACAACTGGAAGATAGTGTGACAAAACATAGCCGGTGGGGCCCAAAACTGGGGGCTTGAAAAGTGATGCCAAAGGGACTCCCGTACCATGTACCCCCATAGTATATTTAGGCCATTTACAGACCTGGGTACCCCCCCCCACCCCCCAAGGGTCTGGAAAATAGGTATTTTACAGGAAATGTCGCGGAATAGCATCATCCCTGACATCGATAGAGATAATTGTTTGGCATCCCGGAAAATCTTCTCAGCTATCCCACTCGCCAAACATCCCTTTTAAAAGGCACACATACTATCACGGACGTACAGATGCATATCATTCCCGTCATTGCCATTAGAAGATTCAAATTCTTTCTCGATGTTTTAGTACAAGATTCACTTTTAGTTCCGTTTCAGCCTTCTCAGTACGGCCTCTTACACTGATATTACAGCATTTGTCTCCTAACCTAGGTGGCTCCTGGGCGCAATCTTCATTCCAATGCCTTGTGACAATAACCAGAGGCCTGGAGCCTATGCATCACTTGACAGTCGACTCAGTTCTAAACCGGAAAGACTATTCCTTCCGTTTACCAGTAGATCGTTTTTGTAGTTCTTATCACAAAACTACCAGAATCAGGGAGGCACCAAAAAACGTCAAACAGTTTTAAGCATTATAAATACTCTAATCTGCAGATTGTATTTATTTTTCTTACTCTGTGAACGAAATCACACTTTTCTAACTTCACACAGATTACCATGAAACCAATTTTCCCATGCAACTCCTAAAATCTTACAACTCATACATCTTTTTTCCTATACCATCCGCATCTTGCTCCAAGGTTTCATGGCAATGTCTTGTACGCGAGTCAGCCACTATTTCCTATCACCAAACTACATTGCTCATCATCTAACATTATCTACAGAAACCAAATCGGATTTCCTGCTCAACGTTTCCGCTCGTTAACATTGTCTTGGTTTTCACTATATGTTTAAAGCATTTTTAGATATAACATTTTCCTAGGTTTTCACTGTATTTTTCTAACATGTTACATGCCTCCTAGCATGTTCACGCGTGTCCTCCATGTTGTACTGTTTTCTACATCGTTTCCTCTAGTTGTTACAAGCATTTCCTAGCTTGTACACCGTTTTCCTAATATTGTCACAACTTTTCTTCCAGTTTCCACTGTTTTTTCTACCGTTTCCTGTGGTTACTTTCTTCTCTTTTGTAGGTTTTCACTGTGTTTTGTCCAGCTTTTTTTATTACATGCTTCCTACCATTTTCACCGCTTTCCTCTATGGCTTTTTGTACCATTTCCTCTCGTTTCCTGCATTTCATGCATTTTCAATATATTTTTCCAAGAGTTTTACCCGTCTCCTTCAGTTTCCAATCGTTTTTGCACCATTTCCTCTGGTTGTTATCGCATTTTCCTGCACTTTCACTGTCTTTTTCCAGCATGTTTACTGCATCGTCATAGTTTGTTCCTAGCAGTCGCTCCGGGTTTCCTCCATGTTCCAACAGATTTTGCACCCTTTATTCTGGTTGTTATCACATTTTCCTGCCAGGTTGTTATCACATTTTCCTTCACTGTATCTTTCCAGCATTTTCCAGTGGATTTTGCACGATTTCCTCTGATTGTTATCATGTTTTCCTGCAGTTTCTATATCATCTATATCCTCTTCGTGGGTTTTCAGTCTATTCATGCATTTTTAATCTATTTTTCCAAGATTTTTACCCGTCTCCTTTTTGCACCATTTCCTCTGGTTTGCTGCATTTTCAATGTATTTTTCCAAGAGTTTTACCCGTCTCCTTGATTTTTCCGATCGTTTTTGCACCATTTCCTCTGGTTGTTATCGCATTTTCCTGCACTTTCACTGTCTTTTTCCAACATGTTTACTGCATCGTCATAGTTTGTTCCTAGCAGTCACTCCGGTTTCCTCCATGTTCCAACAGATTTTGCATGGCTTGTTCCTAGCATTTTCCTCTGATCGTTATCATGTTTTGCTCAAGTTTCATTGTATTTTCCAATACATCCTCTTCGTGGGTTTTCAATATGTTTTGTCCAGCATTTTTTTACTACATGTTTCCTATCATTTTCACCTCTTTCCTCCATAGGTTTTTGCACCATTTCCTCTGGTTTCCTGCATTTTCATACCTTTTCAATATTAATATTAATCCAAGAGTTTTACCTGTCTCCTTCATTTTCCGATCCTTTTTGCACCATTTCCTCTCGTTGTTATCACATTTTCCTGCACTTTCACTGTATTTTTCCAGCATGTTTACTGCATCGTCATGGTTTGCGCCTAGCATTCGCTCCGGTTTCCTCCATTTTCCAAGGGATTTTCCATGGTTTGTTCCTCGCATTCGCTCCGTTTTCGTCCGTTTTCCAGGGGATTTTGTACGGTTTCCTCTGATCGTTATCATGTTCTCCTGCAGTTTCATTGTATTTTCCAGTGCATCCTCATGGTCTTTCCGGCCACCAAAAAGGCGGACCTAGGGGGAATCGATACCCCACCGTCAGCAAATTGCCTAGTGGTACTTAATCCAGCAAAATGCTCCGTTTTCTGGCGCTCAACACAGGGGCACGGCGAGATTTCGTTCCCTTTCGGCAACCACCCCCCCCACACCCCCTATTCTCACTTCGTTCGCAAACAGCAACTAGCCAGCTAGCTGGCTTTCGTAATTTATATATATATAATATTATATAATAAATTTTAATCAATTATAATATATTATAATTGATAATCATTATTATATAATCATCCAGGGTGGGCATGACTTTGAATCACAGGTAACGCCGCAACGCCTCTGGGGCTTGGTCTGACTTGGCTGGCCTCCAAGGCACATCGAGTCTTCGGTAAGATCGATAAGTGATTCATCAAAGATTCAATAAACGTCTACCATCGTCTACCCGGTGGCCGGTCTACCCATCGCAAGTCCGTCTTCTAGACATTTCCGTGCCTATGCAAAACCTGTCCAAAAATGTCCAAAATAAATCAACATAAATCAACCATCATCAACCATCATCAAGCTATTTAAGAACACTAAGTGAACACAATGCAATTTGTTGCATGCTAAGGCCATTGAGGCCTGTAGCAGCCTTGTGGAATCCAATGTGAGTTACTTGCTGTCCTTGTCAGTGTGCATTGAGTGCAGAACGATCTCTTGGATCCAGAGCCGAGAATGATGGCTTTCTCAACCTTTGCCATCGAGAAAAGTGCTTTCATTCTACCTCTATGTTCATAGACAAATCCATAAACACACACAGCACACACAAACACAAACAAACACAAACAGACACAAACAGACACAAACACAGACACAAACACACAGACACACACCCACACACCCACTTCAATCGCCAAGAGATTGCAAAATGAGTCTCGGATGGCACTTTGTAGCAAAGCATGGAATGAGGGACATCCAGGGACTAGAGAGGACTATGGGAAGACTTTGGCACAAGCGAGCCTCGTCATTTGTGAAAATGCCGCTCACACCTGCTCATTGCGGCATTAGACAATGCCACTACTCTTCTCGCAAGGGCAGAAAAGCATCAAAAGATTCACAAAGTAAAGGACAAAAACACCGAGAAGACACAAAAAGCCAAGGCTTTTCAATCTTTTCAAAGCCAGCAAAATTGGCAAAGCAAATGCATCATGTGGCAGGTGCATTGCAGGTGCCTGAAACTTGGGACACTTCCCAGCGTCGCTGAGCTGCAACTCTGAGGAGTTGCTCGGAGTTGCTACGCCTCGAAGTTCGGATCCATCGGACCCGGAGAAGGAAAGGTGACAACTTCGACAACTTTTGTGACATCTGTCAGAATCTGTCATTTCTGAATGAATCATGGTGAAAACAGAACAGACATGTGGGTACCAGAAGAGAACAATGGAAAGTAATGGAACATATAGTGGAACGTAGTGGACATGTGTGTTTCATAATGGAAGAATGTGCTCTGCTATCTGCACCTTGTTGGCGTCTGCGATCGCAGGTACCGCCTGAAGAGAAGCTGCGCGCAGCACATCGCAACACATCAAGTCATGAAACGAAAACATGGCAAAATATATCAAAATATGACCATGTCAAACGACACTTCACAGCACAAACGGTTTTGCAAAGTATGGCCTGGCCATAGTAGCAAAGCTGTTTCGTTGTACATTAGATGAACAGCCAAGTAGCGCAAGCTCCTTCACCTTGCAAGGCACAACGGCACTGTGAAAGGCTCGCAGGTTTGCAGGTCTGTAGGGTCTCCACAGTCTGTAGGGTCTCTACGGTCTCTACTGTCGCCGAGTGACTACTTGCGGCCGAGCCTTTGCTCTGGCAGCATGGCGGCCTTGGCATATGCATCATATGCACAGCATCGCCAGATGTCCTATGCCTGCCATCAAATGCCATCAGGCTGCTATCAAATGTTCAAGTCAAACTGACGTATGAACTGACCATCTGAGACGATCACTTGGATTCTCCCTTGTAGCCTGGCCGTTCAGGAATAGGCATTGGATTCAACCATCCATGATGCTATTGTTTCGGGCGAGGTGCAACCATGACATGACTCGTTCTCTTTCTCCTACAATATGTACCGCAATAAGATGCCACTAGGATGGAACATATTCTATAATTTTCTATATAGACTCATACAAACCTGAGCTCTCTTGCAAACTGTTCTTGACCAATTATGTCTCCCATTCTCCTGGCATTTCTACATTATGTTTCTACACTTCTTCGATCTTGATAAAGTCTTGTTATTCTTTTGTTTCATAGTGTCTCTTGATCTCTCTTGTCCTCGTCAGAGTCTTATGGATTGATCTCTATGGATCTTGCATTCAACGTGGCAACGGCAACGAGATGCAACGAGCCTCATCATGATTCTTCCTAGGCAAGGGCAATCTGAAAGATCATCAAGCGCGTTGAATTTGGGAGCATCAAACCTATGCAAGAAATGTCTTGTACTGGTGCCATGATACAAGCTCAAAAATGCTCAAAACATAGTTAATTAATGTTAATTACTAGATGTTACTAGTATTGAGAAATGCTGCGTACACGTTGGTGTGACTTTTTCCTCCACAAATTGATCGCAGCTTAGAGATCACAGGATGTCTGGGAGGAGCGCTCTTTGTTGTCAGATTTGTCAGTTGTTCAGCAAGTTGTTCATGTTATTCTCACTGCAGTCGTGTTGCGCACAGTTCTTCAGGTTTCACTGAGCTTCGATCGAGCTTGGAGTAGGTGCCAAAGTACTTGACATGTGATTTCGCGCGAGAGTTCAATTCCCGAGAATCCCTTCACACAAAACAAAACATGGGAGCTCTATACACGTCGCACGGGGACTAACAATCAACAATTACATGATTGACATTGTCCAGATTCCTTAGGTGCGCCTTTATATTTGCGCAGAGCACTATGGTACTATGGTACCAAGAGCAAACAGACGGTGCATTTTCATATATTTTCATGCAGTCCTGACAGATCAATTCAATTTGCACCTTCCCTGAAGCCGAGCTTCTTTGGAGGCTGAAGTTGCTGTGCCTCAAATCCAGAAATTGCCTGCCTCACCTGCAGCGAAGGCAAGAACAAAACAACACCACCAAATCCACCAGAAGATCCAAACAAAAACTCATGGCCCTTCTGTCAGAAAGGATGCAGTCGCTCCACTGAAATGATCTGAAATGATCTGAAATGCGTAAGCCTGGCGTAAGCGATATTTTTTTTGGAGACGTTTTTCGTTGCGAACAGCAGTCGATGCAGTCGCCTCTGTGACAGAAAGCACGCCCAAAGGATGGACTCCTCGGCCTTCGGCAGCGCATCGCCATAACAGCGATTTAGCCTTCCCAGACTTCAAAAAAAACAAAAGATACTCTGTCAACACACTCTCAAGACTGCCACTGCATCTGCACAACCAAGAATAGACAGGTGAATGTTCCAGCATTAAATTAGCATTGGACCATTGGACCATACCATTAGACCATGGCGCTTTGCGGGCTTTGTCCCTTGCGACACAAGATGCTCCGCAATCACTATGCATATCAAGTCGCTGCAATGCATGACATTTTACAGAACAAACGGGAAATCCGTAAAGAATCAGCCCCCAGGGTGGCTCGACGAGAGCATGCAAGCATATGAACATTACTGAACCAGTGCAAGCTTGGATGTGGGGAACGCGAAACCAAACAAAAAGCGTCAAAGAAAGAACACATAGACAACCTGCTGAAATCTGTTGAATATTAAGACACATTAAGACCTAATTGTTCTAGCTCTTCTGAGTTGCACATACCTGTTTCTTTTGGAGGCAGGGGTGAAGTTGTCCGCACAGAGCATCCTTCCAACGTTCCACTGCACAGATTTGATGTTTGCTACTTTTCTTGGAACATCCACGAGCCTACATCTTGTCAAGGTTTGCAATGTACAAACATTTGGCGATGCAGTCTGCATGCCTACTTCAAAGTTCGACAGTGCAAGGATTGCATCAAACTTGGTTTGACAAGTCTGGTGTCTGTCGAAGCTGCCAACAGGATCCAACAGGTTCAACAGGTAGCTTTGCAATGATAGGCCAGACGCTTTTCACGGCTTGCTGTAATCGAAAAGCAGAAATGCCCGACTTTGAAATGTTCCCCACTTTAGTTGCGACCCTCACACTAGCTTCTAGCCACTACCCCATTATGCAATATTAATCAATATGGAATGCATGCCATGTCTGCAAGCAAAGTCATCTGGCCTGCTCTGTCTGATGGCTTTGAGCTTTTAACTCAAGGAATCTCTCCAGTTTATCAACCTGTACCACGGGTGCCACGGCACCATAGCTGCTTTTGGAGCCGTCCAAAATTAAAAGCTCCCTGCAACGTACCAGTAAAAGTTTGGGGGTCATGTGGGGTCACAGAAGGAACCATGACTAGAAAGCAAGAGACATGCAGCGCAAAGTGGACCGCAAACTCAAACGAAGAATTTCAAAAAACATACCATGCCAAAAAGAGAAAGAGACTTCAGGTTCAACGTGCTCTTGTGCAATTGCGAAGACATGCTCATGCCAGTACAACTTTGCAATTATGTCGCACTCACTACCGCTGATCTCTAGGTTGCATCACTATGAAATGGAAACGACTGTTCTAGATTGTTCTAGATTGTTATAGCCCATAGAATCCATAAGTTTTGCTGTATTCCGATTGAATGTCCAAATTGCGATCTAGTGCTATCCCGGTTTCGATGAGTCAGATTGAATGACATGATTTTCACGTGCGTTTACCATTCTTGACAATTCACATGGAGTATCATGGAATATCAATCGGAATCAATCATGGTCACGTCATGGTCTCATGATTCCCGTGGTTCCCGTGATTCTCTTGCTCGGCTTTGGCGCACCACATCAAGCCGTGGAGTCAACGGCAGGACTTCAAGCTTTGCTTCTGGAACCGCAGGTGCGAGGCTCATGTGCACAAACAAAACCTGTGATGTGAGTTTTCAAGTTCAGGATTTGACCAAGTCTAGCACAATTATTGCATGAGAACCCGATACTATAGTAAGGAATAACAATAAAGATAATAACATATTATATACATATATATAATTATATGTATACGTGTATATTATATTATATATATACATATATCATATTATACAATGTCGAACTGTTCAGTTAGGAGGACCTGGCCAAGTGGTCCAAGAAAACCTCTATGATTAATCACATTTAAAAAATCGCTTGCTATACTGATATAATTGATATAACAAATTATTCATGATTACTATCTGATATCAATGATAAACATTGATTAAGATCGATGTTTCTGCCTACATAGTGAGATCAGGTTCATCATACTTTTTGGGCTGCCAGGCAATAACGCAGCGAGAAGTGGCTTTGGACTTCAGACTGCTTTCAGCACTTAAGCACGCATACATGTCCAAACATGTACAGAATGTCATGTTTCAAATGGATAGCCTTCGCTTCATGTGTCAAATGCCACCAGCAAAGTGCATCTTGCTCTTCATCACGCTGAACTACACAGTCTTCTGCCCTAGATTGCAAAACATCTTCCGCACTACACGATACCATCAGCAGCTTTTTGCCGTCGCAATCGCTTTGGATTGATGACAGTACCAGGGCGAGGGAAACCTGCAACCTCAGATTTGTCTCGGCTCATGAGGTCCGTGGCAAATGAGATTCAAACTGCATAATTTGCCACATTTTGCCACATCTGTATGTTTTCACAACTAAGTTCCGCAGCTGCAGCTTTCCAAGATTCAGCTGTCAAACCACCAGGACAAAGCCTGTAGCATTGGGAGTTCGCTGCAAGTGAAAAGCAAACAGGGGCAGGCAAGAGCGATTACATTTTGATGTCCCACACCTGTTGTATACAAGTTCTATACAAGTTGTTTTTGTGCAAGACCCGTGGTGCCGCCATTGTGCCGCCATTCAACAATTTTCAACACATTTCAGCAACACTGACACATCAGGACACATCAGGACACATCTACCACCATCCATCATCTTCTCGGGAAGTTCATCTAAGTTCATCACATGTCATGTCTATAGAGTCTACCGATGTCCGTATATGGCTCCATATGGCTCCATAGCCATGCAGATCATGCTGCCATGCACTCGTCCCATGCACGTTACCACATTGGCACAGTGGTCGCTGAGGCCAGGCACACGGCAGTGACACCAAGCTCAGCTGCATCCTCGCAGTGTTGCAGCCTCACATGTTCGGTTTTTGAAGCTGTTCACCGGTTGCGGTTCAATAACTTACAATAAACATACGGTGTATATATGCTATCATAGTATAGCATATAGCATCAACAAGTGCAACGTTTGATCTTTGTCCATTGAATAGCATATGCCACCAGCATACATTATTACATTAACACATAATATTATAATTAATGCGTGTCGCAGTTCTGCTGCTTGTGCAGATCAATGGCAGCCTTCAATATTCCTTCGGACACAAAGAGCATCTCTCAAAGGCATCTGAAGCACAACCGAGCTGATACCGAGCTGTTCAGACGTGCTCTTGGAATGCTGACTCGTTGTCAAAGAACAGCAGTTGTGATGCTTTGCAGTGTGCAAGACTGGCTATTCGCCTACAACCCGTGCAGCGCAACACAATGCCCAAATCATCCCAAATCAAAACTATCCTGAAATTCAGAACATTGCATCATATTGCATCTAATCAGAATCTAATCACTCCAAGCTCACGGATTTGGTGCCTCAAATGCAGCCGCTTGCTGCCACGCCTAGCATTGGGGGGAACATGAGCACGGGTGAACTGGCATGTCAGGGTTGTGTTTTGCTAGACTTCATGGAGACAACAGCATACAATCCAAAGCCGAAAAGAACAGAGACGAGAAAATCAGGCAAAGGCCAAAGACTTCATGGGCTCTACTAGTTCTACTAGTTCTACCAATTCGCCTTCGAAGAGCTGTAAGACTTCGTAAACGTTCGTAGAGGGTTCGGGAGCAAGGATTCCAAGGGTCAGACGCAAAGTGTTGTAGTGGCAGGATTTCCGACAAAGACCGCCTGAGGGAACTTTTTTTTTAACACTCGCACACCGGGCTTTGCTGGTATAGAATTTCCAGACAGCACATGTTGAACATGCTTTGGCGATGCAAAATGATGCAAACGCTTGAAGAAAGGAAAAAAAGATGAAAAAGGAAAAATCGATTTGTATTGTCAAGATCAAGAACTGTCTCTTAAGGTCTCAGGTCTTGTCCCATTGAATCGAAAGGCCTGGCAGATCCGCTGCATCAATTTGTGCTCAAAGTAATGTGGTCTGATTTGGTGAGGCTTTCGCCTTGAGGCAAGCTTTTGCCCAAGCCGGTTCCTGTTACAAGCCAGGATTTCAGGATATATATATATATATAATACTCATTTATTTAATTTACTATAATATATATATATTATGATGTTAAAGCATTTTAAAGATGTTTAAAGATTTTTAAAGAGCCTTGTTGAATCAAGACGTGTCAAAACCAGCTATTGTGTCATCAGCAAGTGATGCTTGAATTGGATGGGAATCGCCATATCCAAATGTCACCAAGTTATTTAGCCTGTCCAAAAACATGGCATCTGGTCTTGCAGCAGTCCTGACAACAGGAGGCCACCGCTAATTTAGCGCCATACCAACCTCGGCAGGGAAGCATCGTTGAATAGATGATGTCCTACCACTTCAATCTGCCAGCAACACCATAACAAACCAATAACAAACCAATAATGAAATCATAATGAAATCATATTAAAAATTATTAAAAGTACTTCTAAGTCGTAAGTCGTACAGAAGTCTTGATTCGGTCGCTAAGCGTGTCTCAGCGTCAAACGGCCTCCAGGAATCACCAGCTCTTCCAGCGCCTACCAAGGCACCGTGGTGCACTGCATTGCACTGCACATCAACTTCTCATCACCGTTCCCACCTGTTCCCATTTCTGCTGTCAATTGTATGAAACTGTAACGAAAAGATACGAAAAGCACGCAATAAATCTCCCAATTCATTGCCCGGAGCACCTCATGGACCCCTTCAAAGAGGGCTACACGCTCACCACGGCGGTCCTTGGTACAAAAGACTCTGTTCTGCTTCAACAAACACAATTTGAACGTTTTCAAAGTGCATGTCATGAGGAAGGAACATGAAGGAACACTGTGCATCATGTGCAATGTTCACCATGCCCGAACACAGTGGTGCAACTCCACAAGCATCATGATTTGGCTAGGGTTACATCCCTACGAGAAGGTAACTAGCCAGAAAGCTACTGCGCTGAAAGTCCACACAAGCTGCAACTCCTTTTGTTAGACTATTCGAATAAGGAGGTGGGTTAAAATAGAGAAACTTACAAGAATCTGAACAGCATGTGTTCAACGACCAAAAATATACCCTTTTTGTATCTGTCCATTTCAGACGACCCACTTTGAGGTATCCAACTGAGAAGCCTTCTTTGGGCGGCCCGTTGATGCGTTTTACATCTCCCGAGTCCCAGCTAGCCCCGGGCTTCCAAAGACATCTGCCCTTTTTTGTCATGGTTAAGGCATGTTAAGGCCCTGTAAGCACCTGTGAATCACAAGAAACATGTGGTGTACATTTGGTTTTGCAAGTCGTTGAAAACCCCGGGATTCCGATTCAACATGATTCAACATCCTAGCTGTACCGTGGCATCTGGCATGGGCAATCCCCTAAAGGGTATGCCACAGCCAGACTCTTTGGCTGAAGGGCTTTGCGCTCCAAGTCTTCGTTTCATGTTCTTCCCTGGGAACTTCCATGTTCTTCCTCCTCTTTCATCCTCTTTCTATATCTTTCCATGTTTGGGTCTGACCAAAATGATCAAGGTCAAAGTGCTGCGATTTTGACCCTAGAAGTAAATGGCTGGTGTCCCCACTTGTACGAGTTGCAAGCGCAACGCACTATAGGTATGACCGTACCACATGAATAAATCATATGTAGCATGTGGATGCGACATTATCTAACATTATCTTACATTATGTGACACTATGTGGCATTATGTTACATCATTTCACCCATGCACTGTACAGTTATACAATATTATACAATTGTATGCAATCTTTACATGTAGACTCTACGTAGACTGAGTAGAGCGACTGCAAAGGCCTTCCATTTGCTTCGGTGGTGTCAGGTGCACTGCACCGAGCGAAAGATGCGCAAAGGGCGCGGCCTCTGTGGCCCGTGTGGCATCGTGTGGCATCGTGTGGCCAAACGTGTTGCACAATTTGGTCACAATTTCTCACACCTCGCCACCGCCACAGTCAAAAACTTTGAGCTTCGCAGAGCTTCGTCGATTCTGCACTCAAATCTGAGCACATCGAGTGGGGCTTGCTTCCTGGCCATGCGTTAGATGTGACCCCATGTGATTCCAACAGTAACCATTTGCCACTTTGCCACTTCACATCCAAAGGGATCCAGAACCGTGGAGAAGCGCAGAGAATGCAAGAATGAAGAAGAATGAGGAAGAATGAGGAAGAATGAGGAAGAACGATGGAATGTGATTGCAATCACTAGGCTCTTGCGCTAGGTTTTTTGGCATGCCTTCTGGCCATACCCTTGTCCACTAGGACGCCTGATAGAATGTGTGCCAGTGTGCAGCTGGGCATATTTCAAATGACCCATCGACCAATCTTGTGGCAGCCGCCTGGATCACCATCTGCTCAGTGCCTGGAAAGCGATTCGGCATAATTCGGCAACGCCTTTTGCATCGTTGTTCATCGTTTATGATATATTTAATTCTCACATTGCGACACATTTCGACACATTTCAGACATCAACTTCAAGTTAAGTTTAGGTGCTTCGCACAGTGGCGTTGATGAATCAGAAAACACTTAAACACGATCGATTCGACGCAGAATACCCCCAACCTGTCAGCAATCAACAAAATCAACAAAAGATCATGAAAGTGTTGTGGTAATTCTGGCTGCCTGCGCGAGACCGTTCGTCATACTCTGTCCTCTCCGTGATGTTTCCGTTGCACCTGCAGCGCATCACAAATAACTTGTCGACAAATACACAACTCCCTGGAACCTGAGTGATCTGACATGATCTGACATGATCTGACATGTCACATCCATCTCTGAACCTTCTGATCCCATCATCTCGATCCTTCATCCTGTCTCAAATTGAAACAGGGCGGCGAGACCCTATGGTGACTTCGCAGGAGTCAACCCAAAGCATCTGAGATGCAATTGATCGGAGACTGAAGCCCTGGCCAGTGCCAAGCGGTATCAAATGAATTCAAATGGTACACATTGCAGTCCCACAGATCTGTGCAAGGTCTGCAAGCTGGATGCTTCTGTTGATATACACCTATAAATCCACACTCATCTAATACAATTGACAATTCATATAGTTGTCAAATCCACACTAATCTAATATAGTTCATATAATAGTTGTCATTATTGTCCCCATTCCGTTTCATTATGTTTCATTCTTCACAATGTCTGGAACATACGTTCACATTCCTCGACAGATTCTAGTGCCGCCACGGCTCAAAGGATCGCAGCGATGGGATGATCTGAGTGATGCCGGGACATCGCTTGGGTAAATTTGGGTAAATGGGTAATTGGTGAAGTATATAGATATAATGGTATATACAATGTATTGGGTAAATTGTAATTGATCTATTATACAATGCTCTGACTGATAGATATCATAGTGAATCAAACAATGATATGTCAAACGACCATATGCTGCCTCGGCCAAAGAATTACGGTGGCACCAGAAGGCTTCAAATCAAAAACAAAGGTCCAATCCATGGCAACTGTCCTGCTGTACTTTGCCAAGGGACTGATGCCGGTCGTGACCCCTCGTGAGGCAAAACCTAGTAGTACATCAGCTTCAGTAGAAATGATTTCCTTTCTCAAGTCTTGTCGCTTCTGTCCCAAAGTTCATATTATCTACAAAATCCATCATATTGCATCATATTGCATCATATTGCATCATATTGCATGTTGGAAACAAACATTGCACCTCCCTGGCTGTTTGAGCCAAGATTACTCAAGATTCATAGTGGTTGGTGGCATCCCTTCCCTAGGCCGCAAACCAATGGTGGGTCTGGAACCTCCTGAGGAAACAGTGGCATGTGCTGGCCGGTTGATCCAAGCAAACACCCACTTAATGATACTTATTGTATATTAGTAATTATCATATCAATATAATATAATATATATATTTTCATGCAATCCATGATTTGCAAACTGCAACTCAATTTTTCCTCGAATGGGGAATTTCGATCGGATACAACTCCTGTACATATCGTTCTCAGACTCACTTATCACAAGAATAAAGTACACAGATGGATAAGCTGTCACTGCGATATATGAACTACCCGATGATACCCCCCTCAATGAAAGCCCCCCCCATCTACAGACTTCCTGTAGATGGGAATCCACAGACTACCTGTGGAAAAGGGAGGTGGGTGGGTCGAAAAACTTGCCAGGGGGTGTGGCCTTTATCCAAAATGGCCACGGGTTTGCAAACGTTCCAAGACAGTCTCTGTCCCTCCTCTGTCATTACTTGCATAAAAGGCATGATTACTTCGTAACATGTTGCTTTCATGCAATCCATGATTTGCAAACTGCAACTCAATTTTTTCTCGAATGGGGAATTTCGATCGGATACAACTCCTGTACATATCGTTCTCAGACTCACTTATCACAAGAATAAAGTACACAGATGGATAAGCTGTCACTGCGATATATGAACTACCCGATGATACCCCAATCCTCGTAGTTCAACTTAGGCGTCACATACTGTACATCAAAATGAGCCTCGACCTCAGAGAAGTCCAGCCTCGACGGTCCGTCAGATATATTGGAAGGAGATGGGATCCTACTATACCATGACATGGAATGATTCGTGGCGTCTTGTAGCATGCACTCTACCAGTATCTTCTTGCACGCTGGAGAGCTGGTCGTGCCTTTGACCATAGCTTCTTTCACTCCATCGTTGTCTATGAAGTATAAGACTCTGGCTCTGTGCAGCAAGTTCCCCATCTGTCGTTTCACTATGGCAATCGGTAACATTTCTGCTTGCGCAATCAGCTGTTCAGCCCCATACTTTCGCCAATCTTTGACGATCTCATCAGGGATGATAAAGCCGAAGACAAGAACTTCCTTTACCCTGGGGGAGAATATCACTGCTCCACATGACGCCACATCATTCTCAAAGGCTCCATCGGTGAACACAATGCATGGAGGCTCGCGCCCAATGGTGTCTATCTCTCTGGCTGGTGCTGAGCTTAGCATCCTCTCACACTGAAGCAAGGCTCCTCTAATATCTTCTGACAACCACCTGACAGACCTTGGAAGGAGTGCTCTGCGCTTGATTGGGTCCAGCAGCGGTGCGAGCCACCTGCCCGAACACTGCGCTTCTGCATAGGTCAGCCTGCCTTGAACTCTTGCCGCAAGCGCTGGCGAGAATTCACTTGTCTTCTCCACCTGCTCGATGGTATCCCTCAGCTCTGCCATCCTGCTGGGCTTGTTCTTGATCACCACGATGCCTTCCGCAGACTTGCTAAGGTCTACCAATACACCCAGTACAGCAAACTGGGGCATCGGGGGAAGTCTCTTCTTGGCTTCTCTAGAAATCTGCCATCCCAGAATATCCAGAAACTCTTCCATCACAACTTGCGACTTAGCCGCCATACACTCAGCATCCACGTGTGGGAAGTCGTCGAAGTAGTTCACAACTGGCAAAAAGAGAAGCTTACGCATCAGGTCTCTGAGCGCCCTTGCAATCCGATTGAACCCCATCACTGCCCCGGTCGCTCCAAATGGGAGCACCTTACTAATGAAGTACCTCACGCGCCCTTGGTGAGGGTCCCACACTGCCAGGACGGCGTTGGCTTGATCCATGGGGCACAACGGCAGTTGCTTGTACGCACTCTTGAGATCTAGGCACCTCCCCAGCAAACGGAGCCGGCTGCCAATCCTGAAGTCCTGGTGCAATGGCCCTTGCATCCATGTGCCATCACTAAGCTGGGTCTTAACCCACCCATCAAGCTGGCATGCCTTGCTCCACTGCGCAGCTAAACCAACTACTTCATCCAAGCCTCCAAGGTCAAGCTTCTCTGGCGTACCGTATGCTAGGTTCACTGCAAACTCACTCATGTCATCAATGTTCCTGACCTTCCCAGCTTGGACTATACCAAATCTTCTACTAGGGGTCCATAGCTTGCCAACTTTGGAGTCCACCTCACCAGATTCAAGTGGCCCATCCAGCCACCCTTTCTGAGCTTCGCCCATCGTAGACTCCCACACGCTTGCAGCTATGTCTATCATGCCACTCTCAACCTGAACCTGACCACTCCTCATATGCAGTGGGACTTTCTCCGAGACTTCCGCTTGCGCCGATTTCGCACTCCTCCACAAGTCCTCTCTCTCTATCTGAGCTGGCTTGAACTCAGTTGCAAATGTTCCGGTCACTTTGGCATTGCCCGTGATCTGAAGGCCTCCTCTCAGGTCATCAACTAACTCTTTATCTACATAGCCTATCGACTGCAACAGTTCAGCCAGAAGAGATAGGTTCTTGCCCTTGAGGATTTCTCGGACATCAGGGTGCATAACAGCTTTCATGGCCATTTCGGTCTCACTGAGGTCTTGCACTCTCTTCTTCAACCCTGCCAAAACTCCTACCCTGTACTTGTGCATAGCTTCCGGTCCCATCGTCAATTGGTGGAAAATAGCCAGTTTGACTGAATCCAGACTTTCTAGTGCTTGCACATCAAAAGGGTGCTGGCATTGTTTTGCCATTTCTACCGCTGTGGCAGGCGGTATGGGGAGTCCTAGAGAAACATCTAGCAAGTCGTCCCCGCAACTCTCCTTGGGATCCCCATTTGAAACGGACGGCTGCACATGAATTATGCGGGTACCTTTCGGAAAAACCCTACCTTTAATTATGGTCTGGTCGCGCAAACGACCTACGGAGTGTGCAAGAAAACTATACTGACCCTTGCTAACTGTCAACTTGGTAACTTGAAAATCTTCAGGCAGTAGAGATGGCGCGGCCTTGCCTCTGGGCTGCCGACCACCTGTAACTTTCCAGCTGGTACGCTTTTGGTGGCTGGAACTCCTCTTGGCTCGACGCTAACTGGCCAGCCCCGTTTGAGGCAGGCCTGAGCAAAACACCGGGCCATGCGTTGACACAATAACAATGGATATTCTGCTTCATCTGCAGTGTTGAAACGAAAACGGCCAAAGGCTTTACTTACTCCCCACTTTTTATGGGTATGTTGTTGATCACAACAAACACTCAAACTGGAGAGCTCTGGGGTAAAATGGAGAATGGCCGTGGCTTTGTCACGACCCCCACCGTGCATGCATGAGTGGAACCATGTGAACTGCACTCCCGGCAAATCGAAAAGTTTTCTGATGCAGGGAACATCCCACATCCTGGAACCCTTGGGGTTCTCAATGAAACATGGAATTTGCAGTTCATAGCACAGTTGAAAAATTTCTGCTACAAATTGATAGCATTGATTTGCTAGTTCAACTCGCAACTTATCTTTGCCTTGTAACCATGGAAAACCATGGGAAACTGAGCACTGCGCAACGGCTTGGGCTCTGGAACTCCTAGAGCACGTAGGCGTCGGGACAACTTACGTTCTCTAGCACGTGACGATGTGCCACATGGGGGAGCCATGGGGACACATGCAACTTGACCCGACTTTAGAGAGTCCTTCACAAACGCCTGGCCTCTACCTTTGGTAAGATCAAGCACTACACATGGTCCTACTCTATTCTTGCACTTCTTGTGATCAACACCATATGCAAGAAACCCATGAAACTTCAAACACTTAGACAACTTGCAAGACCCTGCAAACAATTCAAGCGCGACTGGAGTGGACGCCCCACTCTTTTGCACACTGTCATCCGTCGCAAGGCTTGGGACAAAAGGTGAAGACGAACTGTGCGTGTCTTCGACCATGTCCACTGATTCCACGTCACCAGACTGCCTGGTGTAGTTGGCTCAGGTGAGCCCACTGCATCAGCTGGTCATTTTGACTGACAAGACACTGCTGCATGCCCAGGCTTCCAGCACTTCATGCAGACGTGGAGCCCTTTCTCGCATTCTCCGTCTTGGCATGGGTAATCACACTTCCCCATGTTGAAACCGAAGCAGATGCGTTTCCCCTTCTTCATTGGGGCGAGCCCCCACAACTCCTTGGGCATCTTCACCGGCATTTTCTTAGCCTGCGGCTGTGTAGGGGTGCCCTCCGCTTTCTTCCTCTTTACAGGATCGGCTTCCTTCATCTGAGCAAGTTGCTCCTTCAGCTTCTGGTTCTCCTTCAGCAGCTTGCGTTTGCCGGACCCTGGCTGTTGCGGCACGTCTTCAACTGCGCTTGAGGCAGCTGCATTCCTGCCCCCTGGCAAGGGCAAGAGGAGGGTCAGGAAATGCGGATCCTTCAAGACCTCTTCCATGAGCTTGTCCACGATGCGATCACCATTGGCGTCCCTCCCAAGATCTCCAGAGCTCTTCTCGGCGATCATCTTCCATGCCCGCCTATCTGCTTCGGCCATCTGCCTCAGAGTGGTGCCAGCATACCCTGGAGGTGGCTCTCGCTGGTATTCCGTGAACAGCTTCTCTACCAACTTCTCATGCGCCGTGAAGCTCATGAGGTCTGCAATCTCCATGGCCAGGCCCCTCCTGACGTATGCTTGTCGCATACGCAGATCTGTTCTTGTGTCTGCGTCTGGGGCCCTCGCCTCATCATGTGCTCGCAGGTGGCCTGAAGCATCACGTTTGATCAACTCCTCAGTCTTCACCGTTTGCAGCTCTTGGTCTCTGGTCGGGACCTCATGAGGCGGGATGTACTTCACGTCACCGTCCAACTTCATGGTGTGGCACTTGTCGACCACTGAGTGTGCTGGCTCCATGGCGACTGCACTGAAGTTCATGTGGGGATATTTTGCCTTCACGGCCTCCCACCTCGACTTGCGCTCCGCCACCGGGAGCTTCCTCACCTTCGATGAGTCTTCAGCCCCTGAGTCCAGCTTGCTCCTCAGCTCAGCCGCCACCAAGGTGTAACACTCAAAGTACAGCTTTCTGATTTTCGGCACATCAATGTGGTCCTCGCTGCCCAGCAAGGGCATCAGAACCTTTTGACGAAATGCCGTGTCGCCTCCGACCCCCGGAGTCCACGACGATGCAAAAGCAAAGGTTGACATCGTCTTCCAACCTTTGCCATTGAAGAGGAGCTGCAAGCTCTCGATGCCCAGCGCCTTCAACCGTGCCGTGAACACCGCCTCACTCTCGGTCAGCGATGCCATGGCAGACTCCCTGCGCGCTCTCACTTGGGCCACTTTGCTGTGGATCACTCGCTTACACACTTGGACTTCCCAAGCGCTCATGCAATTACCGGACAAGTTGAATGGCTGCATTGGAAACCTCTGCAATGACCTTGCTGAGAGAAGAGAAAAACAAGGAAATCACTCATGAATTCTGATGTCACTTCTACTCTCTTCGACTCGAAAAGAAAAGAAGAACTGTGGGCTGAACTATATCTCTAACTGCCCTCCCCCCATCGGCGTCCTTGACCTTTCACGCACTTCAACTTTGTCAGCAGGACTTCCCCGCTCCGAACCTGACCGGACGGCCCGGCAATAGAGGACTACCCTCTAAAAGGATACCCTGGACTACCCAGGGAAACAAAGGGGGAGTTCCTGGTGACTTCCACCAGACTTGGTGTAGGGGTGCTGAAGATGTTGTCATGATTATCTCAACACTGGTTGCACCACTGACTCACTTAGAGACATCAGAGCTACTTTTAAACACATCGCACTTCGATTTGAATCACCTATGATATCCTGTACAAATCTTACACATGGCACCTGCTCCATGCACGGCTTCTTCAAGCTGCACCATTAAATCAGTCACCTTCCTACCACAGGCCAACATGCCTTCCATGTTACTTCCTACATGGATTGTGCCACTGAGACCATGCCTGTACACAGTTTGGCCCCTGTTTTTGGGGGGTCCCACCAACCCTACAACAACTTTCTCTACGACCCTCTCATCTTCTCCTTCTGCAGATTCTTCGCCATCCGACTCTTCTGAACTGCTCGTCGAGTTCTCGTGCTCCACAAACCTCTCCACCTCTTTGGTCGGTGTCTTCACTGTTGCGATGGTCTCCACCGGGGACTGCACGTCCAAGACCTCATCACCACTAGATGGGGCAACCTCCTCGACTGCTTCCTCCGGCTGCTTCCTCTTCCACCTGCCTGATCTTGACTGATCTGGCATGAATTCCCCGAGTGCTATCTTCACGACCAGGTCGTTCAGCATCTCAAGCGGCCCGGCCAGTGCGTCTCGGCTGTAGATGACCAAGGACTTGTCTTTGGGCTTTACATGATAGCCCAACATTCTGCGCGCTTTCTCCGGCATGGCTGCCTTCGCCATCCACGACAGTGATGTCGCTTTCATGCTGTGCGCTCCCACATTGGTCAGGTCTTGGTCCACCACCTTGTATTTCTGCAGCATCTCACAAAGCCAGGTGCTAGCTTCTGAAGTCTTCAGCTTGCCTCTCGACCACCCTCCACCATTGATCGGGGCTGGCATGAATGGCCTGCCAGGACCAGCTCGCAAACCAGCTTCCTTCCTAGCCTGCAGGAAGCTCGCAGCCCAGCATCCTCTGCTGACTCCCACAGCTGGTGCAGCCACCGGCAGCATGCGCCGTGCTCTGCCGAACATCGAGTCCGTCTTGTGCATGCTCGTCCCTGCTTCCAGGTAGTCTCCATCTATTGTTGGTTCACTCTCCACTCCTTGGCTGTCGCCAAAGCGCAGACGCCCGTAGATGCACATCAGGCAGTGGCCAGCGAACACCTTGTCTGCCTCCACGTTGTCACCAGTGACCACTGCTTCCAGGGTTCTGACTTGATCCACTGTCAGTGCATCCCGTTGTTTCAGCAGCCTTTTGGTCAGAAAACTCCTGTGGCACGACCCGCTGACTGCAGCACTGTCCAAGATCTCATCAACACCTGCTACCTTGAAGGTGCCCTTCAGGAAGGCCAGGGCACTCCGAAAGCTGTTGGCACGAGTTGCTGGTGCCTTGTTCCGCCTGAGCTCGTCTACATACTTGTAGGCCTTCTCCACAGAGAGTGGGAAGGCTGGTAGGCCCTTGGACTTGGCCCATCTGATGTAGAGGAGCACCGCAGTAGACCGAACCTTCAAGGTCCCAGTCTTCTTTCGTGCCAGCACGTCCACCAGCATGGCACTGCCCTCATCCTGGATCATTTTGCATGTCTCACATTCTGTCCCAATGGCTGCACACACCACCATCCAACGTTCGAGTTCTTTGTCTCGTTCCTGTTTCTCTTCCTCCACCATTGAGGGCCTTTGGCACTGCATCTTCAGTGCTGACATAAATCTGTCCTTGTTGTCCTTCTCCGCTGGCTCTGGGGGCGCCTGTTCAACATCCACGTTCTGGTAGAGCTCCTCCAGGTCAACCTTTAGGTTGGGGTCAACGTTGGGCATGAACAGGTCGACCCCTTGTCCCAACACCAGACCTGCAAAGCCATGCTCCCATGGCAGGACCAAGGGGCCTGGCATTCTGCTGCCCAGTGCCGCAGCAGCTGAGGCCAGGCCGGACTCAAGTGCATTCGATGCTGCCTGCTGCTCTGTCACCATGTCCCTCAGGACTTCCAGGTTTATAGGCTCCGGTGCAGATGGCTTTGCTTCCACTTCCATGGATTCCATCACCACTGACGTAGGAGAGTCTACTGAAGAAGGAGCCCCTGGTAGCCCAAAAAGGTTGTCAGCAGCTCCCAGCATCTGCAGCCTTGCGTCTACCTCAGCTGAGAGCCGCAACTCTTCGGTTGACATGGCTTGGTCACTATCATCTGCCATCCCGGCCATACCCCCCTACTTGATGGCACTGTGATCGAAAAACTTGCCAGGGGGTGTGGCCTTTATCCAAAATGGCCACGGGTTTGCAAACGTTCCAAGACAGTCTCTGTCCCTCCTCTGTCATTACTTGCATAAAAGGCATGATTACTTCGTAACATGTTGCATATATATATATATATGTATCATTTTATTATATTAATTATATAATCAATATATTAAAATATTGAAATAACCTGATGTTGCGGATGCTTTCCCAGCTTGGTGCAGCTCAAGAATTGAGACCGATGGACCGATGGCTACTGTATGCTACTGTTGTCCTCCATCGGATCCGTCGGCTCTCTGCCCATCACCTCTTCCCTCACTGGGGCCTTGTGGAAAAACACCAAAGAGAAATCAGAAAACATCCGAAAACCACAAGAAAAAACAGAAATAAACAGAATAGACTTAAAGAGAGACCCATCTATGCTCTCTCCCCTTCAACAGCCGTCTACGGCAAACTGAGCTGTCTGTGCCTCTCCACGCATTTACTGCAGGCAAAACATCGCAAAACAACATGAAAATTGAATAACAAAATAACAAACACCAAGCGATCCCCAAATATCGACAAATAGCAACAGCACCTCTTCTGCGGTCTTCACTCTCTTCACCTTTTTCTTCTTTTCCTCTGCAGAACATGTGAACATCAAAAAGCTTAGACATGATCAATAATAATCTTGAGATCCACAAGTAAACAACTTATGATAACTCTAGCTTTGTGTAAGGATCGAGAGCTATCAAGAACGTCGAATATCATGAATGTCATCAAACATCATTCAGCATGAGGAGCGCCAGGAGCGCCTTCTCCGCCTTCTCCAGCTCTTTCAAGACCTTTTTCGGCTCAACCAAATCTCCTGGCTTCAGTCCAAGAGCCTCGCCCCTTTCAATGGCAGCCCTGAGCAACTGGAGCAACTGCCGCAGGTGAAAGGATCCGAAGGATCCGAATGGATCCGACATGATCTTCCAATGATCCAAAAATACGATGCTATGATTGCTATGAAGACCACAAACTTATCAGAGCTTGGGACTGCCTAGGGCAACAACAACCCGACTGGAAATCCCTAGCATCCTAAGTATGAATCATTAGAATTCGTGTATGCTCTAGCTGCTTCTCTGCGCATAATTACATGCTTTTCCACAAAATCACAGTCACTCACGGCGATTTTTTTAAACATGTCCGATTGTCTCGGACAAACTTGGTGTATCTTGGTGTCTTGGCTGCACTGACACCATAACTGGCACTGACTGGTGCTTTGAATATATTAGCCACGCGGGCCAAATCTGCTTGCGTTGCCCCGGCTGGAGATCCAACGTGATGCATTCAAAGTCTCCCACACAAGAAAGGCACCGGCGAAACGGGTAACCGGTGAAACGTGTATAATTCTAATCATTGGGTAATCTTGAAGTCATGGGCTCACAACTTGTTTTCTCCGGAATTCAAACTCAAATCACCCACAAGCCAGAATGGAATCATATGGAATCTGTTCAGATTTCAATAAACTGTTGTGTTTTGAATCGTTGTGAACCATTGTAGAGAAGCCAGGTCAAACTTCTTGAAATGTGTTGCATCACTTCTCGCTGTAAATCATGCTGCAAATGGCTGCAATACATTGCTCTGACCCGCCTCAAGCGGTCAATGTCACGAGCTTCCATGGCTTGTTGCAGTTCCTGCTTGGTGGCTGCCTCGCACGCTAACAGCCATGGAGACAACATGACACAACACAGATTTGTTGTTTAGCTATGTATTGTCTACTTGGAAAATCTTGGAAAACACCTTCATCTCATTCTGTCATGATCTGTCATGTCATGTCACATGTTTAAAGGCCCGTCATGGCCCGTCAAGCACTATCATGGTTTCTGAATCTTCCTTCAGCTCGGCATCAGGAAACAAGCTCTAGAAATAAATTAAAAAAATATATCGAGAGGCTCCATGAAGTGTACAGGTGCCACAGGCATCAGAAAGCATCAGAAAACCGCCGCAGAACAGCCAGCAAGCCACTTCACAAGTCGATGCTTACCGCTGCTTGAATGGCAACAAGGGGTCAAGAAGCAGGACAACCGATTAATAAAGCAAGAAACCTCCAAATTTTGCTCTGGGAAGGATCCACAGTTGCAGCATGTTGCAGCATGTTGCAGCACGAATCACATCACATCAACAGTCTCCGCAGTCTCTGTCATCTTCTGATCTGCATCCATAACTTCCATAACTGGCTCCGCACCTTCTCCTCCTCAAGCACTCGGCATGCCTCAGCCAATTCGCTGTCCTGGCAAGAGCTCTGTCCCATGTTTCCAGATGTTTCCAGATGTTTCCAGGTCATATTGTACTTACTACAGCATACTACAGCCCTAAGAAAGCAAGTCGTCTGAACCGAGACACGGTCAGCACTAAATGAGGAATGCTTGGCTTGGAACTCATGACACTTTGTGCACCAGCAACTGCAGGCACTCCAGCACTTAATCACATATGTATTGATATGTCATCTGAATTCACTTGCTCTCCCTTGCTCTCCTTCATGCCCAAGGCCTCCCCTTTTGCAATCCCAGTCCTGGACAAATCAAGTGGAATACCATGGGACCATGAAGTACTGGGCCAGTGTGGCTCAAACTACTGGACCAATCTGGACCATGGGCCTGCGGATATCTCTTTTCGCCTTATGAAGCACGTCAGTTTCGGATTCTTATATGATCTTCATATGATCTTCCAATGCTTCAATTTAAGCCATGGCCTGAAACCCTTCCTGGTTTCACAGGTGGGTCGCACGGAGACTGAATCCAAGTAGTATAGGCAGTATACAGTATAGGTGATAAGCGGTGATGAGCCTATTCACTAAGCACAATCTTTGGTCTCAGTCCTTAGGCCTTGCGGATCGCGGGCAGCAACAGCATCTTTGAGCATTTTCTTTACAGCATCCTGAAACAGGACTGCTTCAAACTGTTCCAAGAAGCTTGGAGAATCAAAGGTCACAATCGTCACAATGTGACAACAGACCTCGTGGTATCCTCGCGGCCCTCTTACAGAAAATCACTTTTATCATCGGTGATATATAGAAGCAAAACTTCTGAATCTCGTGCCTTCTCCTCCTTGAGAACACGTCGGGCATCTGTCACTACTTGCTCTTTCATGTCCAAAGCTTCGGCTTTTTCGATTCCATTCCTCCAGGCATTGCAGCACCAGCAGCACAAGGGAAAGTCTGAAATGCTCTTCTCAGTGGATGCCACTGTCACCTCATGTTCCCCGTGCATTGTGCCTTCCATGTCTGACCATGTCTGACCATGTCCCCCTTTGTTATATTTTGTCATTATATATTTCTGAATTATCTCTTTTCTAATTCGTTTCCCTCCTCAAATTCTCAGGATCTCTGGATTCGATAGCATCGCGCAGCTTCTGTCGCACCTCCTCCTTGAGCAGCATTGGTGCGGCGTGGTGCAACGTGGTGCAACGTGGTGCAACGTGTTTGCGATTTTTGCGTTGATTCTCATTGCGGTGCATCAATATTCCTTATCATTCATTTTCACTTTGTGGATTGCTACCCTTTGTATCCCTGTGTTACCTTTACCTAAATCGAAGTACAAAGGATCTCTCAGCTTGATGGATTTGTCTCGGCTGTTGACTTGGACATGCGTTTCAAGTCTCCTTCTCTCCCTCATCAGAAGCAGGCCCAATTTCCACATCTCTCTCTTGCAGCAGCGACTTCTTTTTCCAGTAGCGCCTGAGATAGCGGGATGAAGCAAGATGTTTGTCTACGAAAATGTTGTCATTGTAAAATCAAAATTCAAGGTCCCGAGATGTCCCGAGTTCAGCCGCTACTAGAAATCACACAAATTGTTCCAGCATGTCTGCCAGATGTGGCTTTCAACATGTTCTGGAACTTCCTCAAAAGCTGCAACAAATAAAGAAAGACATCTGCACCACAGCTGAAACAATCAACCAAATACTGTATAAAATGAATAGGACAAAACTAATCAAAATATGGAAATTCATCACTTGGCGCACTCCCCTGGAAAGCAGTCGCGCATAGAACCATATCCACGCTGCAGATTTTTGCCAGGCTACTTGAAGGCCAGATTTGAGACAATTCCTGACCGGGTAACACAAGGTCAATTAGGAATGGGAAGCAGCACACCAGAAACTGACTCTTCGAACCTCCAAAAGGTTGAAAATGCACTTTTGTCCAAACCTCTGCGCAAACATTTCTCTAAATCTTCACCGCATTCTACCAGTACCGGCATTTGCAGCATTTAGAAGTGATTTGCGAAGTTGCATTAATAATTTAGATTCCAAACTCGAAGCCATTACGAAACTGCGCGGGTTCAGACTATGTCAGGATGACTGCTTATCCATGCTTATCCACTGCCTCCAACCAGTACCACAGCGCAACTGCCAACTCCAGCACCAGCAAACGCACCCCAATCCATCGCTCAGTGCGAATCAGAGAAATCCAACGCGCAAATTTATTTTCCCCCAAAAGGCATGTAATTCAGCAGCAGTGTAACACATCAAAAACCTGTAGTGTCCAACAAAAACAAAAACAACTACACTGAGACACTGAGTTTACTGTGCTTCTGGAAGTTTGAGCTTGAGCCTTCCAGGCCTTCCAGGCCTTCCAGGCATCGGTGGAAATTTGGAAACGCTGAAAGCGAGTTCAGCTTCCCCTTCGCATGGCTCAAGCATGCTCAAGGATGCTTGAGGATGCTCAAGGCATCTCGTCACTCAGCTCTAGGCCCGCAATGAATTGTCGGAAATTCGTGTGAATGGTGGGCCTGTATAGTCCACTCTGAGTAAGCAGGATCAAAGAAAACAATCATTGCGGGAAAGAACACATATTTTAAAAAGAAAAAAAACAATGATTGTTAATCAGTTAATCAGTCTTCAAATCGCAGATGCACATCGACAACTGAATCAGACTGAAACTGTCGACTCGGCCGAGTGCACCTCCCGTATTCGGCCAGGAGCAATGCAGGGCCAGGTCGTTTGCTACGCCAAGTTGAGCCAGGCTAGGTCGCCACAGCAAACCGTCCAGGTCGAAGGCCACACACCTTCACATTGAATTGTAACGTTACTGTATCAACATATACCATACATAAATTATGATCAAACTGTGAAAATATAGTTATATATTTTCTATGTACAGTTATATTATACATATATTGTAATATACAAACATATGTACTGTGTATATATATATATATATACATATTATTGCATTATGTACATACCAAATCAATAGCTATCAAACTCCTGGTGCAGCTCCTGCACTATGTATGTCACAGTCCGTCACAGTATCTCCTATTGTTTTGGCCAAAAGGCGTTGCCTCTTGGTCTTTTCTGAACTTTCTCCATTTTGCACCTTGGAATATCTCTTCTTGTAGCTCGTACCCGAAGCCGACTTTGTTGAGCTGGTGAGATACGAAAAGGCTGGAAACCTTCGCAAGAACCAGGAACATCCAGCAACCCCATCACTATTGTTCATTCTTTAATGACGCACAAAGCCAACAGAACAGAATTCTGTAGAAGGCACCTCCAATGTTTGAAGGCCTGCCATTCGGCCCACAAAAACTAGAGTTAGCAACGCTCACAATGGACACAAGCTGTCCAGTGGAGTAGCATCCCCAAATTCCATCAAATTCCAGGGCGCACGGATCAAAAATCAGGGAAAATCAGGGAAAATCTTTCTGTGCGATGCCGTCCGGTCGCAAAAGACACTTCACAATTTGCAGCATCAAAAGAACATGAAAGAAAATTAAAGAACATCAGTGAATTCGCCATTCACGAGCGACGTCTGACACCGCCTAGTCAGCCAGCATGTGAGGAGAATCAATGCCATGAAAGTGCAGGACCGTCCTAGTGTCCTAGTGAGGATGCAAAGGATGTTGCGATGATTCAGGTGATTTCTGTGTGCTGCTCTTGTTCCGTACCTCAGAAAGTTCTTTGCTCTTCATTTCCCTCTCCAGTGTATCATCAGGTGTCTGATGTCTCTGCTCTTCCATGCTCTGCCATCCAGTTGTTCACACAGGGTTGTTCTTTTGAGTTCTTTTGACTATCCACCACTGAATAGTTGTTCTCAAGACTTTGCAGGGTTTGCTCTGACTGTGCACCTTTTACTGTTTTTGTAACTCTTCAATTTTTGCTTATCTAAAGCGTTGCCCCCCGGTCCAATTTACTGGGCTGAGAAGCTGCACTTCACCGCTGAAACCAGAAGCATGTTGTGGCGTGACATTGCGTAATCGTGCCGAGTAATGGCAGAAACTGGCAAAACTATCAGAACTGCGGCGGCATCGCTGCACAATTTCCTTTTGCTCCAGGTTCTCTGAAAACTCTACCGCATCTTATTCAATGCAGCTAGACAACCTGGTACATTATCTTCAGCAACATGACACAGTTGCGCACAGTTCTGCGCAGGATTGGGCCAAATTGCCTCACATAGTGCCCTGACAACTTTGTATGTAGCACTTCTGCCTTTCATCGACAAGAAAGACTTAGTAAATCTTAGTAAGTTAAAGCACTAGTTCATTTCTTCAAGAATTTTCGCCCTTCAAATGGTGGACATGATTCGTCCAGATTTTCCAGGCTCCCAGGCAGTAACTCAAAGCTTTCTGCACGCAGCGCATATTGCGACTCGCGTGGATTTCTTGGCGAATCCACTGATTGCTCGAACTGCTCGTTCTTGCTGGGCCAAGACGCGCAAATCCTTAGGCCCGTTGCATCCCATGGAATCCCATGGAATCCCATGGAATCCCATGGAATCCCAGCTTCATTCTGTCTGGTCGCACTGCTCTGCCAAAAAACAAACTTTGCTCCTGAACGTCCTGAATTGAACATGCATCACTTGATATCACTTGCCTTCATTTTCCATTTCTTGTGGCTTTAGTGTGGTGCAGAAATCCAAACCAAATCCTCCATTAAGGAATAGCCGCTAGCCATATCCCGGGTGGTGCCTGTCGCAGGTCATGAAAAGCCCTAAAGGTGGGACCGATTGGTCTTTGGGGTGCCATATTCCTTTCATATCCTTTCATCACTCATTTTTCCCCTCAAAAGTAGACAAACTACAGAATAGAATAGTTCGGAAAAAAAATCAAGTCAAACAAAATTCACGCCATAAAAAGTGGGGCTGGTTTTTCCACTTAGACCCAATGACCACGGCATTTTCTTGTATGTCCCACTTATGTGTCATGTGGGACCGCTTTCTTCAGGTTTGAGTGGCTTGCAGCACCTGAACGTAGTTGCTGCTTTGGGCTGCCGTTTTCCTTGTGTCCTCATCATTTTTCCTCTCAAAAGTAGACAAAGTGCCAACTACACGAATAGAATATTGGGCAATTCCAAGTTGAATAAAATACGGGCCACAAGAGTGGGACTGTTTCCTTCAGGTTTGAGGGGCTTGCAACACCTGAACATAGTTAAATATTAATTTAATAGTATACATATATCATATACATATTATATAGTATATATGTATATATATATATGATATATATATTATAATATATATATATATATATTATATTATATATACCTAGAACCGGTTTGGTCTCTGTTTTGTATCCAGGGTATCTATTAAGCTATCGTGATTTCGCTGAATCATGAATTACGCCCCTTTTGTTAAATTACACCCCTTTGTGTTTTTTCAATATTTTGTCAACTTCAATTTGGGTGGATATCGGTCTTATGAATGCAACATCACCTAATGATAATCCCAGCACATCTTTTTCTCCGGCGTTGTTCACCTTGGCTGCTTGGCTGTGATGCTGCTGACTGCCTGCTGAAAGCGTTCAAAAACACTCAACATTCCCCCAAACAACACTAAATTTATAACATTCACAAGTTGATGATATATTTTAGGCAGCACTTCAAAACAAACCATTTGAACTCAATCAACGGCTGTATGCATCCATACCCCTCCTATCCCCATCGGCCATTCTCAAAGCACGAGAGGCCAAGATTAAGCTTCTTTGAAGTACATTGGTGTGAAGCCGACGCATGTCAACACGTCTAGAAACACGGGCTGGTCTGCCCACGAAATCTTCTTGGCATTGTACCGAAGTACTGAGTGGGTTTTGAACCCATCTGGACTGAGATGCCTCCCGTTGAAGCTTTAAAGCTATATGGGAAAGGTAGTGAAGTTTTGGTATCAGCTGATACCTGTTCTTACCCGCCCTCAACGACAGGTAGGCAAGTCGCTGATACGACCCCAAAAAGTGAAACATATACTTCGCAACTCTCACGGCTTTGTGGCTGGGAATCCAAAAACCACAACTGTACAAGTACCCAAACATCAGGTTCATAGGTCTTGTTGCTTCAGCCTCACAAGACATTGCTGGCAAGGCCAAGGAATGGAATGGAGGGAAAATGGGAACACATGGAAATTCAAAACAGTACATAACAAATAATTATGATTATCATAAATTTAACATAGGGGAAATATGGAAAAAACTTATTGTTCGATACAAGAGGTAAAATTTTTGCTTGGCTCAACCAAGAAACAATCAACAAGAGGGTTTCATCAGCAGTGTGTCCAGTAACGTACTGCTTGCAAAACTCACTCAGGAACAACATAATTGTTGCACTTGCTGATCCTTTGTTCCATTTCCCAAGTGGTGTGGCAGAACTTTGTGGCCACAAGAGAGTATCACGGTTGATTTCAGTGATCCACATTGGACACTTCTTTCCCCTGCAAAACTCCTGGTACTTCTCGGTGATGAAGCCAAACTTTGTTTCAATGGATGTGAATGGTGCCAATGCTGGTAAATCAGACTCTGCAAGGAGGACGAATGAGGACCCCAACCAGTGTTTTGCTACTCCTAAGTGAAAAATATGCCACAAGTCGAAGTGGAAGAACTCACTTTTCTTCTGGGGGTTGATTGGCATGCCCCTCATGACCACAGGCATTGCAACCCAGGGAGCAACTGTGTCCATGGTAACCTCCCAACACGGATTAGGCGACAAGTCCTCGAAAGGAAAACTTGGAATCCCTCTTGCTTCATCCCCTTCTTGGCCACCAAGGCATCGATGACAAATCCCCAAGCACCTCTTCTTGCTTCTAGCCCCCCTAGGTGTCTGTAGGAAAGATCTCTTGAACCCCCCCAGCTTGCCAAGGGCGGGAAGATCACCCTTCGTTCCCAAATGCACCAGCCAAAGCCTTTGACCCTCAACCTCAATGCCCTGAGTTGCTAGTTCTGCAGCATCCTCAGCAAAAATCGAAACCAATTTTTCGATTGCATCAGGGTTGTCAGTCGCAGCTTGCCGCAACATGGTTGCAAACAAAAATTGCCAACTCCAGCTAGGGGATACGAAGTTCAGCCCCATCTGGTTCCGCTTCAATGGCGCCAAATGTTTCTTTTTCCCAAGATACTTTTTTGTTCCTCTCCCTATGGCACCATGTAGCGAAAACACCCAAATGGCTTCTTTCTTGTAGGATCTTCCCTCATCTGAATGTGAAAAGTAAGGGATCGTCATGCGGAGATCAATGTTCCCAGCACGGGCCATGCCAAAGACATCATGCCCACCATTGACAGACTCATAGCGATGCCAAAATTCTGGTAGGACTCTTCTCATTTTGTTCAAGGAACTTACCCCGCATAGTTGTCTAGCTATTCGTTGAATCCCCAAGAAGACCAGCCAAGTGCTGAACCTGATGTATGGGAATGTCCGAAGTTCCCGGGGTCCGAGATCTACATGACCAACTGCAAGGTTGCAAGAAAAACCATGCTTTTTCAACACATCGTGGACACCCACTTCAGCATCAGAAAGCCGGATTCCCGCAAACTCTTGCAGTGCCCTGCTGGGTTGTGGATTGTTCCTGACCTCGGCCTGCGCCAGCTCCACCACATGTCGACTTGGGGCCTCAGATCGGGCAGTCACAAAAAAGGTAAGGACAAGTTATATAAAAGACAATACTAAGCTATTTGTAAAGCTGTCAACTGGTATAAGAAGAGAATCGCCAGGAAAAATAATGCTCTCACAACCTGTTCATAACTGGTCATTTGCTGATATTTAACGGTGTTTGGTGGTGCTTGGTGTTGTTTGCTGATGCATGCTGGCTGCTGCAGGCAAGTTTTTTTTCCCACTCAGCCCTGGTCATGTCAACCTACCCTTCGGTTTTGATCAGCCCTGGCACCTGTGATGTAAACAAAATAAGGTGGAAATGGTGGGTTTTCCCTGTTTAGGGCTCCTTCACCACCTGAGCCAGATTGGTTCTGGCACCCAACATGTTTGGAAAACTCGCTGACCAACGCCGCTTCTAGCATTTGCACTAGGTCAATGCTATGCGACACACTGATCAACCACATGTGGGTGTAACCCTTTTTGATGTAGGAAATGAAGCGAATCAAAGGGTTTGAAGTGATTCCAATTTTGAAGCAGCAGAGTCGAACGCCTATTTGCTCACGGAAACTCGTTATGAGGTCTTTGGCATGTTCCAAAATTCTACCACAACTGATTTTTTTCTCAAGCTGCCCCCTAATGCAGCGATTGTGCAAGCCATGGTCTTTCACACCAGTCCAGTCAAAGGTGGATGCGTCGAACTTTTCCCCAAGTTCTTGCAAGGCAAGCATAGACTTCCGCCAGTCCTGAGAAAAACAACATTGAGAGATAGGTAATGGTAGGTCTATCAAAGAATTATATAATGAGAACGCATTCACCAGAACTTATCATTGCATATTAGAAAGTTTGTTGACATATCAGCAACACTATATAAAATGGATGTTTGATGATTTTTGTCATTTTTGAATTGCAATTGGCCATGGCAAGCTGCTGGTGCTGATGACTTCAGAGGAGAGGATAGTGGCTTTGGGGCTGGAAGAGCCTCCCCAGTAGACTTGAACTCTCCACGGGTGAAGTAGTCGTCATAGACCCCAACATCATGTGACACAGAACTCTTACATGTATTATCTGGAAGTGCCGCTGGCGACATCGCAGTTGATCCAGCTTCAGATTGTTTCAACTTCCTTAGTCTTCAAAACATGTTGCATTGTTGAAACCAACTGGGCTCTATAGTTTTACCATCACAGCCAGGAAGGTAGGTTGAATTTTGCACAAAGGAATGCAACTATGGAGCTCCGTAGGTTGTTGCAGTTCATCACTAAGACTAGCTAATCCAGCTGTACGCTTTCGTCCAGTAGTCGGGTCATCATAGGTGAGAAGTTCAAGGAGAAAGTCAGTCTCCATGGCAAGTGGGTACTACTCCAAAAAATTGCAGAAATGAACTGGTTGTTCTGAAATATGTCTAATCAACTTGTTTGAAGGTTTGTTCTGCTGGAAACTATAGACTTTATATAATAATTATATATATTGAAATTTTGTTGTAATGACCACCAGTATGGGGTTTTGTTGTTTTGTGAACATCTTTGGTTGTAATTGATGGTGTTACGACCCTGGTTTTGATGAACACGATTCGAACCACAAGCCAAAAGCTGGCGGTCCATGCATCAAGTCTTGACATGTAGACCCCACTGGTTTCAGATCCCATCGCCAACTCTGGACTCTTGAGGACCCAGCGCCATTGCCAATCAAGCGGGCCATGTGCGCAAGGACTTCTGTTGAGTTGTAATATCCTGGCATGGGAGTTGAATGATTGGTGGCAAAGGGTAATGGGGCACAGGAAAGAGAGGGAGAGGTCATTGGGCCCCTGGATTTTCCCCAACTTGGCTTGCATTTAGAGGAGTAATTTGCATTCAGCTGAAACCTTTTTTGTGACAAGATGTGTCAAGCGTCAAACCCACGGTGGCAACTGTTCACGTGCAATGTATGCACATGTTCCACAGCTAGCACATGAAATGTGCTTTCCAAATGCCGCAAATAGTACCGAATCCCTGATGCAACAGCTTCGTGTTTTTTCAGGGCTGCCCCAGAGCCCAAGATCCTAGAGGAAAATGCATGTTTAAGAACATGCTCTTAGGGCCCCCAAACCCCTGAAAATCTATGGGCCATCACTCATTCCAGCTCTCAGCCATCTTCTTCAAAGACTTCACCAAGTTCCTGATTTGGCAGAGAGAAAAATTGGGATTTCTATATTCATGCATGGAAAACCTGACATGCTACTAAAGCATGTGGAGATATGTGGATTCATGCCATTATTGAAAAGTGTTTGAACTCCTTCCCCCCCTCCAAATTTGAAATGAGGGTCTTGGCAGTGTTCTCCGTCGTGGTGATCGATGTGCACCTCAACAATGCAGACCAACAACGTTTTTTAGCATGGGATACTGAAATTTCAACCAGCCGCTTCACCAGGACCGCTGATTGGGGCCAACATTCGAAATGGTCAAGGCACTTCAAAGTCGAGTCAAGGACTTGCTTGTCAATTTGTTGAACCATCCTTGGATTGAGATGGAAGAAGTAAAATCATAAGTTGATCACAACAAAGATGAACTGCAACTTTTTCATAGCATCGATTTAAACATGGTATTGTTGATCCCAAGAGACTGTTCAATACTACTGGCATCCTTCAAAGTTGGCAACTTGGAGACCTGGGCCTTAATGGCTTCACATTGCTGATACTCTCGATCCAACACCTCCGTCGCCTTTTCCAGGGCATCGACTGACCTGAGCAGCGCAGTTGGGGCACCCTGGGGCTTGTGGGCTTGGATTCACAAACAGTTAGAGCAAACAAATTGATTTTGCTGGGAACATCATCGAATTCACATGTCTAATCGTAAATGGGAAATACGATGAAATACCTAAGAATTGGGCTTCTTGACTCGTTTTCCCTCATTTGTCTCGGGCCCTTTGCCAGCTGCATCAGCAGCTGTCTCCAACTCCACTACCAACTCAGAGAGCTTGGTGGACCGGTTCAAGAGTGACGTCGCAAAGTTCTTGAAGCGATCAAACTCCTGCAAAGACATTAGCTACAAAGAAGGTTGTTTCTTTAGAAACTACTCAAGTAGTTGGGAATCCCCTCAAGTAACTAGTGTTTTTGTATAGCATGGACATGGATGTATATATAATAATGAATATAAAAATTGAGCTCCTGCTTGGGACCATTGGTCTGTTTCACATTGCCCTCACGCCCTTCATCATCACTGGACTCATCACCAGAAGAGTGTTCAAAAGGGTTTGGTGGATTAGCACCCTTACCCTTCTTGATGCTGAATGCCACGGGCTTGTCGCTCGCCTGAGGCTTGGAAAGACAACATGTTGGAAGGTTTGGAGTTGAAGGCCAATGTCAAGACCTATGTTCAAGCCTTAGACTCTTCATGTCGCTCGGTCTCTTCAAGGTCGGAGATCTCTGAATCCCCTTCTTCAACCACCACATGAAATTTGTCAATTTTCTTGTTGTACCTGTCCTTCCTGAGCGGGTGTAAGGTAGGGACCCCCATCATCAGGAGAAAATCAGGATAACATCTATATAGTGTCAGTTCATCTTGGAAACTCCCATATGCAATCAGGATTCTTGACCAGTCGCTCATTCCCAGGCTTTCTGCAATATGCGATGACTGACTTGATGTAGGACCTTCACATACTAAGTTGGAGTTGTTTAGCACGACAGTGCACAACAGTAATAAACAGCCATCAAAATATATAATACATGAAACTGGTTGGCTAGATTACGCAAAGGGACTTAGACCAGTTCAGGGTTCGAGCCATTCCCTCCTCAGTGTACCAACGTCGGCTCTTCTTCTTCGTCAACTTGTTGGTTTTCAACACGGTTCGTTGGACATGGGAAACAAAGGCATCCTGCACAGGTGGCTGATACATATGGCTTTCATGTCTTAGATGTTCTCCATGTAAGATACCCCTACGACAGTGTAAAACTGTGACATTCTGTGATAATAACACATCCTACTACCAGTCCTTGTCCCAGTCGCAAGACTCAAGAGCTTCTAAGAGGTCCTCCCGGTCCCTACCACAGTTGTTTTTCCACTTTAGGTGGAGATCCTCTGGCACCAGTAGCTTGCCTGAGGGTTTTCGCTCGCATACCCGCCTAAGGCGAGCACTCCGAGCAGCTTCCGAAGTATCACCAGAAGGTGCAGAAGGCACCACCGGTTTCTCGTGGCTCTTGTCAGGTTTGGCCTTGGCCTTGGCTGCAGTCTTCGGGGCTGTCTTTTGAAACTCCTCATGGCTACTCATAGGACCCGATGTCTCAGAAGCAAGTTTCTCCAGTTGCTTTTGAAGCTTTGAACTGGCCTGCAGCCAGCAATCATCTTGAAATAGTACTGTACATGTTGATTTAAGTTTTAAAAGCAACATTACTGTGAGAATTGTTTTTACCTACTATATCATTTGTGCATATATATAATATAGCTGAAAACCGCATGAACACCAAAAGCAAGAGTGCGAAACTACCATAAATATGCATAAATACTGCATACAGTTTGCCAACAAAATGAACTAAGACAATGGACATATGAGCCTCCACTACATAACCGTCAACGGTCATTAACAATCAGTGTCATGAGTAGTAATGAGTAGCCCAGCCTTCTTTAACTCAGCAATCTGCCTATCCTTGTCTGGATCAGGCAACTTGCTGCGGTGCCTCTTCAACTTGGCTGGGTTTCCCGAACCAGGCTCGGACTCCTGGTCTGGTTCCCTGCTTTTGCGGGCTGGAGTGGCAACGGGTCTGGGTTTCCTGGAAGTCAAGGAAGGTTCTTTGTCGCTCTTGTCCTTATCCTTTGATTTGGCTTTCTCCAATTCCACCTCTGTAGCCTCAAAAAGCACATATGATTGGAGTTTATGACCTTTGAATTGGTGGACAACACACATTCAAGTAAATGAGTTGCAAATCAGGAACCGGTTGAGTATCACTTTCAGCCTCAGGTAGGTTCAGGCATCGGGTCTCAACCTGTATATCCATGATCAAGGTACAGAAGATTAAAGATGGTAAATCACGATTTCTTTTTTTGCTACACATCACAAGTACTAGTAGGTTCAATATGTTTCAACTTAAAATGCATAAACCATAGCTGCTTGGGAACCATTGTCTTCTTCAGCACAGCAAGCTTCGCTTCATAGTCCTGCTGGTTTGTGAAGAGAATAGAATGGGATAAGTATCGAAAGTCATTGGTTCATATGAATGAGTCACCCTTCATATCATGTTGATGATGCTACCATTCACAATCTGAGGGAAACAGTCCTTGATTTGTGCTTCAAGTTCTTCATCGCTGTCATGTTCTTTCTTGGCCTTTACCAACTCTTTATGTCCATTTACCATATCCGAACAGCTCCACTGACGAGATGGAACCTTGCCCCTCTTTTCGGGCCCCGACATGCAGCCTGTCCCTGGCCAGGTTGCACTTTTCACCGCTGAGCCCACTGCAGAGGCTGCACCATGGAGCAGTTTGTTGGAAGAATGGACGGGGGATCTTGATAAAGTCTTTTGGTGCACTATGGGAGTCAAGTTTTAGAACCGAATCCCCTTAAAAACTTGTTTAAAACCATAGGATGCAAAAGGTGATACCGAACATCTTTAGATGCATCATCAATGTATTCCAATAAGATCTGAATATGGCTGACAATCTGTACAAGACATTTGCTGGAATGATTGAGATTCCATAATCACATGTAGGGAGAAAAACAATAAATCAATGATGGATTTATTCTTCAATTCCCCATTGGTTTTCTTAGCAATAATCCCTGAAAACATCATTCATGGGGAGTCAAAATCCATTATTTTGCCTATATATGGATTACGGGCAAATTACGTATAAATTACGTAATTTGTTACGCCTTTTCACGCCCCTTTTACGCTTTTTTACGCCCCTTTTACGGGTGGTACATTCGTTACGGGTTCGCTACGTAATAAATACATATTTTCTACGTAATTACGCATAATTACGCCATAATCCCATGAGATAGCAACATTTTCCAAAATCCATTGTTTTTCTTTAAGGGCAATTGAAAATATCTTGTAAAGCCATTCAGTGGTAAAGGAAAATAGACTCGTTCCTTTTGAGCCCCTTAGGTAGACCAGAACAGTTTGGGGGTCCCATTAAGAAAAGGTTATGCTCACCTTGGGCTTTGGGGTTCCCCATGATAAAAGTTGCGAAAGATCCACTCCTACAATGCACTGGACATCACTGGACCATATTTTTGCGACCGAATTGCAGTTTTGCTGCTTCTATCAAGCAGTCGGGTCCAGCTAATTTCTCACCAGCCACCTCCCATGCCATTACTCTATGGGATATTGGCACTTACCCAGTAGGAATATTCCCCAATAATGGATTTGCTTGGTAGCTGATTTTGCTTTGAAGTTGTTCAGATATGAAACTCATCATCCCATGATTAAAGTTATATGGGGATAGTGGTTGGAAATAAGGGCCTCCATTCGCCCAAGTCGAGGCCTTTTGAACCTCTTAAGTAGCAAAAAAGGTCAAGTAGACCTGCATCCTCCCACATGTCTACTGGCTCCCATTGAAGGAGAGAGAACAAGGTTGGGAGAGGGGTACTCATATCAACAAGTTCCGGTCGGAACGCTTCTCTCTGGGCGCAGAAGCGGGCATGGTATTTCGCCACCCGAAGTCCAAAGCGAGGTGGGTATGTCCTTGGCCGCAGGCAATGTGAGCAAAGATCACTAAAGAAGTTGAAGATGGCAGGTGCATTGGGAATGGAGGGTTGGGGAAGCCCTTCTTTGGTGTTCCTTATAGAAATTGGCCCAAAAGAATCAAAAGATTAAACATCCTGAGGCAATTCTTAAATAAGGGGCCAAACAGAAAACCATTGTCTAAGTTGAATCCAGGTCTCTGCGTTTGTTTCAGAAAGCGAGATCCGGCAAAGGACTTCTTTCCAGATGACTTAGACTTGTAGGTCTTGGAACTCTTGTATGCATGCTTGGACAAGGCTTCACGTGCCCGTTTCACCAAAGTACCCAAGTTGAAATTAGCAACAGTTCTTGAATTTGAATATGCAATGTGCCGCTTTGGTGTCAATCCACCATACATAGCCATCCACCAATAGGCTTCAAAAACCTTCCAGGGTCTTTTGGGGTGCAGTAAGGAACACTTTGAACCAAAGCCCAAATGGTTGATGATACAATCACCCTGTACTCTAATATGTGTTTTCATGAGACGCACAAAAATAAATCCAAAAAAATGTTGACTTGTCCCTTTAGGTAAAGCACCTTCGGCATCATGCGAAACACATGTCGCACCCTAGGGTGCCAAATCAACCTTGATGACCTTGGCTGTTCCAGTATCCATGCCCCAGCCATGGCACTTATTACCAGTAGAAGAGCGCAAATCCTTGGCTATCAGACCAATTGCCCAGGAAGGAAACATGATAGTGGACAAAAGATGGCACTGGTATTATGTTCATGCAGTGGTTTGTTCAATAAAGATCCCTGAAAAATGTTACATGTAGTCAGGCTACCGACTTGTCAGGAGATTTCCAATATCCACGAATTCAACTCCCATTTTCCCGAGAGGATTGAAAGGTGCTCTTTGGTGGGTTCCAGCCGACACAGTAACATAAGAACTGCAAACCAAGCCAATCAGGACCAGGAAGTTTTCGAAGCGACAGTTGAGTATGGTCAGCAAGGCTAGCCTCACATCCACCATGCAATAAGGTGAACCCCATCAAACAACTGAAATATGTGCTGTGTTGATCTATATAACACATGTTTTATGATCTAACCACAGGTCCCATTTGTATTCCAATTTGAGGCAACATAGGCGATGAGGTTCCTATAGTTTTAAAATAGCACCATCCCACAAATAATGTTCCTAAGCCAAACCTAGCAACCCAAAGCCGCTGTCGGTGCACAGATCCATACAGTTTTCATGCTTGGGGTCAACAGTCAACTTGTACTGGATGTCCATACTGGCAGTGGGCACACCTGAATTTCTGACACATTTGCTAGCCCACCCAGCACCAGCAAAGAGCTCCACGAACCCATAGGCCTGTGCATTGATGGCAGGGATGTACATGTTTACTTTGACACATATGATTTCATATATATGTAATACTGCTTTGCTCCTTTATGTACTGTTGTCAGGATCCATCACCCAACCACAGAACCACCAAGCACAACCCTTTTTAAGACTTATTGATGATGCTGCTTGGCAGGGGAAAACTGCAACAGAAGAAAGAGCAGCACCAGGCAGGGCAGGCCTCTGAAAAGACGGTGATGTCCCGGTTGGTTGAAAGCATGATGATGCATGCGAGCAGGTACTTCAGGGATCGCACCCCAAGCTAGATCCACATGGAAATTGAATGGGCAGTATTGATATCATACATTCTATGTTGCACCGTTGCCCTGTTATATATTAGAATATATTATATATATATATCCCCTGGTCATCCTGTATCTTCACAACTTGTAGTTTGGAGCATGGGTAGATTTAAAAATGCTTTCTGATTGGCCACAGTGTTGCCATACTCTAATGATATTGACTTAACTTCTCTAAAAGGTATTTCCATAATATAAAACATAATATAGTATAATATGGTTATCTTCATGGCTATTTCATGTTGGGGTAAATCTTAACATTATTATATGAATTGCATACTTTGGATAACATATACTGTACTAAAGAGCGCCACGGAAAGGGCCCCTGTCCTTTGGAGCTCGAAAAGAGTGTAAGCGCCGGAGAACCAAGTCTAACTTCCTAGACTTTTCAGGATCCATGGTGGCGCCCCCCCCGCCACAGACAAGAATTCGGACTTCACAAATGCCCAACTTGAGCAAAAAATATAGCAAACAAAAATCCATCAATGAAAATGAATGTCCATGCCAGCAGTAGAAACATCCCCCAATTGCAGCACTTTTGATTGAATGGGATATGCTGGGGATGGGTTAACTTATGGAATAATGATTACCAATCATTGGATTTTGTTCCATTTCCTGAATGAAAGACACCACCAACCGGGTGCACCAAAACATGCACAGGAGACTCAAGTCATTGGGACCTCGTCCTTCCGGAAACGCCCTTGGCCTTTCCATGGCTCAGGCAGCACCTTGGAGGCCGAGATGAAGAGCAGGCATGAGATGGACAAACAGGGAATGAGGGTTAAATGGGAGGACCCAAAAGAACACATATATATATATAACACATAAGAAAACATAAGCATATAATACGAAAACCTACCCACAGACCAACTTGTTTCCAATGGTGTGGTCAACAGAAATTTTAAGATAGCCCTGATTCATTGATAACTTGCCATGTTTTTTTTTGAGGTTATCAATGGGACGCCACTTTGGATTTCTCACGGTCGATGTCGCAGCAACTTCGCATGGTCACGGAGCTAGATTGGAGACATGTGGTCTGTACTCCAGGGTGGCCAATACCCCTTGAAGCCCAACCAAAGCAATGATCAATTGAAAATGGATTGAAACCACTAGGTTCAATGCAGTTTAATGTTTTGATGTATAGGCTTCATCCCAAACCACAGTGGGGCTACAGCTAGCACATGCGCAGACTTCATATTGAAGGCACCTGCTCCACAAACACCTGCTCGCATAAATCCCGACGGAACTTGAAGATTGTGGCCACCATGGCCGATTTTGGCATGCCGATAAGATTGAACCCAAAAAAGCATACTGCATCATACTGCCATGCCTTGTGAAAGTAAATCAACATATAGGCTTAGACCTATATATATGGCCTGCTGGGCTCATGAAAAATATGATGCTTCCATTGGGTTTGAAGTGGCAGCCACGGGTGAGAAAATCAGTCGCTGTCACACTTGAGCTGAGCCAGGTAAGCCTCGGCTACGTCGAAGGCCATTTCGTTGAGATCATCCAGCGCATAATTGATATCAGCCCACTGCTCAGTGGCAAAGTTCCAGAACATGTCCTGGGGATGGCAGGCAAATCCTGTCAGAGAGTGGTGGTGAAATCATATTGATGGGTTCGTTCATGTTTACATATGCCCTTTTGAAGTCGAAGTTTGGGATTGGATTTTACCGATGATCTGATACCTTTTTGGAAACACTAAGATATTCTATGCAAAAAGTGTGATGCAATGTTGAAAACAAAGTTGTCGCATATCCTAAACCATTGAAGCTACACAAATGGGGAAGGGTGTGACAAACTAAGGTAACTAAGGGAGCCATTTTGAACTAAGTGAAATCCTCGTGGGCCGAGTAAGTCGTCAGGTAAGGCTTGATACGCCCTTCAAAAATATCCCTCAAAGCCGTCCACTTGGCCTTTCCATTGATAGACTTGGGGCAATACCTCCTGGCAAAGCAAGCTGGTCTGGTCTTTGGCTTCCCTTCCTCATCTGTACCTCTCTTGGTTCTTCCCGCCCTTGCACGTTCATGTCCTTCCTCCCCATCCTCAGTTGCTCGTCTCTTGTTGGTCTTCTCTGGAACCTTCTTGCCTGGATCCTCAGTGTCCGCCGTCTTCTTCTTCTTCTTTTCTTCCTCAGCCTTTTCTGGCTTCTTACCTCGCCCCTTTGGCTTGGCCTCTGCACTGCCACCAGTCTCTAGGTGGTTGGCTTTGACATGTTTTGCTTTCTTCGTCTTGGCACCATTGCCTTCATGCTCATCCGGCTTCTTCTCAGTCTCTTCATCTTCCTCTGGGTTCTTCGCTGTGGCTTTCTTACTCTTTTTCTCCTCAACTTTTGGTACCTTTGGGATCTTGCTCTGCTCCTTCCCTTTCTTTGGCTTGCAAGGCTCCTCATTTTCTGCAACTTCTTCCTTGGGCTTCCTTGTCCTCGTCTTCTTAGTCTCTCGGGCTGGTGTCTCTTCCGATGGGGTCTTCTTCATCTTTTGGTCTTCAGTTCCAAGGCGCGTCTCATCAGTCTTCTTTGCAACAGCCTTTCCCTTCTTCTTGGTACCTTCTTGATCCTGACCATCCTTTGCCAATCCTTGTTCAACTTGATTCTTCTTGCCTTCATGGCATTCCTCCTGCTGGGCCCAATCCTCCCAATCCTCTTCCCATTCCTGGTCCCAAGCTGCTTGACCATCCTGGCATGCCTTTGAACCCTTCTCCCACTGCGTTCCTGAATCCTCTGCCCAATCCTCCTCCCAGTAGGCTTCCCAATCACCCTTCAGATTCTGTGCTTCAACCTTTTTGGTGCGATCTTCAGATGTATTTCCCGGATGGACCTGCTGGTCTCCAGTGCTTGCAGTCTTTTTGCCATGGTCTGTCTTTGCCTTTTTTGGCTCCTTGGTGAATTTCTCGTCTTCTGTCTCAAGCTTCTCATTCTTTGCAGCTGTCTTCTTTGGGGCTGACTTTGCACCTTTGTCGTTCTTCTCAGCTCCCTTTCTGTCTACAATCTTCTGCTCCAGGTCTAAGGGATTCTTCTCTCCTTCCTCACCTTCCATCCCTTCAATCTTTTTGTCTTCATCTGCATCATTCTTCTGGGGGGGTGCTGGTGCTTTCTTCTTTCTCTGCGAGGAATCCTTTGGCATGTCCTCTTTACTGAGTTTCCTCTTGTTGGCTGTGCGCGGGTCCTCATGGCTACTGCTGGGTTTTGCATCCATCTCCTCATCATCGTCATCTCCACCTTTGCCTTCCATTTCTCCTTTCTCTGCTTCATCACCGGGAACGACATCCTTTCCACAAGCTGTCATGGGTTTGGCTGTCTTGGTGCTTCCTCTTCCTCGACCTCTCCCTTTGCCTCCCCTGCCCTTTCCTCGTCCCTTCGGACCCCCCTTCTCAGCCTGTGCTTCTGCTTCTTCTTCCTCCTCCAAGCCCTTCTTTAACCCAATCTGCTCTCGGCGGGTAACCTCAGCCAAGTAAAAGGCAGCAGTTCTTTGGGAATAGTGTGGAACAAAAATATCAGTGCTGCATTTTCTGTGGTTTTTCAAGAACTGGATAAAATTGGCCCAAAGTACATCAATGTAAATAAACCTGGCTATATGGTGAAGTCTTCTATTTCAAAATCAACCTAGCAACTACGGGAGCTTTGGGTGGCGAAGCTAAAACGGGTTCATCTTCATCAAATTGATCAGCAAGATCATCCATAAGAGGGTGGATCTGGGTGTCCATATTGTCCGTGCCATACGGGAGGGAGTCCTCGATTATGATCGTCTTGTCGATGCTCATGGCTTTGCTGGCTGTGGTGGTGGTCAACGATTCTCTTGCCCTCCTTAAGCGGGATAAGCAGAAGGCCATAAAGGAAACCCATGTGGGCAGATTGTTGTTTTGAAACAAGTGTTGCTTAGCAAATGTCCCAAATGATAGGTCCTATATAACTAAAAGATCGGTTACCATGTATAGTGTTTTTGTTTTTTTTTTAAAAAAACTATAACATCAGACAACGAATGAAAACACCAGAAATCCTTATTGTAACTCAACCAAAATTCTTTGCCGTCAGTTCCTTCTTGGCTTGCCAAATCTTTTTTTGCAGGGCATCGATTTGATCACTCATTGAATTGGGGTCCGATGTGCTCTCTTCCTGAATGGTTTTCAAGTCTTCCTCTTCTTGGATTGTTCCTCCATTGCCATCACTGGGGTTCTCATCATCTAAGGGATTCTTGCGTGATTTCTCCGGGAGTTCATCATCCGTGGCAAATGGGTTGGTATGCGCACGAAAGAACTGGTTTAAATCCCCATCCTCAGCTGGAACCGTGTCAGTGGACTCTGCCTTACTATCCTGGGACTCTGAGCCTTCATCTTCATCATCAGAAACTTCTATCTCCTCGTCCTCCTGATTTGGGTCATTTTCTGAACCGGCTTCTTCTTCTTCTTCACTCTCCACTGGATGCTCCTACCCGGGTTTCAACACGAAATTGTCCTAAAGAAAAATCAATTCTGATGTAATCTGTTAATGCCCCTGTAAGGATGCTGCTGCCCCATTAGAGTCTTGTATATCTCCATTGGAATGGGACATTATATAACAGGGATGAATAACAAAGCTGGGGCAAGCTGCAATATAAGTTTGTCACACCCTTCCCTCCTCATTGGGGTCAAAGACCAGCGCCATCAGTTTGCGGAAATTCCTGGATCGACAAACCTGTTGGCGTTGCAATTTCTTCTTGATGAGGACCAAGAATGATTTGATCTTCTTAGCCTCCTTCTTCAAGTCTTTGCTAGAGGGAACCGGTTGCTCCATGATGGTGAAGAGAAGTTTCATCCTGGGATAGTAACATACTGGGTGGTCCATGAGGTTCTGGGAATGTTTAATATGATTGTGTTTGGTTCCATTTTAAAACATATTATATATAAATATTTTGATTCTTATGTGGCATGATGATTAGTATAATGATTTGGCAAAAACAAAAGGCTGAATTGGTGAAGTCTAGTGTCTGTTTTTGGATCTGGGGCATGAGATGCATACCAACCTCCCCATTGCTGTCAACAAGGCGAATGGCCAGTGGTTTGAGAACATGGAAATTGCGATCAGCGTTCTTGATGTTCACCTTCTGGGTCGTCACATCATCCCAGTCTAAGATGCACTTCGAACGCCGAACATGGTCCCTGATCTCTTCAGAACATTCCCAATCCCTTGAAAGATAGGCAAGGCTAGGCATCGCCATGGTTGGCAACAGGCAAGACCCAACTGGCCTCCTTAATCCCAAATGCTACCCAGGTATGTGGTTGACCATCATGTTCCCAGACCCTGGCTCACCCTGTTCCACTGGCGTGTGGTCCCTACGTGCTGCTGAGGTTTGCACCTTCTGTTTCACAAAGAGCTCGACATTGGTGCCAGCTGGTCTAAAAATGTCTGCGGGTTGACTCAGCTTAGCGTGGCAGAGGCTCTTGGACTTGATCACTATGGGATATAGGATCCATCGAACAGATTATATTAATATATTAGAGGTTAGATGATTCTGGAAATGGGTTTACCACCCTAGAGGAAAGTATTGGCACCCAAGATATTACATGATGAACCCCAGGAATAGATCATATCAGGATTGTTACAGTTGGCCATTTTCAAAACATAACCCTTTTCCAAATTACGCTACTTTTAGTTAAAAGACAGTCTTTTACACAAAGGACCTGATTTGTTGGAAGGCATCTCAAAAGGAAGCACACCTGGGACCTAGGTATATATATATATATATGTGTGTGTGTGTGTCTGCGATGATCATGTCCTTCATCTTTCGCTTCAAGTAGACAGAAAGCGAGCTTCCTGCTTAAAAAAGAATCGGAGGGAAAAAGGATGGCTGTTTATGTCGCTTTGGAGTCCTTTGCAACAATTAAATAGAACTGCTGCATAGGGCTGACACTGTCACTTCTTGGTCTGCTTTTTTCTTTTGGTCGTAAGCAAACAGAGGCTTAAAAAAAAACGTTGGACACAGTTCCTGTATGAAAAAAATGGCCAAGGGTGGAACTGTCTTTTTACACATTGAAGGGTTCGCAACGACTCGACATAGGCTGCCGGTTTTGTTTCTTTCATCTTTCACATTTCCGTTTCGGTAGAAAAATCTAGAATAAACAGTTGGACGAACTTTCCCTTCAGAATACTGAGACCGGTTTACTCATTCTTGATAATGTGTGAGTGGTTTGCAACAAGTGAACACAAGTGAACATTGATGCTGCTTTGGGCTGCAATTTTCCTTTCTTCTATCTCCTATTATGTTTTGTCCTCACAAGGAGACAACATTTGGGATAAAGCATTGGGCAAAGTCCCCAAATATCTCATCACGGCCAAACAGTGGGACGTCCTCAGGTTTCATCGATCTTGGAAAAAAATGTCGCTGCTGGGTTGCCCCACCAAATCAAACAAACTCCAGATTAAAATCAAGCAAAGTTGTCATTGAGGGAATTCCTTCTGCAGCACCACTGATCCTTCGCATGTTTTCGATTTGAGGCAAGATCTCGTTTTCATCCCAAAGTATCAATCAACGGAAAACAGGTCACATTTTTTACACATCTTCATGCTCTGCAAACAAATGGAAACAATGGCATACAATGGCAGCCCTTTGCCTTGCTATCTTTCCCTTATCTGAATCGCAGAACTCGTTCAAGTTCACTTCAGAATCTTCAGTTTTCGGCGGGATAGAAACCAACGACCTTTGAAAAGCTCGGGGTTTCTTGACGTTTCTTGCTTTGTGGAGTCGGGAACTGGCGACCTTTCCGCGGAGGACAAACACTGGACAGTTGTCGAGACCAAAGATTTGATGCATGTTAATCAAAACTCTGAGCAAATGAAACAAAACGAAATGAACATCCCAGCAGTCCCAGCACATAAACTTCCCTTGAGTTTCCTTCCTACGCGAATGAACACTAGATGATTTCCCATGATTTCTCAATGAAAAGGCCTCAGGGTTAGAAAAAAAGAAATAGGGACGGATGGTCAAAGCACGTCAAAGCTGAATCCTCCCCTGCGAAGATTGCAATTTACAGGCAGGCCCGTCTCGTATAAAATCTCACTTCCACATAAACTGGTAGTGATTGATAGCGTTCCCTGAACATCTCAAGTATTCTCAAGTGTAAAGAGTTATTTATCCAAACAAATACCACTAAAGAGTCAAAATGAGTCAAGTCAAAGCTCAGTGAAATTAATTAAGTCATATTAAAAAATATTAAATCATAATAAATCCTTCTGTGGCGCCGGCGTCTTGTTGTGGAGTAGACTTGGCCAAGGGTCAAATCCACACCATCTGCATTGGCCGGGTCAGACTTTCGGTAGCGATAGCGTTGAAAGCGCAAATTCCTTCCCAAGCGCATCACGAAGTTCTCTATGCCATCGTGGCTGCGCCTCCTGAAAAACAGTGAAAAACAACATGAACCACACATCATCATAATCAATACATATCAATACCAACACCAACATCACTATCATCGTCACCATCACCAACACCATCACCATTACCATCGCCATCATCGCCATCATCATCATCATCAACAACAACAACATCATCAACATCAACATCAAAAGCATCATGTTAGATTATCATCATGAGGAACGCGATGCCAATCATTTTTCTCAGTGCTTTGCCTTGCACATGTGTGAGTCTTCACAAAGCACAGTGCCAAACACTTCAGAGACACCAAGCATCACGATGCCAACAACTGCTGCAACATCCCAATGTTCCGACAACTTTCCCACAACTTTCTGACAACCATCTGGATCATTGGGTGGGCCAGATCTCGAGGAAGTCCCGCCTCAAGGAAATCAGCACTGAGCCATCTGGAGCCAAGATCTTCTCGAGGACCTCTACAAGCTGCTCCCAGGTCTCACCATACGCAGGTTCGCAAACACAATCCGAACAAATCACCTCACGGCATCGCAGCGTCACAGCGTTTTGACATCTCTGAGAATCTCTGACAATCTCTGAGTCTCTGATCATATCTGGAGTCTCATCTGACCTTACCTGTCAATGCTGTCTGAACTCCTGTCAAAACATTAAAGACATTAAGTCAGAACATCGAGTGTCCTTATCTTTTCGTTACGAGCTCATTCCAAATTGGCAAATGGCCAGCCTTTTCCATCCATTTGCCGCTGTCACACGGCATTAAAGTCAAAGGCGGAAAAATCCATTTTGTACGGCTACGACTCACACAAAGAGGGTGTGAAACACCCTTTCTAAAAATGGAGGGAACCCTCAACAAACAGTTGATCAATACTGATCAACAAATTCTATTCTATAAAACTGAAGGGATCGAAACGTCTTCCAAAATCTTTCAAATCAAAAATCTTGGGCTGAAAATGGCTTGAGTCCTCAAGCTTCGCCTTGCCACATTGCCACCTGTGAAAATAAAATAATATAAATAGCTCTGACCAACCTCGTTGCCTCGTTGGCGCCTGAAATCTGGATACATCTGGGCTATCCATTGGCCCATTGGCTATCCCAGGCGTCCCGACCAAATCGGCCAGCTTTGGGAAGCCCTCGGGTCGGACTATCGTCCCAGGCAACATGATGAAGTCGTCCTGGGCGCTGGCACAAGGCGAAAAAACAACAAGGGAATCCCCGCACTTCCTCTGGATCAATTTTCCAAGATTTGAACTTGTTCACAAAAGTATGTAGCAAAAATCCATGGTAAGAACTTTATCAGTGCACGTGATATCTCGTGATCGGTTTCCTGATATCTTGCCATTGCAGCCTTGTTTCGGATCGCAGTTTGGGCTGTTCTGGAACAACCTTGCTATGTTCAAGCTGAAGGGCTTCAGCTGCATCCTGCAGTCATCATTGCGGCAAACTACAAAGACAATAAACATTACAAACACCAATGTATACAGATTATACAGTATCAAGTAGTATCATTCAAACAGTACGAGCATATCACAAATACATAGAAATAATGCACTATATGAGACTGAATGACTGCATCTGACAGTTCCACAACTTTACAAAACGTGCATCCGCTGGTCCCAACATATCAAAGCATGACAAAACGACGTTCTGTTTAAACAGTTTTTTTGGCAAATGTTTTGACGTGTTCAAGATGTTTGGCTCCATGTCTTGACATCGACCCATTTTGACCGTTTCTCTGACCTCCAGCTCATCCGCTCGACTCATGAGTTTCAGCGCTTCATCACCGTTCCAGCGCAAAGATGTGACGATCAGCGAACCGTTGCCCATGTCTTTGCCTTGCGCCTAGCCACATCTGATGAATGCGTGGACCCTGATGGATGACAAACCTGTATCATGCATCTCAGTGTAGTCGTAATACATATATTTGCATGTTATAGACGATAATAACCATGATGTGACATAATTACATATATATATATGATAATGTTATAATGATATAATATATCATATTATATTATAATGTTATAAAATGATGTATGTCACATTGTGCTTTGGAAATGTCTGTCCCCGGCCTTGCGCCGTGGCGGGCGCAGCTCGGTTTTGATGAGAAGTGGCTTGATGCCATTGGGCCGCACGAGCTGAACCCACCCTTCTTTTGGACCAGTCCCAGTCATCCGACGATAATACATCAAATTCCTAGGCAACGGAGCCCCAGGGTACAGAAAACATGGGAAAGCTCAAGACCGGAACTCTCTGGGATATTCTCAGACACAGATTCACTCCATATTGGCCGTTGAGTTGTTTGAGTCTGACATGTGGTACTACATCACGTTGCAATACGTTCTGACTGGCAGTAGGACTTTCAGACAAGATGCATGTCTTGCTTCAGTTCCAACTCCTCCACCAAAGCACCTTGTGACAAGCGCTCCTTCTCTATCTTGCCACCACGCTCCTCACATGCTTCACGGATCAATCATCGATATTCATGAATAACTCTGAATAACCATCATGTACGACCTCTGAACATCGCTCGAGCAAGCAATGATATACAACAATACACAACAATTGATGTAGAACAATATAACACATAATTCATTATAAATTATAATAGTATATTATAATTTATATATTATATATTATATGTTATAAACGTATTTTGGATAAGTAAATTGTGATTTTTCTTGTGAGGAACTGCGCAATTAATAAATCGGTCGCAAATATCTCATGTCAAAAACATTCTGCTCCGGGTCTCCTTGCTCACAGGCACACCTGCAGCGTGTTTGCAGGGACCAGGTCAGGCGCGAGAATCTATGTAGTAGTTCAGCGCAGTATAAATATGACTAAATAATGTATACATATGTATAAGATATGTATAAAATATTTAAATATGAATTAAATATGTATGTTTAAGTTAAAACAAGTTAAATATGTATCATGACACGTCATGACAAGAAAAGCCCACACCTTCTGAGCCGCCACCTACAACTCTCCAAATCTTTTGAGGCCATCCGTTGGCAGCGCCATTCTTTTCCAAGTCCTCACCGTTGGATGGATCTGTGGTTGGAATTTGTTGGAAGTCTGACTTTGCCAAGAGATGCCAAGAGCAAATACTTATAATCTTACAATATCTTACAATAACCAATCAATACCCATCATCAACCAGATTTATGCTTGTTAATCTTTCAGTGGATGCCCAGGTTCATGGAAGAAATCATTGCATTTGATCGACTTCAGCACTCTGTGCACAGGACTTGCTTGGAAAATTGGGCTGCTTTCCAGATGTTTGTTACAACCAATGTTTGCCTTGCAACCAGATCAACCAGGTCCTGCAAAGCAGATGGAAGATCCGTGGCCAGAACTCGGGCACCCATCGATGCACAAACGAGTGCCGGCAGACCAACGCCGCAGCCAAGCTCCACAACTCGTTTGCCACTCCTCTCGTCTTGCGACTCTGCCAAAAAAGCAAAACATATTCAAAAATATTCAAAACATATCAGTTCTCTTCAGGCTGCATTCAGAAAGGCCGTTGGAAAAACAATGAAAAACAAAACCGTGACACGAAAGACTTAGTCACCCCCATCCCTATTGACCTTTTGACAAGGCACGAGTCGTTCTGACAAAACTGAGTTCGTAAATTGCGATGCAGTGAATTGTAGTGATATTAATTCGATCCTTATCAAATTCCCTTGATGTCCCTTGAGTCAACTTGATTTGGAACTTGTGAGTGGATGTTCCAAATGTTTAAAACATCTAGGCCATCTAGGCTCCCAAAATTTGAAAAGCCTCCTCTCTTCACCTCACGATTTTCCAGCAGTTAGAATGTCTTGGGAGTCCCATCATGTCCCATCCCGAAGTTGCAGCTCCCTGAAACCTTCCGTAAACCGTAAACCGTCCTCAGGAGCTGGCGATGCACTTCCATGACATAGTCGCAAATAGCAACCATGGGACCCCAATCCTGCCATTTCAACTGTTAAGGCTGCAACACAGCGGGCCACTATGGGCCACTGTTCTGTCCACCAAAAAGAGAATGTGTTAATGTCTGGGGATCGGTCCGCAAGAGACAATGAGAATTTAATAGAATTTATATTTTGAAGTGAAGGTAGCAGATTTTTGTTTAGTATTTGGCATTTAGACTCATTTAGCAGTTGAAGGAAGGCCCTGCTTTTGTAGCCTAATGACCACCATTGTGTGCTTTCCACAGCAGCGAAAGGGTGAGGTCTTCAGCCAAAGTCAAAGTTTCGGAAGGAATCCAAGGTTTCTAAAGGTTTCAAAACCAGGTTGATATGTCGCCAAATTTCCTTGTTCAATATATCAACAACTTTTGAATTCCTTCAAGGGGCAGCCCGCACAGCCTCAACACCCCAATATGTTTATAAGATTTTATAAGTTTGTGCGTTTTGGATCGTTTTTAGCGCAAATTCACAGTGTAATGTCATGTAAATCTCTGTCCGAGAAGGAGGAGCCATAGGGAAGCTGACGAACAAGTTGCAGGGTCCGTTGTGCAATGGGTATCTCGCAAAGGAAGACTGGGGCTCCATCATCGGCTCTATCAGCTTCACCTGGAACCAGGTTTTGTTTCGGTATGTTTCACTTCAATCTCTGGATCAAACGTGATGAGACATCATGAGATATCAGTTTTTTTTTAGAACTATAAAGAGTATTGAACTATATTGAACTGTCAATCAAAGTTATTGACCTGTCAATGAAAGTCATCTTGTAACATCTTGTAACATATCATCTTATATCATCATTTGGCAACAGCATTTGCCATGCGTCCTGCGCCTGGTTCATCCCATCGGAAAAAAAGATGGTGTGACGGGCTGGTCGTGGATGGCACTATGAGCTTCCCGTTCTTGTCACGTTCGGGTCCTTTCTTGTTGCCCTCCAGCTCCAGCCTCACAGACCTCAACCGAATTCAAACTTCACTTGGCAAAGTTTCAAGGGCAATTGGAAATTCATGTAAATTCCATATCCTCCATCAGTTCGAACAGTCGATCGATGATTTTCTTTTCATATCTTTTAAATGTCTCGGCATTTCCAAGATGCAAAAGTGAAACCACGAGCCTCTGTGACATAGGTCAGCTGTGTGGCAGCATCTCCAGCGTTCGATCATGAGAGCGACGAGACATAAATCTTCAGGAACGAATCAATGGTGGATGAATGGATGATAAGTGGATAATGAGTGGATAATGAGTGGATAATTGCTCCGGTTGTTGTCCCTCAATTTGGATCAATTTGGATCCTTCGTAGCGACTTCTGTGCATTCCAGCTGGATAGTGCTTGACACCCAAATCAGTCAAGTCAAGATGTCTACTGTTAAGTTTAGATCAGGGGCCTTGAGCATGGGATACCACTGCAAGCGACAAGCACAAGATTTTGTTTCAAGTTGCTTGCAATCCACATCTCATGATTAGTGTCTAGATGATCAGCTTGCACAGTTGTGATGATGGCTGTCGTCCAAACTCTTTTCAACTTCCCCTGGCATGAACAGATCGTCAAGATCTCTTAACCGCTTATCCAAGGCTTGAGGATTACCTTTGCAAACGCAAGGGAATCCTGCAGTCAAGCGACTTTTGCAGCCAGGGAACCAAATGAAGCAGTCTGTTTTCATGACGCACTCTCACCTTTTTACTTGGCAGGTCTGAAAGACCAACGTTCCCTTCAGGCTGGTTGACCCCACTTGCCAGCTTCTGAAGTCTTGGCTGCATCCGAATACCACCAAGAAGTACAAACTCATACAAACTCTATGCAACTTCTAAATTGAAACACCATGTCACACCTGAACCGCATGAGATACTCATGGCCTTCTGCAGGAAGACTCTTCAGCAGCTGCCAATTACCCCTATGAATTAACGAAAAACTGCTGCCTGACAGCTAAACATGTGTGCCCTCAGAGGCCCTCTCGCATCCTCTCGCCCTGTCTGGACATGTCTGGACCTGGCGAGTCCTTGTTTGACAAAGAGATCAAGAGGATTAAACCCGATTAAACCATTTGTGGCTCCGACAAAATGAGAACAAAATGAGACAAACTGAGACAAAATGTTCAACTGTTTAAGATGTTTGACAGATGCCTCCTCGGCGCACACCCCCTATAGCTGTCTGAGCCAAGCTCTCTTAGGCACTTTTAATCAAACGAGAACAGCCGAACAGCACAGGATAGCAATCAGATTTGCAGCGCAAACCGACCTTGGACATATCATGTCATCATCTGACAGCTCGATGCAAAAATGAGTTCCAGACTCCAGACACTGTGAGGACTACGGGTTGCCAAAGACTTGTTTAGGAGTCTGGCGTCGTGAAGGCATTTCCAGCGAGATCACCAAGCAACTTTTCAGGGAAGTCAATGTCCTTCAGATCCTGTGAAATTGCTGGCATAAAACACGCTGTGAAATCTGCGAACACGAGCAGCATTTCGTTTTGGAAGTTCTCACAGTCTGCTGGCTGCTGACAATGTCTTCCACACTGCCGCATATGGTTGCATACTGCCACTTCGCTGACAGTTTCTGCGCATTCTTCGTTTTGGCGCTGTGATGTGTGTGTGTGTGAGTGTTTGAGTGTGTGTGTGTGTACTTCACTTAGGGTTCTAACATGTTCTAATGCTAACTAACATGCTCTAAGGGCAGAAATCCAACAAGCCTGCACCCAACAAGCGCACTGCCTCCGCAAAAATGCCCTGCAGAGCCAACTTCTCAATGCCGAGAACCCATCGGTGCCGGCTTGAGTGCCACAGCATGCCTGACGTCGGAACACTCGGTGGAACTATGTCTAACTATGCACAGTGTAAGTATGTGTAGTACTTCCCTGCAGAAACAAAAGCAGACCTGAACATCTTGTCATTTCAGTGATCAAATCATCTTTCTTTGGTGTAGACTACCTCTGGAGCTCTTCAAAGGTCAGGAGCAACTGCTAAGGGCACAGTTTTTGACTTTGTCGGAGTAATCAAACTCACTGCGAGCCTACTGTCTACCTTTCTGTCGGTGACAGAAGGCAGCCAGCGAATCTGTCGGTGGGACTGACTACAGCTAGTGTTTCGGCTCACCCAGTATTTCTGCAACTTCTGAAACGCCAAAAAATTCACTGCCCTTGATCTGGGCAAGAGACAGACCTTCTCATACCAGATAGGCTAATCACATTGCCACAAGTTTCCTCCAGCTTAACCATTTTGGATCTGTGGAATCGCTAGATTTCATACGGCCTTCAGTGCTTCTCTATTCAATTTTTTTTCGTTCTGCATTTTGGGTCCTTTGGTGTTCGACTTTGACTGCAACATTGTAGACTTCCCTAAGAGTGCGTTCTTTGTGCCTAGGTGATCCAACAATTCAAAATTCAGGGAATCCGTCGTTCGTTTCCATTTCGTTTCCATATGTTCCGTTCATTGTCGTGTCATGTCGTGTCTCCACTTCCTTGGCCGAGTTCCTTTGGTTCACCATTTTGGGTTGACAAAAATCGAAAGCTGGGGAAACTCAGGACTCCAGGCAAACATTGCTTGCCACGAAGCATGCGCACTGGACCGCACTGGCACTGTACACGCTGTACAAACAGCTCCACCTCATGGCAGAGCCTGGCAGAATAGCGAAAATATGCGAAAATTAATCTTCGACGATCTTCATGTCTTCGTTCACAGGGACAATTTCCTCTCTGCAATGTATTTGCGCCCAGGTTCTTTCAAGGGCCTTTATCGCAGTTTATTGCTCAGAATTGAACCGGCTTCAATATCAGCCCGTGAATGACGTTGTTGGTACCTTAGATTGCAAGCAAGAGCCTTCCAAGCAAAACCTAACGTAGCAAAACAAGATGTCAAAGCTGGACGGTACATTTCAGGAAAGGGCAAATTATGCTGGAATATTCAAACTGTTTTTCTTGTATGAGAGCATTGCTATTCAAATGCTAGGAACCTGAGTCTATATTCCAGAAATATGCAAGCTTGCGCATGTCAGTGATTTTAGGCAAAGGTAGTGTAGGTTACAGATCCCAAGCAGTTTGCACACGTAGCAACTCTTCACAGCCTTCAGATCTGAACCATGCCACAATCCTACCAGCCTTTGTCGTCCAAGTTTCTCCTGCATTGCTTCCTGTAAAGCTCTGGTGATAATCGGGGTCTTCATGACGACAAATGCAAAGGAACCGATGGACGCTGCATTTAGTTCCAGCACAACTTGTTTGTATGCAGCAGGATGAATCCTTAAACAAAGCACCACGCTTGCACAACCTCCTCTCAGATGAGTTTGAAAAAACCCAAGAATAACATATGGTTGCCGTAACATATTTCTCCATCAGTAAACCCACAAGCACGGGAGGGCCACGGCAGTAGAGAGAGAGAGAGAGAGAGTGGGTGGGTGAGTGAGTGAGTGGGTGAGTGCTTGGATATGTAAAGCATTGTAAAGCTGACAATACTCGTTCCTATAGCATCCTGTGATTAAGTCGTTTTGTCACTTTGTCATTTCTGTAAGTGTAAATTATTGCCGTTTCTTCTTCACACACCTGTCATGCAACCATTGCATCTATTCTCGCATCTATTGCAACTCTATCTCACCTGAAGGCTCGTTGGCTTTAGATGTGTTCTTGTCAAATGATGGCGATGATCCGATGGGTTTAGCTGCCTGCTGCCAAATCTTCCAACAACGCGATGGCACAAAAGTAAGTAATGATATGGTTCACGAATGTTCATTATATTTCATTATGATCCTATGATATCCTATGATATCCTATGACTTCAAACGGATTGAAACTCTATCACACTGTTTGCACAGTGTCTGCACACTTTGGCATTCGCATCCATTCGCGTGGTTGAGGCCAGGCTCCTCTTCGCATCAATCAGCACGCATATGCCCAAGATGAAAACGAGCCCCACGCGCGTGATGGCCCAAAACATCATTGACAGCACCTGCATCCAAAGCCTGAAGGGACAGAACAATACAGAACGATACAGAACGGCCCCAGGTGTTCAACGTGCAAAAATGTACAAAACACATTGCAGCTGTGATACATCGCAGAATTTGTGGACGTTTCATGACGTTTCCTCTGAGCCCGGGGCCTCTGTAAGACCGACAGCTTCAAGCTCGGCGTCTGTAAGGCATTCGCAATGCCAAGACAAATTGCACTCGAGAAGTGAAAGACAAATTGCAGCATCTTCCCATAGATGGAGCTAGGAATACCATACCTAAGGCCCAACGATGCACAAAAAAATGTAGAAAATCAGTGAAAAACGTGCAACAATCTTGGATTGAATTCATTCAACGTCTTGAAGGTTCTGTCTAAACTGTCCTGTGGGCGCATGGATCTTTTTCAAAAGCTTGGATCATTCTGTCAACGTGACTTCTCAGACCTATAGAGACCTATAGAGACCTATAGAGACCTATAGAGACCTATAGAGACCTATAGAGACCTATAGATTTTCACATGTGTCGTGTTACTTTTAGGTGTGTCAAAGCCTGAAGCTTCTGCGAGTTGCATCAATGCGTGACAATAGGCGCAGGAGATGGTGTGGTGCACCAGCAAAGGCTTCAGCTGCCAATGGGTAAACGATGTGCCTTTGGACGCAACGTGAAATTGATGAGATTGGCGTGCCACAAGAAAGAGAAATGATGAAAAATGTCTGCAGTGACACCAGCGAAAACAAGGAACGATAAGGAACACACGCAGTAAAAAAAAACGGGGCTACAGGTTCTGAAATCATTTGGTGCAAATCTTTGGCATCGCCAGAGTCAAGTATAGTCAAGTCCTCTCAAAGTCTCAAATCTTCTGAATTACGTGCAACATCGGTTCAACATCGTGCAGTGGCAAGTCTGGGCACAAGACCTGTGAACAGCAGCAAGAGGACATCGATGGTGCAATACGCTGGCTCCGCAAGCGTGGCCAAGTGGTAGAGAGTGTCATCCAAACTGCAACGATTTGTCCACGGAAGGAAAATAGCAGAGTCAATTTATGTCACTGTTATTCTGGGCCTTTCGAACTGACAGAAAAACATCCCAAAGTTCCCATCAATTGAAACAACAGGAATAGACAGGGCTTTTGTGCCTGCCGTTTCTGGTCTGTGATTGAGGAGTCTTGAGGAAGTTCACGCCTTGTGATACAAATCGTTGCTGCGAAGCATGTGCAGAGCACACAGTGGTAAAGTACCTCTCGAAAGCCAATAGATAAGAGAAGCGTGTGGAAAGCGTGTGGTTGGTCTCTAAAAAATCCTACGAGAGCACTTTGATATACTTCGATTGTTCTTGAAGTCCAATCGACTGCAATGATTTAGTCTCAGGATGTCTCAGGTCTAAAGCAGTAAATCTTATCACATTGAGCTTGAACTGCCCTTTTTGACAAACCTTGAAAGTTGATGAGTAGTAAATGACAATAAGTGTAAGAAATGCAAACACCATCAGTTAAAACATGTACCAATGCATCAACGCTTGAGATGATTTCTGGCCACGGGCCAAGGCACCTGCGCGGCAAAGCCATAGTATTTGTCAATATCAAACCCTTCCTTCAGGGCAACCCACTGCAACTCACATCCAAAATCATCAAAAGCATTTGCATTTATTTGCTCTGCCTTAGGCATCATATCTGAAAATAGCTCAAAACATCAAGTCAGGTATGGGATAATTTGAAACATATTGAACAAATATGAACGATGACACACTTAGAACGTTGATGAAAATCAAACCGCCTGCTGACCTCAAATTGATGGCGATCAATAATCCGTGGGATGATGCAATGCTTGAGCGCGAGCATGACACCACTCATGTTTAGCACCAGTATCACAAAGCTGCGAATGCCAAGTAGGGGCCGACCCGCACAGACTTTGCACACCTGCGTCGGATGTCAACGAGTTACCGCTCAGTGGGACAAAAGGGACGTAGCTTTACGTAACATAATGTCATATCTGACGCATCATGACGCATCATGACGCATCATGACGCATCATGACGCATCATGACGCATCATGACGCATCGTGACGGTCTCAAAATGGGACAACAATGGCGGAGAACAGATCTATCAGCTTCAGCTTGCATCCGTTACCACTTGAAGGCACACCTTGTGAAGGTGGTTTGGTGCAACATTTGACACCTTTGAGGTAGGCCACCTGAGAGCAATGAGTGCTTGGCAAATTTGGCAAGCTCCAAGATGCCGCAAGCTAAGCAACGGTTCCTTCATGTTGTTCCTTCATGTTCCTAGCATTACCTTGCGCATCAAAACAATGTCTGTTCATGCTGAACACATGTCTGCTCTCTGGCGTGAGCCAAACTGTGATCTGCGTGTCGTCAAGTCATTTCAAGTCTTTACCATGTCTTTATCTCTCTTGGTCTCAGACAGAACGAGGCTCAAGCTGAACAGGAGGAGAAGCGTCGTTGCGACATAGGCCGCACAAGGCAAGCGCTGCCCCACTACCACCGCTGACTTTGCCGTATTGGCACGGATCAATCGCCGTAGAGACACCATAGCGTTCAAGTCGCGGATGTCCTAGTCCTCTTTTACCTATCTTCGAAACAGCTTGGTCACAAAATGGCCTCGAATGCTTTGAGATGGAGTGAATTCATGTGACACAGGGTATTGCAAGGCCACTCAGGCGTTCAACGAATCCAGGCTATCGAATTGGCTGCCTGGAAGGATGCAGGTGGCATAGTTTTGGCGATCACGTCGTACCCGGACGCCTACGAGCACTTCAGTTAGCGTCACTTGCTTTGCATGCTTGCTTTACCGTGCCATAGTCCCCGCCTGGGACTCTCTCTACGCTTTGGCTCAGCTCCCACAGCATCGGTACCACACGAGGATCCTTCCAAGTCATGCAATCTTCGCTACAGGCAACATAGCGGTCATGAATTCGAATCATGCTGAAATCATTTTTTGAATCAGAATTCATTGGCTCTCTCAGAAGTTCTAGCAGCCTAGCAATTCCTATAGCCAACTCCAGAAAACTGGCACTTGTCTCCTTTCCCTGCTCATTCATGATATCCAGGCCTGAAGTGAATAAGCGAATGTCACGTGTAACAGCAGGAAACATCAAGCACGCATTTTCCATATTCCCTACATATATTCCCTCAACATCCCTCAACTTCAATCTTCAAATATCATCAAACATCTTCAAATCGATTCAAATCGCACTTTTCCAATCTTTTTCAGGAAAGTCACGAAATCTGTTCTGTGATCCCCAAGCATTCACATGTGCTCCAGGTGTCTTAGGATTCGGCATTTCAGATCAATCAACTCCTTCTCCCGCTCGTTCAATACCTGAACCACTGTGAGCTCATTCACAATGCAGTTGAGATCTGCTTCACACCAAGTGTCGCTAGCGAACCCCAAGGTCGAAGTATCGTGCCCCAATTTAAAAGAATCACGTTGCTGTTTTCAATACCTCTGTATATTTATGTTGGGAATCTTACATGCTTGTACCAATAATTGCTATCAAAAATAGTATCTCTTTGTCAATCGTTGTGTGGGATTCGTGTGATGCGTCAATCCGCACCTGGCTCGCGACAGACGACGAAACTCTTGAACTGTTAGGTTTATTTTTTTTCGGTCGTTCACAATGACCACACATCTGGGGTTTCATGGACTGTCGCCGTCTATTTGAAAGAATCATGTCTCTTATGTCTGTTCAAGACGGATGCCTTGTTGGTAATCCACAAATGTCTAGTTAATGCGATGTCTAGTTGCCGAAAGTGATGTGTGCGGCAGGCATCTGCGATGCCAGTAAATATTCTGAGCTCAAATTTTTGATCTTGCCTTTCAAGATCTCTCAAGATGTTCAAGTATTATCCTTCAGGAATCCGCCGGCCTGCCGGCGTGTCTTGTGGATCTTGCTTGTTCGTAGTTGTACTGTCTGTTTTGTCTGTCTTGTCTAGACTTTCCCCTTGGCGCGGATTTTTGCCTCGTCTAACTTGAACCCACTCCCTCCCCCCAGCTATTCGTTTCGTCTTGATCTTTCCTTACGATGTGGTGGGCTCAACTCTGCCCACGCCTTGCACAACACAGGCTTGATTTTGCACATCTTGCTGTCATTTCGATGGTTGTTTCCATTTTTTTGTTGTGTTTGTCATCGGTTTGCTCCGTCGCTTCTTATATCCAATGCTTGATCCACTGGCTTTTGTGCCGAACACCTTTTACACGCATAACTTTCTAGTCTATATAAATATTGCCTTTTCCAAAGCCGTTCTCAATATGGCCTTTTCCAAAACCCTGGCTTACACACACATGCTTTGATTCAAACTTAAACCGTGGTTTGAACAAAACCAATGTTTTTGCGTCCGAGTCCAAACCATCTTTTACACAAAGAGCTGTTTCACACAGAAACTGTGTTATCCACGAACACCATGTTTTACACAAAAACCATGTTCTTGCTGGGCCTGTTCAAGGGCTATTTGCAGCCTACAGGATCTCGGCGGAACACGCCGAAGGCGGTTAAATAGTTCTATTGTGGTTCTGTATGTGCCAGCTCTTGCAAACTGGATGCTTCTACTTGTGCCACCAGTTACGATTGCTCAATTTTCTACACCAAATCTGGCATGCTTCCAGTAGCAAAAAGCAGCAATCCTACAATGGTACAAGGATCTACAAAGATTCCCCCCACAGAAAACCATGAAATCCATGGAGAAACCATGGAGAAAACCCTGGAGAGAACCATGAAGAACCTGCAGTGTCCATTCGTTGCCAGCTGTGGAGCCCCAAAGCTTGACCCCGCCTGGAGAAAATCACTATCTCGCACCGAAGTGTAGGGACGGTCGTATTGGTAATCATTCCTTGAACGTCGCAATATATGGAAATGGCTGTAGCAATGGTTGTAGCAATATGCGATGCAATGACATCTTCATCATCCTCATCATCTTCATCATCTTCATCATCTTCATTGTCATAATCTTCATCGTTAATGCATTTAGTCCCAAACATTTAACAGAAATGCAAACAACGTATGCTGGTGAGCAGAGAACGGCAGTGTGGAGAGAGCATGGCACAGCAATCAGAAGTCAAACTATGTCAAACTCAGCTCAAGGATGCTCAAAGCAGCTGCGATGAACGGCTATGGTCACCATGGGCAGTCCATGGCAGTCCATGGCAGTCCATGGCAGTCCTGGTTCGGTGGCTGTCGTACTTCTCAAGCCAATCCTGCTTGGCTCCACGTCTCTTCTTCAGGACCTTGCTGGGAAATGTTGAAATATGTTGAAAATTGTTGAAATTTCACGAAACGATGTGAGAACTCTAATGTTCATGCTTTTGCATATTGTGCTCACATCTGATATTCCCATAAGAGCTGCATGGACACCCAATTAAGCAGCGAGGTTTGGCAAGCTTGATCTTTGGGTCTTGATGGGTCTTGATTTTCAGCTGAGTTTTCAACCGCCTTTCTTTCTTTTGACTTCATCCACTGGAAATGTGCCTTGACCTCAAAACATCAACCGACAACCGTCGACTTTGATCTATCAGAATCTATCATTTCTATCGGAGTCTACCGGAGTCTGCTCCACTTTTACTCTAACATCATCACCCGTCCCGTCTATCCTAACTGGACTTCGCCACAGTTGTAACGAGCAACCCTTGGATGGTCATCATCCAGCATGTAGTCCTCACTGCAGCGCTGCATGTTGGTGCATTTTCAGAAAAAAAGGTCAACCAAGCACTGCTGTCAACAGGGTCCTCGAAGTGAAGGGCACAAGGCTCCTCCAATGCGACCAAGAGATCATTATACCTGGACTCAACCTGTCAGCAAAACACTGTGGCAAAAGTCTGGCAGCATCTGGCAGCTACATTGTGACCATTGTGGCTCTTTGCCATTCTTGCTGCTGTGCAGATCTTTACGAATGAAGATCGAATGAAGTTATAATTATAATCTATGCTAATATTATGTTAATCTCTTAATCGTTTCATCATTTTTCCATATTTTTCCATGGCGATACGGATTGATACGGATCGATACGAAGTGCTCGTTGCGAAAGCCGTCCGGTGCTACGGGTGCCTGCGAGGTTGCAAAGTCCGCCTTCTCACGCAGAACTTTGGACTCTTCCAATGAGGCTGGAGATGTCTCTGAGATCCGAATCGCCCACATCCAAATCCTGCACTCAGCCAATATCAGCCAATTGCCAATTGCAGAAGTCATGTTTTGTTGTGACATGTTGTGACCATATGAGACCATGAAACAATGTCCTGTGACGAATCTGCGGCAGGAAGTAGTCACAACCTTGTAACAGCTTTGACTTGACTTTGTGCTCAAGAGTGCAAGATTCAAAGTTTCAAAGTGAAGTGTCCAACGATAGAAAGAACAATTGTGAAACCGCCCAAATTTCGCCACTTCACAGGAGGTGTAATATCCCAAGAACAATTGTCTCACAATTACTGTATACCTCTAATTTTCTCCCAGACTTCTTCAATCATAACTGCAAAGTCCTACCCAAGCAGTCTTGGTATTACACATGTTTTCATATTGGCATAATATAGTGTTTTTCCAAATTGTGGAATTGGGCTGCCTCAAGAACTGCGGAAACTCATTGAACGGAACTGTCCAACAAGAAATGGAAACAGTATGAAACAGTGAGAACGCCATGACAAAGTTGAGCAAAGAGAGTACGCCGGAACCACGGAATACTGTGTGATCTGGTAACTGCGACAACAAAATGCGGAACCATGCTTCGTTAAAGGAGAACCACGACTAGGATTGGGCAATAGTTGCGACAACACCACTTCAACAAAACCCGCAAGCCCTGCTGGCCTATTCCTCAACCTGTTCATATTTGGCCAGAATCTTACACCACTGGCAGTAATGCAAAGTTGCTTGCAGACAGGTAGGATACACAGTCTGGCAGGGTTAGCATACACTCGCGAAGGGTCAGCATACACTCCGGGAGGGTTAGCATTCACTCCGGGAAGGTTAGCATTGACTCCGGTTAGATGGATGGGGTACACCCTGGCAGGGTTAGCATACACTCGCGAAGGGTCAGCATACACTCCGGGAGGGTTAGCATTCACTCCGGGAAGGTTAGCATTGACTCCGGGAAGGTTAGCATACACTCTGGATGGGTTAGCATACACCCTGGCAGGGTTAGCATACACTCGCGAAGGGTCAGCATACACTCCGGGAGGGTTAGCATTCACTCCGGGAAGGTTAGCATTGACTCCGGGAAGGTTAGCATACACTCTGGATGGGTTAGCATACACCCTGGCAGGGTTAGCATACACTCGCGAAGGGTCAGCATACACTCCGGGAGGGTTAGCATTCACTCCGGGAAGGTTAGCATTGACTCCGGGAAGGTTAGCATACACTCTGGATGGGTTAGCATACACCCTGGCAGGGTTAGCATACACTCGCGAAGGGTCAGCATACACTCCGGGAGGGTTAGCATTCACTCCGGGAAGGTTAGCATTGACTCCGGGAAGGTTAGCATACACTCTGGATGGGTTAGCATACACCCTGGCAGGGTTAGCATACACTCGCGAAGGGTCAGCATACACTCCGGGAGGGTTAGCATTCACTCCGGGAAGGTTAGCATTGACTCCGGGAAGGTTAGCATACACTCTGGATGGGTTAGCATACACCCTGGCAGGGTTAGCATACACTCGCGAAGGGTCAGCATACACTCCGGGAGGGTTAGCATTCACTCCGGGAAGGTTAGCATTGACTCCGGGAAGGTTAGCATACACTCTGGATGGGTTAGCATACACCCTGGCAGGGTTAGCATACACTCGCGAAGGGTCAGCATACACTCCGGGAGGGTTAGCATTCACTCCGGGAAGGTTAGCATTGACTCCGGGAAGGTTACTCTGGATGGGGGGCATAGCATACAAGGGTCAGCCTTATTCACTCCGGGAAGGTTAGCATTGACTCCGGGAAGGTTAGCATACACTCTGGATGGGTTAGCATACACCCTGGCAGGGTTAGCATACACTCGCGAGGGTCAGCATACACTCCGGGAGGGTTAGCATTCACTCCGGGAAGGTTAGCATTGACTCCGGGAAGGTTAGCATACACTCTGGATGGGTTAGCATACACCCTGGCAGGGTTAGCATACACTCGCGAAGGGTCAGCATACACTCCGGGAGGGTTAGCATTCACTCCGGGAAGGTTAGCATTGACTCTGGGAAGGTTAGCATACACTCTGGATGGGTTAGCATACACCCTGGCAGGGTTAGCATACACTCGCGAAGGGTCAGCATACACTCCGGCAGGGGGAGCATTCACTCCGGGAAGGTTAGCATTGACTCCGGGAAGGTTAGCATACACTCTGGATGGGTTAGCATACACCCTGGCAGGGTTAGCATACACTCGCGAAGGGTCAGCATACACTCCGGGAGGGTTAGCATTCACTCCGTGAAGGTTAGCATTGACTCCGGGAAGGTTAGCATACACTCTGGATGGGTTAGCATACACCCTGGCAGGGTTAGCATACACTCGCCAAGGGTCAGCATACACTCCGGGAGGGTTAGCATACATTCAGGCCGCACAGAACCCGCTGCACCCAATGAACAAGAAAAGAGCTGCGTGCTGAAACAAGCCGAAACAGTCATGAACCACGTGAAATTGGCCAATAAACAAAAGAAATTGGATATTTTGGGCACTTGTACCCATCTATGACACTTGCATGCTACTGTCGCAAACATATCCCCGTGCTTGTCATGGTTCTGCTTGTCATGGTTCTACATATTCTGTCAATGTTCTCAATATCTTGTCAAGGTTCCTGAAATCATTCCATGGTTACATATTATATAATTATAATATATATATATACTGAACCTTCGTTGAGCAAAGGGCTGTTCATCAAACGATAGCCGGCCGCATAGCCCCGCGCCTGAAGAATTATCTACATTCCAAACAGGCGAAGCAAAACGTGTTCAAAAACAATCGCTGAATAGGGGCCCCTCTACATGGCCATGTCGTTGTATTGCCTGTGCCTTGGGAAGCCTCCCACAGTCGTACAACATTCTAGATCTGCAAAGCAAGAGCTTTGTATCCCTACAGCTACGAATTTTGGAGCTTGCTGTGAGCATCCGTGAACAAACACCGGGGTATTGAAACAGATCAAGCCAATCAAACCTAATCAACTAGCCACAGCACAAATCACAAAGCAAAATCAGGATCACTCCCTGCGTCGAAGAATCTTGTGGCCTTCAACCCTTCCAAAACCAGCTCAACCTAAGAGAAACTAAGAGACGATAACACCAAAGTCTCAGGTATGACTCAACTGATCGGAACACCGCGGATTGTGTCGCACGCAAATCTGACCTCGCTAAGACCCGTACCTGTCGGAAGCCAATGCTGTTGCTTTTTGCAATAGCCCATACGTTCCTTGGAAATCCAGAGGCAAGACGTGCTGAAGATGCGTTGCACAGGATGAACGTCATGGTGAACAGGAAAACAAGATGGACTCGGATTCTGAAAGAACTCTGAAAGGACTGAACAAAATGCAGATGCATGACATATATGGATGTGGAATGATATGAATAGATTAATGAATATATTTGTAGTGTATATTATCATGGATCTGCGATTGTCCGAGACTCTCAAGAAGGACGAGTTTTGGTCGGTACCTCTCCACCTTGGGAAACGGGCAAAATCGCCACGGCAATGCGCAGCTTTGGTCGGTGCATCTTGCTGTCGTTGTAAAGAAAAGGTCTGCCAAACTGAGCTAAGAAAAAATATGGGCACTGGATGGCACATGATGGCACTACGGTACAGTGTCAATCCACAATTAAGAAACAGGGACAAGAGGGCTGGGTACTGGAGATAGATAAAGCAAGTTGAAACGACCACACTTAGGTAAACCTGTTGTTATAGCGGTGATGGGAAGATCAACGACAATTGTTTTTCACAGATGTTCACAGTGTGTTTTCTCAGAGGCTTCTGCATCAGCAACTTCCTGAGATGTGGGCATAGTCTAAAACACCTCTCAACGTGGAACCAGACTGTCCCATCTCTTGTAGCCTGACAAACGGAAACACGGCATGGTGGGGGCGGTGTGCAGAACCACTTCAGAGCACTCTGAGATCCAAACGTCTTCCGGTAGGAATTCATCATGGACAAGTCCTGGCAAGGCAATAGGGCGATAGGAAAGAGGTGCAAGAAGTACAATGGCCTATACACTCACCATCACCCATAATTTTTCCTCCCTTTTAGTTGACTTTGCATGACTTTGCTCTCTCCTTCACTTAGGCTATCAGTGGCCTATCAGTGGCCTATCAAGCTATCGGGCCTACCTTACCTTGCCACATCATGCCACATCTTGCTATGCAATGCTACGCATGTCACATCCGAAGTGACATCCGAAGTGACTCCTTAAAGGATTGCTGATGATTGCCATGCAGCGCTGCGCCCGGCTGCGCCACGAGTCCTTGCAGCTGAAGCCGGCCACGAGGATGTCCAAGTTGCCGGGGACGGGCTGTGGTTTTTTCGAAAGAACCTGCGCGCTGACCGCTACAACCGCTCCGACAACCGCTCCAATATGCCCCAATAGAATCCAAGTCTCTCTTCCCTTGTTCAATTAGGCAAACCATATGCAGGAAAGGCAATGTCAATGTAGCAACGCACTCATTTTTTTCTGTCGGGCTGCGCGCTCCTGTCAGCTTTGGTTTGAACGCCATGCTCTTTCAAAGTGACACGTGTTCTCTTCACGTGCCACATGCAAAATGTCAATGGTCCCAAATCCAACGACTTACAAACTTCAACTTGCCATGTTGCAAAGGATTCAAATCTCTTGCTGCCACCGCCCGGAGGAGATTGGGGACGGATGGCGGGAAAACTAGACATCTTGCTCCCAGACTGTCTCACACAGCGGTCAATCAAGACACTCACATGCTGGGCGCATGTCACGCGTCTCTCTTCCCTTGTTCAATTAGGCAAACAATATGCAGGAAAGGCAATGTCAATGTAGCAACGGACTCATCTTTTTTCAGTCGGGCTGCGCGCTCCTGTCAGGTTTGGTTTGAACGCCATGCTCTTTCAAAGTGACACGTGTTCTCGTCACGTGCCACATGCAAAATGTCAATGGACCCAAATCCAATGACTTACAAACTTCAATTTGCCGTGTTGCAAAATGTCTGTGGACCCGAATCCAATGACTTACAAACTTCAACTTGCCGTGTTGCATTACCCTACTTTGGACAACAAGGCCGGCACGCACTCCTACCAAATTAGTCTTTTTTAACCCAGGTCCTCTTCACCATGGATCCTTCGAAACCACGCTTTCGCTTCTCGATCCTGCCATTCGCCATGCCCTTGGCTTCTTTGGATGTCTTTGCCAAGGCGGTCTCGTGATCCAACTCTGCTGCCAATGTCAAGATGTCTGACATCACCTTGAACCTTTTCTCCTCATAGACAAACATGCAGCCGCCTAGACTCATCAGATTTTCCAAACTCTTCATTTGTGAGATCATCAGCTTCTTGATTCCAGAGCGTGGTATCCAAGCCAAATCCAGCTCGAGTTGCAAACCTTTTGTCTGACATGCCACTTCCATCAAGATGATTGAAAGCGGATACTTGCAAGAGATGCATGACATGCATGTTTGTACCTGGCCGTCTGTGAAGGCTGTGATGGACAATCTTCCTCTGGCTTGTCTCCACGCAGCACCTCGGGAGAAAACTACCCACGCCACCAGCACTGCTACTAGTTCGAGCGATGCAATACATCTGTAGGGATCCCCTTTCATGTATGCCCAGGGCGACGACTTCCTCGACAGCCGCAAGCTGAACCATCTAGCCATGTTGGGCGCGACCCGGCCAAAGGACTCCCAGCGGCCCAAGACAATCAATTCCTCTTCTGCCTTGGCGTTCCACTCTGGAGATCTCTACAGATGTGGAAGTTGGTAAGAAGGCCAAAGACATGGACTCTTCGCTGATCTGCCGCACCAGAAACTCCATGAGGACTATCGCCGCATCTGGAAATTTCGCAAAACAACCAGGGCTGAGCACTGCCGACCAAACGAATAATGGGCCCAAGAGCCGCCGAACATGCTGGAGAGCGCCAGCAACAAATGTTAACCTTCCCAATGCTGGCTTGAGAGCGCGTCCAAAAATGCGGCCGGCAGACTTGTGCCTCCTCCACCATTCTTTGACCCATGCTACTTTCTTCGGCGATAAGCCTTTGGTGAAATCTCCCACATCCAAGCCGTAGCCGATCCACCGCACTTGCACGCCACCACGCACCTTCCGCCAGCTGACTGGAAACTCGTTGAGCTCCAATAGGAACAACCAAAATAGCAGCTTCCTCCAGAAATGCACTCCGTTGGCCACCATCCAGCCATCGATTGCAAATAGCAAATGCATCAGGCCCAAGTCGTGGGCTACAAGGCGGTGGCCCAGCCTGATCGCGCAAGCCGCCACCCTTTGCCACCAGTATGCAGCACTTGCTATGCCGAAAGTGCCTTTGGTGTGTAAGAAGATGAAACCTGCGGCCTTGCCTTTTAGCAACCTGAACGCCTGGAGACCCCAATCCTTCTGCTGGACAGGACAAGTCTATGGGCTCTGCAGATGTCATAGATCAGCTGCATTCTCGTGGCGTTGCCCGGCTTCGTGGGCTCTTCTTTGACGCGCGCTAGCTCACATCCACTGAGTAGGAGCCGTCATGGATCAGGCGAACTGCCGATGAATCGAGCCCCTGTGGCACTGCACCCAGAGCTGCCACCGCCAGCCTCGACCCATACTGGGATCGAGCCTCCTCCTCCATCATGACGATGCTGCCTTGCTGGACCTCCTTCATCACCTGGCGTTCAATGTCCTCGGCGTTCTCCTCTGCCGACTCGTTATTGTTGGACCACTTTTCTTCCAACAGCGAATCCACAAAATCGCGGGCCCAAGACGTTTTCTCTTCGAACACCTGCGGCGTCCTTGGCAACTCTTCACCAACGCCCAGCGGGGCACCCACTGCGGCAATGTCCAAGAGGAACGTGTGGTCCTCGTCCTCCGTGGCGCTCATCATTGCCTCCAGCCTCCTGTAATTTATTTCGGTGTCCCTGTCTTGCGGTCTCCTTTTGGGATCCTTGCCCATGTCCACCAACACCAGATCCAGCTCCTCTCGGGCTCTATGAAACCCTCAAATGGGGAGGTCGGCTGCTTCCCGACTGCCAACTTCCACAAAATCTGCTGAGCCAACCCCTTCTTCTCCCTTTCCATTTCCAAAAATCCATTTGAGGAAACACCTCCTGCAAGCCGCTGACAACTGCACCGCATCATGCCCATCTGGTACTGTCCTCAGCTACTGCCCATCTGCCTCCTGAACAAAGACCACCACCGTCATGTATCGTTCGCGTTTTGGCCTTTGTAATATGCCTGCAACGGCCTGCCGTTTCCACCTCTTGCTGCCGCAGATGTACCTGCTGTCGCAGGCGTGTTGTCAGCGCAGTTAGCCCCATGTTTGTTGGCCAGTTTATTGCTGCAGCCGGCAGGTTGCTTGTTGGAGCGTGGCTTGTGGTTCATGTTGTTCTCCCCCGACCTTGTTTTAGAGGAGGGCAACATATGTGGCCGGCTGTGCCTCACATGCATGCCTCTCATGGCCGGGCTGGAACTGCCCCGTCATTCGTTCTTTGGCTTGCCTCCTCCAACGGTGTCCTTTGGAGGTGCATTGGTGCCAGGGCATGCATGCAATGGGTGATTTTGAAAACAGGCCATATGCGCAGGCTTCCGCAATCGTATCTGCATCGAGAACTTCTTGGTTGTTCCATCGAAAACAAATCTGCTGCCCGTTGTGGATCTTGAGGTTGCTGTTCAGTGCGTTCTTGCGTTTGCCTTTGCAATTGCCTTTCTTCTGGAACTGACGCGCCCATTTCCTGCTGGAGACTGGAGAATATGTGACCTGGCTTTGGAGTCTTGCACGCTGGTGAGAGCGTTCAGGGATGCTGGAGTCACAAAGAAAAGCTCTTTCAAGGACACACCCTTTCGCACCTTCTCCAAAGCTGCTGGCATCCCCATGCCGTCGTTCATGAGTTTCATGGTTTCTTTTCGGATCTGATGGTCATAGGAGAGCACCAACGTCCATCCTCATTCTTCGCCCTCAAACCCATGACTTGATCGCCGAGCAAGAAATCTATGTAGGTCATGAAATGCTCTGGCCGCAACTTTTGCAAGGCATGCTTTTGAGGATGTTTGAAGCTGGCCATGACATAGCCGTGAGCCACGACCTTCATCCGCTGTCTGAGTTGCCGTGGCGATTTCGGCTCAGTGGTTTCACCATGGCCATTGCGAATTTTGACATGACCAGATTCGTCAATGGAGGCCGCCATGGGTTCGACTTCTGCATCTTCACGAGATAGGAATTGAATAAGGCACATGGTTCTCCATTCCCCGTGCTCAATTTGGTCGAAGATTTGCTCAAGGGTGAGGTCATGAGCTTCTGAGCGGTCCATGGCCATGGGAAGTCCAACGACGGATCTGCGGTTGTTGCTACGGAGCCTTTTTGCTGCTCGCCCAGCTGGAGGGAAGGACATCAAGTTCAGGACCTGCTCCTGGACAACTCTTGCCATCACTTGACACTCATCAACCGGGTCTGCACGACCTTGGTTTGCTCGTAGAAAGTGGGCAATTGTGGTCTTGAGCCCGCAACACTTGCATTCTGAATGACCGATCATGTGTAAGATCAGTAGATGGGGTCCATCTACCCAGTGTCTTGCAGATATCCTCTGGCACATCTGCTGTTCGGACACAGGATCGCAAAGTGATGCGTTCCGAGTGCTCGCTCCAGCAAAGGGAGACACCAGGCAACAGCAGCCGAGACCAGCTGCCATCTTGCGCTTGCGACATTGCCGAAGCTGCTGCATAGTGTGCAATCTTTCGTGCGCAACTGTCCAAACTTCTTGTGGGCACCCACTTCGTCTGCCATCTCTTCACAAAGCGACCACCCTGTAGCCAGCCATTGCGCATGTTTGAGAAATACCCTAATGCTAACAAACACCTTGAGAATCTTCACCTTCTTGGCAGGGCCAGAGGTTTTGGTCCTGGCCAAGTCTGCGCTAATCCCGAAGCTCTGCATAGGCCCTCACGAAGCGAGGCGCAGAGGTTCGCATCACCAGGCAGCTACGTATTTCAGAGGTAAATGAAGAGCCTTCTTTGCACTGCCAAATGGCACCGTTTCCGGTTTCAGATTCACTTCCTCCAAGGCGTTCTTGACCGCACTGGACTGACAAAGTTGATCAAAGTTGTGCATCTTTCTCTATTTCTGCTGAGCTCTCCATGAGCAGCACTGACTTGTAGATGCTGGTGGGTAAATATGGGCTTTCCACATGGCTCAGCCGAGATAGCACGCAACATGCATGGGCTCTGTGGGCCAGCAAATCTGGAATGTGCCCTGCCAGAACCGTACTGCCCTTTCCCATGTCTTCACGTGCGTGCGCGAGGTCCCAGCACGCCGACCTTTTGCAATGCGGCCTGGTCACCTCGGCGCCTGCTTCTGGCGTCAAGTACGCCAGAGCAGGCACGGCGCCTCCTTCAATAGTTTGTACAACTCCTTGATCCAGCGTTCACGCTCGTCTCTTTCAACTATTTCTCTTTGTACTGCATCATCTTCTACCTGCGCTAATCTCTTTCCAATCCTTGTGGGCCATCTGGTTCTTGGAGCTTTTGGCATGGATCCCCACAGCAGTCGCCTTACGCAGACCGTTGAGCCGCTCCTTGGCTCTGGCCAAGCAGCTTGCTTCAACTAAATCGCTGCCGCCGAAGCGTCCCTCAGTAGCCCATCCAGTCTGCGCAGTGGACTGAGCTCCTTCTATGAGCTCACATGCACCTTGCAGCCATCATCAACTGAGTCTTGGACATTGAGCATCAGAAGTTCAATCATTTCGCCGTCGTCATCATCCTTCAAAGTTGTCAGCCTGGCCACGTTCCAACCTAATCTGGTCAGAGCATCGGTCAACCTGGAATCGCATCCCAGGACATCTCCCAGGCTGGCTAAAGATATCATGGCGCATCTAACGCCTCCTACAAAACTCAAAACCAGACTGTCTCACACAGCTGTCAATCAAGACACTCACATGCTGGGCGCATGTCACGCGATCCAATAGATCCTACACATCTCTAACACACTCCAATGCACTTCTCCTGCTTCTCGAAGTTTCTCCAACTCCAACTATCTCCAACTATCTCCAACTATCTCCAACTTAGTCCCAACTTATATACTCAATATATCTCAATATATTCTCAGTAGCACTTGGGCATCAGTGCAGCTGCACTTTCTTCAACAAGTTTTGACCACCCCTCTGCCACAAGTTCAACTAAGTTCCATGGTGTGCTCCCACTAGACCCGTTCCATGTCAGCATTTCTTCACTGCGGTCAAGCTATGTCAAGCTATCTCAAGCTATGTCAAGCTGTCAAGTTGGTGAAGTGTGTAAGCCTTCAATCATTCTGTGGACTGGGTTACTAAAAAGACCGTTTATGATTCAGTATGATCTGACTGACATAGTGAGCCCACAACAAATGTCGTCACTTCAGGCGATCCATTATGATGTCGACTGTCGACCATAAGACCACTCCCACCTCAAGAGCCCTCTTTCGACCCATCTGCCTTGCACACACTGACACAGCATCAGGACGTTTTGCACTGCGACAAGCTGCATCTGGGATACGGAAAGTGGAAACTATTGGAAAGTAGTATGGTGATGTATGGTATACGTATGTATGGTCTGGATTGGTCTGGTGTACAAAGCTTTTGTTTTCGGTTGTGAGTTGCTGGTGCCAGATTAAGAGCTGGACGTGCAGTCCCTGAAGAGCAATGGACATCCCGGAAAGTTTGCCTTCAAGAACTCCTGCCAATGACTGGCCAAATGAATATCGTCTGAATCGTCTGGCTCCGGCTACTAGTTTGACTGTTTGACTGTCTCGTTCACGCGATCTTTGCATAGCTCTACTATTCTCTACTCACTTTCAGTTGCTGCATGCCGCATCATGCCGCTCCTGCTTCCTGGAATCGTACTCCACTGAAAAGACCTGAGAGGCATCAAAAGATATCAAAAGTTCAGAGAGATGAATTTGGATGAGTTTGGTTTGAAATCTTGGACAGTGATTAACTATAGATATAGGATGATATATGATGATATAGGCTGTGATGGCTATGTGAAGCTGTTCGATGTGTCTAGCTCGACGTGATATGACATTATATGTTCTTGCTGCCAAAGCTGCATGATCGAATGCCAGTTGCGAACCTTCTGGTTTCAGCGCACGCTCCAAAGCCCTGTTCGCTGGGGTGGCTCAGCGTGCTCTGCACACGCCACCGACTTCGGACTTTGCTACAGTATTTGCCTCCACTGACTGGCCTCGCCACCAAGACAGGAGCATCAGTGCCGGAGCACATGGTGCCAATGCGTAGAACCTTTGGCACAGGCCACCGGAAAGAAAGGATGTTGAATTTATAATATGAATTCACATAATTCTATATTATGTTGTGCCATTTAATCAGTTTGAGTTCTGTTCTTTGCAAAGCACGTTTACCTTTTCCCTGCCAACAATGCAACAATCGAAAAACCAGAAAACTGATTTGGAGAAAAGGGTCCAATGGCAGAAATATAGACAAGGACTACAATGCCCAAACATGCCCAAACCATCTAAGATCATCTCAGATCCACTCCTGCTTCTGAAGCAATGGCTTTGGTAAGTGCTCGTCGCACATGTCTGACGTTTTCTGCAGTGCTTTCAGTTTTTCAAGCCTCAAAACATGGCCACAGCTGAAGGGATCCACCACAGAAGGGATCCATGACCTCTCTGACGCATGCTACACTGTTACACCAAAGTATACCAAAGTATACCAAAGTATATGCGGACGCAAACATTTGCAAACACATTTGCAAAGTTTCAGATGCACTCAGACTCTGCTATTCCGTTGGTCTCGTCATTTGTGCTTCCGGACATGCAGCGTGTCATCTCCAGCAATGATCGCGGAGCGTTGGATCTTCGCTCCTCCAATTCCCGGAGCCTCACGCGCAGTTCAGAGAGAAGACGTGGGGCAGATGGGAGGCGGTAAAGGTCGGTAAAGCGGGTGCTTAATGAAGTGTTGCACGTTGCTTTGCCGTTTTGATCCGTTTAGTTTACGGCGTGGTATGATATGGAGCCTCTAGAGTTATTTGAACAACTAATTCGAGTTGACCATGTTGAGACCTAAATTGCGTGGACAAAGCCAGGCTCACGATGAAGCATGCAGCATACTGCTAAAACCTGCAAGATCCGTGGGTCAGAGAGGAATCTTTGGCTCTCGCGGTCTTGCTTAAGTTTCTCTGATTTCTCTTGATAGAGTTTGCAGCGTCTCCCACCTGCCTTGCGTCAAATCGAGCCTCTTTCTCACAGAGATACAGTGTGAAGATGTGTGAAGACTTTGGACTGAGTAAGCTACTGTTGCATGTTCTACATGAACATGTTCATCGTTGCTGATCTAAGGTGATTCAGATACACTATGAACAATCTATGAACTCACTATGATACATTGATCCTTCTCGTTTCACTCCAAAGTTTGGCTGTTTGCGCCTCAGATCGAGTGAGACTTTGCGGCTCCGAGCGAGGCCGTGCACTGCGGTTCCTGTCGACCAAACGAAGTAGCCATCTGTGTACTATTTCCTATGTTTCATTATGTTTCATTCTGTTTCCTTGCCGTGTGTTCAAGTTGCAATCCTAATTCTCAAGGCTAAGGCTTAGATACGCTGGAAACGGCTAGAATGTACCCAATCTTGACTAAGCGACCAGCCTGCAACAAGTGGAAACAACATCCAGTTTATCTCAAAGGAACACAAATGACGCTTCTAAGGTTTTTCAAAGTCCTTGTACAGAAACGGCAGCAGGAACCAAAACAATGAGCCAGTTGGGAAGCAATGCGGTCTTGGCGAAGCAAATTGATCTATTGCTGAAAGCTGGACTTCCCTTTCGGCCTTTGGCTACTTCACAGCTCAAACCTCCGATTGCCAAGGCTCAGGCTGCTCATTGCATCACCTGCGAGAGTCTCTCCTGATCACATTGGATCAATTGGGCATGACACTTGATTTGTTTTTCTTCATGACAATATTGTTTGCACATATTACAATTTGTTGCATCCCAAACAATTCTTCCAAAATGTCTAAACTGATCAAAGATCTAAACAAATCGACATAAATCAACACTTCTTGAAACTTGGTGTTACTTCGTGTAATTTGTTGCAACTTCTCTTTCTCAGCGGTCAACGATGCTCAACGGGCGCCTCGAGCCTCAAGAAGATCCTCTGCCTCAGTCGCGACATGCGACACATGGTGCCGTTGATTTCAACTGATTTCAACCGATTTCAACTGACCAAATGTTGGCAAAGGCACGCACCACGACGTAGCTCGATTATGTGCAGATTCATCGGTAATTCATGGCAATTCACTATCAAATACAGTGACCACAGAATGCCTACGGTTTCAAAACCATAATGTTTTTTACATGTTCATACAACTTTATAACGCTCGGGTTGCTTTGTCCCACATAGACCCACTTCTGGATTCCTTGGGCCCAGGCGACTTTCAACTTCTGATTTACAAAGGGACTGGTCGCAGCAAAAAATGTGGCAAAATGACTGTCCGCCAGCATCTGCCAGCCGTGCACCGGCTCCCAGTTGCTGAATCCCGCAGATTCTGAATCTGCAAAAGCCACATTAAATCCATTCACAGTTCGATCAGAAGCATGAAATCTACGGCAGGCCTTTCAAGTGTGCTTTCAGCAAGAAGCTTGTTGTCACCATCAAAGAACCTTGAAATGTCCAAGGAACAGCATGAAAAGCGGCGGCGACAAAACTAGTTTGTGGCGAAGAACGAACAAAATGCTGAGCGCATCTGAGCGGGAGCATTTCAACGCCACCGATATCGTCCAAACGTTCCGCAGAGTTTCGCTGCGCAGGATCAGCTTGGGCACAAACTGCCACTGAGAGCCACCATCTTTTCGTCGCACCTTTTGGTGCACATGTTACAGTAAGCATCAAAGAGATGCAGCATACATTTGTTCAATCTATTCACATTATGCTATCTGATACTGTACAGTCTTGCTCAGCTATGCTTCTCTGGGATTCGCTCCTAGTTGTACTCCGTTTAGGCTTTCAGCAATGAAAGTTTCATGTCCACCATGGCTTCTTGCAACTCTTCAGAACGCAAAACAATTCATGTCCAAGTGCCTGAAACATCCTGAAACATCCTGAAACATCCTGAAACTCTGTCAGTTGGGAAAAGATGTAGGCATGAGCGGCATGAACACTATGGCTGGGAGACATGAACTAAATAACAGAAATAAGATGAAACAAGACAGATGTTACAGATGTTACAGATGATTCATGATGTTTCCTTTTTTTGGTTTCGATTATTTCGTCATGGCCCAGAGCCTGGATGGGTTGTGAGTCGTCTAGGCATTGCACCTTCCGGGGCCACAGCGCAAGATACTGCAACCTGGTGCAACCTGGTCCCTCTGTGACTTGGTCTGCAACAAATTGCAACAACAAACAACTTCCACTTGTCCTGGAGTCCTGGAATTGACTTCTCTTCGAATTCTTCAAGTCAAAAGCTCAAATAGAAAGAATGAATCGACTATATAAATCATGTAAATCAATATAAATCAATGTATCAATACAAATAATACAAGATCATCAATATCAATATTAGCCGACATGCAAAGCTTGCCTTTGCATAGCACCTCAGGGGATGCGATCACCCTCTGGAAACCCACCTGTTGAACATCCTGACCTGTCCATGAGAGGTAAATTATGTAAAATCATAGGTAATTTCATGTATCATGTAATTTCAGCTAGTGTCCGGAAGTTTGGGACGGATCCAGATCAAGAAACCAAAACCAAAGCCACTCAGGCCCATGTACACTCTCACATCGTTCACGTCTCTCATGTCACTGTGACGACTTCGACCAGAATTGACCAGAACTGGGTTCTGAGGCTGGCTGTGCTCCTCCCGATAGAGACCAGAAATTGCTGACAACTCCTGGGATGCGTGGACAGCGAACTGCCATGAACTAAACTGCCAAGACAATCAAGAATAATCAAGACATGTTTCATCCCGACTTCAATTCTGAATCTTCTCTTCCGTGTCCTGGACCTCGAACTCCCAAACCTGTCCCTGGAACAAAATCGATCACACAAGTAATCACAATTTACATAATCTTTGAATCTTGTCCCATCTAATCATCTTGGTTTCAAAATACTGTGAATTTACGATGTGTGGAAACGCCAACTAATGCCAACTATCTCATCTTCCTGAACGAACCTTCCTACTTCGGATGCAACCCGCTGGCATCATTGCGAGGCTAGTCAGCTAGTCGCTCTCTACAAGTCCAAAGGCAGCCATTATTCTTTGAATCACGCTTTTCCTATCAGGTTTTTCAAAACGTATCATCTCGAGCCTTTAGAAGCAATTCAAGTGCCATGTTGAGTCTCGTTGCATGGCGAATAGCAAAAATCACATCTGAAAGGAAAGAGAGAAAGAGGAAAACCGGAAGAGGAACGTGGGAGAATAACATATTGGGAGAGCAAGGAAAAGAGGGACGATGGAAACAGGAGAAAATGGGAAAAGCAGGGAAGAGCAAGAGGAAGAAGAGGGGTCCCGGTGCAAAACTGGAAGATAAACCAAAATGAGGAAAAATAAAGAACGAAAAGCAGGGACAAACCAACAAGTAAAGACAGAAGAGTTTTGAAACAAATGGAAGAACGACGAATTAGATAATTAGATGAAGCACAAGGAAGAAAAAGAACATATTTAGAGGATTTTAGAGGTGTATGGGTTTGTGACCATCACCTTACCGATGGGCGTGCACACGCACACACACAAACACACACGCGCACACACACACATCTTGGCTCTCATCCCAGGTCATATCTACAACCACTACAAGAGTCCTTCAGGTGAAGGCAAACGACACAAAACTCTTTCTTCACACCAATATTATATCTGGATATATCTGGCAGCTGGATGCAGCTGGCACATTGTCTTGTCCAGGCTACTATCTGTTTGTTTCGCTCAGTATCTCTTAGGGTATTTAGGGTAAGGAGTGTCTGCGGAGTGTCTGAGACTCATTGAGATTCCGCACGGTTTTGCACCAGTTCAACAAGGCTTCAATCTCCTCCAGCGCCGATGCTCAACGGAAGGACTTTGTTCCGTGAAACACCGATACTCAGTGTGGAGCACGTGGAATACTACAGGCAAATATGATGAAAACCGGACTCCTTTGCCCGCTTTTCGGCTGCTGGCCGAATCCTCAGGGAGTATCTCACTCATCGTATTCATGTACTCCATCGTACTCCTAAATTGCCTAAATTGCCTATATAAATTGCCTAAATTGATCATTTCAACTGCGGTAGGGGCCAAGTTCCGGGCTGCTCGATTGCCTCGCGACCCAGGAAGGGAGAACTGTTCATGAAACAACTTGGAACAACAAACTGGAATTAGCGTGGAGCAAATATAGCAAATCAATCCAGATTTGTTTGAACAGGCACAAGGACACTGAGGGACTTGATGGGACATGTCATTTTAGGTGTGTTCAGAGCGGTTTCTGCTTCAACATGCTGCAAGGCGTCAAGTGACCCCTGGCCTCCTTGTCTTTTGCGCAGGCCACCTCAAGTTTCGTAAAGAATACCTTGCAGCGCAGTGGAAAGAAGCATGTGAACTGTTCAGAAGTCACCACTGACATCGTCTGACACCGTCTTACTCTGTATATCTCTGTACCAACCTTCCCCTGAGATCCCCTGAGCAAGTGCACTCGGCCGTCTGCTCGTCTGGCAGTGACCTACAAGGCATTATGCCCGTACAGTATGCACTGGACCATTGTACAAACGTACCCAACTAGTGACGCATAAATTCATTGAACCACATCTACTGTTGTACCTTACAAATAATGCTCATATGTTCAGGCGAATGCTCAATACAAGTTGAAGAATTGTTGATGTTTTCAGGTGAGACTTTCTCCCTGTGCCTGGTCACCAGAGAGACGATAACGCACCGTGACCGTCCACGTGTCGTCAAGACCCCAGTCTTCGATGATTCGCCTTTTAAGTCGCAAGGATGGACTCGACAAGAAAGATTGAAACTATATATAAATATATATAAATATATATAAATTATATAAGGATATATAAGGAAAATTAAGGAAACAATCGTTTCGATATCACAAGCTTGGGATGCCAAAGTCTAATGCGGTGATTCAAACACTCCTGAATCCTTGGACATGTTGAATCTGAATCTGAATCGCTCAAGCGAGGAACATGGTCAACCAGCTACCTGTATCATTGTGAGATTCTACTTTCACATTGACTAAAGGTCGTCACATTCTTCACATGGTCTGCACTCGATGAGGTTTTGAAAGCCAGTCCCTGAATGTCAAATGTCTGAAGTGGTGAAAGAATGTGAGAGAGATGTTTCTTCGAATTGCCGCAAGGCAGTCAAGGCAGTCAAGGCAGTCAAGGCAGTCAAGGCAGTCAAGGCAGTCATTGAAATGAGCCTTCGCTTCCGCTCTCTTACTTCCTCATCAACGTAGACCAACACCAGCACGGCGTCACGGGCATCCTAGGCAAAAGTGCTCAGCCTGACATGTACATTTTGTACATTATGTCCGATACTGAAAATGACATGAATAGTGAATAGTATGTGCATAGTATGTACATAGCATACCATAATGCATGTCAATATATGTCAATATATGTCAATATATGTCAATATATGTCAATATATGTCAATATATGTCAATATATGTCAATATATGTCAATATATGTCAATATATGTCAATATATGTCAATATATGTCAATATATGTCAATATATGTCAATATATGTCAATATATGTCAATATATGTCCATATATGTCAATATATGTCAATATATGTCAATATATGTCAATATATGTCAATATATGTCAATATATGTCAATATATGTCAATATATGTCAATATATGTCAATATATGTCAATATATGTCAATATATTGTCAATATATGTCAATAATTGTCAATATATGTCAATATATGTCAATATATGTCAATATATGTCAATATATGTCAATATATGTCAATATATGTCAATATATGTCAATATATGTCAATATATGTCAATATATGTCAATATATGTCAATATATGTCCATATATGTCCATATATGTCCATATATGTCCATATATGTCCATATATGTCCATATATGTCAATATATGTCAATATATGTCAATATATGTCAATATATGTCAATATATGTCAATATATGTCAATATATGTCAATATATGTCAATATATGTCAATAATATGTCATCAATATATGTCAATAATATATGTCAATATATGTCAATAATATATGTCAATATATGTCAATATATGTCAATATATGTCAATATATGTCAATATATGTCAATATATTGTCAATATATGTCAATATATTGTCAATATATGTCAATATATTGTCAATATATGTCAATATATATGTCAATATATGTCAATATATGTCAATATATGTCAATATATGTCAATATATGTCAATATATGTCAATATATGTCAATATATGTCAATATATGTCAATATATGACAATATATGTCAATATATGTCAATATATGTCAATATATGTCAATATATGTCAATATATGTCAATATATGTCAATATATGTCAATATATGTCAATATATGTCAATATATGTCAATATATGTCAATATATGTCAATATATGTCAATATATGTCAATATATGTCAATATATGTCAATATATGTCAATATATGTCACTATATGTCAATATATGTCAATATATGTCAATATATGTCAATATATGTCAATATATGTCAATATATTGTCAATATATGTCAATAATTGTCAATATATGTGAATATATGTCAATATATGTCAATATATGTCAATATATGTCAATATATGTCAATATATGTCAATATATGTCAATATATGTCAATATATGTCAATATATGTCAATATATGTCAATATATGTCAATATATGTCAATATATGTCAATATATGTCAATATATATATATGTCAATATATGTCAATATATGTCAATATATGTCAATATATGTCATATATGTCAATATATGTCAATATATGTCAATATATGTCAATATATGTCAATATATGTCAATATATTGTCATATGTATATTGTCAATATATGTCAATATATGTCAATATATGTCAATATATGTCAATATATGTCAATATATGTCAATATATGTCAATATATGTCAATATATGTCAATATATGTCAATATATGTCAATATATGTCAATATATGTCAATATATGTCAATATATGTCATCAATATATGTCAATATATGTCAATATATGTCAATATATGTCAATATATGTCAATATATGTCAATATATGTCAATATATGTCAATATATTGTCAATATATGTCAATATATGTCAATATATGTCAATATATGTCAATATATGTCAATATATGTCAATATATGTCAATATATGTCAATATATGTCAATATATGTCAATATATGTCAATATATGTCAATATATGTCAATATATGTCAATATATGTCAATATATGTCAATATATGTCAATATATGTCAATATATCAATATATGTCAATATATGTCAATATATGTCAATATATGTCAATATATGTCAATATATGTCAATATATGTCAATATATGTCAATATATGTCAATATATGTCAATATATGTCAATATATGTCAATATATGTCAATATATGTCAATATATGTCAATATATGTCAATATATGTCAATATATGTCAATATATGTCAATATATGTCAATATATTGTCAATATATGTCAATATATTGTCAATATATGTCAATATATTGTCAATATATGTCATATATGTCAATATATGTCAATATATGTCAATATATGTCAATATATGTCAATATATGTCAATATATGTCAATATATGTCAATATATGTCAATATATGTCAATATATGTCAATATATGTCAATATATGTCAATATATGTCAATATATGTCAATATATGTCAATATATGTCAATATATGTATATATGTCAATATATGTCAATATATGTCAATATATGTCAATATATGTCAATATATGTCAATATATGTCAATATATGTCAATATATGTCAATATATGTCAATATATGTCAATATATGTCAATATATGTCAATATATGTCAATATATGTCAATATATGTCATATATGTCAATATATGTCAATATATGTCAATATATGTCAATATATGTCAATATATGTCAATATATTGTCAATATATGTCAATATTGTCAATATATGTCAATATATGTCAATATATGTCAATATATGTCAATATATGTCAATATATGTCAATATATGTCAATATATGTCAATATATGTCAATATATGTCATATATGTCAATATATGTCAATATATGTCAATATATGTCAATATATGTCAATATATTGTCAATATATGTCAATAATTGTCAATATATTTCATGTATGTCAGCACTCAAACATATTTTGCGGTACATCAGCCAGCCTCCAGCTCTTTGGATTCCAACGGCACAATGCTTCCATTTTGGAGACGGATGCCCTCCAACCGCCTCAACGCGCTGTGTTACATGGCACTAAAGAGTACTTAAGGCAGGAAATGGAAAGAACAACTAAGACTTTGCAGAGAACCGACATGAACTTACACGGCTTCAGAGAGCTGGGATTTGCACCACTCGCCAGCGCGCAGAGTAAGTTCACTTCGAGCAACCTCCAAGTGAGAACAAATTCGACCGCAAGATACCGCAAGCATCCCCAGAACCTCCAACTGCATGAACAACAGAAACCGATGAAACACGATGAAACACGTCTTTATTTCGACAGGTCCGTGATGGTCCGTGTTTGAGTCTGTTCTAGGTCCCCTGTTCCTAGTTTCCTAAGTGCCGATGTGTTCTGAGGTCAAGGAGAAAGGTCTCAGACAGGAGCGGGGCACAGATGGGCACGGTGTCATTTTTGTTCTTTTTGCTTTCTTTCCTCATGTTCCTCTCGGTGGACAGGCACCTGTTGCTTCTGCTCAAACTTGAGGCCAAGTGCCTTGTTGCAAAGGCAGGAAACGACAGCAATGAACAAAGTTGAATACTGTGTGAACTTAGTTGCTGCCTTGAAGATCTTATGCTGTGTGATTTCAAACAGAAATTGCAATCTGGACACACCTGAACAATTTCATTACTGGTGTCCATTGTGGCATGAGCTGAAAATGCCCAAGCATCGCTTGTCATGCTAGGAGTCGAAGCTATTATTTGTTCAAAGGTGTTTTTGGTTTCTTGGTCCTATTGGTACCCTGAAAAACTGAGTTGAAACGTTTTGAAACTTAAATCTACCGACTTCAATGGCCTTGCGAGCTTTCTTTGGAGTTTCAGCTGCCTGGCGTCCAAGCTCAAGCTGCAACAAGCTATGATGGATGACATCGACATCACTGGGGACCCATGGTACTTTCAATTCAGCTCGAGAATTGAGGACAAATAAAGTTGAACCATGTTGAACTTACCTAAACCTTCACAGCCTTAACGAACTATCTGAGGAATGCAATATGCCTGAAGCGGCGTGAAGCAAAGTCCGGGTGGACTGAACGATGAAATGACATTATCACATATTATATCAACTCCGTCATTGCCATTGCACAATACAGATCGATACAACATTACATATTATGCATATGTGACTGTATATACGTGCATTATATACAATTATGATTAATTATATATGTATGTATATATATACAAAACGAGCATGGAGCCATATGTAAATATATATTATGAATCATGAATGAATATCGTTACTGCAGCGAGTTCAAAGCACGGCAAAGATGCCTTCACCGCCTTCAACTTGAGAGCATGCTTCCGAACACCTTCGTTGATTTCGTTCGCACCCACTGAATCTCAAGTCCAGCCGTCCAGTTCAGCTTTAGAACGCATCAAATTAAGCATGTCATAACATGTCCTTGCTGAAAAGCTGTCCCGCAAAGCTTCCATCATAAGCTTCGACATCCCGTGGCTTTGAACAGAGTGCAACATAGTGCAACCATTGGATGAGAGGCTCTGCCTTTGCCTCTGCCTTTGCCTCGCCCAAGGTCTTTCACCTTTGGCAACTGAAGACAAACGCAGCAGAGAACATCGGAGACCCATACGAGAATCATCCATCTGCTAAATCACTCATTCACATCATTCACTCTAGATTCACTCTTCCACTGCAACTGTGGGCAAAAATGAATTCAGGTGCGGGCAGAACGTGCCACGATGGGCATCTCTCCCTTCCGGCTGCTGCTATCAGGTGCACGCTTCAGCCTTAGACCCAGGATACCCAGGATATCCACCCAACGAAGGGCATCAAGATGTCGATTGGCAAAGCTGTCAATGTCGACTCAATGTCGACTGGTCCAAATATGTCAAAATGATTAAAAATGATTCCATGAATAATGCAAAAACGAAGTCATGTCCAAAAGAGTCCTTCTTGGCACCTCTTAGCATAAACCGTTTGTGGACTGTGACATCATGAGATGAATCGTATGGCTCATGAGCATGTCGTGAAAGCCGTAGCACGAAGGGAGCCAAGGTGCTTTGCATGCAAACGCTCTGCCAGCTCATAATCCTCCTGCACTGCTATTTCCGCGTAGTGAGTTTGGGTTGGAAATGTGTGGATTTGTTGACTAATTAAACACAAAAAAGTGGAAACTGATTTTGAAACAAATCTGCTGCGAGAATTTCATTTTTGCCAGTCATTTGAAACAGTCGTGCCTTCTGAACCGCTTCTGAGAGCTGCTTCCGCAGGAGAGCCTTCAAATGCGATCAAACTGTAGCGACAGCCAACTGATCGTTGATGTTCAATGGATAGCATGCTACAGCTGACTGTGCCTCAGAACATCTCAGAACTATTATGAACTATTGCATATTGATGATGTGTTTTTCTTTGTTCAAGCTATGCGTGCTTGAAAATCCAGTGAAGGTTCTGTCTGCATGTGCTTTGTCGTAGTTTGTTAAAGTTTCTTCTCGAAGTTCACCCATGCTCAGTGATGGCAAAGCAAAATGTATCGTTGGTCATGCGCCAAGCACCAACAAGCATCAAGTTTCAACACCGTACCAACAAAACAACATAAAACAACTGCACATCCACTCCTTGCTGTGGGAGGCCTGGCAGGTCGGATTTCAATGGACTTCAGTTTTAGGCACTGAACAATCCAGAGACATTGGACTGGAACCAGCTGTTGCCTGTTTCGTTCAATTTACACTTTGTTCTTGCAATGACAATATTGAATAATATTGAAGCAGGTTCTGATGTGTACATTGATTTGTGGTTTCAATCTTTTTCCTCATCAGAAGGGCCTCTTCATTTCTTCCCTGGCAGTTTCAGAGTTTAGTCGGTAGTGCCATGACTGTGTGTGACGTGAGAACATGTAACAGAACAGAAGCTACTTAGGTTTATGGCAAGTCTTGAGCGAATTGATTACCACTTGGAACTTGTTTTGTGAAAATCTATGAAAATCTTAGTCTTGGAACCACAAGAATAAGAGAATTCTTGGCGGTCCATTTTTGGCAGTGCCTGGGCTGAGAGCATCTGCTGATGCGCTGCTTTCGCTTCTTCTACCTTTTTTTGGGCCTCGCAGCTCCCATCGGTGCATGAGGCTCCACATTTGCCGACATGACCCACTTGAGTCCACCATGTTCATCCATATATCATCCATATCATCCATGTTTATCCTGCATTCTCCGTCACACCTTGGCCTCTGCAGCTTTCACAGCCGCTTCCTGACCAAAACTCAATCGAAAAAACGATCCGAAAAAATCAAAGAGAAGAAGAGAGAGAGAGAAAGTCTTTCGGGCAGCCAGGTTCACCGCATTTTGCTGCCTTGGTGTGGTAGATCTCCGCCTTACCAGGACCATTCACCTGCGGCTGAGCCAAGCGAAATCATGTCATGTCAATGTATCAACGAGAAGCGACTCTTCCAATACTTGCTGTATGATGCTGTTTGCAGCCCTCATAACATGCTCGTTATTCTCCTTATTCTCGTTCCATCTCGTTCCATCTCGTTCCATCTCGTTCCATCTCGTTCCATCTCGTTCCATCTCGTTCCATCTCGTTCCATCATATTCTTTCATATTCTTTCTTGTTGGTTCTCAGTATCGCTTGTCAGGTGGTCCCGGCCTTGATGAGGCGGCCATCTTTCCCTAACTTCACCGCCCAGCCCTCGGGTAGCTTCCAGTCAGCAGCCATCTTCTTGGCCTGGACAACAAACCCTTTCAATTCGAGCATGCGACAGCATGCGAACAAAAAAAGCCAAGTCTTGTCAGACTCTTCAGATATCTTCAGATAGATAAATAAAATCAAACCCAACGACCTCCATCAAGTGACTGTGATACCAACTCATGTAATATTCAGAAAGCATGCCTTCTATTCACCACATCTCCAGTCAAATGACGTCAAACAAGCCCTCTGGTGGAGTAACTCCGAAACTTGATAAATGGCCAATGAGTAAATTGGTGTGGTCTTGGAAGAACTACTTCACTGCGATCACTGACCCAATCCTGTCGGAGTGTTCATGATTTTGCTTCCCTGTAGCTTGAATCTCGAAAATGCGAAAAAAAAAAAACGCAGCAAAGCAACAAGCTCCCATACGCCACTTACGAGCAACGTGATTTGATGTCAAATGCCTGCTCGAGCAACTGGCGATCTATGAGCTTGTACTTCATCGCTGCCAAAGCATGCACCTGCACGCAGATTCACAGAGATTTACCAGTGACATCGCATTGCATCACAGTGATGGTCTTTCAATCAAGATGCGGCATTCACAGTATTTTCATGAATTTTCCGCACTGTTGTTTCTTTTTGTTTCCCAGACTGGTCGGAGTGAGTGGGTCATTGGGTTATCCCCGGTTGCCTCCCTTACACATTCCCTTCCCGGAAGCAAGAGGAAGAGGAGTGACATGTAATTGCCAACATTTGCCAACGAATAATTGAGGACCAAATATTGAGCACAAAGATTCACAAAGCACTCTCCTTCGGGTGAAATTGCTCCCTGCCTTTGGATCTGGGAACCTGATGCCAAAAGGCGACACGAACAAACATTGAACAAATTTGAAATTTGAAAAATGTCTCAGGCACCGGAAGAGTCACTCAGCTCCCCGACTCGTCGTTCTGATGTGCTGCCCAGAAGTCCGCGAACTTTGCCAGCGCTGCGACACGGTCCTATATGCGCGCTGACAATGAGTTGCGCCACGGCAATATGTTGGCAATGTTGGCAATGATGGCAATGTAATGTGGATATGTTTTCACAACGAGTTTCCAATGCCAAGCAAAGCTATGGACCTTGTGGGCGCTGCCGTAGATGTTCTTGACCATTTTCAACTGGGTGAGGGAACACCATGGAACACATGACTCGAAAATGCTGACATCAAGGTCTCTTCAGGTCTCTTCAATGCGGACAAACTTGAGGCCCAGTAAGGGCCGAAAGCTTGGCAGGGAGCTTGGCATGAAAACACAATGATGCTGAGGATGCGGATGCTGCCAATTTTGCTGCCGGTAGCGACATGCCGATGGTGTTCCCGGGGAGGATTGAGCTACTGCCAAACTGCTTGTGAACCAGCCAGGGGGGAGGGGGGGAGTAGCTACGCAGTTGGAGATTCCAGCCCCCCCAAGACCTTGCTAAAGCAAGAGGGGCTTCAGCTAGCACCTAGCTTTCGTGACTTTCACGGACAGCCAGCACTCCTGCTCCACATAGTATTTTGTCGGTTCCCATTTCAAGATTTGGCATTTCAAAGGATACTTCATGATACTTCCCTGAAGTGCGTAGGTTGGGCTGTATAAAATGTCTAAAAACAAATAAAACAATGTAAATGCACAGTGCACATCAGTGCACCCTAGCGGTACAAATTTTGTCCCAGGGGCATATTTGGAAGAAGCCACTGCATCTGGGCTCTTGCCGTGCTCTTCCAGTAGCTCCTTGCAGAACCCAAGAGATTCCAAGAGATCCCAAGAGTCCAAGAGGCACAATGTGAAAGAAAGGACATCAAAAATACTAAAAATTTCCAATATATTATATTAATTTATATTAATTTATATTAATTTATATTAATTTATATTAATTTATATTAATTTATATTAATTTATATTAATTTATATTAATTTATATTATATATCTATATATATATACGCATTTTTATTACATATTTCATCATATTTCGGGATCATGCCAAGGCCATGCAAGGCCGAAGAGCAACAAAAACCAGCTTGGCTCGTCCTTCATCGCAAGGAACATGTCGTTGGCTTCAGCTTCACGCTTGATGGGCTTCTCCTGGAAATTCACCGGCACATTGGCACATTGATCAGTGACAATCAGTTCATCTTTCTGTGCCATGGCAACAACCTTCCAGCAGTAACATCAGTAACCCCAAAAGCTTTCATTTGTTTTTAAATCATTGTTGACTTTTTGGCTTTGATGTTTTCTGGGGCCGTGACAGCAAACAAAAAGCTGCAGCTGCTGAAGAAAACACAGCATACTGATGCTCTTGTATCAAGAAGGATGTCAATACAAGTAACAGCAACTGTTCAGCTTTAAAGGCACAGGGATAGCAAACTCTGCTCCTCTTCTGACTCCCCTTTGCAAAAAGTCTCGTACCTGCTGCGATTCGAGTCATACTGTCATACTTGAAACTTGTTAAGCTCTGACTCTCTGAAGAAAGGCGCTAAGGTGCCAAGGTCAACAATTTGCCCACCTGACTAGTGGGAACTAGGTTTTCCAATTATGTTTCAATGTGTTTCAATTACATGGACAATCCGACAATCCCAAGGAACCAACACACCTATGGCTCTATGGCTATTGGTCACTTGTCTAGAATCCGTGGCCATAGCACCCATTCCTGCAGGAACTGGCCACTTCATTGAAACTGTGCCACAAGAACAAGAGGCGAACAATGAAAATTAGATAAAATTAGTCAGAGTCCATCTGCTGTCAATTTGTGAAGCAAAAAAATCAAAGTTCACCCAATGTATCAGTGGATTCTACCTTGGATCTGAATATTTCTATGCTGTATCGAAGCACTACTGCATATTACTACACCCTGCCTCGTCCGTAGCATTGGGCAAAAGTGCAACACTCAAAGCTACCTCCGTATATCTGATATATCTCTGTATCAAGAACAGTATTCCATGATATTCCATGGATAACTGAGGCTGTTGGGTTGCTCAAGAGCACAGTGAATAGTGGATGCATGTGGAAACCACTTAGGCCAAAGCAGGGCGTTGCCCACGAGCATCCACATCCTGCGAATTACTACAAGTTGTGTTGAAATATGTTGAATTTAATTCTACAAGGTCATGTATGATGTTCATTTTGCGTATGCCTTGCCCTTGATGTTCTGCCAGTTTCATCGTGTTTTTGTGTTTTCATGTTTGGTTTGCCTCCAACAAATAGCCATCATCGTCCAGCTTCTCCAACAACTCTGAGCGCCTCGGGGAAGTTTTGTGGCAACCGTGGAGCATCAAGGAACCCACACATGGGAGTTACATGGAGTTACCTCAATTACTTCCAAAATCTTCCAAACATGGAGAGGTTGGTACTCCAGTACCTCTGAATAGCGTCCGAGTCATTGTTGGCCCCTGAGATCTTCCCGGGCACCACGCCATTTGGCTGTGGCATCTGCCATGACTAGCTCCAAGGGCACATCAACCTCCAAACGTTTACAACAATGGCCTTCTGATGATCAGATGCATCGAAAATATGTGTTCAATGATTTTCATACCAATCACCAGGATGCAATCTGCATCATTCAACCATAGACATTCTTAGTCTTAGACTAGTGTTTTTCTGTAAAGGCTTTGATTGGATGCAAGGATGCAAGTTCACAAAGCTGTTTATAACATTTTATATATAACTCAGTGACTGAGAGATGTCAAATGATGCAGGTGTTTTTCCTATTGCCGTGAATGTTGAGTGGCTTCAATCAGAGGTTGCAAAGGTGCCAACTCCAAAAGTCTTCGTTGCATTTCGTTGTAAAAACATGTAAAAACAATTTTCTTGAGATCACAATCTGTCGATATCTTTCGTATGTGTTGCCCAGCCAGCCTGCAAATCTTCAAAATTCTCCTGCTCCTGCACAAGTTTGCAGGGCTACTGAGACATTGGCCTACAAACACTGTACGTGTACCGCAAAGACATCCAAAGACCGATCCCTAAAGCGATCGTTTGAAGCGCCTAAAGCACCGTTTGAAGCGTTTCGTCTTGCCTTTGACCAAAGTGTCTCTGCGGTGGCTTCCCGCCTTGCCCTTTTCGCGATCAAAGTCGGGGGTGAAGGTGCTTTGAAGCTTCACCGGGTCCATGTCTGAGATGTCCTTTCACGATCTTTCATGCGTTTCACGGATACAGATTTTCCATGGCCCTCACAACCTGCGACTACTACAATTACGAGTGCTAATATGTACTAATATGTACTAATTGGTATTGATCTACCTGTTGTAGCAAGAAAAGCGACACCATTTCACACAGCTGTCCAGGAGATTGTCAAAGCCGCCACTCTCGCGAAACTTCCTGCCAAGGTGCACGGACACACATACACCACATCCAAATACCACTAAACACCTGACACATCCTGACACCAACAGCAACAGCAATCTTGTGTGGTAGACAAGTACCACAAACATCCACAAACAAGTGGCCAATGATGGCCAATGTATTACTGTAACCCTTGCTGCCCTGTCAAATTATAATCTCTGGGTGCCACATGAGTCACCCCTGCCTCAAGTACAAGATGGCAGAATTCAAGTAGCCGTTGCACTTGGCCTCACCGAATACACCGAAGGGATTTCATTTGGATCGCATTGATTTGGGGATGCTTTTACCTGAGGAAGGTCCTTATAGTTATTATATGTTATTATAGGTCCTTGAGATTCCTTGAGATTCCTTGAGTCTTTGAATATTTTGAATGTCCACAATCAAAACGGCACCGAAATCCATCGAAATCCATGTGCTGATCATCCAAGCGGCATTCTCAGGATCCATTCGAACGAGGCGTTGGAAGTCTGGAGTGGCCATATCCCATGATTTCTTTTTGTAGAGCCTCATGCTGAAAACGGCAATGGACCCAAAACTCCGTTTCGTCTGTTCTTTTTGTATCTTTTTGTTGCGGGACTCAAAAGTACTGTTTGGGCATGGGACATACCTGGAAAAGCAATCTAGATCCATGATCTACATTGAATCTACATGATGACTGTATGAATCAAGTTTCTGTAAGGCCTCAAACTGAGGCAACAACTCCATGAGTCGTCGCACGCCATTCATGTAGGGAAAGCCCTGCATTTCAAAAAATATCAGCCCAAAGACCCTAAAGACGCAATGGAACAGATTGACAACAGATTGACAACTCATTCCAAAGCGGAGTTTCTCCTAACGTTGAAGATTGCCTGGCCTGCTGGTAGAAAGTTGCAAGAACACGTGGATAAACAAACTGTAGCTCTTCTTCTGTGGCATTGGGAACATCATCGTACCTGAACCACAAATCCTGGCGTTCAAACACGTCCCGAGTCCGTAAGATTCCCTAAGCATCAGAAATATTCAAGAACATCAAGGTCATCAAGAACCATCGGCATCCAGCAACCAAATTACATGTTGACATTCGACTCCATGGCATACCTTCAGTTGTTTCCCACAGGTTTACACCTGAGGTCAAGGCGAGGACCATCCAGCTTCAAGGCCAAGAGTTTTCTCAGCTTCCCTGAGACAAGTTTGCCGGTACAAGATGCTACAAACAATGAAAAAAACACGCCATGTACAAACATCCGCACAAAGATGCAGAAACATGAACAAACCACGTGATCATCTTTGCGGTCATTCTCTTGCAGAGTCCCTTAGGTACGGCGTCTGCCAATTGTGGTGGTTCTTGCAAGTGCAAGGCTTCCGTTCCAAAATGCCGCCGAAAGGAAAGAATGAGATGGGAAACTGATCAGCTACGAATCCCCTTTGTGCTCTTCATATCTCTTCATGTTCTTTCATTCTGTTCTCATTCTTGCTTCGATTGAGATGAAACTTTCTGTTTCACGAGATCGAGCATGATTAGCTGGTGTGATGTTCAGAGCCAAATCCGGTATACCTTTTAGATCCTTTTAGCATCTTTTAGCCATGGTTGCAAACTGGATCGAGTTTGTTTGCCAACCTTTGGGTCTCAGGAGTCAAGTATATTGGGCCACCATGTGTACAACACTCCGCACACCCTTCCAAGAATTTAGTGATGATGCCCTGGGTCACTGTCGCTCGACAGGCGTCTTTTTCTCTTTAAACTGACAATAGAGGAAAGTTTGGCCAGAAATGTGTTCGCCTGTGGCACATGGTATGTTTATCCCATTTTATCCCTTACCTTATCTTAATCTTGTCTCCTCCAGTGGCTGGTCTTTACGGCATGCAAAGCAAACAGTAATTCTTGGATCATACTGAAACATACTGAATGTGTTTGAAGTTAGTTCAGACACGTTGGACTTATAATGACTGTTAATGACCATTTATCACCATTAATATATTATATGTGTATATATATATACATATATGAATTCTCAAAATGTCTAAAACACTAAGCATCAGAAGCATCCAGACATATCCAGACATATCCAGACATATCCAGACATATCCAGAACAAGTTTTTGCGCGGTGATGCCTTCAGCTGCCCTATCTGTCAAGTTGTTTCCTTTCTGAGCTGGATAAAAGCACGTTTCGCACAGGGTCTTCAGGGTCTTTGTGATTCTATGCCTTCCAAAATCTAAATCTTGCATGGGTTCCTTCCGCTTCCTAGAGAAAACGATTTGAGCGAACCGGCTCATTTAGAATGAAGAATTCCAATCTAATCTATCCCGGTGGGGGAATGCACACTGTGATGACTGCAACTCCACCGAGAAACCCATGGAAAATGATCGAAGGAGATTGAAGATATTGAAGCAAACTTAGATCCAATCTAACAGAATCTAACAGGCTGTGGACAAGAGAAGGGTTAATGAAGTCCTTCTTGTGCGTGCTGGTCCCGAGCAAATCCCAACAAATCTTGGCACATCTTGGCACGGTTCTGAAGGAAAAAATCTACAACTTGAAAATCAGAAAGCAAGGTTGGAAATAGCTGAATAATGGTGAATAGGTGTGCCAAGGTCCCGTGTTTTTGGCAGTCTTTGTATAAGGACGCATAAGGCTGAGCGGCAGTGTGCGTAAAACCAGGCCTTGCATATCCTTGCATTGTGTGTGTGTATATGATATATTATGTGTTGATATGAGAATCACTAATCACGTACTCTTGCTAAATCTTCTGCTCACCCTTCACTTCTTCTTGTCAACCCGCCTTGATGACATGCGGCCGCAACCACGGCAGCTAACATGCTGTTGCAAGACCACATTCAGCAGTGATTGTTCGGAGCCACCTGAGTTCCTCTTACACTCAGAACTCAACCGACTCAGCAGACAATTCACATACCAAGCTCTAAGGACTCTATCAAGTCATATCAAAGCCGCTGATCTTCCAGGGCCGCTGCCACCATTCATCAGCTCTTTGACCAATGGCGCCAGGTTGCTCTTCACCTGGAAACAAATCGAGACAAAGTGATGCGAGTCTATCACATTCTATCACAATTATCATATCATATGATATCTATCATGAGAACACAAAAGCATATCAAAGCCAAGTAGTTGAACATAGTTGAACATAGTTGAACACAAACCATAGGGTATCCCTTTCCAACGTTCAAACCTGCCGCGTTTCGATTCCTTTGCATCATTTTGCTGTCATTTGCAACTCTTCGTTTAAGCCACTCAGACCAAACGGAGAAACGGAGGCACCAACCGAGTATTGCAGGCCTTGGTTGCTTTTTCTGCCCTCTCGGTTTTCTTGACCTTTGCGGCCTCCTTGCCAAGTGTCACACCAAGCTAAATCATGAACAAACATCTGTCAAATCTGTCAACTCCTACACGTGACAGACTGACACGCCATGAGCCCCACATGAGCCCATATGAGCCCCAGTCAAAATCAGTCAAAATCAGTCAGAGTAACAGTTCGAAACAGTTGACAATCTCATCAAGACAAGTCTCTTAACAAGTCTCTTAACAAGTCTCTTGTATGTCTCTTATTCCTGCCTTGGCAAGACGTTCGGTCGCCAGTCTGTCTCTCTCGAGTTGAGTCAAGGCCTCGTGTGTTGCTCGGCGTATGCCAAATGATTTGCTCCTCGTTAATAATGTTAAGAAGGTATAATAATGTATGAAATGGTATGAATTATGTATGATTCCTTCACACAGAGGCAAAATTGTGCAAAAATCATCAAGTATGAGGAGGCTGAAGCCAAAGTCAAATGATCCCAGCTCATGATACCCTGAGACTGAAGCTGCTTTGGACTCTCGCTCCTTCTTGAATTCCTTGTCAGGCTCAAAGGAATCCAAATATCAAAGTGATGACATTGTATTGGCACAGCGTATCATTTGCTGTTCAAGTGCGAATCATCCAAAGTACAAGAAGATATGTTTCAATTCAGAGATGGTTTGAGCGCATCCCATTTGCCTCACTCTGAAGAACCGGATGTTCTGCGACTTTGGATGCTTCGGCAAAGTGTTTTCCATCAGGGGCAGATAAGATCACCAGGTCCTCTCTGCGAAGCCAATCCAAACATGGCTGAACTCGAACTGGGCATATCATGGCGTTCCTATTTAACATATTTAACATATTTAATAAACATTATTTAACCATCTCACAGAAAATTTACAGAAAATTTACAGAAATTGACTATATGTGTTTCTCGGGCATGGGCATCTCTCTGAAAATTTGAGGCAGTCTGTGTCCTCTTTGCGAGCTCGCTGCACGACTCGAACACCCCACGAATCCTCTGCGACTTTCCAGGTGCATTTCGCCGTCAAAACCACACCGCCACATGGCACAGCTGAGGGTCAAATCTGCAACGCAATGCATCCAGATGATTTCCAGATGCATCCAGGCTGCTGGAACAGAATGAGTTGTGCGCACTCTGACCTCCGTCGAATCAATTCGAGCCATCACAGAACCATCGTGCAACAACTGAGAAATGCAGGACCTGCCCATGTCTCATGTCGCATATCGCTGTCACAGCGTGCCGGGACCTCAGCCTTTCTCTCCGTGCGCTGTACGGCACACCAAGGACCTTGCGATGTTGAAAGATGTTGAAAGCGAAGGTGTTCCAATAATTTTCAATGTATTTCATATGTTGAACATCATTGAACATCTTTAACCCGAAAAAAGACTCTGGAAAATCCACTGAAGTGCTCAGGGTCCAGCCATTCTTCATTTTGGCCCAGAATGCTGCGAAAAGCTTGATGGTTGCAGCCTGTGTAGACCTGCACATAATATTGAGGTCTTTTCGAATCCACAAACACATCAATTTGATTCGATTTGTGTTGCAGGTTGAAACACAAATACAGTTGAACACAGTAGGTACATTCACGTACATTCTTATGTGTTGTAGATTCTAATCTATAAAACAGACTCCCTTGAGATCGTTTGATCAGTGACCATGTCCAGGACATTCCAGGACTAGCAAGATCTGCTAAGTCTGCAACTCTTTGGAAACAGCCTTAATGTAAGGCACCTGCATAGGAAGCATAGGAAGTGGGAAGATCATGGAAGATCTACATGCAATCTACGGCAGTCAGTCTTCAAGACAAGGCAACCGCAGCTAATCAGCTAATCTTTCAAGATACGATTGGGCAACATTACATATTTATTATTAAATTATTACAGTAGTAATATATTATACTTATATATAATCATATATTATAATGACATGACATAACATTATGTCACCCAATGTGTACTCTCCAGACTCAGAGATTCCAGTCAGCACCTTGGCCATTGCATCCAGTGATTTTTCATCCTTGCCAAATAGGTCGTGGAGAACCTGTGACAACCGTGACACTGCGATCCAAAGTCAAAGCTGGATCCATCTGCCAGAACCTTCACCGAATTCTCAGCGTCATCATCCTGACAGTGTGAAAGATGTGAAAGAGCTGTGTCCGATGCGACCTCATTCTACCTGAAAATGCGGGTCATTGCTGATCAAATGCTCCGCTGTCCTCAAACTTCTTTTTTTCTTTCAGCCACTGTCTGAACGTAGCTGCCACCTCATGGCAACATGACTCATTGACTAGCCAGCAAGCGCATCAGGTGATACCGCGCATGCCCATCAGCAGATTCTCAGGTATAAACGCAGAGCAGAAAGCACTTTGGGATAGTGCACACTGCACACATTCAAACAATGCAGATAATATTGGGTTTCCGTGCTGAGGGAAAACGGTCAATGTCCTCGTACGAAGCATCTGGGATTGTAGACAAGGCCTGCTTGACTTTTGGCAAATTTTGGCAAGGAACTCTGGAACAGAGGTAGAGGGAAACAATGGAACAAGAATGGCATAGAACGATATGTATAGACCATACAGAGTCAAGCCCTCACCGGATCATCAGGCCATGTTCAAAAAATGCTGGAAAGAATCAAGGCGACACAAACCACTTGTCATCCTCTGTTCATAAGTGCAAATGCAAAGCCATGTAGACAGGCAGAGGCAAACAAAGGCAGCTCAGTTTGGCAAACCAGTTTGGCAAATCAGGCTCAAATGGTGAGTTGTGGCATTTGCAACTGGCAACACTTGCCTTCTTCAACTCTTGAGCTGCTGGATCCTCCTGCACAGTTTGAATAGTTCACATCCCAATACATCAAACTGGGAAGCTAATTCATTGAGCCTGTACATGCCTGTACTTTCTCAGCATGTTTAGAATTTGATAAAGACAACATGCAAGAGCACACTGTAGCACACTAATCATATGAAGGAGAGAAGGAGATTCTGGTTGTGGTGCCATTTGAAGCGCTTTGTCTTTGGTGTTTGGGTTTTCGTTTCGTTGACGCCTCAGCTTCGGCTTCCTCCTTGGAGCGGTGACGGCAATCACATTGTGAATTTTAAAAAAATCACAAACAAAATGACAGATTCGACATTTTATGAATATTTATGAATTATATGATTAACACATTATGACATAAGCATAAGCATAATAAGCATAAAATAGCATAAATGCATTAGGACATCCGTCAACAGCCGTGTCCTCATCGTTCTGGGTTTGCTTCTTGCGACTGGACAAATGCCTAAGTCCAACCAGTCAGCAACGCACATCCACATCCCATCCATCAAGTCCAACACATCCGTTATTCATCCGTTATTCATCCGTTATTCATCCGTTATTCCAACCTTTTACGACCGTTTCTGGGTTGGACTAACCAGCGATCATTGTCGGGTATGATGTCGGCATCATCCTGCCAGTGGTATGAGTTATTTGCATGAGATTGTGACATATAGTGACACTTTTGCGGACGGCAATGTAACTGAACATAACTGAAGATTTTCTGCGAAGCAATCTGCTGGCCTCTTCCATCTTTGAATCTGGAAAGCGCAATGGAAACTTTTCCTGCTAAGATCTGAGAAGTGCTGCTGGTGCAAAATCCAGGATGCCCCATGCGAAGCACTAGAGTCACTAGATCAAATGTGTGAAAACATGTGAAAACAATGCAATTGTATGTAATTGTAATTCTTAAAATAAAATGATCCACCTCCAAGTCTATCCAAATCTGCCAATCCAAACTATCTGCAGATGCTTTGCCTTGAGAATGCCCTGCGCAAAGGAGATTGGATCCATAATCTCTTCACCTGATGGCTGTCTTGCTGCAGATCGGTGTATCTCAGCATCTCCGTACTATTCATGTCATATGTTTGCTTCGACAAGACGCATTGTGTTGAGTGGCCACCTGACTTGCTGAGATGCGCATCAACATCATCGACTTCAGTTTGAAGGTGAAAGGTTGTATACCGGATACCGGTTGTCCAGCCAAGCAGATCCAAAAAGGTTTCCCAAAAGGTGTGCACTACGTCTCCCTGCCCTGCGACGTCTCCCTGCCCTGCGACCTTCGTCTTGGTTTGCATTCGATGAATCTTTCGACTCTTTGGGCGCTGACGTGGCTTTACGCTGCGTGACTTTCTCCTGAGAACTGGAACTATTCTGCGCATTCTCTGAGGAAAGGAAACTGAGTACAAAATGAGTATAAAATGTATAAGAGTCAGGTTTTGCAACATTTGCAGGTGGGCAATCCAGGCAATCCCTTCTCACATCTTGACACATTCTCACACAGCAATCCCATCCTTGAAAGTTTGCGGCCTCAGAGCAACGTCTAGCTGAAGACTGTAGAGATTCCAGCATCACACTCTTCGACCGAATTGTGACAAACACATCAAACACACACCAAAACACAGTGCAACCGTGCAACATCGTGCAACATTGTCAATTAATGTCAATTAATGTCAATTAATGTCAATTATGGTGAGATATGGTGAGATATGAGTCATACGCTTCCAGACAACCATCTTGCTTCTGCATGCTTCTGCCAGGTCTGCCCTGCCGTGAAACCCTCACATACCAAACTGCTGTTTCTCAATCATTCTCAATTCTCACTATCCACACCAAAATTGCCAAATTGTATGAAGCATTATGAATATTTATGAAGCGCATCTCTGATCTTTTGACAGTTCATGGTTCATTTTGTGATACATTTTAGATATGTTTCAATATGTTTCAATAGTCTCTGGGTCTTTGATGATCTTTGCATGTCTTCCTCCGCAATGTCCGATGTTCGCTTCTCAGGTGCTGGCACTGCGCAGCCAATTTCAGTGCACCGCTGAAGCAGCCTGCTGTGAAGACTCTTCGCCTGCTTTCTGTCGAAATGCATGAAATACGCAACCCCTGGTTCGGGGTTGAAGATGTACGATATGCTTGTTAAAACAGAAACGTCATGAAATGTTGTGATGCACGGCATTCCTTTTTGCTGCTTCGTTTGTTCCTTTCGAATATGCCGCTTGGAAATTCTGGAATTTGCAATGAATTTCATTCACATCTGAGGCAATCTGGGGTCTGAAACTTTCCGCAATCGTTACCCTGAAGCCAGCCGCAGCAATGGCAGCCTGTTGCCAAGAAACACAAGGGACAAGCCCCGTTGCTACAAATGCACGACCACAAAGGGTATTGCAGGCCCCACCATCTGTCTCGGCCATGCATTGTGATATACAAGCGGTGAAACAGATTCTGCAGTGGTGCTTCGTAGTCATAGTCTGCGGGGTAGTAATTTGTGACAAGCGCTCTTGCAACGTGCATATCAAAAGTGTAGCCTCCTTCACGTCTTGTTACTTCTTTCAACTGAATCTGTCGGTTTTCAACCTCAAAAGGCTCAATTGTGCGGATTCGGGTTTCATCGCATTCCTCGTTCTCGAACCATTCAATATCCTCTTTAATCAGGGACAAACCCATCAAGCACACCTGAACATCTCCATACTTCATATTCTGGATTTCGTCTAAGACTTGATTGAAGTCCTGCATATCATCTGCCTCTCCATCCGTCAGAACTAAAATCAGCAAGCTTCGTCCACTGCGTCCACTTGACGGAGCCAGGTCACGCAAAACGTTTCGAAGGGTTCGACTCATGGGAGTTGATCCAGACGGCCGAGAAGCAAATAGTGCATCCATCTGCGAAAGAGAACATCTTCGATTCGAAAGATTCGATCCTCCAATCGATCCATTTAATGCATACAGCCAAGGGTCCAACCCAAGGGTGGAAAAAATCCGTCGCCAACTATGCAGGTGATGCCGGGCAAAAAACCAACGGCTATGATGGGGACTCAGAGGACACTCTGCAGGCCTGAAATTTCGAGCCTGGGTGAACCATCCTCCAGGCAGAGATCGTCGTAATGTACTAGCAAGTAGATACGAATTGTAATCGGACGTTGCAGAGATATCTCCAAAATGTTTGATACATTGACCAAACATGTCTAAGTTCATGGATCCGCTGTCATCGAGCACGATTGCCACTTCGGTACCATAGATCAATGGTGTCATAATGTCTCGAGACAAGCTATGGGCATGGCCTGTGCCCATCAGCATGGCTTCAAGTTGGTTCATCTTAGCATGTTCTTCAGCTGTGAACCAGGCATCATCCAGCAATCTGGGTGGGTAAAGCTCTGATCCACTCACCATCTGATCCATCAGGATGGTTGGTTTCCGATGCATCCTCGCCTCACGTTTTCTGCCCCATTCACGCAGAACTTGCACTCTTTCCTTGAAAAATGCATCGCTTGATGTCACTTCGTTTGAAGTCCCTGCAAACTCTCTGCCAAAGTGAAGCGCGCTGTATGTGCTGTCCTCTTCAGTGTACATGTTTTGAGGTCCCACCTCCCACGGTTGCAACGGAGGAGCCGAGGGCGCCATGTCCAGCAATGGTTGTGTCATTCCTTGCCACGGTTCCTCACTTGTCAGAATGGTCTCAGCATGAAAATGCATGAAATATATGAAATGAAATGAATTGAAATGAATTGAAATAACAGCTTCCTGATTCACTGCAACCGGTGACCAGCTTTAGCTTGTCCAGACACTTAAGTCCTGCGGCTTACCATACCTAATTGAGCCCAGACAACAAACGCAAACATGAACTCTTTATCTCTTTGTTTGCAAGACATTTACTAATTTACAGCTGGGTTTTTTTAGATGTCCTCTTGAATCAACTGAAATCATTATGTCTATATCTTGAAATCTTGAAATCATATATATGTGCGTACTATATGCGTATATTATTATATGAATATCCTCACATTTGCACCAAGGTCTGCCCCCACAGTAAAAATGTGTGCCATGTTCAAAGCAGGAAGCGGCGCTCATATCGTGTTGAGCCGGCTGCGAGAGAGGTTGACCAAGTTGACCAAGTTGACCAGGACTAAGTGAAGCAAATGCAGTCGCTGGAGGTGCAGAGGGCGACATCAGAGAGACACTGTTGGCACTGGCAGTGGCAGAAGTGGCAGTGGCAGCAGTGGCATCGAGGAGGGAACAGAGTGCGTAATTGGTGGAGATCTCAGTTGCAGCCGTAACAGCGCGACAAAGTGGGCATTCCACATTTTCGCCAGGAACAGTTCTGAGGGCTGTCAGGCAAGCTTCACAAATGCTGTGGCCACATGAAAAAACCTTGGGAACATGAATGCCAGACGTTCCAGTAAAATGATTCATGCATATTGGACAGTCCATCAGCGCTCGCGCCAACTAGTCTTGAACTAGGCACGAGAAAACTCAGAAAAACTGCCTAGGGCCTAAAAGAAGAGAACACTTGAGCCATCTTGAGCCAGCCCTTCAAATTAAAATGATCTAAAATGATCTAAAATGACTTGAAATCAAAGTCACACAGTCACGACAATGTCACGACAATGTCGACAATGTCGACAATGTACAAGTCTATTGGCCAGTTCGGTGGACAGATTCGTGGACAGCGAAATGATCAAAATGGATTACAGTGACAGGAAGCCTTTCCAGTGACCAAAAAAGTCTGCAACCACTTCGTGTCCTCCCGCACCTTGCCGTATTGATGAGCCCTGACTGCTTGTTGGATGGAATCTCGTATAAGTTGCAGTTCCTTTTCTTGATCTGGCCTGAAATCACGTCAAGTTTGGGAAATCTTCTGCATGCAAAACTCAGATGACATGCTGTCAAAAACGGTGAAACACGGTAAATATTCCATTGCAAGGGTTTGAGAATCTCTTTGATTCTTCTTCGATTTTTCCTTTTCCCCTGAAGGTCAAAGAAAAATATAATTCCTTCGGCTTGGTCGTTGACGTGGCAGCTTTCACCGCTTTCATCTCTGGTTTGGACACTTTGGGCGGCAAAGTCTTCTCTGGAGTCTCCTATGTTTCAAGCACAGAGCAAAGATAGACCAAGTCGTCTCAGTAGAAAAAACTTTCGTACAGTTCCAAATCATTTGCATATTGTGTTCAAAACCTTCAAAGTTTGCTAGTTGCATCAAGAAATGTTCGGTAGTTCAGCCTAAGTCCAAGAGAATGAAGTAAAAGTTTGGGATTCGCAAGTGTACAACGTTTCAAGTCTTTTCCTCTGAGATATGTAGGATTTGTATGGATTTGTCTGCAGAATTCTGCAGAATTTAGAGGACAATGCTGCGACATGCGACGATGTTCTGTGCCATTTTCGGCCTGTGCTGCTTGGACTCGCTGGACTCCGACTCTTGGTGGTGGGCTCACTCCGAAGAAGCCTGATTTAAAGCCGCTATAGCCGCACTGAAGAGCACCGTCTCAGCAAAAAACCGTCCAAGCAAGATGATGCTTTGTTTTGTTTTGTTTTGTGTTTCATTCTCTGACGTCACTTGCAACCGACCTCCCAACGATGTCTTAGGTCTCTCTTTTGGAGGTGATGCCTTCCCAAGAAGAGGACAAACTACACGAGTATGAAAAACAGTCATGGACGTTGAGTGATGTGTGGTGTTTGCAGGCATATCAACAATATAACATAATAATAATACATAAATATACATAAATATACATAATATCTCAACTTGCTCAACCAAATTTGAAGCTTGAATGGTCTTGAATGGTCCCCCAGAACCTTTGATACATTTAGATACTGCTGGGCATCCAAATATCGTTGGAAAGGAAGCCTATATGATCTATGATGCTGCATCAAGCCATACCAAACCACCTGACATTCGCTCCAGGTCATTCCCGAATGCAGTGCTGCTTCCGCATGTCTGTGCAAACAACCTCCATCAGTTTCTTCATATCAGCATGTTTGCTGCCATTGCTCGTGTGTTATTTCTCAATATTTCTCAGCTTGTCTCTGGCAGCAAAATATAACAAAGTTGTAGCCCCAATGTGGTTCTGGCAAGACATGACAAGACTCTGCGGGTTTTCTGCAATGCGAGACAGGGTTCCAGTGCGAGGGGGAGCAAGATTTGTACTGATTGTACTGTCACCTGCTTTTGACTGGCGGAAGCTTCAAAAGTGATTGGTTCCATGGGGCACGTCGACGGCCCGCAGAGATGCACTTTGTGCTGCTTGCCGTCGTAGTAAGGTGAAAGGATCGGGATCGGGGGGTCAAATCTCCAAACAATAAGCAGACAGTTCCTATTATTTCCTGTTTCATGCGTCTAGGGTGTCATGCTGTTACTTCACACTTCTTGAAACAATGTATCCATCCACAGTTTTTGAAGATAGATGATAGTTAAAGGACAATGAATTTGAGCCGTGGCCTCTGAAGCAGCTTTCTCAGCTTTCTCGATCTTCTCAGCTTCGCCCTCTCTTTTACGCTTTCCCCTTGCTTTTGCTGCTGGTGCCTGCAACATCTCCACGACTTACCGCGTGCAAATGCGGGCAAATCATTGTACGAGTACAAGAGGTGCATATGGGTGCATCAATATCATCAATATTGTCCAACATGTTTGTTTCCCATTCCAAGATGATCCAAGATGTCTAGATCTTCTCAGCATTTGATCCATTCAACTCTGAAACCAAATTTAATGGGATTGAGGCAGATGGCGGCATAGAGAGCCGGACGAAATCGCATCAGTTCGGTCTCCCATCTTTATCATCTTTTAATACACTTTAAAATATGTTTTCAGCGTTGGGATTTTTGTTGCGAAACAAACACACTGGCCTTGCCACGTCTCTGCACTTTTGCCTTTGGCTCGGCAGCCTTGCGGTACAAGTCACTTCTTTTTCCCGATTCATTCAAATGGATTCAATATACAAACAGGATGGATTAAGATGGATCAAGCACATCAAGCCCTAGCAAGCTATATACAAATTTGGTTGAGTTTCTGTTACAATTCTTCCTAATGCGCTCCGTCAATACAGAGAATATACAGCGTAGCACAGGATAAATCTTGCACCTCGGCATTTTCTTCCTGCTTTTCATCCTTTTCGGATTCCCTTTTTTGTGCTTGAGCACTCTGAGTGCTACTCTGAGCACTCGTCTGCTCTGCGGTTTTGGACGGCTCTGTCTCGGCTTTGCCATCGTCTTTCACTTCGTCTTTCACTCCGTCAGCTGATCCACTTGACTTCCGCCCAAAGTGAGCTGTCAGCAAGCTGCGACCAGTGGGCGCTGGCTCCCTGCAGGACGGAAGTGCTAAATGACAATTTTTTTGCCATGACCAGTACCGCAACCAGTAAGATCCAGTAAGCATAAGCATGTCCTATATTTCTTTGATGGCTTCGGGCAAACATCTCATTAACTCCACTCACATAGTATCAAGATGTATCAAGTTTGCGAACGCCAACAGAAAGGTAAGACGTGTCAATATGGAAAGGTGAACTCCGACAAATCTCAGGGACCCTGTTCCGACGCCGCCTCTTGGCCCAGCGGCGAAAATCCAACCTCTTGGCAGCATGGAGGATACAACATGGCATAGTGGGAACAAACTCTGTGATAGATTTGGGATGACGGGGATGGGGCAAGTACTCTGACACATTATGACGCTATGAATTACAGATATCATCAGATATCCATGGAATTCCATGGATATCTATCGTTTGGTTACAGTCTGATACCTTCTGCACCCTTGGCCATGTCCCACGCCATGCCCCATTCCCTCCTGAAGCGTTCGTCGCAAGATGTGGCTTTCACCTAGCAGGCGTACGCGCAAGGCACGAAATGCCGTATGCCGAAGTACCGAAAAGGGCAACACGGCAACGGTCAGCAGGGTAGCAAGATACCGAAAGCTGAGGCTGTTCAGAACCAAAAGCACGCATTTTTTGTCAGCCAATTTTTGTTGTCAGCCAACTGATTCCGCGCGCAGTGAGCAAGGGACGCCAAGAAAACAATGTCCAATGAAAGGCAAACTTAAATATTACAACATAGTACAACCTATGACATGTTTCGTTGCAGAGAAGAAACAAACGTCAACTAGGCGAACAACCCTTCCACTGTCTTGGCACCAAGGGCTCGTAGAACTCAGCGACCTACCCCATGAAGCAGCGTAGCCTGCGAGTCATGCGAATGTTGCAATGCACTGCGTGAAACTCAAAATTCCAGAGAAAACAGACATAAAACACCTATAGCAGCTATCGCATGTCCAAGTGCAGTTGGTATCTTATTATTGAAAGCCAGGTGAATTTGGGCGACATGTTGAGAACCGACTCTCATTGGGATATTTTTAGTTATTGTGGAGCACCATGTTTTTGCAAGGCTCAACATCATTCAACATCATTCAACCATATTCAGAATAATCATCATTAACCACTAATAAGCACTATGAATCATCATTAACCAACATTAATATATATTCATCATATTCAACCGAAGATCCTCAAATAGGCTCGACCAGGTCCATCGCTTTGCCAGCTGGGTGAGACCAGCAATCGCTTCTCAGAGCGCTGGTCCTCACGTCCGCGGAATGGGCTTCAGTCAAGTCGCACTTTCAGATCTTTCAGGATGGGAGTGAGATGGAGTGAGTTTGCAAACGACAAGGATGCCATAGGATGCCCTATTTTGCTTACTTGCCTACAAAATCCTACAAATATCTAGCACTATTGGTTTGCACTTTACACTGACCGAGGTTTGCAAAGGCGTGCTTTCAAGGAAGCAGGATCTGATGCCGAAGAAAGCATCCCCATCTGTGGCTCTGTCTAATTGCATGGCCGAGAGGGACAAGAGTTCACTATAGTAACTAATGCAACTACTATAGTATTACTATAGTATTAATTACTATAGTTACTATAGTTACTATAGGCATTAAGGACAGGACATTTTGGGTTGGCTTTGGAAGTTGACACGTCTTCGCATCTTGGCCCTGAGAATGTCTGAGCCAACATTTATTCTCAAGGCCCTCATAGGCCATCCTTAGTCTTGAAATGTCTTGAAAACATATGTGGGACATCTGTGGGACAAATTTTGGGATGTGGCACGGATGTGGAGATTGAGATGCTCCTTCGCATCCAGCATGCGTTGAGCAGTAATCGTGGCACGCAGGGCTGCCATTGTTCGTTCAGGCCCGGCCACGTGAATGATGGCCTCACTGAGCTGGCTGATGCGACGAAGCACTGCCCCTGCGAGCTGGCCGCTATTCGTAGTCCTCAACTTGCAAATCAAAACATATCAAAACAGACAAAAACCCAACAAAGAAGATTTGATCGTGATTCAATCTTCGCAAATCTCAACAGGTCCTGAATGCATTTACCATTTCATGTCATGCCGCAATGCCGCAATGCCATTTTTGTTACAGTTACATTGTCAGAGTGACTAGGCAGTGAGAGTCACTATGCCATTTTGACATATCTTTACTATCACACTATATCACACTCCTGCCCACGAGGAGGGGCTTCTGCTCCGGAGCTTCCTGTCTCGTCATGAGGCCATAGAAGATCCGCAAGGCTGTAACCTCCATGTCACCTCTAACAGATTTGAACAGATTTGAACTGAAGGAAAGTTCAACTTATAGTTCAGTCTGGCTACAGGCAGCTACGGAACCTTACGGATTTGTCAGAAGTTGCATCTGCAAACACCGTTGGGCAATTTTGGACCCTGAAGCCTTCCTCTAAAGCACGACCGTGAGCCGTCTTCGAGATCCATTGCGGTGCCATAGCAATTATCTGGCCATCCAGCTCGTTGCCTGCACAACACACGGAGAGCTCTGGAGTCCGCTGGGTATAGCAGACACAACGGTCCGACGGTCCAACATCATCAACGGTGCAACAGAATGCTTGGATCAACCTGGATCAATTCTTGTCCATTATCAACATCTTTCAAAATGAATATGACTCATATGACATGACCTGACACATGGTGACACACATGGTGACACACATGGTGACACACATGGTGACACACATGGTGACACACATGGTGACACACATTGTGACACAGCTATCAAGGCCTGCTGTGGCACAAGCTTTGACTGCCAGGTTGGCGGCACGGATTCCCAAAGAGTCTGTCGCCACACCCTCTGCTGCTTCTCTCGCCAAAATGGCGGCCACTTCTTTCATCTCACTGTCCGACCTGAAAATCTGCGAATTCAAAGGTCAAGAAAGGTTAAACAAAAAATGCAGATGTAGGAAGAATATTAGATTCAAATGATTCAACAATTCAACACAGTTCAACATAATACACATAATTTAAAATTGGAGTTTGATCTGAGTGGCTTGAGTCGGTAAATTTTCCTGGTCTTTTCTTCTCGCGGCTGCAGCGCGGGCAAAATCTGCGCTCGACGCGCCACGTCTCGAGCGTCTCGAGGAATTCGAGCGTCTCCACGACAGCCACTTGGCGCCACGAACAGCTCTTGGTGCCAGGCAAAGCACACGGCGCACACGGCGCACACGGCCCACAGCACTGCGCGACACATGCGACACCGAGCCATGTCTCAAAATCTCTGTGTGGAGTGTCTATACGTATCATTACGTATCTGTGGGCTATAGAGTGGCTATGGTGGTATGGCCAGGTTTGGCTAGGTTCGGATAGGTTTGGAGGTTGAATAGGTTTGGTGCTCGGTTCGTTTGCTTGCTCATGGTTCAGTGTTTGACGTTTTCACGGATATCTTTTCATTTTGGAAACGGGAGGAAGTGGCTGGAAAGCTTCTGATTCGCCCCCACAAGAAAGCCACTGGCAAAAAGTGAGTGGCAGTCTAAGGTTGCTCGAGCATCAGCTGTGACAAAAACTGCAAATCATTTTGCGTCAAGCTAAATAAGAGCATCAAATGCTGTGGATGAGAAACTAAATCGCAGGAGTGAAATAGAAACGCAAGGCTTTAGCTATCTTTAGCTGACTATCGCTTTCACATGCTGTCACATGCTGTCACAAGGTGATTCCGAAAGAGTCGAGGCGTTGCATGGCGCCATGTCCTGCCTCCCAAGGTGTTGCAGCCCCTCTCTCTTGCACGAAGTCCTGTCTAGTGCCAAGATGTGCCCAGAACTGAGATGACTTGATCTGTTTCTCACTGAGTTCTCACCATGGAACAAAACATGATAAAACATATTCCAAAATCAGCCAATGTTCCTCCAAATGTTCCAAATGTTCCAGATTCACCAAATTCACCAAAAATTCCAGTTCCGCTTCTGTTCCGAAATTTTGCAAGTGCGCTTCCAAAATCTTCCAAGGCTGTCTGGTCCGTCCTGGTCCCAATCCCATCTGAGGACACGACGCGAAACTTCTTCAGGCCAGCACCGATTAGATTATTCCTTTTCACGTTCTCCTGGTGCACAGACATTGGCTTCACCGAAGCCCATATTGACTCTAAACACTCTGGCCACTTTACTTAGCACACTTCAAAGGACTAGACAAAACTATAAATACATGTATGTATGTGTGTATGTATACATATAATTATATATATAATATATTACAATACATATAATTATATATATATGTATAATATTATGTCTCATATGTTAAAGATACATATATAATGCCAAAAGATATTTCTTGACATTCCTCTCCCGCAGACCACAGAGCCTGCGTGGCTTTGACAACGTCGAAGAACTCCTGTTTCAACAGTGCAACTATTGGCAGGGGCAAACACACTCTGAATCTTTGAAGTTGAACATAATCATCTCGAATCTCGTGGCTTTGCCTGGCCAACCATAGCATCAAGGTTCAACTGGAAGCGCTCCATGAGCATCTTCACCTAGCCGGTCGTCATTTCCCAAAAGAAGAAACATTATCCGCAGGATCTCCTTTTCTCAGTGCTGGAATCAAGTGAACTTGCTGACTCATAGAGCACAAAAAAAAATATAATACAGTTTGAAGCAGTGGCGTGCATTCCAGACATGGTAAGACTGGTTTGCAGAAATCAAATTGGGACAAGCACTTGCAAACCACGCAGATTTTTGATGATGTTTGTTTTGCACAGTGCACCTGCTGAGCGTAGTTGTCTGCAGATTTGCTGACCTTCCCTGCCATCATGAAGGTATAAAACCTTGGGTTTCAGGCCTTCAGGGTGCTTCCGTATACAACTTGAAAGCTGCCATTTTCGGCCATGAAACGGAGTTAGAGGATGGCAATAGATTCGTTGTACTGCAATGACAGAGTTCAAGAACTAACCCATTCCGCATGAGCCCAACTGTTCAGCAACTGGTGGTCCAACTGGTGGTCCCTCCAGTTGTTTTCCAAATTTCCAAAAGTTTGGGTCTTACAATGGTGTAGACACAGCTTCCCAATGTTTCCCGTATGTTCCCGTTCGATTGTGGCAGACTCTAGGTGCCCTGCGAAGCCAAGGCATGTGGAAACATGTCCTGAAGACATGCAGCGACACGCTTTGAAGGCAAGGCTGCAACAGCAAGACATAATAATTTACATAATAAGAATGTGTTTACTGCTTTTACTCGTCATGTTTATTCTGAAATATTCAATGATTCTGAATGTCTATTCTGCTCGGATTCTGCTCGGATTCTGCTCGGCATGTTTTGGCCGGCTTTCCCTCCTGCTGATCCATTGTGGCCCTGGGAAAGTGTGCAAAGGCTTCTTTGTCCTGTGGCGGCTCAATCTACCATCTCTCTTGGGAGTGGGATACTTAGCACTTGCCAGTCTGTCAGACGAACTTGAACCATAACAACACAGTTGAATAACAACTCTGCTGATCTTTCAAGAGTCCTAAACAAATTGTCACCACAAAGAACTTTGATGGAGTGGCGAATTCAATTCTTGCATTGGTCAAAAATCTCAAGCAATGTCGCTCTGAGATCTGAACATCCAAGCTCACGCTGCCCTGGGGCCAGACACCATGAAAACATGTGAAAACTCTTGTTCGAAAGGAGAATCAAATGCATCGAATGATATATTAAAAAATTATTCATTATATAAGTGTCATACAACAACTAGCCGGCATTGGGCTCAGTTGGGTCTGCCTACAAGAAACAACTTCTGCAACTGCCCTCAGGGCCAGATGCCCTCAGATGCCCTCAGTTTTCTTGGGCCATGACATTCAACTCCAGGCGACGCTTAACTTCCTGCATTGGCGATGCATTTTGGAAAGGTCTGATCAGACCACTCGATGCTTTTTTGTCAGTTTATATTATCAATTTATTCTGTGTTTCATGTGATTTGTTTTTGTCCCATTATCTCCTGAATCTCCTGCAAACCATGAACAGAAACTTATAAATGTTGTGTGTTTTCATTGATTTTCATCATTGTCAAATTGTCAAGCTGTTCCCTTCGCCCCGGCACTTCCATGGCACTTCCCGTATCTTCCCGTCCCTCTCCATCCATTTCTCCGTCCTCCTGGCGCTTCTTCTGCATCTCTTTCCATTGCTGCCTGGACAGCACCGCCTTTGTACGGCGTATCTCTGGCATGGCACCGGAGAGGTTCAAGTCACCACGGCCAAAACACAGCTATCCCATGCTATCCCATGCTATCCCATGCTATCTCCAATCATGGTTTTGTTTCGGTGCATTCTGATTGAATAATGTGGTTCTGTTGGTTTCCCTGACAGTAGTTTCTTCTAACCTTTCTAAACTAATCATATCTGCTTCTGCACCTCTAATTTCGGTGACCAGTGATGTGTTGCTCAGCGCATGGGCATTCAAACATTTGAACATATCCATCGAAGGACATGATGCTTCTACTAGAAATTGGGATGCAAACAAACCATTGACTTGCCTTTTAATTATTGCATGTGTTGTAGGTGATCTATTTGCAAAAAAAATCCTTGCATCAGTCGGAGTCAAACATTCACCACAGAAACGAAGTTGTCGTTGAAAAAACATATGAGAGGCGTACCACCGTCACAAAACTCAGAAAGCAAATATTGATCTTCCAATCCTGACATGCAAAACTGAGTCAATGTCAAAATTGAGGCGTGTTCTTTGCTGAATGGACTCAAAGAACATCAAAGAACCATGATATTCTGGTTTGTTTTTTTCCCTCGCAGCCTGGAGTGACCACAACTTGCACTGCAAATTTTGGCAGCACAAGCTACGCAACGCCTTAGGCGTTGCCATCTGTACAGAATTGGGCCACATGACCTCTTCCTAAACGACGCATGCACGTGTTGCAGCAAATAGCTGTTGTCCACTGTTTTTTTTTCCGCATCTTTGACTTCGCGATCTTCACTTGAAATTGATTGAAATTATTCATGCTTCTTATGCTTCTTTACTTGCTCCAGTCTACAACTGTGCTGTTTATCCTTCCGCATTCACCCCTGGTCGCTCAGGTCTTCCCCAAGTTCCTGCTTTGCTGACAGTCCAACCAAACAATTCTTACACTGTCTGTGACCCATAACCAAAACATATGATTTGTGATTCCAAATGTACATTGGACATCATTGGACATCATTGGACATCATTGGACATCATTCCACTATTCCCAGATATTCCCAGGTGTGCATCCCATACATTCAATTGTTCCCGAGGCTTCGCATGCTTCGCATGTCCGCCTGCATGGCCAAAATAATTGGAATCCCCCGACCCGATGCAAGAAGGGCGTGTGGAGAGATGACAGCAGCAGCAACACCAACAACACCAGCCACGCCACCAATAACGGCAGTGAGCTACGCCGTCGGTACAACAAACTAGCAGGAGTATCTTGGTAGCACCAGGGTCTGATGATCAAGCCGTCAGTCGCGAGGAACACCAGTACCTTCAGAAATCCACTCCTGTCTATCCTTTTCTCTCCTCCCTCCTCTTCCCTTCTCTTCCCTTCTCTTCCCTTCTCTTCCTCCCCCGTCCTCTTCGAATACATCAGTTTTTGCACGAATCAGCATCAGCGTTTAAACCAGCCACGTTCCCCGTCGACTAGCTTTCGTGCCAACCTCCATCCCTCTTCTCGCCTGTATGTACCAGTATGCTGTATGCATATATATTATATCAGCACGTCTGCATGTACATACGTAGTTTTGGTTTCAATATTTAAATACAAGAGCGCGTGTAACATGTGTTGACGGCGTGCATTACATAAAGCCGCAAAGCACCTTTTACGCGAAAAGCTTCGTGCACAAAACCTCTTGTGCTTATGAGAAAAGCCTTTTACGCAAAGCAGCTTGCCGCCAGGCAGCTTTTGCAAACATACTTTTACACCCTGCACACCTTTTATATCCACTCACTTACCAGCTTCCACATCAAGCTGTGTTTGCAAAGGCATCTCGACATAGCATAATTTTGCCAATGCAAACTCCCAGAGCCTGGCTGGTGGAATGCGCCGAAAGCAGTTGAATTACTTGAGCACAAACGCAACATGGGCTCTACATATGCTTAACATAGGACGCACGGTATTCAAAATTCTATGTAAAGACTTTGGATATAGACCAGATTCTTGAACACTGCAAGCCTTCTACATTAATATCCTGTTGCACTTGCAAAACATGTTACACCGAATGTCTTAAACACCGCAGGTGTTTTACATTATTTACTTAGGGCACTACTGGATACTACTGGCATTCGATGTGATACGTTTTATATGGCATGTTTCACGCCAACCCTTTACACCAGAACCTCACCAAAACGGAATTTTGCTTTGGGTGCTCTTTGTCGCGAAGCGACTTGTGTCTTGCTTTTCGTCACCAGAAAATCAAGGCTGGCATATGCTGGCATTCCATTCCATTCATGTCAGAAAAACAGTGTCCGACGCTTAGCCACACCCTACGGCCAGGGTGTAAGACGTCCTCCTCATTCTCCGGATTCTCGTCCGATGGAGTCTTTGGGATCTGTGGCACCTGTGGTTTTGCCATCTCCAAATTCTCCGATTCTCATAACTTTCGTAACTTTCATAACTTTCGTAACCTTTCCAATCCGTTTCCAATCCCTTTCCATCTTTCCATCGCTCTGCCATGCAAAGCATGGCTCCAGGTCGCCTCTTCACCTCGCATTATGGCCATCTTCGCCTTCAGCACAAAGGAATGCAAAGGACTTTCCAAAAACGGATACGATACGAGACAACAAGTTTGACAGGCAGCTTTGTCTTGCTGCTATATGCTATCATTGTACACATGATTTTAAACGAGATAAATCAAGATAATCAATGATATGATTGTTCACCCCAGAAGCAGCTACCTTGAGGTCAGCAACCTTCTGTGATGGCAAAGCCATGTCCTGTCAATGTGTCTTGAAAAAGCCTGGCGTTGAACGCTGAACAGCTTTGATTAAGCTGCAGTCAATATAATATGCGCAGCTGTAACGAAGGGATCTCAAAAGCTCCAAAGACATGATCGCTTCTGCACAGCAAAATCATTTCACGCGACTCTGTGCAACGATGAGCTCCATCTAAGATGATCTAGGTCCTCGCTTTCCTCTTCGGATGACTCCTGCGATCTGATACAGTATGAAAGTATGAAATGCTTCTCCTATCTGTTTCTCCTATCTGCTTCTTTGACACTGGTTCCTATCCAACTATTTCCATTTTTTTCATTTTTTTTCCAATTTATAAACTCGATATGAACCTCCCAAGAAGCCCTTCCCTGTCCAGTGTTGCCTCGCTGAAACCCACGCAGGATATCACGGATTGAAGGCAATTTCAGACTGAATTGAGGCGATCTCTTGTTTTTACATGTTAAAAAACAACATAATCTCCACATATCTCCACCATCTCCACACATTGCAGAAGCACTGCAGTCAACAAAACTCAAGCTGCGAAAGTGTGGCGTCCTTTGTTGAACTTTCGAAAAAGCAAAGAATCCAACTACGGCTCGTACGAGAGAGATGCATCAAACATGAGTTTCCCATATCTACCCTACTAAGGCCCTATGGCCCTACTCTTTTTCACTCCGTCTGTGGCAGTGCCATGTGTTGCCCATTGCGTGGCTTTGCCTGTCCTCTCCCTGTAGTTCACGGAGACGGGCCTGGGGCAGCCGGGCAAAAGTCGGGCAAACTGCATGGACACAGTGACGTCACAGTGACGTCGACGTCCGTGTCGCCATGTCCATCGAGCCATGTCGAGGCAGAAAAATGATGAGAAATCAATGTCTCATCAATGTCTCATCAATGTCTCATCAATGTCTGCATTGTCTGCATTGTCTCCATCTCTCAGACATTGATGAGGCTTTGCAGCGTCGACTTTGGCGACTTTGCCTTCAGCTGCTCGATCTTCTTGGCATTTAGCTGCTTCCTCTCCTGGAGAGCCTTGCGACATGGCGTATCTCTATACATATCTCTACGTTGATCGCCCCAATACAAGATATTCCAAGCCAAAAGATTGCCCAATTTCTAGCAATCTCTTGCTTTCAACTCTTTCAACTCTTTCAACTCTTTCAACTTTCAACCCCGCCTCTGCCGTGACGGCACTGAGTCCAACGCCGCGAAAACCGAGCCTTGCACAGTTTGAAGAAGCAACATGATGTTAACATATTGCAACACAATCAGGGCAATTCTGAAGCTGCCGTCAAGCTCTCTCCATTGCTTTCGAAGGGCTTTACATACAAATCATATAACATCAAAATCATTGACAGGAAAAACAGTGCGCAAACCTTTTCCACGCCACTTCCGCCCAGGTCAATCTCTTTGCTTGGCCTTTGTAAAACTAACGGTGAGTGAGTTGGTTTCTTCTCACATTCAAATTCCTCCAGGCCTCCAGGTGAGGTCTTAGCCAGGAATTCCACTGATTTTTCTGCAGAATCTTGCAGAATCTTGCATGAACTTCCACCCGAATCTCTTCACTCAATGGACTTTGCCACTTCATGCCACTTCAGCTCTGCGTCAGCTACGAACCTCGGTTTTGCATGGTTTTGCACGATGTTGGAATCAGCAAATATCAGCAATTCATAAATTTCATAGACTGCCGATATTGATTATCTGCCTCTCATTTGTCAAAAATAAAACTGGGATTTGCAGTTCCTTTGCTTTTCGGAACTAGAAAAGGTCGACTCTTTCATTTCAACACATGGCAATGGCTCAAAACGCAGACACGAATGTGTACAGATTGTAGATCCAATTTCTATAATTTCTTTAATTGTCTGAGTTTTCCGGTTTTCTTCCCACAGTGGCTCTTCTAGAGGGTTGTACACCTCAAACTGTTCAAAATTTTAACATATTCTGACTTAGTTGACTTGTTTTTGGGCTATGTTGGGCTCCCTCCGCAAATCAGTTTCTCGTTGAATGACAAAAACTCCGACTGCGAGCCAAGCTGCAGGGGTCTGTGACGTCAGCTGCAGCAACTCGCTTTGCCAGGACGGATACGACAGATGCCTTTGGGCCGTCGGCAGCAATTGTAGCTGCCATAAGGGTACACCTGGCACTGCAATGTTCTGTCCCAATACCCAAACGTGGACAGCAAATGTCTCAATGCGATTCAATGCGCACATTTCCGTTACAGTTTGAAAAAGTTCTTTGCAGACTGGCGTCCTTCGATTCACTTGACCGACATTTCTGTTTTCACTGTTGCAAAAAAAAGGGTAACAGCTCATCTCTCAGAATCCTCAACTGCAGTACAAGGATCTCTAATATTCAAAACAAACTCAGCCTCGAAATGGCATCAAAATACATCAATATAGTCAGATGTTGTTTTTTTTCTTTGGTTTTGGCTTGATTTTCCACCTGCGGACCCTTCTCAAGGCAGCATCCATGCGTCTCACTGTCGTAGAGGGTTTGACCTCCACAGCAGCTTTGTACGGCCTCAGATGGCTGGTGGATGCTGGTGGTTGTTTTCTCATGTTTTCTCGGAGCCATTGAAACAGAAAAGCCATGAAAAGCCTCGATCGGAAAAGCCATTAAGTTGGATAAAGACATGGACAGTCTGCGCTTCACGCCACCGAACTTTTGAATCTCCGAGTGTCTTTGGTGTAGATGCGACCTTGGCAGCAGCCCTCAGTCTGCGCCTTGAAGACTACGCCCTCGCAGCAACCCTGTGGAGGCAGAGCAGTTTGCACATCAAGCAGTGCACTTGCAATACATTTCACAAAAGGCACGTACACTTTTGTCAATTCAAAAAGTTTGCATTGAGTTAAATGTCTATATAGCACCGGACAGCATGGGTTGATGACAGCTACAGATTCCCTACAAAACTCATCTCTGCCTGCGCGCAAAAGGATCTGTCAAAATCCCTTCACTTTTTTTGACAAATTGCATAGCAATCAGAGTCTCGACAAACAGTCCTTCTGGACAGCCGCTGAAAGCCAGGAATCCAAGGGACTTGTCTCTCCTCCGATTTAAAGAGTTCTCGCTGGCAACAAAAGAATTCGTAGTCTGCTGAGAGCTAAAGTCTCCCTAGCTGCCCTAAATGGTGCAGAGATCAATGTCCATGCAAAGCCATCACAAACCAGTCTGATTGATCGCAAGTGTGATAAACTGGTATGTTTTCTTTATCTCTTGAACCGAAGAAAAGAAAGCTAGCAACAATACCTCAAAAGTATCAGAAACTGTGAGCTGAGCTGTTCGCAAAAGACCTCAAGAGAACACACAAGAGCAGAGATTTCTTCATATTTCTATCATGTTTTATCCGATACATTCCGATACTATCCCTTCTTACCGCAGCTGATAGGAGCCTTTCGGTATCTCAGCGGCTCACTTTCCCAAGAACTTCAGCATCTCTGGCACCTTGGTGAACTTGGCAGCTGCCTTGCCCATCTCTTGGCCACAACGAAGTTCCTCCGCCTCTAGGCGTTTCCAGTCCTGAAAGCCGACCACTGCAGTTGTTGATTGCAAGGAGGTCACGAAACTCTCAGCTGTAGCTTTGGCATTCTGACTCTGCAAATCGCTCCACAGCTTCGCAGCTGTCTCTTGAGCGTCACCAATGTTGGAGGCGATGATGCCTTGAGGACCCCTTTTCAGCCATCCAGACACGTAAAGACCACCCAGGTCATCGGAAGATTGTTCCACACAACCCTGCGTGTGTGGCACTCTATTCGACTTCAAAGGCAGTCCTTGGAAGGGCAAAATGTCAAAGCCGACACTTCGCACAACCAAGCCACATGAAATATCCAGAGCAGCATCAGAGGATGGAGCCGCGACTTGTCGTCCCGCTTCACCTTGAAGCTGCATCCGAGCTAAGCGAATTCCTGTGACGACACCACCTTCTGACAAGACCTCCTGAGGTGATCGCAAGAAATGAAGACGGAGAACACGTTTGCTGGTCTTTTCAACATCTGCGAAATTTGCTGCCATCTTCTCTAAAATATCCACGGATCTTTTCTTCATTCGGCTCTTGGAGAGCTCTTCTTCTGACGCTGCATTGCGACACAGCGCCAGTTCATCTGGGTCCACCACGGGCAGAACATCTTCCGAACATGTCAAAAGTTCACGAAGCTCAGCATTGGTAAAAGCTGCTTGAACAAAACCACGACGGCCGACGATGTGAACTGTTCGCAAACCTGCTTGTTGCCATGCCGCGATTGCATTCACTGCGTCACGTTCCATGTCCGTGGCATCGAGCTCTTTTGGTGAACGAACAAGTAACCGAGCTACATCCAAAGCAACATTTCCTTGACCCAAAACCACGGCAGATTCACCTGCAGACTTTGGGAGCTGCAGATCTTTGTAGTCTGGATGTCCATTGTACCACTTCACAAATGCTGGGGCGCCTAGAACTCCCAAAGAATCTTCTCCTGGGATTCCTAGAATCCTTTCACCGCTGGCACCAGTGCATAACACCACTGCATCATATGTCTTTCTCAAAGCTTCCAAGGATGGCTGTGTACCAACTTCCACATTGCCATAGTACTTGAAGTTTTTCATCTCAGCAACGGCACCAAAATCATTGATGACATTTTTGACCTCAGGATGATCCGGAGCCACACCGAAGCGCACAAGGCCAAAAGGTGTTGGCAAACGTTCAAACATGTCGATCTTCACCTTGTCACCAGCCTTTTTGAAAAGATACTTTGAGGTGTAGAATCCTGCTGGGCCACTTCCAACGACAGCGACGTGATAATTTCGGCGCCCGTGTCTGGTTGCCCGGACAGCCTTTGGAAGAAAGCGCGCCCAGGTGGATGAAGCAAATGGCTGCATCTTTGCAGAGTGAGTGCTCACGATTGCTCGCGTGTCCTTTTCTGAATAAAGTTCATGCTCAAAATGATCAAATTCATGCAAAATCATGTGAACATATGCAAACTCCACTTGAGCTAATCATGTGTTGTCACGTCGCTTGAGTGTTTCCATGCAAAGTCGCTTCCACTAGCGACAGGATTCAGGTCAACAAGTGTAACTGCTTCTCTCTCTAACTTGTAGCCTGAGCTCGAGCCTTCCACAAACAGGACTTGTGTCACAACGGTCACGCCCACATCTCACAGCATCGCTTGGAACAGAAAAAACTCGAGCTCAACGTATTGACAGCTCATCTTGGGGCCTCTGTCTGGCGGTCATAGACCTTGCCCTTGCAGCAAGCTTGCCTTGCAGCCAAGAAAAGCAGGTTCACTAACATTAGTCACACACACACACATTAGAGTACATTAGTCTACCCCCAGTCCTAGCAAAAAAAAAAACGAGAATCCTGCCATGTTCCAACGTGCTCGATTTATCTCCCCAAACCTCAACGCATGATGTTTGTGCCTGGTATCTTCCATTGTCAAGTCGATGCAATGTGGCCATGCCAGGCTGCGTATGCGGAAAGGAGTTGCTGGTCATGTCAGTAGGCTAAACGAGTTTCATGGTCAAATAAAGTCAAATGAAGTCAAATGTAATCAATCTATATCAAACAGGTGTGTGTGTGTGTGCGTGTGTGCGTGTGTGCGTGTGTGTTTTCCAAGTTCCAAGATACACTGAAGCATCGTACATCTCGTCACCACAGCGCTGACGGCGACAACCGCTGCCGTCCCGGTCGAAGACATAGCAGGTCTCGCCATTGTAGGCAGTGGCCTTCCCAGACATGTCCAAACATCACTTTCAAAATCTTTAAAATACTGTATAAAGAATCTTTGAAGATCTTTAAAGAGATCTTTTAAGTGTTGAATCGCCTGCACAGAAACACTGCCAAACTGTCCCAACCCAAACCATGACATAGACATCCATAGACATACTGAACACGGCTTTCCAGTACAATGGCAGGCCTTCTTCTGGCAAGCATCCAAGGCTTTCTTCTCAGCATCGGCCAAGCTGTCCCTTTGCGCCAAGGGGCTCAACAAGAACAGAACACAGCAGCTGTCCTCTATCCCTCAAGGCCTCAATAGGCCTCAAGGAATAAACTTGCCTTCCAGCTGAAATTTGCTGCACTATGTCACAATGCTGCTGAAGCTCTGTTTGACTGACAGCCAGCCCACTTTGCATGAGGGAGTCATCGCCCATGCCATGTGCTGACCTGACCAGGGGCTTCAAGGGCTATGTGGTGAGAAGTGAAATATAGTGAGATGGCCATCCACATCATCCACAGTCCACATAACAGGTGCAGCTCATGGACTGAACAACTGGGAACTATCTGAATGGACTTCCTACGACAAATGTAACGACAAATGTGACGCAAATAGTTGCCACCTGCTGCGCAGTACCGAAGCCAATAGTTGCCTGCAGGTCATGACCATTAATTAGACGTTTTTTTCTGATACAAATAGATTAAAACTGATTAAACATTTAAATTTAAATATAACTTTGTTGTCTGTCTGATCTTTCTGAAGCTAAAGTTTCTGTTCCTTTGCGCACCGTACGTTGCAGGTGGCCAATTTGCCGCACATTCGAAATTCACATCCGGGTTCTCCCAGTCTGGCTTGAGAACTTGAGGAGTGCAAGTCCTCGATCAAATGCCAAACGCTCCACTTGCCATGCCATGCCATGATATTTATGCCACATGCCATGATGGAACCATATGGAACCCATGAAAGCAGAGAAAGTCAAGGGGTGCAGAGCAAGACAAGAACCAGCAATTCACCAGCATTTGCAAACCTTAATATATTCAATTTGAATCAATTTGATAATTAATGGTAATTATATAAGAAGTTAACCACTTAGTCTTATGTGTGATCCTTGTTGCAAAATATGCACCGAGCTTCTCCATCCCATAAGTGAAGACATGATCATCATTGCAGCAGCCTCATGCAGGACTCATGCACATAGTGTTTCCACCAGACGACAGCTTCCAAGGTTCAGTTTGGCATAAGGGACTCTTCAAATTATGGCCTTCCACACACTGTAGTTCTCTTCTCAATGTAATGAATTGCCAAACCTTGTATGCTGCTCAAATCATGTCATAATCATGTCATAATCATATGTTTTCTGTATTCTTCCGTATTCATCAAATTGCATAGTTTTACCACGTTTTCTTTTTTAATAGTTTTGCAATGTGTTGCATGTTACAAGTGGCATTGCATCAGTGGCCTTGCTGGGCAAAAGTGTAGATAGAGCTGTTGCCACAACAGCCCTGTGAGGTCAGGGAGTAAATTTTGCCTCGCCGAAGCCGCGGTGGTCTTTCTTGTCTCTTCACAGTTCTTAATGATATTTAAGTATATTTAAGTGAGATATGTGTGGTGTTTGTTGTTTATCAGTGTCTATCATAAATTTATATTTATATATTTGATATGTATTTCATGCATTTAAGTAGAGCATAGTAGAGTCCACTTCTGGTCTTTGCCAAAAACAACATGTTTTTGAAATACCTGACTTGACTGTGGAAACTCACGGCAAAGCTTGTGATCTTGGTTATGCGAAGGCCGAGTTAAAATTTGGATGTCAAGTTAGAACATGTGGAACTGCTGGTGTGGAAGTGATGTGGAAGTGATTTGGAAGTGGTTGGCAGGGTGCAAGTCACAAGGCCCAGAAGGCCTCCACAACAATTCTCCTGAGACTTGTCATAGCTCTCGCCGCCGCAAAGGGCAAAGCTTGGAGGTCCAGTGCTAAGCTGCATCTCTGCCTCCTGTCTTTTTCCCAGCATTGTAACATCATGTAACATCCCTAAATCCAATGCAAAGAGAAAAGAAAACAACTTCGGCAGTCTGAATACAATCCAAAATATCCAAATGAACATCAAACAAGATGTCGTCAAACTGACCTTGCTGTCTTCAGAAATCGTCTGGAGTCCGAATTTGATCCATGCATCGCTTTGTGCCGCTTGCGTCACTGTCTCCTCGAAAGCTTCTGCCACATTCGATGAAAGCCTTCGCAGGCGACTCGGGCTGGTGCAATTGCTTTAACCATCTTAAACCTCCTTCCATCTCATTCCATCTCAGTATTTTGCCCCCCAATTCTTGCCAATGCAAAACCTTGGGAGGTTCTCAAAATTTCTCAAAGCCCGAAGCACCAAACTTTCTGACTGAGGGGCTGCGCAGCCCGGCGCTGCAATACAGAAATGGCGCAGTTCTCCTTCGTTTCAGGCGATGCTTTTCACTTAGAATCTGAACACAACACCTCTTCGACTCTTCGACCTCTCGCCCGAACCTGTCCTCTGCGCACTCATCGTCAATGTCAATTGCCCTGGCCGGCATCGTGCAGAAAGTGTGACGAACACAAAGCACGATAGCACGATAGCGTCTGTGCGGTCAACGCGTCATCTGCGCACATTGAAAGCGAGTCATCTGCGCACATTGCAAACGAGTCATCTGCGCACAGAGAAACCGCGTCATCCGCGCACAAAGAGCGGTCATCCGCGCACATTGAGGCTGGGAACCAGCCATTTCGGGTTTGGTTGGGGGGGGGGGGGGGGGGGGGGGGGGGGGGGGGGGGGGGGGGATGATAACGTTCATGTTCCTATGCACACACAGGCACAGCAACCTCATCATCTTTCTTCCCGTAGAGCAGAGACAGGCACAGCTCTTTCATGATGAGTTACCGGTGGGGTGGGGTGGGATGATAACGTTCATGTTCCTATGCACACACAGGCACAGCAACCTCATCATCTTTCTTCCCGTAGAGCAGAGACAGGCACAGCTCTTTCATGATCAGTTACCGGTGGGGTGGGGTGAGTTAATAAGGTTCATGTTCCTATGCCTGCACACGCACAGCAACCTCATCATCTTTCTTGCTGTAGAGCATTTCCTCGCACTGCTCTTTCATGTGAGATGAGTTGTGTGAAAGAACTTGGGTGAACTTCAGTGAGAGAACACGAAAGCAGCTCCACCAAATGGCACACGAAAGCAGCTCTTGAGTGAGTTGAGTTGTGTAAGATGAGTTGTGAGAGATGAGTTGTGTGAGATGAGTTGTGTGACTTGTGAGATGAGAGGAGTTGTGTGAGTTGTAAGATGAGCGGAGTGGTGTGAGATGAGTTCTGTGAGTTGTGAGATGAGTGGAGTTGTGAGATGAGTTGTGTGAGTTGTGAGATGAGTTCTGTGAAAGAACTTGGGTGAACTTCAGTGAGAGAACACGAAAGCAGCTCCACCAAATGGCACACGAAAGCAACTCTTGAGATGTTTAAAAAAAACTAGAAGAAGAATCATGTTACAGAGATACAATGACAAAAACACACAACAAAAACGTGCACAGACGACCAACCGTCTGACGTGCACAAACGACCCACTTTTGACGTGCACAGACGAACCCTGAACCCGTCTGTGCAGCAATCAAAGCATTCACAAAGCGCCTGGTCCTTGCAGAAAATAGGATGCAGCAACTCAAAAGTATCCACATGGCTACAACCACGGCTTTAGATAAAATGGCTTCACAGCCTTGAACAGCGTCAACTAGCAGCATCCTTGAACGTGGGTATAACGTGGGTATGCATGCTGTTGGCTACAACTTGTGCAGAACACATTGTTGGCCAAAACATATTTGTAAGCAAGCTCAATGTCTTTGATCAGACATGTTCTGTGCACTGGATTCGGCACTGGAAGAAGCTTTGAGCGAGGAAAAGGCTAGCAAAGCAACCAATTTTTACCAATTTCAAGTTGCTATTGATGTCAGTGTCTTCAAGCTTCTGTCTCGTCCCAGCATAAAGCTTGTGCAGTATTCATGAAGGTTTTTTTAGGGCTCCATCCCTCTGGGGCGTTTGCAGAGACGAGACAAAGAAACCAATGCCTGGAATGGCAACACTGCAGTGACATAAGGCACCAACGTTTGGCGTCCTCTCTGCAGGCTATTGATCAATAAGTAAA